CATGAAAAATGGGCAAAATCCAAAATGTAAGGGGTTAGCCTTGGATTTCTATCAAAAATTGGGCAAAATTTGACTGTTTCGAGAAATTATAAAATGTAAGGGGTTAGCCTTGCATTTTTATCAAAAATGGGCAAAATTTGACTGTTTCGAGAAATTTCAAAATGTGAGGGGTTAGCCTTGCATTTTTATCAAAAATGGGCAAAATTTGACTGTTTCGAGAAATTTCAAAATGTGAGGGGTTAGCCTTGCATTTTTATCAAAAATGGGCAAAATTTGACGTTTCGAGAAATTTTAAAATGTAAGGGGTTAGCCTTGCATTTTTATCAAAATTGGGCAAAATTTGACCTTTTTTTGAAAATCCTAAATATAAGGGGTTAGCCTTGCATTTCCATCAAAAATGGGCAAAATATGCCTTTTTTGGAAAAATCCAAAATGTAAGGGGTTAGCCTTGCATTTCCATCAAAAATGGGCAAAACATGACTTTTTTTGACATTCCAAAATGTAAGGGGTTAGCCTTGGATTTCTAAAAAAAATGGGCAAAATTTGACTGTTTCGAGAAATTTCAAAATGTAAGGGGTTAGCCTTGCATTTTTATCAAAATTGGACAAAATTTGACCTTTTTTTGAAAATCCAAAATATAAGGGGTTAGCCTTGCATTTCCATCAAAAATGGGCAAAATATGCCTTTTTTTGGAAAATCCAAAATGTAAGGGGTTAGCCTTGCATTTCTATCAAAAATGGGCAAAATTTTATTTTTTTGAGAAAATTCAAAATACAAGGGGTTAGCCTTGGATTTCTAAAAAAATGGGCAAAATTTGACTGTTTCGAGAAATTTCAAAATGTAAGGGGTTAGCCTTGCATTTTTATCAAAAATGGGCAAAATTTGACTGTTTCGAGAAATTTCAAAATGTAAGGGGTTAGCCTTGGATTTCTATCAAAAAGGGGCCAAATTTGACTGTTTCGAGAAATTTCAAAATACAAGGGGTTAGCCTTGGATTTCTAAAAAAATGGGCAAAATTTGACTGTTTCGAGAAATTTCAAAATGTAAGGGGTTAGCCTTGCATTTTGATCAAAAATGGGCAAACTTTGACTGTTTCGAGAAATTTCAAAATGAAAGGGGTTAGCCTTGAATTTTTATCAAAAATGGGCAAAATATGACTTTTTTTTGAAAATCCAAAATGTAAGGGGTTAGCCTTGCATTTCTATCAAAAATGGGCAAAATTGAACTTTTTTGGAAAATTCAAAATACAAGGGGTTAGCCTTGCATTTCTATCAAAAATGGGCAAAATTTGACGTTTCGAAAAATTTTAAAATGTAAGGGGTAAGCCTTGCATTTTCATCAAAATTGGACAAAATTTGACTTTTTTTGAAAATCCAAAATATAATGGGTTAGCCTTGCATTTCCTTCAAAAATTGGCAAAATATGACTTTTTTTGGAAAATCCAAAATGTAAGGGGTTAGCCTTGTATTTTTATCAAAAATGGGCTAAATTCTTCTTTTTGGGGGGAAAATTCAAAATGTAAGGGGTAAGCCTTGTATTTCTATCAAAAATGGGCAAAATTTGACGTTTTGAGAAATTACAAAATGTAAGGGGTTAGCCTTGGATTTCTATCAAAAATTGGCAAAATATGACTTTTTCGAGAAATTTCAAAATGTAAGGGGTTAGCCTTGCATTTTCATCAAAAATTGGCAAAATATGTCTTTTTTGGAAAATCCAAATTGTAATTACCTTGTATTTGTATCAAAAATGGGCAAAATATGACTTTTTTTGAAAATCCTATCTGTAAGTGGTTAGCCTTGTATTTCTATCAAAAATGGGCAAAATTTTAATTTTTTGAGAAAATTCAAAATACAAGGGGTTAGCCTTGGATTTCTATCAAAAATGGGCAAAATATGGCTTTTTTTTTAAATCCAAAATGTAAGGGGTTAGCCTTGCATTTCTATGAAAAATGGGCAAAACTTGACGTTCCTACAAATTTCAAAATGTAAGGGGTTAGCCTTGCATTTTTTTCAAAATTGGACAAAGTTTGACTTTTTTTTGAAATTCCAAAATGTAATGGCTTAGCCTTGCATTTCTATCAAAAATGGGCAAAATATGATTTTTTTGAAAATCCAAAATGTAAGTGGTTAGCCCTGTATTTCTATAAAAATCTGCAAAATTTTACTTTTTTGGGAAAATTCAAAATACAAAGGGTGAGCCTTGCATTTCCATCAAAAATGGGCAAAATATGACTTTTTTTGGAAATTCCAAAATGTTAGGGGTAAGCCTTGCATTTTTATTAAAATTTGGCAAAATTTACCTTTTTTGGGAGAATCCAAATTATAAGGGGTTAGCCTTGCATTTCCATCAAAAACGGGCAAAATATGACTTTTTCGAGAAATTCCAAAATATAAAGGGGTTAGCCTTGCATTTTTATCAAAATTGGGCAAAATATGACTTTTTTTTGACATTCCAAAATGAAAGGGGTTAGCCTTGTATTTCTATCAAAAAAGGGCAACATTTTACTTTTTTTGGAAATTCCAAAATGTAAGGGGTTAGCCTTACATTTCTATCAAAAAAGGGCAAAATATTCCTTTTTTGGGAAAATCCAAAATGTAAGGGGTTTGCCTTGCATAAGTGGGCAATATATGAATTTGGGGGGAAATTCCAAAATGTACGTACGTCAGACGTCTTACCACTCGATCACCGAGCTTGCAGGATCGGTTGGCTGGTTCGAATCTTATGCCGCACATTTTACATGCGAAAGACCGTGATCATGTTATTAGAAACCACTGGGTAATATTTAGGTTGTTTGACATATCTACATAAAATGCTTGTATTGTTGTCAATCCTTATTATTCCAATTAAATGTTGGAACTAAAAGGCAACTTAAGAATAATACATGCCTTTATGTGTATAATAGAAAGATTTTCTGCAGTAATATATCTTTTTAATGAAGCTGAAATAAAATTCTCGTTTACAGAAAATGATTCTGGAATAAACTAGCATTCTAATTATCCCATGCGTGGATTTTGCATGCATACATAGAGGGTGACCCTCAAAAAGTGGTTTACGCGGATAATTCCCAAAAAGTATCTAACATAAGTTTTTCATTTTGATGGATCACATTTATTATAGGCCTCTTGTGAATATGAGAAAATCTGTGAAAATGTCACGGACACCAATTCCTGCAAACCAGAGCTGTAACCGGTTATAAAAGTGCGTGTTTTTCAACCAATTTTTCAATACAATTGGCAATCGCTCAACCGGCACTCTGCAATGGGTCTTTTCATTAGCTATGTAAATCACATTGGAACGGGTGAAAAAAACACATTGCCGATTATAATCTGTAGTAACCTCTGGTTTGCATGAATGGATTTTCATCAAATGTTCACTGTGATTATACAGAAGAATACAAACAATCTGCCGAAATGTTGATGTTGGATATTTTTTTTTGGAGAAATTTAAAGATGTCTGCTTGCAATTTTTTTTAGGGTCACCCTGTAGAATATACCAATCTAGAAGATATAAATCGCGGGCGATCATTTGCACTCAAAGGCACCCTTGGTATATAATAAACGTATATCTGTGTAATAGTAGAATAATTATCGGTAGTAAAAACAAAACAAAAGTTTAAAAAATATTTACAATTCTCGATTACAAAACTTTGAAATACAAAATAGGGAACTACGGTATTACAAACGTATTGCTATGTAGGCTATAATAGAAACATTTTCTGCAGTAAAACAAAAGATTTAAAAATATTAAAATGTCTCGATTACCAAAACTTCACAATTCTAAACTGCCTTCTGGTTGTCCTATATATGGATTGAATACATACACAGAATATTCCTGTTAAGTGTAAGCAGATTGAGGGCAACGTTTTGCCATTAAAAGAGAACCATGATATATAAACGTTTCTCTGTTTAAATAATGAAAGGTTTGCGGAAACACCATGAGTGAATAATTTCTCAACTAAGAGAATATATAAGAGGTATAGAACCAGAGTTTATACCTCTGGTTCTTTTCAGAACCATTCTCTTAATTAAGAAATTATTCGCACATGGTGTTTCCGCATACCTTTCATTATTTAGTATCTCCACCATGCAAAGCCTCAAATCTTACGTTTCTCTGTTTACTCGCGATTAAATACAAGTGTAACTTAAAAAAAACCCAAAAATACACAATTCTTAAAAACATTCCGATCATCCCAAATCTAGTTCTAATAAGGGGAAGTAGTGTTTAATAAACGTATCTCTGGGTAAATCATGATCTTCTGCGGTAAATTGAAACACAAATTAAATGAATAAAAATAATAAAATTCTTGATTACAAACTAACCTTTCTGATTTTGCTATATGTGGATTGTACAATTTTGAAGGCCAATCCAATGTCATAATACATAATTATATAATCCAATACATAATCATATGTAAACCGCGGGGCGATTGTTCTCACTAAAAGTACAGTATAACGATCGTATTCCTGTGTATAATAAAACAATTTTCTGCAGTACAACAGCAAGCAAGTGAATTAAAATCATTTAAACATTCTTGATGACAAGAACTCTGGAATACATAATTTGAGTAAGACTAAATGATATGCGGTCCGTCAGAATCTCCGTACTGCTTCCAAAGTTTCAAATTTTTCCGAATTTCCCAAATGAAGATAATGCAGATTTACTCTAAGCCAAACGATAACTAAGACTCAAAAAGACCTGTCTAAAATATTTTCAAAAATATACATAAACGTGCACAAAATAGGTATTTTTCAATTTTCAATTACTAAAAGGATACATCCCAAAGACTAACCAAATTTTAATTCGGAATTGACCAAATTGGAATCCGGTCAATTCATCTTGAAATACCCTTACTGTAACATCGGAGGACCATCATATGAACGTGTCCGCGAATCTTGTGAATTTAAAGCTGAGATTTAAGATGAGAAATTCTACACAAACTATACGTTGTTCGATAGCTTATGAGTAGGCTAACACGCTGGCAAACAGGCAAGCCATAGCCCTAACAGTCCTAAATCCTCCAATTTCAATATGATTTTGCACATCCCTTAGGGAGTTAGGGTTAATACCGAAGACTTTTGAAGCAGTGCAAGATATCAAACATGATGCCACTATATAGTTACCTCTTCGTGTAGCAAATCTATAATAGTAATGCCTGTCATCGCCAGCGATACTTGCTCTCTATTTCGCAGTCAAAAGGTACCTTAACATGAGTATTGGTAAAGTTTTTTAAAAGAATAATCATGAAGCTGGCATTATAATTACAATAATCTGACTTTATTCTTTACCTTACTTTATCTTACCTTATATTAACTGAGCTAATATAAGGCTCATATTTCGTTGGAAGATGATGACACACTTCAGGGAAGCAGACTTGATGAGCTCACTTAGAAAAACCTGACAGTAGAATAGAAAAATGACAGAAGAAATTGTGGTTCAGTAGATGCAGTAAATGGTACAACTTCAGTAAATGCAGTATTAAAATATCTATAAAGAAGAGTTTTTATTCTAACATGCTCTTACCAGTTGGTTGAACGCTTTGAGCTGATAGAGAAAAACCACTTTTAGTGACACTACCATTAGATGTGAACCTCAGCCACATGGCATTGCCGGTTGAGAGCGTAGGAGGCGGGGGACTACTCCCACTCCGACGGAAGACCCTTGTGGAGGAGTCAGTAGAGTCGCGGCCATTTCCAACCTCCAAATAATCAAAGTCACTCTCCGTGTTGAAAAGGTGGAAACTGAGGCGGATTCTCAGGTCTTGTGCTGTTTGGATGATCCATCGGATGTCCAGATTGTCCTGGTAGTGGCTTGGATAAGATGGTGAAGTAATTTCGACTGACTCGTTCGCCAAAAGATTGATGATATTTGGCACTGTGTTAGAACCAACAAAACGCGAATTTAAAAATATTGCTTTTGTTCTTGTATTCAATTTCTTCAAAGTTGCATTTGAAATTGTACATTTGAATACAGTGAATGATAGCTCTTACCTATTTCACATCTCGTGCCAACAATCCCAGCAGGACATTCACAGTTGAAGCCATACCTTCCAATCGGTTGACACGTCCCGTTGTTCAGACAAGAGTTAGATACACAGCCTATAATAAGCACACAAAAAACTCAAATCTTTGAAATTCACGTTAATATCAACGTGCTTATACGACTTGTTACATTAGATAACAGCAAAGTAGCAATTTCCCCAATCAAACGCGTGGATATAAAATAATTCAATAAGTCATGTAAGATTAATCTGCTGTTTAAAAAGATTTTACCCTGGACACTGATAAGGTGTCTTAATTTGCCAAAGAGAATTTCTGATGGAGTCCAAACGTGCAAACACATTGTGAAAGTTTGGAAGATCTTAAGTACATGTATTATCTTCGTTCATTGTTATAACCCATCAGGCCTACAGTAATTCAAGCATAATAGTTACCACACTCTTCGTCACTACCATCGTGGCAGTCGTCATAATAGTCACACCGCCAGACACTGTTGATGCAGACAGAATGCCCACAGTCAAATTCAGCAGCAGAACATGTCAGAGTTTCTAAAAAATAGAAAAGAGATACAAGAAGACAAAAGCCAAAAGTAATGCTTTCGTTCATCATACCAATTACATTCAAGGTCATTCAAGTCATCAAGTCATCGTAAGAAGCATTTTCTGAGTGCAAAAAAAATATTGGAAAAGAAAAATGCTCAGCCTCGCATACGTGTGGATTGAACGCTAGCTACATCAAAGGACAATGCTCCTCTCGTCCCGTAGGGAGAAGAAAATGACAACGAAATCCAGATGGCGCTTCCATTCGAAAGTAGATTCGGAAGTTGACGATATCGCCCTCTCCATGACAGAAAAGTAGACACATCGATAGAGACTCCGTCTCCAACTTTCCAATCGTCGTAGTACTCAGTGGTTAGATCATTGAAATCAACGAGGATCTTCCTGTCTTGGTCTGTCTGGATGATCCAAATGGCTGCATCTTCTCTTGGCAACCTGTCTGGATAACCTGGCGAAGTGACTGCAACTGTCTCGTTTGCCCCGACGAAGATGCTCACTGTTCCGGAAGAAAATGACCATTGTTAGAAAAAACAATTAAAAGTTATGTCAAGCAGGTGTCATTTGATGAGGCAATCAAGACTCTGAGCTGAAGTTGATACGATTATCCTTACCTGATTCACACCTCGTGCCTCCAAACCCAGCAGGACATTCACAATTGAAGCCAGACCTCCCTACTGGTTGACACGTCCCGTTGTTCAGACATGAGTTCAATATACAGCCTAGTTTTAACGACAGAAAAAAAGGTTTTATTCTAGGGACACCAAAAACAGCAATAATAGTACAATGATCATTTGGGACACACAAACGATGATTCTAAATATCCAAAACATTCTCCATTAAATGCCGTCTTAAGGCTGGTTCATATCAATATTCACGCAAAAGCGAAAACGAACGCGATGTTGTGACGTCATGAGGGGAATTCGCGCTGAGAATTCGTAAAAGTTGAACTTATTTCAACTCCGACGAATTTCGCAGCGAATATGTTTCATGATGTCAAATTCGTTTCGCATTCGCATGAAGTATGAACCGGGGTTTAATCTCTAAATTAAGAATGTTATGTTTTTAATACTGATGTGGATTAGCCTACAAATCACTCAATTCCCTTCACTCTGTTCTTACCAGCTGATCCAATGCTTTGAGCTGATAGAGAAAAACCACTTTCGGTAGAATAACCATTAGATGTGAACCTCAGCCACATGGCATTGCCGGTTGAGAGCGTATCAGGCGGGGGACTGCTCCCACTCAGACGGAAGACCCTTGTGAAGTAGTCAGTAGAGTCGCGGCCATTTCCAACCTCCAGATAATCATTGTAACTCTGCGTGTTGAAAGCGTGGAAACTGAGGAGGATTCCCAGGTCCTCCGCTGTTTGGATGATCCATTGGATGTTCAGATTGTTCTGGTAGTTGCTTGGATAGGATGGTGAAGTAATTTCGACTTCCTCGTTCTCCAAAAGATTGATGAGATTTTGCTCTGTGTTAGAACCCCCCGAGAAAATGAAATTTAGAAATAATGGTTTTATACTGTTTAAAACTATTAAATTGTACATTTGAATACAGTGAATGATAGCTCTTACCTGATTCACACCTCGTGCCTCCAAACCCAACAGGACATTCGCAGTAGAAGCCAGACCTCCCTACTGGTTGACACGTACCGTTGTTCAGACATGAGTTCAATATACAGCCTAGTTTTAACGACAGAAAAAGGGGTTTATTATCTAGGGACACCAAAAACAGCAATAATATTACAATGGTTTATATGATCATTTGGGATACAAAAACGATGATTCTAAATATCAAAAACATTCTCCATTAAATGCCGTCTTAAGGCTGGTTCATATCAATATTCGCGCGAAAGCGAAAACGAACGCGATGTTGTGACGTCATGAGGGGAATTCGCGCTGCGAATTCGTAAAAGTTGAACTTATTTCAACTCCGACGAATTTCGCAGCGAATATGTTTCATGACGACAAATTCGTTTCGCATTCGCATGAAGTATGAACCGGGGTTTAATCTCTAAATTAAGAATGTTATGTTTTTAATACTGATGTGGATTAGCATATAAATCACTCAATTCCCTTCACTCTGTTCTTACCAGCTGATCCAATGCTTTGAGCTGATAGAGAAAAACCACTTCTGGTGGAATAACCATTAGATGTGAACCTCAGCCACATAGCATTGCCAGTTGAGAACGTATCAGGCGGGGGACTGCTCCCACTCCGACGGATGACCCTTGTGGAGGAGTCAGTAGAGTCGCGGCCATTTCCAACCTCCAGATAATCATAGTAACTCTGCGTGTTGAAAGCGTGGAAACTGAGGAGGATTCCCAGGTCCTCCGCTGTTTGGATGATCCATTGGATGTTCAGATTGTTTTGGTAGTTGCTTGGATAGGATGGTGAAGTAATTTCGACTGACTCGTTCTCCAAAAGATTGATGAGATTTTGCTCTGTGTTAGATAGAACCCCCCCCGAGAAAATGAAATTGAGAAATAATGGTTTTATACTGTTTAAAACTATTAAATTGTACATTTGAATACAGTGAATGATAGCTCTTACCTATTTCACACCTCGTGCCTCCAAACCCAGCAGGACATTCACAGTTGAAGCCATACCTTCCAATTGGTTGACACGTCCCGTTGTTCAGGCAAGAGTTTAACACACAGCCTGTAATCACAACAAAAAATACTCATGATGTTAATGCCAACGTGTACAGCAATTTCTGCAAGCCTGGTTTGCATTAAATAAAAGAATATCAACATTTTGTTACGTTTAATCAACTTGTCACGGTTCTTTTTAAACTGACTGTCGTTTTTCGCATCACAAATTTAGGCCAAAGTTCTACAACACTTTGAAAAGAAGCAATTTTTAGGTTTGTTTACATTTTCTGGCAGTATTTATATGCATTGCGACAATTTGTCCAACCGTGGTATGGAAAAGTTGTTTCTGAACCGCAGCTCTTAGCTGAATCGTTTCAAAACTTACCACACAGTTCCTCGTCGATTGCATCGATACAATCGTCTTGGTGATCACATCGCGAATGACCGTCGATACAAACGTAATCCCCACAGTCAAACTCATCGGCGGTACACGGCTGAAATGCTGAATATTAAGAAACAAAAATACCCCAAAAGTGCATTACTTAATTGCAGCCACCTCTCCTAATTGACTATGGTCCGATATCAATTAAAGTTGAATTTTAGTGACACACAGACATCAGACAGACAGAGAGACACCATTACTGACACCCAGACAGACAGACAGACAGACAGACAGACATCAGACAGCGTAGGATCCATTAATATATTTCAGAGAGATATACTTGCAACGTAACATCATTTCTTTTAAAACGTATTAAGCGTCTCCAATCGGTAAGCACTTTGTTACAGCGACAAATGCAGTACGAGTGCGTATGTATCAATTATGATCACCCAGTTTGATTTATCTACGGAAAAATGTAAAGTTTTGGATGTGAGCTAAAAAGGTCGCATGCGTTTCTCAGGTAATAAAAATATCAAAAGCCGCATTTGTGGCCCCACCCAGGAAATGCTCGTACAAGAAATGATGTTATGTTAGATGTATCTCTCTGAAATATTGTTTAAGATAATAATCTGTTGCCCATGTGAAGCCCAGTAATGGTTACCTATACCAGTACTGTTCCCTATTTTAAGCCTAAAATGCTAGCATGTACCTGTAGCGATTGTGTGTCTGATGAAATCAATGTATTTGGAGACTCTCGTGAAAACGCCCGGAGTGGTTGCACCGCACTCTAAACCCGTACTTGTAATACCAACCAACTTCCAACGTCCATTTGTCCCACGACAGATCAAAGGACCTCCACTGTCGCCCTAGAGCAGACAAAATAATAAGCAGTAGAACAAACTTTGGACTAGATCTTTTAGAATGACTCCTGTTTGATTTTTCCAAACGTCGACGCTTTTGTTTTTACCCAATGATATGCCAGTGGCCTGGAATGTACCAATGTAAGGCCATTGGAATTGACCAAAAAGGAGTTGTCTTATATTATTGGCATTTTCTCAGCAACCAAATGTGCTGTTTTATGATTTTTTTGAAAGAAAAAACTCCCAGCTGTAATTTGCGATCCAACACATAAAAATTCACTAATCACGTTTTTGAAGAAAAAAAAAAGGGCAAATGTTTCAGGGTAACATTTTATGGGGTCACAAGTATATTGAGCTTCTGCACGTTATTTCCAGTACTAGGTACCAATGCAAGGCTATTACTTACGCGACATGTTTCATTCGTTGAATCTGCATCTCCAGCGCAAATTTGATCGGATGTGAGGGAGGCCCCTGAACTGGCGAGATGGCTGTACATACTTTTGCACTGCTCCCAGGATACCAGCGGCACCCGTGCCTCTTTTAACACTGGAGAAACACTGTCTATTAAACCGACAAAAATGGATCAAGTACTTTGGTAATTTGGTTTATCGAATAGGGAATTTGGCCAGCCGAGAGTCATAGCTGGACTTTCACTGAAACAGACTTCCGGTACCACTGAACTTTTCATAGAAGGTTTCTTTTGGAACTGAAGTAGAATGCCATGTATTAATAGAAAGTTGATAAACAGGTGTTAATAATGCAACTAAAGTGTATGACAGTAATCAAGTTAAACATTTCGTTGTACTATCACATTTTATGGGAGACGTGTTTACACATCCTTTAATTAGATATTCTGTTGGATTTCATGTCTTCCATACCGAAAACCGAAGTCCGTCCCCATCCCACTGCATGGCATGTGTCGTAGATGTCAGCTTCGTCGTCCCCAGTTTCCAAGCAAGCTGGTTGGATGGTGTCAGTGTATCTGACAGGTGTGGCCAGCTTCACAAGTGCAATATCGTTGTGGAACCTCAGGTTATTGTATCCAGGATGAATGAAAAACTGTGCAATGCGATAGGCGTGCGGGTAATCGGACGGAGTATCCAACAGTGAACTGCCAAACACTAACTGATGGTTTTGGCTGCGAAAAGAACATTTCAAAAACAGCAAACTTCCCAGTGGACATCTCATTATTGCTTAACCTTTATTGCTCGCTTAAAACAAGACATAAAGCATCTGTATTGGACCCAAAATAAGCTTGCTTCAACATGAATTTTTCTGACATCTTTTGCATATGACAACACGTAACCATTTTATTGTTGAATACTCATAGCCAGTGGTGTATGGGGGGGGGGGCACGATGTACTTACAAGAGCTTAACATACGTGTTTATATTAAGAAATTAAGAATTAAGAAAGGTTTGCGGAAACACCATGTGCGAATAATTTCTCAACTAAGAGAATGGTTCTGAAAAGAACCAGAGGTATAAACTCGACTGCTGGGGTCCCCGTTAGCAACAATTAGCACTTGCATAACAAGGAAACTTGTCAGAATCATTGACATAATCTACATGTCGGCATGAATTTGGTGCATTCTTTACTCACCCACAGTGCGCCGCAGTGACTGCCCAACGAGGGCTAATTAACGTGGCAGCACACACGTGACGTCCGTCTGAAAGTCGATATGAACCAATCCAGGGCCAGTTGGCGATGTGTGACGGGGCGCCACCGATGATACGACTGAAAGGATTGCGAGAAGGCGAGGCAGCTGGACGACGTCCACAGTCTCCTGTCTGCACAATATCTGCATACGATGAATATTCAGTATATATATTTGGCAATCACCATTCCCCCCCCCCACGAAAAAACCGGGCCTATACCTTGAAAAAGAAGATGTCTTTGCGTCAAAATGTGAATAGAAGTTTTGGCTTTCTAGTTTCGATTTTGGTAGACATGCCCGAGTTACATCGCAATGAACAAAATGGAGGAAAGAAAAGTGCTCAGTGCCGATGTTTTGACTATGACGCCATTTTAAGACACACTTTTCCAGGCAATGGTCTATGTATGTGTGGAGATTGATGTCAACATTCTTTGAATTAAGATGTGTCATGTTGTACATCAAAAGTAAAAGAGAAAGGCTCAAAATTAGGTTACTTCTCTGTTTGTATACAAGCAACATTATCCACAAAGTATCAGGGATGATCGGACCATTATCTATATGCATCTTGATGACGTCATCATGACGTCATTTGAGCTTACCTTCTTCGTCATAGAGACAACCATCTGAGGTGGACAACACACCCTGGTCAGGATACACATCGCAGTGTAAAGGAGTGGAGTCGGTGTCCAGACCGACACATTCTAACGCCCTGGAACACAGTGATGCGCAGACTCTACGTTGAGAACCAAACCGAGGACACTCCGGGAAGAACGCCATACACAGAGCAAGTCTCTCACTATCGGTGCAGTTGGTCGTGAGTTGAGGCAGATATTCGTTGATTGAGTTGTTGGCCGCGAAGTCATTCGGGAAGTAGGTTGTATTATAAGGCAGGATGGCAAGGCATTCATCACTGTCGATTTCTACGCAGTAAGCTAAGTGGAAAATAAACAAAAATATTGAAGGGCTTCAGGTCACGTTATTGATCTAAAGGATTACAAAACTTTTCACGGTCTTCATGCTAAATAAATTTTTATTCTTAAGAGTCGTATGATTACTTTTGACTTCATGCAGCAAAAGGCGTTCCTCTTTTGTCCTGTATTACTATTTCACCGTAACTCAGTAGAGTCTAAACATATAAAATGTGAGACGTAAGGCATTCGACAGTCTTTTCTTACCCTCATTACAGTTAACTCCTTCATCAGAATAATCCAGACACTCAGCGGTTCCATTGCACTCTACATCGGCTGAACTCACGCAGATAGTATTACGGCACTGGTACTCATATACACCACACTCTATGAAATGACAAACTTGGATTTAGCAACTAGATGTGGCCCAGTGTCAGCTGTGAAAACGTGGCACAGTTTTATTTTTCAACAGTTTGAGACTTAATCTAACCAAACATCGATGAATATAAAGGCAGTGAGATATTCGAATTCTCTGGGAACAAAAAAAAATACTTAATTGACACTGTTGGGAACGTAAATACGCTTTCTAATTACGATAATAGAATAGTGCACAAAAATCTCACCACATCCCCTTTCATCATCGCCATTTGGACACTTAAGGACGCCATCGCATGTCTCAGATTCATCAAAGTCGTAACCGAACGCCTCACACTCAAAGACAGCTGGATGTTGTCATAGACAGGAGATCAAGCAAATTGTATAAACCACCTCAGTCGCGGATCAAGATTTTTTGAAGAAGGGTGGCTGCATGTGCTGCAGTCTAAGTTTTGTTTAAATTGCGGTCGGGGTGGACGAAATAATGCAGTTTTTCCAGAAAAAAACTAAAAGGCTTTTAGCAATGAATCATGAGTAGGAATATTTAGTGATTATGTCATTCAGGAAACTTGGGATTTTGTCAATCATGTAAACTTGCACTGGTCAGTTGATAAAGGGCTGATTAGTAAACCCAAACCACATACAATGATCCGACCTTCGACTACATTTATCATCATCATTTACAACCTCCAGAAATGGCTATTGACTTAGAATACAAAATTAAGCTGTGCAAAGTTCATCTCACTGTGTGAATTCAAAACTCGCAGACAAGCATTTGAAGGATGATGATACATGATGAATTTTACTTACATTAGGTACGAAAAAGTACAAGCTTAGCGGTAGGCCTCTACCTATGTAGTATTTACGATAACCAAATTATAGTGCTTTAAACTGACTGGTAGGCCTTCCTAAAGTACCAAACCGGATACCATCTGATGGCTGCAAACCAGGTACAATGACAAACCTCCTTCTGATGTATGTTTAAGAATATTTCCTTTTATTAATGATTCCAATAATTTACCTCTCTCGCAGAATCTTCCTTCGAAGCCTGGCGAACATCGGCAATTAAAGTAGTCGTAATAGCTTGGCACACACGTCCCATTGTGTTGGCAGGAGATGAAATCGCAACCTACGACAAATTAAGAAAACAATTACAAGACAAGGCAAGGGCACCTCATTCTAGAGCGCACATTTGTGATTTCAAATGGATATAAATTTCGTAGAATAAACTGAAGTGGTACTACCTGAAATGAAAAATCGACTTTTGCCGTTCGAATGGAGCCGTGACTTATTGCCTACACATGTATGCTGGAAGTACTTGAAACAAGCGGCGCCTGACTTATAAACATGTGGTACGGAAACTTCATCACATACACCTATGGTACCAGGTGCTCTCAGTGTGCGTCACACGTGACAGCTAGTGAAATAGGTAACCAGTCTAATTCGTCAGTGAATATCAATCAGTGAGATAGATAGCTTAACCAGCTTTATTTACAAGTGCGTGACAGCTAGTGAAATAGGTAACCAGTCTAATTCGTCAGTGAATATCAATCAGTGAGATAGATAGCTTAACCAGCTTTATTTACAAGTGAAGATAAAATAGTGAGATGCACCTGAACTAGATTACTCACAGTGAGAGATTAAAACATGTTCATTAAATGACAGCAAGTGATTGAGTGAGTTAGTCAATCAGTGAGCCAGTCAGGTGCAATGAAGACTATAGGCTGGCCCGCCCTGTGGGAGTAGTAGAACAAGATTCTTAATGCGAACTTAATGTTCCAGAGAATGTGCTTCGAACTGTCAGTACAATGAATCGGTTCGTTACTCGAGTACTTATAACTACATGCATTCCAAGATTTTTAATAAATTCAAATACAAGGTTCGAGACTCGAGAATCAGGACTCGAGTAAGCGCTGCACTGATTGAATACTTACCACAGGTCTCCTCGTCACGACCATCGATGCAGTCTGCTTGACGATCACAAAGCAGATCAGAGCTGAGACACACTGAATGCCCACAGTCAAACTCAGCAGCAGAGCAAGTCAGACTTTCTGTAAAGAGCCATGAATATTTAAACATGTGTTAGTTGACTGTTAAGCTTGTTGCAGAATAGTGATGTACACAACGTATATGGAGAAACTCTAGAGCATTGTGCGGTCTCTGGTTTCAAGGCCTCTTTTTGCTTCATGCGGACAATTTCACGATGAAAGTTTGTTTGATTAGGCCTACATCAGTTTTTACACAAGTAAAGACTTCCAATTTGGTTTACCTGTTGGTGGAACACTGGATACAAGAAAGGAAAACCCTTCTCTTGTTTGATAAGAAGAAGACGAAAATGAAATCCAGATGGCGCTTCCATTTGAAAGTAGATTCGGTAGTTGACGATATAGATATATCCTTCCCCATAACAGAAAAGTAAACTCATCGATAACGACTCCATCTCCAACTTTCCAGTAGTCGGGGTGTTCAGTGGTTAGATCATTGAAATCAACAAGGATCTTCCTGTCTTGGTCTGTCTGGATGATCCAAATGGCTGCATCTAATTCTCTTGGAAACCTGTCTGGATAACCTGGTGAAATGACTTCAACTGTCTCGTTTGCCCCGACGAAGATACTCACTGTTCCGGAAGAAAATGACCATTGTTAGAAAAAATCAAATAAAAGTTATGTCTAGCAGGTGTCATTTGATGAGGCAATTAAGACTCTGAGCTGAAGTTGATACGATTATCCTTACCTGATTCACACCTCGTGCCTCCAAACCCAGCAGGACATTCGCAGTAGAAGTCAGACCTCCCTACTGGTTGACACGTCCCGTTGTTCAGACATGAGTTCAATATACAGCCTAGTTTTAACGACAGGAAAAAGGGGTTTATTCTAGGGACACCAAAAACAGTAATAATATTGCAATGGTTTATATGATCATTTGGGATACAAAAACGATGATTCTAAATATCCAAAACATTCCCCATTAAATGCCGTCTTAAGGTTGGCCGGTTCATATTCGCGCGAAAGCGATAACGAACGCGATGTTGTGACGTCATGAGGGGAATTCGCGCTGCGAATTCGTAAAAGTTGAACTAATTTCAACTCCGACGAATTTCGCAGCGAATATGTTTCATGAAGTCAAATTCGTTTCGCATTCGCATGAAGTATGAACCGGGGTTTAATCTCTAAATTAAGAATGTTATGTTTTACTGGTGTGGATTAGCCTATAAATCACTCAATTCCCTTCACTCTGTTCTTACCAGCTGATCCAATGCTTCGAGCTGATAGAGAAAAACCTCTTCTGGTGAAATAACCATCAGATGTGAACCTCAGCCACATGGCATTGCCGGTTGAGAGCGTATCAGGCGGGGGACTGCTCCCACTCCGACGGAAGACCCTTGTGGAGGAGTCAGTAGAGTCGCGGCCATTTCCAACCTCCAGATAATCATTGTAACTCTGCGTGTTGAAATCGTGGAAACTGAGGAAGATTCCCAGGTCCTCCGCTGTTTGGATGATCCATTGGACGTCCAGATTGTTCTGGTAGTTGCTTGGATAGGATGGTGAAGTAATTTCGACTTCCTCGTTCTCCAAAAGATTGATAAGATCTGCCTCTGTGTTAGAACCCCCAAGAAAATGAAATTTAGAAATAACTTTTTCTAAATACTGTTTAAAACTATTAAATTATATATTTGAATACAGTGAATGATAGCTCTTACCTATTTCACACCTCGTGCCAACAAACCCATCAGGACATTCACAGTTGAAACCATACCTTCCAATCGGTTGACACGTCCCGTTGTTCAGACAAGAGTTTAACACACAGCCTGTAATCACAACAAAAATACTCATGATGTTAATGCCAACGTGTACAGCAATTTCTGCAAGTCTGGTTTGCATTAAATAAAAGAATATCAACATTTTGTTACGTTTAATCAACTTGTCACGGTTCTTTTTAAACTGACTGTCGTTATTCGCATCTAAAAGTTAGGCCAAGTTTCCACAATAATTTGAAAAGAAGCAGTTTTTAGGTCTGTAATTTACCTTTTTTTGCAGCATTATATTTATATTCATGGCGACAATTCGTCCAACCAGTGGTATGGAAAAGTTGTTTCTGAACCGCAGCTCTTAGCTGAATCGTTTCAAAACTTACCACACAGTTCCTCGTCGATTGCATTGATACAATCGTCTTGGTGATCACATCGCGAATGACCGTCGATACAAACGTCATCCCCACAGTCACCTAACTGAGTGAAACGTATTCCTTTTCTGATTGAGTTTAGCTCTGTATCCAGAAAAGACTGTGAAAACTCTTTTCCCCACTTATTCTAGGATTTTGAAAAGTATTAGTGGGAAGTAAGTTGGTAAAATACAGTTTAGCATTCAGGTGCTGCGGACATGCACAATTACCTGAAGTTGGTGGATCAAAGGGTGAATATGTTGGTATAGCAGTTGGAGGCAAATTTGTTGGAGAAGTTGGTGAGCAGGCATTTGGTGGATCGGTTGATGCAGCAGTGGATGGACCACTTGATGCTGCAGTCGGTCGTTGAGTTGCTGCTGCAGTTGGTGGTTGAGTTGCTGCAGCAGCTGGTGGACCGGTTGATGCTGCATTTGGTGAATGTACAGTTGATGCTTCAGTTGGTGGATGAGTTGCTGCTGCAGTTGGTGGTTGAGTTGCTGCTGCAGTTGGTGGTTGAGTTGCTGTAGCAGCTGGTGGACCGTTTGATGCTGCAGTAGGTGGATTAGTTGCCGGGTCTGCTGGTTGAGGTGGTGATGGCGGTTCGATGTTTGCTTTAAAGAAAAAGTGTTGATATGTGATATTAATCTTCACAATACCTTTGGTTTTCGGATTTAAAGCCGATGCCAGGCTTTATGCGAGGTCCGACCTCGCTGGACTAGTGCTTGTGATTGACAGCACACGTAATACTGGATAGCTCAGGCACTTACATCCTATGTCTGGTATGGGGAAGGAACATTCAAAATTCTCACCTCCATTGATGATGACAGTGACGAATTTGAGGCCATTGCAGCAGCCTGGTTGACTGGTAAACTCTTCGATCAGGTTCTTGACCTCATCCACAAACACGTCCAGGACCTTGTTCAAGTCTGAGGGTTTCTCAGTGGAGTGGATGAGTGCTCGTTTAAAGCGACTGAACACCTTGGCGACGACACTTCCATTACTGCATCGAAAATGGAAAATGTGTAGAAAGTGTTGAACTTTAAAACGTAGAGATTTGATCACTTCAACGTAAGTGGAGGGTCGGCATACCTTTTGAACATATTTCATGCTAGTACAGTAGATGAAAAACATCATAATAACGTACGTATTACTATGTATCATTATTTTATGAAAATAATATGCACAATCATTCGTTCCTTGTGGGGGAGACCTACAATTATGGGTCTATAATTTTAGTTCTTTTAACGAGCTTAGGGTAACAAAATATGGAAAACTATTATGAAGTTTCTTTTTTGGGAAAAGCCGGTTCTTAAAAGAATATAATATATATAATCGACGTTACGGTCGGTATGCTTTGATAAAGCTATCTTATTTGAATTCATTGCTAACAATACCACTTTGGGAAACGCTTATATTTGAGAAAAAAAAAAGAACTGGGAAAATATTCAGCTGGCAAATGAAAGTTTAATGATATTATTTCTTGAATATATCACCAATTTCAATGAACAGCGCCCTCAAGCACTTGGGAAAGTTTTCACTCAACTCACCTGAAGCCGCGAACTTCCGACCCATCATACACGCTGCTCATATCGCTGTTCATGAACATGTTGTCAATCTGTAAATCAATTTTTTGTTCAGCAAACAAAAGGCTAAGAGAACTTTGATTGTTATACCACTGTCTTGAATACTGTATTTTCATTGGCCTAGAACGATCACCTGTTAAGTTTATAAAAAGTCATGGCACACTCCCTGTGGGATATCACATACGTGATATCCATTGATCTCCATTAGTAAGACTTACAAATTGAGATCAATGGTGATATCCCAGTGTGCTATGACTTTGTACGTACGGTACCATCGGTGTGAAACGCTTGTATCGTTGGTACCCACGCAATTTTCACCATGCATGTTTTCACGCATGCGTGGGAGCAGCGAACTAGCAGACGATCAGCTGTTTCGAGCACGCGACATGCATGTGAGTTGACGTTCGATTGTCATGATTTTTGTGTTTACTGCTGTTTGTTTCGTGATTTTTACATCAAAAGCCAAAGAATCCACGCCTAGGGTGCTTTGCACCCTGGGGTATTCAAAACGTCATATCCCACATCACAGCAGTCAACAATTATTAACTGATGTAAGTATGGGCGTCGCCAGGATTTTTTCTAGAGGGGGGCAAAACATATTTTTCCCAAAGAAATTCTTGTATTTTTGAACAAATTCTCGATTTCTCAGTTTTAGACGGGGGAAGGGACATTTATGCCCCCCCCCCACTCATTAAATTTACACCACTATGACTTCGCGCCTCTTTTTCTGTTCTTTTTTTCTCTTTTTGTTCTTCCTTTTTTTCTTTTTTTTTCTTTTCCAGGGGGTGGGGGGCAAGCGCCCCCCCTTGCCCCCCCCCCCCTCGCGACGCCCATGGATGTGATACATTCAAGCCGCCATGCTTGATCCATTGACTATACGTCGGAAAACAAATGGCACATTATAATATAATTGAGAATTATTGCATGATAACTGCCATTAAACTACCACAGTCACCTTCAGGTTTGTTTCTATGTTGTTGGAAAAGTTTTGACCAGGCATACGGATCCTATGGGGTCTGACAGTTTTCCGGGTCAAAATGACATTCTCCGGGTCAAACGACACTTTTTCGGTACAAAAGGACACTTTTCGGGTGAAAATGACACATTTCCGGGTGAAAATGACACTTTTCCGGGTAAAAATTACACTTTTCCGGGTGAAAATGACACTTTTCCGGGTCAAAAGGACACTTTCCGGGTCAAAATTGTCCTTTTCCTGGTCAAAATGGCACTTTTCCAGTTCAAAATGACACTTCTATCTTGAGTATTTTTTTCGGATTATTTTAACCTGGAAATTGTCCTTCTGACCCGGTAACTGTTATTTCGACCTGGGAAAGTGACAGGCTCTATATAGGATCCAGATTTCGGGTCAAATTTGACCCGGGGCTTTTTAGATTGCTCTTACCGTACTCAAAACCATGTTTTCAAGTTCCTTATACTTGGTGGAATTTGGGTCGTTGTACTCGTCCTTAAATTTCTGTTGAATCGTCATTGAATAGTCCAGTTCAACTGGGCCTGTCCAAAAAGACAAGTAAGAAAAATGCAATTGGGTAATAAAAAAAGTCACTCTTCTTGATCTCTATTTTATTGTTAATTCCTGAAAGAGGACGGGGGCAGGTGAATAACATGCTCCGATTTAGTTTTAATTAGGGTTCCGATTGTCCACCTACTTATGCCATCTGCGTGTCCAGCAGTGAGCGAGCAACCATGGCAAGGATGTATTTAATTAATGAATAAAACATTGATGCACTATGAAGCAGGGTCCAACTCGAACTTTTCACAAGTCAGCCGGGCTACTGAAACTAGCCGGCAAGTTTGTTCTCTTATATAGTGTCTCATAAACAACAATGTGCATACATGTAAAACGTGTTTCATGAGGTAATCTTGGCAGTGTTTTTAATAAACAGATCTTATAATTTAACCCTAAACAGTTAATGAAATTAAACACAAATATTGATACAGGTTTGGTTGCTGAATTTAATGATTTATTTCTTCCTGTCCTTCATCTTTGCCGTAGCCCAATAATTGTTCACTCGCCAGCCGGGCTACTTAAGGAATGATAGTTTCACTAGCCCGCCGCTGTTTTGACTAGTATTTAGCCAGCGGGCTACCGCTTAAGTCGAACCCTGTTTCCACAATTGTTTTCACAATAGCAAATTAAGGGAAAACATTGAAATATTTTTTTCATTTTGTATCATTGTCATTATTTCGACAACTAAGGTTTTCATTAATGAAGTAATGGAAATTGAAGTGAAACTTACCAGACAAGGGTGTTTCCTGTGTCACACCATCAGAGACTGAAGTGTGTCCTGCTGTATTATATAAATTGAACGAATGATCGACTATTAGGTATGAAACTGGATATCTTTACATAGTAAAATTTATGTAAGCTTTATCGCTTGGTAAAGTTAAAGAATTCCGATCCTTTGCATGTTAACTTGAACTTGACGTGTGTTTTGAATATATTTCACACAACCAAAGTTTTAAAACCGTTAGAATCACGCTCCTTAGAAATTCGGCGTAAAAATAGTCATGCTTTCAGAAAAAGAAAATCACATCTCTATGCTCAAATAATGTACATTTCCGATACCTCAGGTTTATGTTTTTTTGGGCGATTCAGAATCCAGACAAGGATTTCGGATTGAACCTCCAAACAAATAACAAAATCCCCTGCCTGTGAAAGGGGCGGGGGGGGGGGGCTAGGCGAAGTTTCGTTTGGTTTGTCTAAAAAAGAGGAAATATAATTGGTTTAAAAACTCTTTCAGAATGTTTTTGAAAGACAAGTCTTTCTTGAAATAACGAACAATTTCCACATTTTTCCAGAAAACTGTGCTCAGATCACCCAAATTTGGCTATGATCAGGTGAGTCCAAGTTTATTGTTCTTGAGCAAAATGTGACCACGTTTCTTAAAGCTCAGCATCAGGTAAAGCCTTAAATTCAGATTAATCTTTACGCATTAATACCCATGGGCGTCGCCAGGATTTTTTTATCCGGGGGGGGGGGCAAAGCAAATTTTCCCCAAAATTCCTTAACTTTTGTCTTCAAATTCTCAATTTATCATTTTTGTAGTCAAATGTAGTCAAATTTACAGAAACCTAAAAATAAAAACCTAACACAAAGGTAACATTATCTACAACATGATCACAGAAAAAGAACAAACTGTTTTAAACATGGCACCAAATAGTTGTATGCATTAAATCGTCGTACCTGTGAAATAAAGGCCAAGAAAGATTCCCAGCCCAATAGCTAGCAGGATCAGGACAATGACGACATGCATGGACACCGTAGAACTCCTCTTTTTCTCTTCAAGCTCGGGTTTATCCTGATGAAGTCGTAACAATTTAGTACAAAAAGTGTAAATGTTTCTCTGTCCCACGTCTCCTTTTCCTCAACATATTAGCAATGACTGACTTTGGCTGAGGTTAAATATGGAGAAACAATTGAGTCAGGACACTTTGTTCTATCCCACTCCCGATAACAATGGATCGTTTCTTGTTTGTTCATAAGCCCCGCCCACATACGCACGCAGCACCTTCACATGTCAGTGCAAGTGTGTGGAATTTTGGATGCGCAGTCACGCGGCTGTGATTGGTCAAATACATTATGGAGGCGGGTCTGTTAAGGAGAATACACGAGAAAGTGTGGATTCGTAATTCGTAAATTAAGAATCCACACTTGCGAGTGTATTCTTCGACTTAAACCATTGTGTCAAAAACGTATTGTCATTAACAGTCCAGTGAGCGGAGATGAAAAGACTTGCATATCTCGTGTCGAGTCGTGGCCATTAGGGTAATTTACAAGGGAGTTTTCGAGGCTTTATACGTAATCGAGCATTGTGGCGTGTTGAGCATGTGCATCGCCAGTTTGCCAACCCCGTAGCATACAACCATATAGCAAGTCATTTTGTGTGTAGGTTCCTTACGTCAACATGGATAGTTCAGACAACGATTTCTTTCTGACTCAAAGTAGTTTTGATGCATTAGTTAAATTCGGAAGGAAGGTTTTCATGCAGCTTCCTATTAATGCTCATTATGGAGAACAATTGTCCGACATGTTCAAAGTGTGGATTCGTAATTCCGAATCCACACTTTACTAAAGATTCTTCGTTCCGAATCCACACTTTGCGACCAGCGTTCTGAAACGTACCTCCTGTCACTTTGAGAGTCAAATAGATATTCCTTGGCAAGTTTATTGTGGCGGAAAGTGAGTGTGAGCTTAGAGCCAGTCTATTTGTCACGTCATACGTGTGACCCTTGACAGAGCACCAACGTCGCCATTATTCCAACGCCTTATAGGTCCGACGCCTCATAAGTCCGAAATTTCGGACTTCCGGGGCGTCGGACTTATGAGGCATAAAATGTATTTATTCCGCCTTATAGGTCCGACGCCTCATAAGTCCGACGTTGGAAAAATGAGGCGTTTAATTTTGTCGGACCTATGATGCGTCGGACTTATGGGCCTTTATTTGGTTAGGGGATGCGATTTTGCCAGACTTATGAGGCGTCGGACCTATTATGAGGCGTTGGACTTATGAGCAGACCCCGAAATGAAAACACCCACGCGCCACGACCCAGATTCCGAAACTGGCGCCTGACGGTAAAGTTTATTTTGAAACACGTTTGCCTTCCGCCCCAACCCTAGTCCATTGTTACTTCCTCCTCCCCCGCATTTGTAAAGAAAGCGCAACGAGTGGTTTGCACGACTGCTTTTTCCGCCTCAAAAATACCTGCGGTACTTGATGAGTGCCCCAGGTGATTTTCTGATGGACTTAAATAGGTTAGGTCAACTGCCTTAATATTCATTCAAGCCGTGTCGGTGTTTTTTTTTTCAGTCAATCCAGATTTTTTTTTATTACAGGCGAGGGAATGAGACAATAGACACGTACTGCAGAACCCGCTGAAAAGCTCATTGTGTTCCCAGGTGCACCGGAATCTGTACTTTCGGTCCTATTGTCTACTTTGAACGCCTCATTCAAGGTCTGTAGACCACAGGAAGGAGCCTGCTGAAACTTGGCTTACAATAATATTCTTTTCAATCAGATCCACTGGCCTTATATGGCCATGTGCCCAGAACGTTCGGCCATCAATCAAAACGTAGGCAAAGCCCGTTCACCAATAAATATCTGACATGTTTCAACTTTGGTGCTTGCGCTGGGGAATGATGTATGAAATCAATAAAAACAAAAATTAAAACAAGTCGACGTCTGCAGAGATTAAATTTCTGCATGATATTACTCCCCATTAAAATGGTTATACGCTTCTTAAGGCCAAAAAAAAGTCTTCGGTTTCTGGTATGGAGCTTGCCCCAAAAATGGTGCAGCGACGCGGCTTTTTTTCTTACTTGTTTTTTTCTTCAAATGTCGGCTGACGACTGCAAATGGTGCCCGACTAAATTTAGTGCAAAATGTATGGGAATCCAGAGAGGCCACATAAAGCTTGTACTCGATCGTAAACCCATCTAAAAACATGTCAAAATTGTGCAGCAGCAGGATTCCAGTCAAACCAGTGAATTTGGCGGTTTTGAGACATCATCTATCTTACACTGAAAAAAAACTTATTTAATTTTGCCGACGCGCATGGCTAGGCGACGCGCGCACAGACCAGAAACCAGAGCCTTTTTTGTAAGCCTAATAATAATAATAAAAATAACTATAATAATAAATAAATCCATAAATAAATTGTCTGTGTGCTCTCTTTTAAAGATTTTGAGGAATCTCGTTGCTTAAAAAGGGGAAAATGCATAAAGAACAAAATCCTATAAATAGTGTTTGTTTTATCAGTTTTAATTATATACAGAATAAAATAGTGTGCGACCTTATACTATACTATCATTTTAACATCAGCCCATCATTTCTTTGTTTTTCTTTGTCCAAAGGTTCGATAGTCCGTAGGACTCATTAGTCCGAAAATAAAATAATGTTAAACTCTCTAGAGGTCAAGGCGTTTGTTGAATTACAAACGTAGAGTGATTGGGCCGACAACTATTTCATTAGGCACCACCCAGTTAAGATGTGAATAATTTAATGTCAGAACAAAGAATCACGAAAATTTAACCTTTTCAGTACAACATTTCCAGTACAAGCAAAAGAGTGATTTTTTTTCTTTTACAAAAAGTTTTCTTCCAAGTTATATCTGCAGGGGGATTTCATCCATCGGGCGTTTTACCATTCAACAGAATAAAAAAAAAAACCGGTTACGTTTCGATAGTCCGAAGTACCATTGGTCCGAAGTCCCATTGGTCCGAAGTCCCATTGGTCCGAAACATAGTACTTCCAAGTTCCACTTGTTCAGGTTGACTGACCCTAACACTATATACTCTAACCCTAACCCTATGGGGCGTCGGACCAATGGGACTTCGGACCAATGGGACTTCGGACCAATAGTACTTCGGACCAATGGAACTTCGCACCAATGGTACTTCGGACCAATGGGACGTCGGATAACAATGGAACGTATAGAGCAATGGACCGTCGGACCAACGGGACTTCGGACCAATTGGACGTCAGACAAATTGGACGTCGGACCAATGGGACGTCGGACCAATGGGACGTCGGACCAATGGACGTCGGACCGATGGGCCGTCGGACAAATGGGACGTCGGACCAATGGGACGTCGGACCAATGGGACTTCGGACCAATGGTACTTCTGACTATAAAGACGTCCCCAAAAACATATCGTTGATTTTTACAGAAACTGTTTGTGGGATCCCTGAGTAAAGGGATCAAATGTTCCACAGACGCCTTTCCTTTTCACAGATGTAAATGTCAATGTAAACCCAGTAGCGGCTTTGCTGTACCGGTAACGACATGGTACGATGACTCAGATGGGGTACAAAAGCGACCCTGGAGCTCTGTTGACACAATCGCATTCCTCAGTAAAGTTTGTAAAGCACTCGATTCGAGTGGACATTTACACCCGCAGAGTGAGTTGGGGACCAGCCGTTTTAATAAAAAACCTCTTTCAATTGAACACAGGGTGAATCAAAAAGAAAGTCACTGAATCAGAACAATTTTGTTTTTTTAAGTATGTGGCTGGCTCCATTTCATAAAAAAACACAGCCATATTTAAGTACATGTTATATTGACTAGTAACTGTAGACATTTCACGTAATTTGCATAGATGACTTTTTCTTCATATTTAAAACACAAACTCTGACATCAAGGAAATGATATTTCAGTCTTGATTAAAATGATGAAAATATCATTCGTACATGTATTTGAATGCTTGCGTGTAATGTGTAATTCTCACTCAGCTCAATAGCTTCCAACAAACGAATGGACTAACGGAGAGACAACTCATGATGATTTGTGGAGCTGCTATCCCGCAGCAAAAAAGAAAAGAAACAGATTTCTTTTACCCAAGTGACCCCATGATGAACTTTGACCTAGTTTAATCATGTGACATGTTGGGGCTGCTGTGTCCAAAGGGTCTATTGGGTAAACCAGAAAGCACTCAGAGAGCGCAAACCTCCACCAAGGCTAATCAATTCCCCGCCATAATCGTTAGTACACCAAAAAGAAATACTCCCATATCCACTCGACTTCCATATTTTATTGCACATTTCAAATGTCATCAGGATTGCTCATATTCTGAATTTATCCAAACTTAGCAATGTTGGCCGCTTTCTGCTAATCTGTCCTGGTATGTTGTTTAAGCCGTAATACGCCGTGGAATGCGGTCTGTGGGCCGTGCTGCTGCTACCGGACAAAGGCCGCTGTGCAGTCATGCGTGAGCGGGTAAAGTGAGGCGTAATAATCCCGGCGTCAAGGGGTTAATGTGGAGTTTAAAGTAAAGTTGTGGAATCAGGCCATATCTCCCAAACCCAGATCCAGATCACTTCTAAAATATAATCAATTTGAACTTATACCAAGAACTATCCCTAAAAAAATATTCATGCAAAATCCGTCCATTACTTTTTGTGTTATCTTGTTGACAAACCAACCAACCAACCAACAAACAAACAAACAGACCAACGCCGATGAAAACATAACCGCCTTGGCAAAGAAAATAAAGTGCATTTTCATGGACCTCTTCATGCTATGTGGTTGCTATGAATAAGCTGAATTCAGTGTAATTCGAATCAGAATAGGAGGCGACTTACCATATTTCCTACTGGGTTCTGAGATAATAGCCCTTTGAACGAGTTTTATGATTTATTGTGATGCTGTCAGTAGTAAAAAACTGTTATTTTGTTTAACGTAATAAACAGCGCTAAATTACTAAAACTGCACAGTTCGGCTTGCATTTGAAATCAATCTCATCAATCTCATCAATTCATGACCTCCACAATTCCGAGTTCATTCTTGGAGTTTATCATTGACATCAGCTTAAGCTTAAGTATCTCTATTTACCACACAGACTGATTTTTAGCCGAGTTCTGTTTTGTAAGTATTGAGTTTTGGTTTAAATCTTCCTATTCATAGGTCTTACCACACCAACACCATGAAGAGCAACACTCAGTAGCAAATTTTAACATAAAACCCAATGAGTAAAACTCGTTCATAAATTAATAATACTGATCAAATTTGATGGCATCTCTTGATTGCCTCAAACCAACCAAAATATTCCTTCATAGGACTGCGGCTATCAATATTTTAGGGAAGTTTTTGCACAAACTTCAGTTTGTGCATCATGCTGCCACAATTGTATTCAATACGTATTCATTACAAACCATACGTGTCAAAAACATGTCCTACTTTTGATCCTAAATAACCAAATAATGCAGATCATGTAAACAAGGCATGACAAAGTTTATGGAGCGAGTTTCATCAGCTTTGTGCAAGAGGGTGAGATTTAAACGCCATACGAAAAAAACGGAAGGTGTGTTGCGCCAAACGAATCGAGGAGGTGTGTAATATGACATCAGGGGTGATCCTGCATTCTTTCAGAAGCTTTGGCTGCAGCACGCGCCTTCTGCCACCTTCTCCAGCGCTGTATCGACATTGGAACATGCCAAGTCGAAAGAAGTAGATTCTGAAAGTGAGAATTTTTTTCGTACGGCGTGAATTGTCACTCCTTGCGCAAAGCTGATGAAACTCCTTACAATTTGTCATGTCCTGTTTATTTAGGATCAAAAGTAGGACAATATCTAGTTTTGGATACGAAGTAGCAGAAACAAGTTACAAAGTTACAGTTCAACCGTACGATTACCAGAGCTAAAGGCATGTTAGGGTCGCTTGCGTTTTGATATCCCAAAAGTAACCTACCGAATTACTTCAAAAATCTGATTTGCATTCATCGTACCGGTACAAAACACCGTGAAATACGACCGTCCAGTTTGCTGTCATTTTGAAGAAATCGAGAAATGAAGGTGATTTCGCAAGATTAATCATTTGACATCAGAGCGGTGGAAAAAGGCGAAATCGTGTTTCGTGATTGTGGTTCTGCATTTCTTTACAGACACCACTTTTATCGAAATGTTACGGAGCTGAAACTTCAACAGGTTAGGCTCTGAATATTATTCTTTAGATTTTGAGTGGTGTCATTATTGTAAACGAATAAAAGGTACGAAATGCAAACGATCACAGATACCTATATCATGAACATGACTTACCCGGTAGGGAGGGCCATATTTATGATTCAAGTCACTCATCTCCATGCTGTATCACAAACCGAAATCGTTAAATCCTTGGGGTTTTTTTCGTCCAAGTATCAGGTTGTGTGGCATTCACTCTTATGTGAAAGAACCCTTTATGATCATGTTCTATTTGTCAGGTTCACTTATAGCAATGGCGTCGTGAGCTGTGAAAAACTAGTCTATGGAGTTCTCCCCTTTACAGAAGCACCCGAGTGTGACATTCGTGCCTTTTCGTAAATGCTATTAATAAATACCTTGGAGAGTTGATGTTTTTTGATTGGTCGAGACTCGATGGCGTGGGGTGTATTAACGGTGATATAAAGACCGGCTTCAAAGAACAAGCGAAAAAATGGCCCCTGAACCAGCATTGATCCGGCCCCATGGAAGGCAATGATTGGCCAAATTTACAACAGTCATACGGTAGCTTGTAACAATACAGCACTGCACATGCGCTCAACCACCTTCGCGTGAGACTGACGCGCGCGTACGCAACACAGTTGCTATGGGAGCGCGCGTAAGGAGGTTTTAAAACGACATCATACAGCAGTGCAGTATACTGAGGATATTTACGACGAAAGCGTAGATCTAAGATTTATTTTCTTTAAACACTTCGCCCATCGACATATTTACCTTCCCTAAATCAAGCATCTTTGTAATTCTGGACACAAGGAATGTGTAAACGAAATTTCAGCTTCCTCCATCAGGAAAAAATATGAAAACATTGTAATTTGTTTCACTACGGCAGCAGAAGTCCAAACCCTGGACGTCGTACGCGTACGCAATGAAGACGTTGTCCAGCGCAGCCTGGGTCCGGCTGTGGTGTATATAACAAACGCTTATTGAAGAGACAGGGTGCCATGCATAAGTTAAAATATGGCCCATAAACATGAACAGGAAAAAGTCAGGAAATATCGCCGAAAGAAAGTCACAAATTGGAGCATTTTAACTGTTTGTTTCCCTAAAAAGGTATTTATTAATGGGAATAACAGTGTGAGGATCCGGTCTTCACTGCGTGATAATGATCGGGTTTGGGGGTGACCGCTGTTAATGGACCTCGACTTCGTCTCGGTCCATTAACAGCGATCACCCCAAACCCGGTCATTATCACGCAGTGAAGACCGGCTCCTCACCATGTTATTCCCTTATTCTACATTGATGTAAAATACACATACCGGTCGCATATCCAATTACACTACACACTGGGATTCCAAACTGGCGCAAGAAAACACTATATTTTCCCTTTTTTGAGACAATTTTCTTTGTTTGAAGTTGGTTAAGGCCTACGTTTAGACAAGGCTTGCATGAATAAAATGTAAAAGCATTATTTTGTGTATTTACAGTATTTTTTTGCCATAAAAAAACCACAAAATTTGGACAAAATCACGTCAGTTAAGGAGTGGGTATAGTAGTGGGCCCTCTTGTGGTGACAAGGTCTCGCGTGAACATTTCGTATGGCCATGTCATAAGCTAATAAAGTAGCAATGTAAAAACGCAAACCAAAGCATAGACAAGCCTATTCCCTATGATACACAATTTTTCAATTTTCATCTTATGAAGTAACTGTAGCTATACGAAAGCTTTAATAGGCCATAGTTTTAATAAGTCTTTTAAGTGCTACATTCTCTATATATTTGTATTGTTTTTAAGGCCAATGTTGTTCTCAAACCATCGACATAAATCACAAGTCATCTTGCCTTTAAGAAGTTTACCAAATCTATTCTATGTTTACAAAAAAATGAAGAAGTGCAACAGTATTTCACCAAATAGTGTCACAAATTTCATCAATCCTTTGCTCTTACCACTCTCGCCCAAAATAAAGTCAAGCATGAGGGTCCCAAGCTGTGGAATTCCCTAGATGTTTCTATAAAAAAATATATATGGAATCTTCCATTTTTTTAAATGCAAATATAAGGCCAAACTACTTGCTGGGAATATAAACTCTAATTAGTCTACTTGTTTACATGTCGCATAGGGTTACAAGACTTACTGTCTTTTTTGCTTCTATTTTCTTATTATCTGTGCATATTGTGTCTATAAAATATGTACATGTAATTGTCAATTAATATTAATGAGGGTACCTACTCGACAAGCATTTGATTCTTGGAGACCCCCATCCACGTTTATTTTTCTTTTCGTATATTATTGTGTACACACCAATTATGTGGAAAATAAAAGAATGAATAAATAAAAAAGTGGTACGTGGTTTAAAAGACCTGTGACAAATTCAGACAAATTCGTTCGTCATTAATCTATAGTACTGTTATTTGCGACCTGTCTTGTGATCCGACATAAAATTGACTCGAAAGTGATTTGAGATCTAATCGATCACATTTCCATTTTGCTCACATTCAAAAGATGAATAATTTGGCTTCTGGTAAATATAACTATTACAGAATTAGTTCGATAAACAGACAACCGTTTTCCAACGAGTCTTTACTTAAAAATCAAAACGATAAACGGAGAATATAAACGAATTAAAAAGTGTATCCCAAAAATATCAAAGAACATCGTCTTTTAACAGATGAGGTCTTAAAAGTTCTGGATTATGTTTAATAAAACCGTAACGCACCATAAAAAGTCAGATTATGCCGATATCCGCTCTGTTCACAAGTACCCCCTCACCGGCAAAGCAAGTACAGTTGGGGGTGACCGACCGACGCCATCTTGCCCGACTGCGGCCGTACCACTGCGTGTACATAGCACAAATCCCCTGGTGCGTCACACACAAGGAACGGTGCGCGTCAACCAGCTAAATGTCCCACCCATGGGACGTCGTTGCTAGGTAAAAGGGCGCCCTCTTCCGTTGGCGCACGGAGCCCATAGAGCCTGGAGTATTATGCGCAACTAAAAATGCTTCAAAAATAAAGCGACTAAAATGTGACTTTAAAACCGTTTCGGTAAAAATACCATAATATGAGAATAAAATATTTAAATATATAAGAAGTACAACATACCAAAATATGTATCAGAATATATCATAAACACTTAATAAAATCTCTGGTGTAGTCTTTTGATAATAACGATTTCAGAAAAAATCTCAACACCCTCATATATCAAGTAAAAATACTAAATTGTAGCACTTTCCGAACGATCACCAAAAAAGAGATACTTGAAAAGATTTTTAAAAAATATTTGTAACATAGTATTGAAGACGACCTTCTTACGCAACTTGAGATATCCATTAAACAATTTGCAGACTTATAACTTTTAGCCGAATTATATTACCAGTTGGTGTTTATTGTGTCCGAATATTTCAGTCAGTACCTTTGAAAGTCATTTTTCAAATATTCATATTTCCCTGAATGGGATGCCAGTCCATCGCAGGTTACTCCCCAGCTAATGCCGGTACCATACTTCTGGGTGGAGAGAGGCAATTGTGGGTGAAGTGGCTTGCCCAAGGACACAACATATGGTCAGCAGCTGGATTCGCACCCCTGACCCTCTGATCATGAGTCATGAACCCTAACCACTATAGGCAATACTCCCCCACTTATATCGTGCCACTACACTCAACCAAACAAGAAAGTTCCCCTTAATACTTTTATGTGTAACTCAAAAACTACTGAGCACATCTTGCTCAAATTACGACTGATCAGTACAAAAACTCCTTAGCAATCCAGACATACTCTTGTTTGGCCCAAAACAGTGATAATGTGCTCAAAATTCTGCAATTTATGACAAATATTAGTATTTGAAATAAATGTAGTATACTACTCAACAAATGGTACCGAAAAAAGTTTCAGTTTTGTATACGTGCAAGGTGAGAGTGAAACACAACTTGCACGTATACACAAGTGACACTGTTTTCGGTATCATTTGTCATAAACTGCATAAATTCGTATTCATTATCAATCACTGTTTTGGGCCAGATGAAGAGTATGGCTGGATTGCTATAGTTCCTGTACTGATTCGTTATTTGAGAGAGAGGCGCTCATTAGTTTTTAAGTTACACAAAAAGAATTAGAAGGGGGACTTTCTATTTTGATTGAGTGTACATACAGCATGTTATTCTCCGTCTGACGCGATTGTGCGTCTGATGAAATCAATATATTGAGATATCCTTGTGTAAACAGCAGGAGTTTGGAACCCTCTGCAAACCGTTACCGTGCTCGTGAGTCCGACTAAATTCCAACGTCCGTTTGAGCCCCGGCATATCAATGGGCCACCACTGTCTCCCTGTGTAAGGAATCAATGGCAGTATGTTAAACAGAGTCTATAGACGCTTTGCAAGGCAGCCATCTTGGTGTGCAACGCTTAGCTTCAAAGGGATACTGCAGCACACCGCGGTACCTTGTTCGGACAAGTGGTGGCGCTCCACACTTTGGGACGCTCTTCAGGTTAAAGATGTTTACTCGCGCTCACATCAAAACGGCGCATTTGTAAAGTTTTGGCACTTTGTTTCTTCACTTTTCAGTGCGATTGAATACATTTTAGTTTTTGGGATGTACGAACAAATACCTTAAAATCCGCATTTTTTTTCTCATCTCAAAAAAAAGTGGGGAGATGATTCAAAAGCCCATCTAGCTCCCTGAGATTTACGGCCCTGCTAGTCAGTGTCTGGTACCAAGACGTTCACGTGAAAAGCAACGTCGAGACTGGCACACTCTTGGAATCTGTTACTTGTGATGCTTACCCTACACGTTGAATTTCCACCGTCGACTCCCGCACAAATCTGACTGGAGGACAAAAACAGGAACCTTTTGATATCGTAACTCAGGCACTGCTCCAGTGGAATCAGTGGTACCCGCGCCTCCTTCAGAACCGGCGAAGTGGTGTCTTTGTGAAAAGAGATACATAAGGAACCAGTCAAAAAATGTGTACATTTCCAGAAAGAAAGATTGTGATTCGTTGATTATTTGTAAACTTTGCGGGTATAACAGTAGTTACTTGTATTGTAAAGTAATTGGTTAAAACTGGACGTAGTGCTTTAGTTACCAAGATTCTTTAAATGCACCTTTATACTTCTTATCAATCTGTGATGATAATTAAAGGAAAAGATTTTTTTCCTAATATGCAGTCTCAATAGTAATTAGAATTACTGGCAGTTTGTATAATAACTAGTATTTCTTCTACTAAAGCACTGTAGATCTATCTGCTTTAAGAGGCATTAGCTCATCCTTATGAATAATAATCATAGCACTCCTAATATTTCCATTTGGTTTAGACTTTCATCATTAATTCATATTCAGAGAGCTTGCGAAAAAACACACACACAATTAGCTCCCTGCATGGGGTGGGACTCGAACCCTCGACCTCCTTCTTACTAGTGCAGACGTCGTACCACTCGACCACCGAGCGTACCACTCGACCACCGAGCGTACCACTCGACCACCGAGCGTACCACTCGACCACCGGGCTTGGCAAGCTGGTTCGAGTCTGTCATCATGAGCAGTGCGTACAGCAACCAAGCACTGTTTTACTGGATTGGATTCAGATATCTAACAATGGTACTGAACAAGTTTGGATGGAAACATACCAAGTGCTTCGTCGGTTTTGCCCCAGCCAACGACATGGCAGGTGTCGTATTTCTCCTCCTCATTCCCTTCGTACTCGAGGCAAGCTGGGCGGATGGTGTCGGTGAACTGTACCGGTGTGTCGAGCTTGAGGAGCGCGATGTCGTCGTGGTAGTTAGACCCTTTCCAGCCAGGGTGGCTGATCCTTTTGACAACCTGTCGGACGTGGGGGTACATTGGGGGACGCTCATGTGTAGAAATGCCGAATACTAAATAACTCTGACCGCTATCGGGTAAAAAAAGAAAAAAGATAATCGATGTTTAAAATCTGAGGAGATTCCTGGGTCGTTCAGCCACAGTAAACACATACGTGTCAATCACAAGTCACAAGGACATGCTTTGTGTGCTTTCTTATGCAACTCGGTGGAGCTCGTCCCTATATACCTGGGTCCCTTAAGGTAGCGCATGTGTAAACAATGTCAGGGATACTGTGAATCATTAACAACATCAATTCAACTTGTGAACAATATGCCAGCCCCAAGTCAATCACTAGTCAACCATTATGTCACCTACAAGGCAACTGACTGGTCAATCACAACTTCTCAAGTCAATCATAAGTCAATTAACGTCACCATGAGTCAATCACAAGTCAACCACAAGTCAACTATACACCACAAGTCTCAAAGTTAATCACAAATTAACCGTTATCCGACCACAAGTCAGCCACAATAACAGCGCAATTCAACCAAAAGTTAATCACAAGTCAACCAAAAGTCAATCACAAGTCAACCATAAGTCGACCCCAAGTCGACCATAAGTCACCAGCACGTCCACCCTAAGTAAACGACAATAACACCACAACTCAACCAAAAGTCAATCACAATCAACTATAAGTCGACCACAAGTCAACCATAAGTCGACCACAAGTCCACCATAAGTCAACCGCAAAAACACCACCACTCAACCAGAAGTCAAACACAAGTCAACCAAAAGTTAATAACAAGTCAACCATAAGTCGACCACAAGTCAACCATAAGTCAACCACAATAACACCACAACTCAACCAAATGTCAATTACAAGTCAACCAAAAGTCCATCACAAGTCAACCATAAGTCAACCACAAGTCACCTCCAATTCAACCACAATTCAATCTCAAGTCAATTAGGAGTCAACTTCAAGTGAATCAGAAGCGAACCACAGGTTAATCATAAACAATCACAATTCAACCACATATACTAACCTCAAGGCAACAACAAGTTAACCATAAGTCAACAATAAGTCAACCACAAGTCATCTCCAATTCAATCACAAGTCAATTTGAAGTCAATCAGAAACCAACCTCAAGTCAATCAGGGTGAAAGGTAACAGGGTGAAAGGTAAAGGAATGAACAATATTGAACAAAGAGAAACGCTTACTCGCAGTGCGCGGCCGTTATGGCCCACTGTGGTTTGATCAGGACGGCCCCGCAGCCATGAAAGCCGTTCAGGTACCGGAACGAAGCAATCCAGGGCCAGTTGGCGATGTGAGTTTCGACCCCGTCAATGATCCGACTGTAGGGGTTCAAGAACGGGGAGGCTGCGGGGCGAGTGCCACATTCACCTGTCTGCAGAATATCTGAGAAAAAAAGTGTAAACAGGTCCAATCCGGGCACAATGCAGTGCGCCACAAAGAGTTTGCCGTGGAGAGTCCATTTTTTCAAGTTTACGGTCGACAAAACATGGCCCATTGGAACGAGTGTCAGTAGACAACTTGAACTAATTGTCATTGATTGGGGCATAGCGTTCTGTTGCCTTACAAAAAAAACCACAAACAGATACTTGAATCATACGCTTACGAAACGTCATGACCGGAAAAACTAACAATTTCAAATGTCCCGCGCTGCGAATTTGTCTACCATCTCCCAAAATGCACTGGGAAAAATAAACTCTCTGTGGCAAACTCTTGGTGGCGCACTGAATTGTGAATAGCCCGAATTAAAGAGGTTCATTACAAACAGAGGGTAGCAATTGCCTAGCCGAATTGGATAAGGCAATTGTTATAATTATTTAGTGAGAGCTCTGACGGACAATAAATCAGTCGACCAGCAGGGACACAGTTAGTCACAATGGCAATAGGCAAATGGTAAAACAAATCTTAACATCTCCACCTCATATATTGATTTTTATTATTACTGGTTTTCAAACAACCAGGGCTGTTCAGCTCCGAAAAAAATAAAGACAAATTACGTTACATAGAGAAGGCAAGAAAAATTCAGAGATTTTAAGATTCTTAGCTAAACCTAAAAAGATATTATGTGAGAATCCAATGACAAGCCAAAGCATGCCAGGCTGCCATGCACTTTCTCAATCCAACAGTGCAAACGGCACATAGACCTGTTGCACAACGGCCATTTTGGAGGGAACTGCATTTGTTCTACTCGGGATACCCAATTAAAATACAAAAAGATCGTGGTCTACTGATTAGGCCAAAAAAAAAAAAACCAGTTCTGCTTCCGATTACATGGCATTCGAAAATAGGGTAGGCCTAGGTAGGTAGGGAATTTTTTTTTTGCCATTTTTTTTGTACGATCTTATGGAGGCATCTGCATGTAGTCAAGGGTAAGAGGTATAAAGTGATGACTTTGGGTGTTTTTTTCTCATTTTTCCAATAAAAAAAATTAGGGTAGGGGCTGTCAGAATAGGGTAGGTAGGGAAACCGGAAGCAGAACTGTTTTTTTTTTGGCCTAAGTGCATTGCTAGAGCTGTGTTATACCTCTATCATCGTAGTTACAACCTTCTGGTGTCGACAATACACCTCTGTCAGGATACACACCGCACTGCAGTGCGGTAGCGCCATCTTCCAATCCGATGCACTCTAAAGCTTCCAGGCAAAATGAGGCGCAGACTCTACGTTGAGCACCAAACTGAGGACACTCCGGGAAGAACGACATACACAGAGCAAGTCTCTCACTCTCGGTGCAGTTGGTCGTGAGTTGAGGCAGGTATTCGGTGATGGAGTCGTTAGCTTGTTGATGAGATACCACGAAGTCATTCGGGAAGAACGTCATGTTGTAAGGTAAGACGGCTGAGCACACAGCATTCGCGATCTCCACGCAGTAATCTGCAAATAATCAACCATTTTGTATTAAATCTCAGATCTTAGCAGTTCGTTGAACCTCTGTATTTTACTTCATGAAGTGTATTTACTCGAAATATAAACAAAGCTAGAGTGCAAATCTTACATTGCTGGAGTCGAGGTGTATCTTCCAATATAATTAATCACTTTCTTCCATAGGATTGTGAACATTAAAGTTACATCACTTGTCGCATACCCATTGGTTAATAAGATATAGGCCTAGCCTTACATAGACCTCTCCATGTACATATAGAAAGCCTGATAATGCTACAAAAGGTGTTTATATCTCATTCTTTGACAACCGTTTTAAAGAGACAGTGAGATTTTTACCTTATCTACAGTTAAACTTGTCCGGTAGATAAAAATCCAAAAACTAAACATCATCCAATATAAAACACAAAGATATGTCTCTTGGATGGCTGTAAGGGTGGAACCAGATAAGTCTGGACTAAGTGAATTTTACAAAAGCAAATCGTAAAGAACTCACTGTCGTAGCAATCAAGTCCCTCATCCGAAAAGTCTGCACATTCCACCACGCCGTTGCATTGTGCGTCTGCAGGACTCACGCATATACCATTGCCACATTCGTGCTCTTCGGCAATGCATTCTGTATATTAGGTATGACAAAAAAAAATTCAAAGTTTGGGAGGAATGTCAATCATAAAACCTCGGCATCATGGGCTTCTAAAAAAATTAAATTCGTCTAGACAGTCTGATTTGCGGAGTGGTACTTTCTAGATCCGTGGTCCCTTTCTCTACAGGGTGAGTAACAAAAAAGAAACCCAAATGTCGGGACTATTGTTTTAGTGAAGTTCTGCATGTAGCACTTTCAAAATCTAGGATATGAAAGCCCAATTCATAAGCTTTCTTTTAGTACAAGAATCATTCAAATCACTCATGTACTTTTCAAGTTACAGAATCTTAAACACAACCACCGTTTTAAAGTTCTGTCCACGGTTCACAATGTGTGCGTTCTTTCAGCAAAGTGAAAATATTTCACACACATCCCTATGTGATTTTTTTTTCGTTTTGCTGAAAGAACACTTACCTTTTTGTGATCCGTGGACAGAACTCTAAAACGGTGGTTGTTTTTAAATTACGTAACTTAAAAATTACATGAGAGATTTGAATGATTCTTGTACTAAAAGAAAGCTTATAATGAATTGAGCTTCCATATCCAAGATTTTAAAAGTGCTACATGCAAATCTTCACCTAAAACAATGGTTCCGACATTAGGGTTTCGTTTTTTTTTACTCGCCCTGTATGGTCAGTGAGTCAGTAAGTGAGTCAGGCTGTCAATGGTATTGGTACAAGGTGGACTATAGGCCATGTCATATGACGTCATATCTATGTACAACTGGCAGGAAACCCCAAAATGTAAGCATCTTTTGCGTGTCATTCCACATTTAACAGTTAATGTCACCACTTTACACCGATCACATTTGGAGAGATACACCAGCAGCGAAGAAGAGAACAGTTTGCTGAAATTTGGCATCACGATACCATTTTATCCAGTTTGATAAAAAAAAATGTCACATGGGACAGGCCGGCCCTCTCTAAGGCAAGCAAAATGATCTTACCGCAATCTTTCTCGTCATCACCGTTGGGGCACTGCGAAACACGGTCGCACCTCTCGTTGTTCAGGTAGATATATGGGTGAGCTTCGCAGTTGAGGTAATCTGTGATCATTTGCACAGCGTGACATAAGTTGATATTTGTCTTGTCAAGCAAAGAAAGCCTCACAAACTCACTCCAACTTTGGTCACTGTTCACATGAACTGAAATCCATCATGCACAAATCTCTCACATACACACACCCGCATGTTCACACCGTCGATCGTGGACGTCCTGTTGTCCCTCTTTTGTTTGTACTCTAACTTTTTAGGAAGACTGCCGTAGGTTTTGTACACGACCTCAATCGTGGACGTATGCTGGGAATCGTGGACAATATTGTTTTCTGTTCTTGTCTGGTATTTTTTTGTCCACGGTTTGAAAAGATGAACACGCCCACATTTGTTTATGGTGTTAATCAGAGTTTTCTATTGTTCCTCTTCCCTTTTCCTTTGTTTGTACTTTTTTTTGCAACAGCTCTCATTGGGTTTTCTTATCGAGGTCGTCCTCGATTTGGTTCCTGTCCTCAATTCATTGACGATGTTACACGTGAGTGTCCTCGATTTACACCATAAACCTACTCACCAGCACACCCAGATCTGCCAACAATGCTCACAATTTCACAGTCTCCATTACTACACTGCAAAACTGCAGTGTTAATTTAACACCAATCGGTATCTATATAGGTCAACACCAGTAAAATTTAACACCAGATGGTCCTATATAGAAACCAAATGGTGTAAATTTAACACTGCAATTTTTGCAGTGTATAGGAATCACACCCTTTCCTACTCATCATCCTTTGTTGTCCGCACATCCAAATTGTGGAACTCTCTGCCACAATCGTGCCTCCCATCATCCAACAAACCCCAGTCTTTCAAGAGCTTCATCAAAAAGCTCGATCTAGTCATATCAGTCTCCTTCCTTTGTCAATAGTCCTTTTGGACCGTGTGCTCTTCTAAACATTATCTACTAACTTAATGATAATAATAGTGCGTATTTATTAAGCGCACGTATCCAACAGGACTGGTGCTCAAGGCGCTACATCATTATGAACGCTGCTCACTGGGCCCATGAAACATTCCAAATATCATCTCAGCTCCCTGGGGAGTACAGCTCGATGCAGCCTGTTAGGCGCAAGGAAGCTAATTCAATCACAATAACCATCTCTGTCCTCACAGTACTCCTGGGTGGAGAGAAGCAATGAGTGACAAAGTGCCTTGCCCAAGGGCACACGCACCATTACCCCAGGCTGGACTCGAACCCACAACCTGCAGAATTACCCGCAGACCACGAATCCAATGCCCTTAACCACGAGGCCACAGCACTCCACGAGTGCTCCACGACTTAAACATGAGTGATAGAAATTAAACTTACCATCACTGGTAACGGCTTGGATACCCAGATGAAAATCTGATGGGGAAGCTGGGAAATAAAAGATCCACAAGCGATCATATCTAAAGCCCAAGTGCCCTCTATCGTGAGGTCCGTCTCTCAAAATCCCCTCGACGGTCTCGGAAAGGGGCTCCCATCCGTAGCCAAAAGAGACGGAAGAGGCAGCCGAAAGGTGGTAGTCTATTATGTGAATGGCTATATGGGCGTTGTCTGGCGCCCTGACGTACCACACGCATTGCTGTAGGTTGAACCTCAACGGTGGTGCTGAGTAGATGGAGAAGGTCGAGTTGAAGCTGGCTTGTATGGAGCTGGTCGTATTGCACCCTTCGAAACAAGAGACAAACTCTAAGGGTATGAGGCTTAACAAGTGTTCAGTTATTGTAAGGTTGAGCAAAGAAATTGGCTGGAACGGGGTTTGAACCTGCTACCTCCGGATTGCTGTTCATGAAGACATTGACTAACTTGGGAACCGCCAACATAGGGTCAGATAGCTACAGTTGGTAGAGCACCGGAACGGCAATCTGGAGGTCGCAGGTTCAAACCCCTGGCAGTCAATTTCTTTGTCCAACCTTAAAATACTTATAATGCACCTATCCCTATGTGGTGGTTTCTTAAGTTCAAAGATTTCAATCAATCACTGGAGAGTCAGCGACAAAACTGGGAGGCAGTTGCATTTTTGTTTTTACAAGGCCTTTACCTTCTCCGTCGTCCTGTTGTGAAAATGGAACTGTACGAAATACCGACTCACTGATTGTATTGCGAATGCCTTTTAATGATGAACAGGTCATGTGTGAGGTAGAGTCCATATAAGGTCAAAGAGACCAGGTTTCATAGGAGTCCAAATTTCATATGACACCGTTACTTTAGCCCAGATTGACGCAATGCCTGATCAGGAATGGGTCTCGGTAAATCGCTTTTCCATTACCAACTTTAACGGTATAAAGAAATGGAGATTATTGAAGCAGGTAAACTTTATTTGAAGAAAAAAAACCACAAATCTACCATCACACTCAGCCTCGTCCAGACCGTCCGGACAATCTCTGAATTCGTTGCACTGCTTGTCTTCACCGATGCACACAGAATTTCCACACTGGAACTCGTCCGGCGAACAATCGTCACTGTCTGCAGTAACAGAATTCTAGGAGTTTATTAGGTGTTTTTAGGCCAATTATTACAGTGAACATTTCTTCTGAAAACATTTCAACTAGACATTAGTGATTGGCTTTAAACTAGTATAACTGGTGGTTTTAACAGGTTTTGGATTGGCTGAACCGATTAAAAAACCCAGTTATACCAGTTAAAATCCAGCGAAACAAGTTAAAAGAAAATTACTTATACCCCAATTGAAAATTGCAGTTCAGACCAGTGATTGGTTTTAACTGGTAAAAGTTGAACCAATAAACTAGTTCAACTTGTACCAGTTAAAACAATCACTGGTCTCAACTGCAATTTTCAATTGGGGTATTAGTAATTTTACCGACCGAATAATCGTAATATTTTTACGTTTTAAATAGCGTTTTAAAATCTTCATGTCATAAAATTATGGTCCGCAAAAATTGCTGAATTGCAGAAAGAATCTAGGAAATTGTTCAGAATCCTGCAACACATAACCCAAGACAAATGGGCCTAATGTGGATACAAAATGTCCGCAGCTTTTCCCGTATTTTGTTCAGATGAGTTTAAGATGTTTACCTGATGCTATGGTGTGCCGGATGAAATCAATGTACTTGGAGACTCTGGTATACACCTCAGTTGTGTCCTCTCCACCACAAATGACTCCAGCGCTCGTAATTCCTACCAACTTCCAGCGTCCGTCAGCAGCTTGGCAGATGAGCGGTCCGCCGCTATCTCCCTGTGGCAAACCAATATCACACAGAGTTTCAAAGCCGAGGGAAAATAGAATGGTCCATGGATCACCGAGGGAGGCTAGTTTTACTTCACCACGAGATAAGGCATTCAATATTTGTTTTATAACACTTCACCCACAGATTCTGCTTCATTTTAATATTTTAAATTATTTAAATCTGAACGCAGTTGAAATAAACTTCAATTTCAATACAAAATTGGTGGAAAATGTATTTCTCTCTTAAAAACTACCCCTTCACGAAATGTTTGAACCCAAGTCTGCGGCGCGCTCTCTTGGGAATAATACGCGCTACGCACAACGCGCAACGCGCACACCAGCATGCATTTGCACACACCACGCCGTGGAAATATTACTTTGGTTGCTAATGGTATAGTACTTTGGTTGCTATGCGCATAAGTAATTTTGGAGGTGCTATTGTATTTATTAAACCGTCGGTTAACAATCATTATAGCTTAGTGTCGCCTATTTAAGGAGGTTTATGCAATTGGCCTGCACCAGGGCACTGGCTGCCGGGCCATGTTGCTGCATGACTCTTTGCCGCAGAATGTTTAAGTGAAAGTATCCAATTGATTAATAAGTGGGCCGCTAACCAGCTAATTAGGGACAAACATGTCATCTGTCTCCATTCTTGTAAATGAACTATCAGTGTGAGAAATTTCAACTTTCTAGGTGATCACACGGCGCAATGCAAGGCCGGACAGCGCAGAGATGGGGCACACTTATTCAGAGTAAACATTTTGTTGCATCTCCATCTGGCATTCTATGGGTGCTAACTCATGGCACTCGTTCTCGAAGTAGACAGCAAGACAGTAATCATAGTATCGCTACTAACAATGGATAATTATATAGCACTTTTAACTAATTTTCACCAGTTGACGCCGACGAAGCTGCGCACATAACATTAATGTGTAAAGTTTGCCAACAGGCTTTTAGAGGTATCCGTTTGGTCTGGCTTGCTTTGTACAGCTTAGTATCAACATTGATGCCGGTGCTATATAGCAAAGTGGAGCCAATACGGAATACTGTGTTATAGGGCCTACGGTACATTGGTTCGTCGGGCTTACGGAACAATAAATCGGCCCTGCCGGCGACCCACTTACTTACATGGCACGTTCCGTTGCGGTCTCTCGCCAAGCCGGCGCAGATCTGGTGAGTCGAGACGAACAGCCTGTTCTTGATCAAATTCTTGCACACCTCCGGTGTTACCAAAGGCACACGCCCCTCTTTCAACACTGGTGAAATGCTATAAGCTGTGATACAAACGGGGACAAATCACAATGGTTCGTTGTGACTAATCTCTTTGAAGCAGGGTACTTGGTTATCAACTGCCATAGTTTCGGACTAGCTCGCAAATATTGTGACCGGAGCCAACGAAATGAGGCGGAAGGATATTTTGTTCACTAGTCAGTTGTACATTTGCAGAAGAACAGGTGACTCTGCTTTTTTTTTATATTTAATCTCTTGGATTGACCTGAATATGGCAAACTATGAGTAATTTCATGACGGTACCCGCTGCTGTATATCAGATTCGAACCAGCCAACTGATCCCGCAAGCTCGGTGGTCGAGTGGTAAGACGTCTGCACTAGAAAGCAGGATGTTGTGGGTTCGAATCCCAACCGGGGTGATTTTTACTCACTTTCTTATACTTTCAGTATACAGAGTTTATAATGCGGTTGTGGAGGGCAAAACCTAATATTTACATTGATTTCCATTAAAGACATTTCAAAAGTAACTGGTACAAGTTTTGAAATGCTGGGTCACGTTTTCTAACAACATTTTATGTCGAGGAACTCTTAAGAATCGGGCCCAGGAGATTGAGAAAATGCAATCTTACGGTTGCCGTGTTCCGTGAGGCCCCAGCCAACGACATGACACTTGTCGTATTTTTCCTCTTCGTCTCCCTCGTACTCAAGACAAGCTGGGCGGATGGTGTCACTAAACTCTACAGGGGCAGCAAGCTTCACCAGCGCGATGTCGTCCATGATACTAGCCAGCGTGTATCTGGGGTGTGGGACCGTTTTGGCGATGCCGCGGACGTGGGGGTAGTTCGGCGGAAGCACTAGAGTCGAACTCCCGAACACCAGACTAGGCAATCTGCAATAAAGGATGTAATATGTTTCTTTTAACGGTTATTCATAAGCACCAAAGACAGTTTACAAATTCCTATTGGTCGAGAGCCCGTCACGTGGCCGGTCTTTAACGAGTGATAAAGCACCAACCAGAAGTGTTGAAGCCAGCCAACAACAAAGCTGGCCCCTGAACAGGGACAATACAATTCTGGTTTCGAAAATGTAATCTTCAAAGTTTGTTGGTTTCGATGAAGAAAACTAATTACATCATTTTCAATTGAATTCGTCTGATAGGAACAAAAACATGGCTGAATAAAAAGAATAAAAAATTGGAATAAAAAACAAATTGGAATAAACAGGGAACTTGTGTCTGCTTGATCGCGTGCCGGCCGCTAGCTCATACACCTTCAGCTCTGGTCATTATTAGCGTCAAGCCTCCGACACCAGTCTTAAACATCTTGTTTAAAACCAGCCAAACACGAAGAGGACGCATGGGTCAAATTGACCAGGAATTTGAATTTAAATTTTAGGCCTATACTTGGTCCTTTTCCAGGTCAAAAAAAGAAGACTTTTAGGGGGTAGCAAACTAAAATTGTTATTTGGACTCAGGAAGGTGTCATTTTGACCCGAAAAAGGACTGAGCAAATTTTGGTTCAGATTCCGGGTCAATCTGACCCTAGTTTAAAGTGAAGGCTGAGCCCTGGAAAGAGCCTAAAATTAGGTACTAACAATGGGACGCAATGTGCTGCTGTGAGTGCCCACTGCGTTGTAATCAGCGTTGCAGCGCATCCGTGGTATCCCCCGGGCCAGCGCATGGACGCAATCCACGGCCAGTTGGCGATGTGCGACTCGGCTCCGTTAATAATTCGACTATACGGATTGAGATCAGGAGAGGCAGCTGGCCGACGCCCACAGTCACCGATGCCCAAGATATCTAAAAGGAGGAATATACAGATAATGCATCAGGTGTTCCACGGAGTAAAGATATAAAAGTAAAAAAGTAAAGTCTGTCACGAGACACTGTGTACCATCATCTCCGGTTTCAGTAGTATGAAACAACTGAGAGTATTTCTATTCCCCCTGGATGGGATGCCAGTCCATCGCAGGTTACTCCCCAGCTAATATCGGTACCCATTGATACTCATGCGTGGAGAGAGGCAAGTGGGGTGAAGTGGCTTGCCCAAGGACACCACACATGACCAGCAGCTGGATTCGAACCCCTGACCCTCTGATCAGGAGTCACGAATCTAAGCGTTGAGTTTCCCCGGCACTTTCCGGAACCTTACAAACTCACAAAAGAGATTTGTCACATTGTGCAACCGTAAACTCCGTCTCAATTCTCAACACAAATGAATGCACTGATAAGCCTACATATAAACATACCAGTAATAATGTAATCAGAGTTGATAGGAGTTTATGCTAACTATGGTCATAAAGGTTACAATTAGGCACAGAATAGGACAGGATAACGAGAAACAGCTGATTAATATCTTGTTTTGTAGTGTAGTAAATTACATGTAACAGTGATTTTAACTTTGTAGAAAAAAACATTGGTAACATACCAGCATCGTCATACAAGCAACCATCAGAGGTTGACAAGACGCCATTGTCTGGGTAAACATCACATTGCAGGCCCATAAAGTTCGCACCCAAACCAAGACACTGCACTGCATCCGAGCACAACGATGCACACACCCTGCGTTCGGGACCGAAGCGCGGGCATTCGGGAAACATCGACATGCACAGGGCGAGCCTGTCGTCCGCTGAGCAGTTGGTCATGAACTGGTCGAGGCGTTCGGCTATGAGGTCCTCTGCGTTGCGTAGGGAGAGTACAAAGTCGTTCGGAAAGAATGTCATGTTGTAGGGCAGGACGGCTGCACACGGGTTGTCCTCAATAGCTGTGCAGTAACCTGAAAGTGTAAAAAGAATTAGCAATTTGGGATTAAGCCACGCCCCATATGGTGCTATGACCAATCACAGTTCGACATGCGTGCACGCGCGTACGACGCGCGCGCGGATCAAAACAAAAGGTTACAACATTTCAAGAAGCAGTTTTGATGGGTTAAATTGTACCCTCATAACACGCAGTTCCTTCATCCGAGTAATCCCGACATTCCGCCATTCCGTTGCAGTCAGCTTCGGCAGGACTCACGCAGATGCTATTCTGGCACTGATGCTCATCTGGCTGACACTCTGAGAAAAAAATAAACAAAACTTTTTTGGTATTTTGGAGGTCACCAAAACCTTGCATAATCCATTACGTAAAACGTATTAGTCACTTGATTTAGACCTGATTTTGCATGCTACAGATTTTCAGACACAGTTTTCAAAATGTATACAATGTTATTAAGAACGACCCTAGGGCCTATTGCTGCTAGGCGATCCAGTGTGCGAAGATGATTGAAACGAGCCTTGGGTTGAAATTAACATAATTTATCATCGAAATTGGGCGTCATCGCTATACCAACCAAAAGTTGAAACATCTCACCACAATTCATTTCGTCATCCCCGTTCGGGCACTGCAGAACACGGTCACAGGCCTCATCATGGAGATAGATATATGGGTACACCTCGCACTCAACATAATCTGTGGAGATGAATGAGAAACGAAGCTGTCAAACAAGCCTTACCAGAACTTCACCGGAAGAGAGAGAGAGAACAAAATCCTCTTTTTTTTTCATATGAGCACGCCTTGCATTTTTCAGTCTGATTAGTGTTTGGTTAACCGCAGTTTGCCTCCAACTTCAAGTGCTTTACACTCTAAAAAGTCCTGGGTCAGACTTGACACAGAAAACGGCCCTAACCCTTTTCCGGGTCAGAAATACTTCTGTGGGTCAAAATTACACTTTGTGACTCATTTTCCGGGTCATTTTGACCCGGAAAAGTGTCACTTTTAACCTGGAGAAGGGTCAGGCCCCACACGACCCGGCGAAGGGTCATATGTGGGGCCAGGGTCATGTGGCGCCTGATCCTTTTCCGGGTCAAAAATGACACTTTTCTCGGTAACAATTACACTTTGTGACTCATTTTTTGGGTCATATTGACCCGGAGAAATGTCATTTTGACCCGGAAAGTGTCATTTTGACCCGGAAAAGTGTCATTTTTGACCTGGAAAAGGGTCAGGCCCCACACGACCCTTTTCCGGGTCAAGTTTAATCCCGGGACTTTTAAGAGTGTAGGTAACAACTTACCACTCGGGCGTAATGCCTCAATGGCGAGATGGAATGAAGATGAAGCATTAACGTAATACCAAATACGGATGGAATCCCGCTTGAACAGTAAATGCCTAGGATCGAGTGGTCCTTCTCCAAAATCAGCCAGGGATTTTGGTAACCCCCCGTCATAGTATCCAAAAATAATCCTAGCGTTTGCCTCCAGTTGGTACTGCAGTATGTGGACGGCGATGTGTGAATCTGAGGGGCCGATGACGGACCAGAAGCAAGACGAATCGTCGTGGGTTCTCAGAGAAGCGGTTGAGAAAATTGAGAAGGATGAATTGTAAGCTGCAGTGATGTAGCTTGTGGTGTTACAACCTACAAAATGAAACAGTCAAAGAAAAATTACGATTTTGTTTAAATTTTGGGTGGTAAACTCTGGCATTGCAATATTTTAAGCCAGCAAAATAGATATATGCGACAGGCATCGAGATTAGGAGTTCATTTAAACACAAAAACTATGAGATTGAAATATAGTTTTTAATATACACTGAAAATTGCCTGGGTTAATTTTACCCAAGCAAGGGTGAAAACTGCAACTACTCAAACTGGGTTGTGCGTTACCCAATTGTTTGGGGTAGAATTTCCGTTAATTCAACCAAAACTTGACGTCATACAAGACCAAATTAAATTAGTCTTGTATGACCACAAGTTTTGGTTGAATGTAACAGAAATTCCAACCCAAACAATTGGGTAAAGGTTAACCCAATTTTGGGTAGTTACAGTTTAGTTGCGACCTTCAAAAATGAGAAAGTGATTGTTTTTTTCAATTGTAGTTAGCTGGTACACTATATTGTGCTTCATAAGACAAACAGAATACATTTGCAGTTGTGATAGACATTGGGATTAGAGACGAACTTAAAAAGAAACTTGTATGATGTAGAAACAGTAAAATTATTGTGTCCAATTGAAACTAGCTCTTTTCAATAAGAAAAAAAGTTGAAAAAAGTGTGTTTTTAACAGATTACCATCGCACTCTAGTTCGTCGCTTTCGTCTGCACACTCTGGAAAGAAGTTGCACTCTACATCTCCATCAAGACAGACCGAGTTTCCACATTCGAACTCATCAACGCCACAGTTTGGAGTTTCTTGGTAAAAAAAAAAAATAAGTATTTCATTAAAAAATGACAAGAAAATAGAGTCTGCCTTTATTTACTGACGTAGAGGTCAAAAAAAGGCTTTTACTCCCATCTATTATAACAACTTGCACCAAAATCTTCCACCAGATTTTGTATGGGTCTTTTGTATATGCTTCAGCAACTTTATTGCACGTACACTGCCTAAGATAAACCAAATTTCAAGACAGATTAAATAATTGTGTAACAGTACAGTGTTAGCTTTTCTAGGATTCAATGAGATTTTTTGTAATTTAAGGCAGCATTGTTAATGAAAATATATCAATCATAAATAAAAAAAAAAATAAGCAGTTTACTTCACAATATACATTTGGTAGTTGGTAACGTTTTGCAAAGCACCAATTCATGAATTTCTTTAGCTTAAAATGTAACTACATGTTTTCCCCATGTAAGGGGAGACCGAGTAGGAGCGTCGGCTTACTGTCTGACCTGCCTGCGGTGTTTTTATCTGCAGCACACATCGTCAATGGATCATGATTATTCAGCTTGTTCGATGTTTATTCATAAGAAAATAACAATGACGTCACATCATTGCTATCACTCAGTTATGTACATTAAGCATTTCAAAGAACGGCTTTCGTCGAGCTGCCACAGTAGCCTAGTGGATAGTGGAATGAACTATGGACTGCAAGATCTGTGGTTTGACCCTATGTCCATTTCCATCAATGTTTTTTGTTGGTTGGAATAAGTTTAATTATTAAGGGAAAACACTACGAGAACCTAAGTGTCTTCCATCCACACAGCGTGATAAATATTCATGTTTAAGGGTGCGTGATGTGATTGGTTAAAATAAGATGTATGCTGCAAAAAAAAATACGCGACCTGCCCATCCATGCCACTATTCTAACTTCTGTTTATGATTTCTTTGCATTTTAAATGGCTTTATAATAGCATGGAATCAACCAGAAACCTGAAACAATTTTATCGACGAATTTGGCTTCAGTTTCTAAATCCAGTTTCAGCATTTTCAAATCGCTAAAATCATTGATCAACACCCGATAAGCTACCTGAGCTAGGCACACTCGTTGCAGCTATCACAAATGCTTCTCTCTCCGCCATGGGATAGAACTTTCGATGCGAAACCCACATCGTATTTTCCTCCGAGAGAAGATCTGATATATCACCGCCTCGCACCCACGTAGCCACGAGACTCGAGGAATCACTAACATTCTCCCCGTTCCCGACACGCCAGACGTCCTTGATGCTGGGGTCTTGATTCGGGAAGAGCAAGCGAATCTTCCAGTTTTCGTCCGTGCGGATGACCCAAGTGACGGCAACATTCCTCGGGTAGTTGTCTGGATAACCCGGCGAAGTGATTTGAACAGTCTCGTTTGTGCCTACAGTGATGTTTTCCATCACACGTGCTGGGAAAAAATATTTTATAGGCGCATTAAAAAAAGTTACAAACTGCACACACATTCCGACTTTTCCCCACAAGGCATTGCGCAAAAAACCTCTCCGTTGCCTCTGGATGGCGCCCTGCATTGTGAATCGGAAATCTAGCTCAACCTGTAACACTTACATAGAAGTTGACAACCATCTCCCTCCAAACCATCCCTGCACACGCATTGGTACGAGGTTGAGAATTGGCGGCATCTCTCCGCAACCCCGCAAGGCTTGGAGTCGACACAACTGTGATTGGCGAAGTTATCTAAAACAAATAATACAAACAAGTCTTGTTGCCGGGATATCTAATGAGTTTTAAATGGTTTATAAAACCTGCCTATCTCCACAGGTTCACGAGATGCTGTAATCTTCAATCACTCAACGGTAAAAGTCACAATGCTAACGGTTTGGGAATCTTGCACGCTTATAAACTCCCCTCTTTTCAGTAAACTTCTTTATCTATAATGTTGCAAAACAAGGTTTTCCTCAAATCATTACGTGGACAGATCCAGTAATCCAGAAATCAAACAATGGTATGTAACTGCAAACCTACCTGTTCGTAAGGTTAAAAAACAACCCAAAAATGTACATGTATAGAGGGTGAGTAAACAAAGAAGGAAACCCAAATGGTATAGGAACTTTTTTTTTATTGTTTTACGGGAAACTGCTATTTCAATTGCATCGTTCGATGCAAATTACTTGAAGAAGAAACCGTAGAAGATTGGGTCTTTGTCTGCAAAGGAATTTGTGCTGTTTTAATCTGCAAATCGTCTATTTGGCGTGATTCTCTTCGAACATGAAAAGAATGATCGTCAACAAACACACTCAATGCAATGAAGTCTTAACAGGGTGAGTAAAAACAAAAGGAAACCCAAAATGGCAGTACTATTTTTTTAATAAAGTCCTGTATGTAACACTTTCAAAATCTAGGATATGAAAGCCAGATTAATAAGCTTTCTTTAGTATATCACAATCATTCAAATCACTTACTTTTCAATGTACTTTTCAAGTTACGGCCGCACCACAATGGTTATACTTACCATCGTAAAAATGAAGTCCAGCAATTTGAGTAAAGTCAACGTTTCCAACTGTCTTCAGGATCGCTGATGGAGAATCAAGCTCCAGACGAAGCAGATCATTGCTTGGTAACCAGCTGGTCCAGAACAAGTAGTTCTGGTAGAAGAAAACGTCAAACGGATGAACGTTTTGGTCCGAGAATTGTACGTGGAGGCGTCGGTCTTGCCCAGAAAGGTCGACCGACTCAAACGCGTCGTAGTAGGCGTCACACCAGTAGACTCGACCGCCTGAAAATAAAACAACAGAAAATGAACACGCAAAAAAAACTGATAACAGAAACCAAACTAGGTTAATTTAACACTTGTACCATTCAAATTTAATAGAAAGATAATTCAATTTGGCTCGACTGCTGAACTGAATGATAAAATCTGCCCCTATAAATTTCATGAAGGGTTTTAATCGTCCAAATTTTTGTTAATTCATCTCATTAGGAGATTGGGTTTGAATTCAAAAAGCAAGTGATCTTCCGTTTTCATTCATTTGAAATTTTTAGTCATTTGAATCGAATGAGTATTAATTTCGTTAGTGGCAAATTGAAACGTCACGATTAGATACGTTTCCAATCTCTTTGACTGTCTCAGATATAACTTTATATTCAGACCAATGAAGTACAGTGTCCAAGCACATGATACAATAATGTCACAATTCAAAACCCTACACATTCTCTTGGGTCAACGGTAATTCCACAGGGCCAGATTAGCCGAGTATCGATTATAACTATCCGAGATATCCAAAGTCTACATACCTTGTTGATCAATGGTTAGGCCGTTGGGCCAATATAGTCCAGTATCGACTAGTACAATTCGAGATGTGCCGTTGGTGCTTACACGTTGTATCTTCGGCAACGTGCCCCAGTCTGTCCAATACAGGTTACTGATCAAAGGAATCATGAAACAGTTTTGAAAACTTATTTTGTGAAAATTTTAACACTCTAAGTATATCCAGGGAATCCTGAACGTTATATTTTTCTCAGTTGATGGTTTTGATAAAGGACAATAGGGTCCACGATTGGGTGATTCGTAATCGTCTACAAAACGTATGGAATCTCCTGCCCAAAGTTATAATGCATTCAGCTGATGATTTTAAACAATAGGGGGCAATATAATGGGGTCCACGATTTGGTGAAGGTCCATGGTTCAAAATCATGTACAATACTAATAAATCATTGTCATTTTGACAAAGAAAGATGTCAATTGACTCGTAACACGTACTGCCGACCCAGAAGAGCGTCGGGTCGAAACTGACCCAGATTGAGTGACCCGGAAGATTTAATCGGTGTACGTACCTGTGCACGGTGTCGACCAGAATTGTGTCAGTTTGACAGAAATCATTGTCATTTTGACTTACGAAGGTGTCAATTGACTCGTAACACTGTCGACCCAGAAAAGTGTCGGGTCAAACTTGACCCAGATTGAGTGACCCCGAAGATTTAAGGTGTCAATTGACTCTAAACACTGTCGACCAAGAAGAGTGTCGGGTCAAACCTGACCCAGATTGAGTGACCCGGAAGCTTTTATGAGTGTATGTACCTGTGCACGGTGTCGACAATAATGGCTCTAGGTTGAACAAAGTCGGCGGTTTCGTCTGCCAGATTCAATACCACAGAGCGCTCCATGCCCTCAAAGGTAGCTCGCTCAATCAAATCGCTACCTCTGTCGGTCCAAAACATCACTCGATGCTCAGTGTCCAGACACAATCCATCAGGAACTTCAAAATAATATCAATTGGGTATTTATAAAGTGCATCTATACACCAGAATTGGTGCTTAAGTTAAGCTACAGTTTCCCCTGTTAATGAAACATTACTGACTATCCCAGCTCTTCTTATTTTTTTAACTGGGTAGCCCATTCAGTGGAATCCACTGATCTCCCATGGGTCCTTGTAGAGAGAAGACAATGTGAAGAAATTAAAGTTTCAGAGGTGGGAGGAAAAGCCCAGAAGAGTATTCTGAGGAAAACCCACGGAATCAGGTAGGGACTGAAAACTCAATCCACAATATATTCCCCCCGGGCGGAATTCGAACCCGGGCCACAGCGGTGGAAGGCGAGGGAAGTGCCGCTACACCAACCTGACTCCCCCACACCAACCTGAGCTCCCTGGGAGAACACAGCTCGATGTTGCCATTTTAAGCTAAGGTCCATCATTTGCAGCTATCCAAAAAGTAACTGACGAAATTATTTTTGAAAAGCACACTTAGTTTAAAGATAGTAATGGGACTAAACTCCCTGTAAAATTATTCTTTCTGGCAAGCTGTCATTTTGAAGAAAACAATGAACGAAGGTCACTTCCAACGAAAAGTTATTTCCTACTTTAGCCTGTTTTGTGGTGTATTATTTTCTAACATCCCGTTTTGTGACAATTTGCACAATGTAATATTAACTGTGTAATCAAAGTGCTTACTCTGGAGATTAGTTATGAGGTCGTTCGCGCTAGTCCCGTCCAATCGTGAACGAGAAATGCTCATCTTCAAATTATCTGTCCAGTACACCATGCCGTCCGCTGGGTCATAGTCGACGGCAACGGCTCTTCCTAGTTCCCTGTCTAGTCCGGGGATGGCGGTGAAGTCGAAGGTGTCTGCAGGCGCGACATAGATCCGAGGACCATCGGCAACTAAGACCAGGTTGTAAGGATCTGGGGGAAAAGAAAAAGAGAGGGAAGTTGAAATCAATTGCTTATGTTACTTGACTTTTTGGATGCTGCTTCAAATTCATTCTTGAATGACTTGAAGTTGAAGCATGTACATGGTAACCCTTTGTTGAGTGACTGAGCTCTAGAATAAAGTCCGATTTACTTATTTTATTTATTACTTTTAAATTTTTCTGTCAAAAAAAAAATCATATTTCACAAGTTCCTCATTCTAACAGCAAAGAATGTCGTAAGTAGCGCTTAAGTCTGGGTTGAACTATTGACTCTGAAAATCCTAGCCAAACCTCAGCCCCCTGACAAGAACCACGTGTTTGTGTAATACAATGTAATACAACAAGGTAGTCAATCATCCTGTTAACAAGACTAGTAGACTGGTCAGCCATCTGACCACTATTACACTCCTAAATAATGATAGATAGCACATCCGGGTAAGTGTGGATTTGGAAAATAAGGAGGGTCCATTGTGTTACGGCTGGATATCAATTTTGTATGGGATTGCAGCAACGGTACGGCACGCCAGTAGCAACAATTGGATTATACACGACTTACTACTTCGGTACTCGCACTGAAGGCCAACAAAATCGCTCAGGCATTCACACACAAAACCGTCCAATGTCGAGTTGCAGATCCCTCCATTCTTGCACGTGTCATTGCTGGCACACGGATCCTCTGCCAAGAAAATAAGGATTTGCGTTATTGGAAGGAGTTATCACTTGACTACCACAATCAAATTATATTTGGCCTTTGTGTCTAGCACGCAACTGCTTCAAATAGCGGTGCGTCATAAATGTAGCTGCTATTGTACGACTTTGATTTCCTACTTATTTTGCTGAAGTATGAGAGGACCCAATAAAATACCATATTCACAAAATGTCAAGGGCCATATCACGTTGATTTCCATCGAAAATAATGTTTCCAAAAAATGATAAACACAGGCATACTGAATAACTCCGCTGTGTGATAGTACCCTGAAATCAAGTCCGGGTTGCTTAATAACTCCGACATTTTTTCGGTCACAAAGTTTCACATTTCACAAGTTCTTCATTCAAATATAGCTGAATAACATCGTGCGTGTCCCTTTAAAGCAGGCTGAACTATTCAGCCTGAAAATCTTAGCCAAACACCAGCCCCTCGAACAAGAACCACATCACTATGCAATCATCGTATTTAATTTCACTGGAAAATAATTGTCAGTTTTAGGGCCTTGAGGATTTTGGTTTCTCAGTTTTTAAAAACAAAATGACAGCAGAGAAAAAAAATATATACCTGGGGGTACTGGAGTTGATTCTATGGATGGACTTGTGGAGGAAAATGTCGCATTCGGTGCTTCGTTTGTGGTGGGTTCAGCTTGGGGAGTTGTTATCGTTGGAATCAGTTGATCGAATGGTGTGCTGGATCGATCAATCGGTGGACCAGTAGTTGAAGCACTTGGCAGCTTAGTTGAGCTTGCTGGTGGATCCGTTGGTGAATCAGTTGATTTGACAGTCGGTGGATCAGATGGTGGATTAGTTGGTGGATCAACTGGTGGATCAGTTGGCGGATCAACCGGTGGATCAGTTGGCGGATCAACCGGTGGAGCAGTTGGTGGATCAACTGGTGGAGCAGTTGGTGGATCAACTGGTGGATCAGTTGGTGGATCAACTGGTGGATCAGTTGGTGGATCAACTGGTGGATCAGTTGGCGGATCAACTGGTGGATCAGTTGGTGGATCAACTGGTGGATCAGTTGGTGGATCAACTGGTGGATCAGTTGGTGGATCAACTGGTGGATCAGTTGGTGGATCAACTGGTGGTTCAGTTGGTGGATCAACTGGTGGATCAGTTGGCGCAGCAGTTGGTGCCTCAGATGCTGCTGCAGTCGGTGGATCAGTTTGTGGAGCAGTTTGTGGAACCATTGGTGCAGAAGTTTGTGGATCCGTAGGTTGTGGATTCACGGTTATTGGAGACCCACCATCAATCGGTTCATCGGGTGGTGGATCGATAGTGGCTGCAACAGTGTCCAAATTATGAAGTCACACACATTAACACGCTTGAAAACTGGATCATCTTATGCCTTTTATGGGTCAATTAATAATGTAGGCGTACAAATTTAAGTTATAGAAAATGTTGAACTTACTTAACATCACCACAATATAATGAAAGACCAAGTGACAAATCAGTTTTTGTACATGCAGTTGGAAACAACTAATTTGCACTCGTTTTGAGTATATATCTCACTTTAAGTCTCAAGAAGACAGGTACACACATATATTATGTGAGTGAAAAGTTGACTCCTATAGCAACTTCAATTTCGTAAGCGCGTCCAAAGGTCAGTTTCTCAAAAGTAGTAAACTTCAGTTGTGTTGGGGAGGGTTGTTGTTGTTGTTGTTGTTTTTGTTTTTGTTGTTGTTGTTGTTGTTTTTTAATTTTCTCACCGGAATTGACGATATTTCGAATGATATCAAGCCCTGCACAGCACCCAGGTTGATCTATTGCATTTCTGATGATCTCTTCGACATCGTCAACAAACAATCGCAGGATCGCATTCAGGTCAGATGGAACCTCCGGAACGTCAATCAATGCCTCCCGGAACCTCAACCTCAGAGCCGCAAGAACGCTCCCTTCACTAATGTTTTTGGAAACACAATCAAATCAAGGTATCAAAACAAACCAGGCCACTTGATCGTCATGCACGGATAAACAGATCTCATTGTTTGTTAATTCGGGTACATTGGGATGAATTTGCCCAGGCACTTGGTACGTTCACCAACCCTGCAAGTCTGAGTGTGTTGAACTTGAAACTTGGTAGGTATAGACCAGGATGTTTTATAGAAAAAAAATGAGGTCATCGTTACGTGCAGTAGGTCTATATGCGCGTGAGCGTGACACCAGCGCAGTAAAAACTTCTAAATTCTGGTCATTTCCAGAAACTATTATCATTTCCAGAAACTGATTAATTAGGGATCATTAACTGACAAATAAAAACAACTTGAATCGCCTATTTCGATGATACTTCTTTAACTTTGATTGTGATCTAACCTGAAGCCGATGATTTGATTTTGTGAGTAGACCGCCATCACACCACTGTTTCTCAGGAGCGAGTCAACCTGATCAGACAACAATATAAAAGCATTATAAAATGTTTAACATCACTATCATTAGAACCACGGATACTTAAAATATTTTTAAACATTTCAAGAAGTTATGAAAGTGGCGTGTGCATCTCAGGAATGCCGAATTGTCAACATTGACGACGTGTATCAGAAATCATGCGATAGGTTCGATCTTTGGACTTATTCTAATAAGGCCACACCAAAGACTCCATATAAACCTATGTGTCTTACCCATGTTGCCACTGTGTTTTCTAGCTCTTGGTATTCCGCGGAAGTTGGATCATTGTATTCACTTCGGAAATCCCTATCAATCGTCAGTATCATATCTATTGACACTTGTCCTACAAAAAAGGAAAAAGGTACCTTTTTACAAGACAACGTTTCACAATGGTGTAGTAGGCCTAATTTATAGCAATTAATCATCTGCAAGGAATTTAAGTTTTGTCAACGACTGGAAAATGAAAAAGGAAAAAATACTGTTCTAAAACCTAAAGTGGATTATGCCAATGAAGTGTTGTACGTATTATTGTTATTTTAGATGCTTCTTTGTGGACCGCGTATAGGCTTTAAGAAGAAGCGTATGCACTCATACCTGATAAGGGCGTTCTTCCAGTCCCACTACCAACAGACGTTGATCCAACTTAAAAAAAAAATGATAAAAAGATAGTCAGGTGCAAATCAATCTTATAAATTACCATTAATAATAATTTTGAATAATGAATTACTGTCTTTGAGATTTAAACTCCCGGTTTAAACACTTCTCAGCTGTGCGTTAACAGCGGTTTAAAACCACCAACGTGACGGTTTATGAATGATTGTCTGTGTTTGTCACACAATACAGTACAATTTTAACGCTAATTTTGACTGTAACAAAAGGAGAAAAAGTCTATATCATCTTCTATAAATAACGACTACTTCATCAAGTAAGCTTGTGGCTGTTGAGGCAAATTTGTGTTTTATAAAAGTCGGAGTGACATTTGGGAAACGAAACAGATTAGGAAACAGGTCATGTACCTGTACGAGGTGTTGCCGTGCTGCTGTAGTCTGCAGCCTGCAAACCTATTCACAAGAAAATCACAATGAAGATATAATTGAAGGAGTGTGTTGGATAAAGATTCGAAACTATTAATCAAAAAATAATTAATGGCCAATGATGATGTTTGGGCCATAAACCTTTTATTTTATGGCTAATTGTGACGACATTATTTTTTTTAAGACTGGCAATTATATCGTCATTCTAAATAATTGTATCATTTTTCCTGCCTTTTCAGCTCGCAAATTTCAAATCCTCACTTTTGAATTCAATAATGATGCACTCCAATGGATACAAGAAAAATTACATGTAATAAATTGCAATTCTTTTTGCCATCAATATTTCGACTTTGCTTCAAATAGGCAGAGATTATGTTGCCATAATAACACTTGTAATGTTCAGTTAGTATAGGTCAGGTGTTGAAAGATATACAATAATATGCCTTATAGATCTGATGAAAAACACAATTTCGGAAATACTGCTGACTAAAAACGTTTGATTTGAAATTTGACCCATTTCTCCATTCAGCACTAACAGAATGATAGACCGCCCGTGTCCTTGTTAGTTTCGATTCCTGTTTGAACTGATATTTACATATCATCAGGCACGCACAGACTTACCTAAAAAACTTGGAGTCTCTTTTCAATTCAGAGGAATTGAGTTCAAATAATTTGACCCCTCTCTCTATTCAGCAGAATAGATCCAAGGGCGGATCCAGAACACAATTTTGGGGGGGGCCAAAAAAAATTTTGGTCCCCCCCCAATAAAGTGGGTCTAAAAATTACGGCGTGGGGTTCGGGGCCCGTGAGGGCCCCGAAAATTTTTTGGATTCTAGATGCTCTGTGGTGCGATCTGAGGCAATTTCTGACCACTTTAACCAATTTTTTTGAGGAAAAGTTGGTGGTGTACTCATTGCCTGCCTTTATTGCGATGTCACATTAAAAAAAAAAAAATTGGTTTCGTTTTGGGGGGGGGCCATGGCCCCCTTTGGCCCCCCCCCCTGGATCCGCCCTTGAATAGATCAGCCATGTCCTTGTTAGTTTCGATTTATGTTGATATCTAAATATCATAGGCACCACAGACTTTACCTGAAAAGTACAGTGCCACAAAGATTCCAAGGCCAACAAGCAGAATAACAGCCAAGGCAGCGAAGAATGCCATTGTCATGCAGATACTGCGCCCAACCTTGCGATCGGGAATCGGCAGCAGGTCGCCACGAAATGCTGGCCGGTCTCTGGAACCGTAGGACGGCAGGGCGTTCCTGGTGCCGGCACCCCCGCCGGGCCTTCGGTACTGGTAGAATGGATCCAGTTCCTCGTCCGGACTGAAGCCATTGTTTCGGTATCCCTGTTGAAATGTTGAGAATGAAATTAAAGTGCTTACTGTCAAAAGTTGGCACCGTGTTGGATGTAGCCAGTCATTCAAAATACACGTAGGCCTATAGCCCCATAAATGTGGCCAATAAATGGACTACCTCCGTAAATAAAGGCCACACTTTATTTCTTGACTCAAATGATTAAAATCTCATATGTATTTAGATGCGTGCGTGTGCCAAGCTGTAATTCTCATCCAGCAAAAGCTTCCATTGTCATTCCATGCAGGGGGAGGGCATTTGCCCCCACCCATCCATATTTTTCCAGGCAAACAAAAGTGCCCCTCTCACGGTCATAAATGTGCCTCCTCGAGATGAAAACAAAAATGCCCCTCAAACGCAAACATGAAAGATTTATGATCGCGCTTAAAATTGTCTCCTCTTTTGTAATGCAAATGTCCCTAAAAACACAGTACCCCTCGTGCATTAACAAGATTGCGAACCATTGACACTTTGGCTACGTACTAATCTTGTTACAATTCAAATGTACACTGGAGTCCACTCCGTACTCAGTTCGATTGACACCAAAGGAATTTGTGTACTGGCTTCTCCTGGCTTAATCTTGAATTACTTACCCGTTGAAGAGCTGTGTTCGACGTCATTTCCTTTAACAAATCACGTGCGAGAAGACAGCTTCTAGCTATCTACATCTGTCTCGATTTTTGGACAGTCTGCGCGCGGTTGCAAAACTTTCTCATAATATTCACATGTAATGAACTCGCTATATACGGCGAGCGCATATCATGTCGCCACGACTAACCAATGGCGCTTAACTTTATTCGTGGCCTGGTTATCACAATCAAGGATACAGTTTTGTGTAGAATCAGGAGGATTTGGATGAACTACTGAACTCGGGATGAATAGAACTAATACTCCATGCAGAATGTGTCACTCAACCGTGGAGAAAGTACGTGTCAAAGCTCTGCGATTACGAAAGGTTATAGTTACGAGGACATGCCATTTTTTCCCTGTGATACGCATGACTGTACAACATTGGCCAGCCCTTAGACACACCCCCCACCAAGGGCGGATCCAGAACACAATTTTTTGGGGGCCAAAACAAATTTGGTCCCCAAAAAAAGTGGTTCAAAAAAATTACGGCGTGGGGTTCGCCCCGGTGGTGTACTCATTGCCTGCCTTTATTGCGATGTCACATAAAAAAAAAATTGGTTTCGTTTTTTTTGGGGGGGGGGGGGCAATGGCCCCCTTTGACCCCCCCCCCCCCCCCCGATCCGCCATTGCCCCCCACACTCACCCACGTTTGTGTTTTTTATGTTCCTCCTCCCCTTTACTTTGTTTATACTCAACTTTTTTTGCAACGAAGGTTTTGTAGACGTTTTCTGGTCGAGGTCGTCCTCGATTATTTTGGTTCCTGTCCTCAATTCATCAATGATATTGCAAGTGTGTCCTCGATTTGCACCATAAATACGCACATTCGTGTTTCGTAGTTGTGGAGACTATACATGAGTTGTCCCATGGTACTATGGGAACCGAAGACGTTGTGGGGACAGCAGAACGTCCCCATAACTCGGTCCTTATTTGCTTAACAATACAAAACTTCCGGCCCGCCCACAAAAGAAAACCACATTTTGAAATATTGGGAAATACTCATATTGTGAAGATCTTATATTGTGATCAAGATATACACCGCAATAAAAATTGATTTACCCTCTTCATTTTCCGTTCAATTTTTCGACATTCAGCCAATAACTTTTTGGTGATGTTTTCCTCAGAATGTGATCTCTTAGAGTAGTCCTGAAGCCCATCGCCATTTTAAAAGAGAACCTCTCAACTCCACTGCTCATAATTATAGGGACTTTCGGTCCAAGTTTTGTGTTTACCTCAGAAAGTATCAAGGTAATAGTGTAATGGTATGTTTGCTTTAGACATTTTGGTAATAAGTTTGTTTTACTCAGAATGTTGTACTTTATATTTAAAAACTGAACTCGAAATAATATTACCCAGAATTCCTAATGATTTTTCATACCGTTTTGTGTAAATTAAAAAAAAGTGGCGCCCTTTTTATGCCAGCGGCCGTTACGAGTGCCTTTTCTTTTTTTAATTTAGCGCATGTATCGCCCTGAAAAGCACCATTTATTGTCCTTTAGTGTGCATAATCATCGCTTTTGAATAGCGCCCCCATCGACAGATAGTACCAGGTACCCCGCCCCCCACTATTTGCTTTTAAAAATAAAAATGACCTTGCTACGCCCTCTGTGACAGGCTGTAAAAGTGGCACTCGTCATGTGGTGATTTTATGTAGGCCTTATTAAGGAGGTTTGTCCCTTTAAATTTTTGGAATGCCAAGATGTACGCAAGTGGGGGAAACAGCAAAATATTCAACTGTGTATTCTGCACATACTCTTTTCAATTATGTATCACCATATCCTATCGGTGGTACGAATTATATCTGCCACGAATTACCACCACTTCAGTGCACTGTATCTTCATCGATTAAAAACACGAGATCTACAACAGTACAAGTTGTTACCTTTGCAGATTACGATGTTCGTTGGGAGATTATTTCATATTTGCCTAATCGCAAAGTTGTTGACGTTGAACAAACTGCGGCCATTTATCAGATGACCCTTGTAACTTCATTACACCATTGAATACAAACACCGTGTGGCTCACTGTCTCATACCCTTTTAGTTAAACATTGATGGGCAATGTTTACTTGCTATCCCCACGCGACCTCCGGATTGCAAGTTTGAATGGCAGTGCGACGGTACTTGAGGGTCTCTTTTCCTCGCGGTCGCCAGGCCAACCACAAGCGATCTCTTCCAGAATTCCACGCTTGCCAAGAGACAACCTACCGGTGAGCACCTGACTATGTCGTGAGCGCGGTAAACACCTCCACGGTTTGTGATTTTCTGGTCTGGTGTCTGTGCTTCCACCATGTGCCCAGGTGCAGCTGACAGCTTTATCACGAGTGTTATATTTGTTATGTTTCTATTTTGGGTACAGAGTGCTACTGTTGGATAACGATACATTTAATCCCCGAGATACCACCAAATCACATGAGCAGTTATTAGGCTCTTTTCCTTCACAAACTTACTTTTATTCAACGTTTCGAGCAGCGTGGTGTGATCTTCTTTGTCAGCAACACACAGGTGAGCTTCTGCGCCATTCAACTATATGCAGACGTCGATAATCTCCAGGGAAGTTCAAATTGTACTCACAATTTATTGAAAACTCACATCACAACTCCTGATTTTAATATTGAGTGTACACCGAGCCTAATGTTTGTGTTGTCCTCTGATGCTTAATGCCATGACTGAAGAACCAGACAAGGAAATTCAGTGTGACATCTTCTGAATGATTAAGACATTCGGCTTTTAAAAGTTTTGCTATAAGGATGAATTGCGATGATCGTTTACTGAGAAAGACAATCGGAAACCGATTTGTCATTTTTCTGCGAATTCTGTAACTAGATGATGAACCCACGCCAACCGAACCCGAGGAAAACACGTCTTCCGAAGCTTCCAAAGAACGTAGGCGGTGTGCCCTCGCGACGTGTGAGACCTACCTTGCCACGGGACGAGCTGTACCCAGCCCTGAGCAAGAACATCATCAAGGTGAACGGGAGCCTGTACAAGTACAGTACCGGGACTCACGAGGGCATCTCCCCGAGAACCGTCCACACCGAGCCCATAGTTCTACCCTCGATCCGGAGAAAGGTCCAAGCGTACCTGGCGGGGGATTTGAAGGACAAGGCTCATCATCTCGGAGGTCGGTACAAAAGCGAGTCAATTAATGTCGCTACCGGGGTGGCGTTTCTGGAACAGAAGCCGGTACCTCTGATCAAGTCAGAAGCTCCTGGACATCGAGAGGTGCAGTCCTTCCCGAGGAGGGCGTTGCCTCAATGGGCGAGCACGCGGTCCAAGACGAAAACCAACCCCAATAAGATCGGCTACAGGCTCTCGCCACTCGCGAAGAAAGACAATGGCGCCGCGTTGGCGACAGAGAAACAAGACTTTCAGGAGGACGGTGGTCGGACGAAGGCGCTGGACGCCTTCAACGAGGCCAAGATCGAGGAGTTCCGATGGTGGCACGAGAAGATGCGACGCATAAGTGGTGACGACCACCCCCGAGCTCCGCCGAACTCTGCACTCTTTCCCGAACCCTCGACGAACGCTAACGGACCGAACCATGCTGCAATGAACCCGGTAACTTCAAGCGTCACACCATCAAGACGTAAGGACAAAGACCACACGATTAAAAAACAAAAGACAGCCAAGTCAACCGATTTCGGGTTGACATCGGACGGCAACTGCAATACTTCCGGGAAGATACACATTCACCAGCGGAATAGTTCCATCGTAGGGAACTCAATGCAACGGGTTAGTTCCGCCAAAGTTCCAGATTCAGACCAACCCAAGTTCAAAGCTAACCTGATCGACGTTCACGTCCCGACTGCACTGCCAGATTCGACTCCCAAGAAATCGAAGCAGCGGGAGCGGGTAACGCAGTGGTTAGCTCAGTGCGAGCAGGCGGTGGAGACTTCCGATAACAAACACTGGTTTCGGTTACCAGGAATCGACTCCGACGATTCGCGCTGCAGCACGTGCGAGAAGGAGTTCGCGCACTACGGCGGAGTCGCCATGTCGACGAAAGACAGCACCGAGACGAGACCCAGTGTCGACTTTACCAAAGCTCGAATGTCATCTCGCGATCGCAAATTCCAGACGTCGAAATCTTCACGTAGATAATACCAATTACTTAACGGCTGGTCCGTAAATGTTTCCTTGGTTTTCCACAATTTTTCCATCACTGGGCCTAACTACAGGGTGTACCAGAATTGACCATAAATTTACTAAATAATTGTTCTAATAACAAAGTCCTTGTACAGAGACCCTGTTTCATTTTGATTAAGGCTATGGCATAAAGTCTTCAATTAACCGTGTTTATTTATTATTTATAGTTGCGTTTATTTGTCAGAAATTATAAATAAATTAGCGTTTTCAATAACATTTACAAAATACAGTTAAAGTTGCAATAATGGAAGTCTAGATGGAGGTTTGAAGTAACCTTGACCCACCTAACTTTACATTCACTGTGCTTACACACTCTCCGGCAGTCCTTATTATAATTACTAAAAACAAACAAGCCTAAGCTAACAATGAAAAGCGCGTACGCCAATTGCAATAATTTATATTTTAAGTATCATAAAACAGCACATCAGTGTAATTAGCCTGTTCTAACGAATTCAAATGGATAATTATTGAGCTTTTGTTTGTGTTGGATGATCTTCAAGCAGATTATTTTTTTGGAGAAGTTAAACAAAGAAATTGACTGGAGCGGGGTTTGAACCTGCGACCTCCGTTACAATTCATCTAGTCATGCCGTTTTCCTTACTTTGTGGTTCAAATTTGACAAACAGATTTTTATTAAACAATACTATGAGGTAGTGGAATACCTTGCCCGATGTCATAATGAACTTGGACTCCTCTGAAATCCGGTCTCTTTTATCTTATCTCAAACATGACTTGTCTGTCCCGATTCTAATTATCTTTAATTATAGCATGCGCAATACAGCCAGTACTAATCTGTATTTCATAAAGTTCCGCATTTTCACACCTCATCGTCTTTAAGGCGAGGCGCAGACTCGACCAGCCTGAGCTCCGTTGCACAAGTTTAGACCGACAGCAGTGGGCGTGTCACACTGGGAATACGCTCAGCTCGTATATCACCCCACGATGTAAAAAGGTCATTTCACTATATGTACTGATATTGAAAATGGTTAGTTTTGTCTTTTGATGGACCGCCAGAGAATCGAAAAATCTCGGGATGGGTCACCTGTTACACGCGGGAGGGCGCTGTTCAAAGCGTCTAGGGCTGGATCGTTTGACACCTAGAGGGCGCCCTTCCTTGCAGTCTTTTTGCACACAGCTGTTAACACCATGTTAACACGATTTCGACAGAAATGACGATATGGTTTTTCAATTCAAACAAAGGGATGATATCCCCTGACATAGCCCTGCTCAATATTATGAAACTGTCTAAGTTTGCTAACCTATTCTAGATTATTCGATGACTATTTCATGCATCGGTAATGCAACAGGTAACAGTCGTCGGCAAACACCCGTTGCGAAACGCGTTGCGAAAGCCACGCAAATTATTAAAAATTGATGTCAAATTTGTATAGTATTCTATAATTTTAAGCCTTAAATAAGTACAAAAAAATATTGTTATTGTTACAATTATATATCTGTAAAACTATTTTGGAATTAAATTCATAAACCCTAGACAATACCGAAATATACATTATTAAATCGTGACTAAGCCTAGCAGTAAAGCAACATGGCGGCGTCCAGGTACAGAAAATTTCTTCGTCTGATCGAAGAGTGGCCGGTAGATTCCAGTAAAAAGGGCCGCGATTTAGCAACGCATATTCGACAGCGTGTGGCCAAGGAGTTTTCCCGTGGAGAAAATACAAAAGTAAGTTGTTGAAATAATGTTTTCCGACTGAAATACTTGTACTTGTACTTGTAGGCCTAATTAATTGTGAATGATTGACTGAGTGAGTGTGTGCGACTGCGAGTACAGTAGTACGTCATTCCCTGGGCCCTATCCTACTGTTGACTGTGTCGGGTTTTTTTTACGCAGGGGCTATTGTTTTGGCAGCCGTAACGCATTTCCCATTTTCTATCGTTACGGTAGACTGCAACTTTTATAAAAACATGACAAGAAAATATAAAATTAGAAGGAAAAAGTGAATTTGAACGTTATGAAATTCGGACTTTATTTCCTTTTTAAAAAAATCCTCCAAAGCCTCAGGTTAGAAAAGGAAAAAAATTCGAGTGCAAAACTAAGATTCTAACCCGCAACCTCGCAGTGCAAAATCCTAACCTCTATCGACTGAGCTGTTGCACTGCTCGCTAAAACGTGTGGAAACAAATAATTATATACCTGCGTGCGTATCAATAAAGTATCGTAGAGGGCGCAAAACAACGACTGCCGTAACGATAGCCACTTCGTTTTTTTTAACGTGCAGTGGCTATCGTTACAACAACCATTATATAATTTTCAATACTATCGTTACGGCATTGTAAGAACACAGTGTGAATGTATCAGAATTGCAACTCAACATGCTCAACTGCCCAATCAACCAGTCCAGAGTGAGAATGCTTACTGGTAGCTTGATTGGTTTCAGCCGTCCGTTTCACATTTGATTATGAGCTGGGGATCCAGGTTCAAAACCCCTGCCACGAACCTCTGCCGCGCTACTCAATTTGTATATATATATATTTTTTTTTAGATAGGTAGGCTATATAACTTTTAGGTTCTAATCAAACTGTTGATTTCATTTTCTTCTTTCAAATCAGTGGTTTGAAGGATTTGTTTAATATAAAGGGAAATAAAGTCCTAGAACAATTTGGTTGATAGTCTGGTTCCAACAGCCAAAGATTGTGATGTTGAATACTATTATGTCAGGGAACCAGACAGTTCTTCTGTAACGATAGCAGTTGAAAGTGGCGTTACGGCTGCCGTAACAATAGCCACTGCATGTTTCAACTTATGTCAGTCGTCATTCCTGCATTCTGTTCAGAATTATTTTTTTACGAGCTTTTTTGTTTCTAATTTGCAGATTGACGAAAAAAGTTGTGACAAGAAGTATGAAGCATTGACGCGAATTCATAAAGACTTTTACAGACAGAAGGTAAGTATAAATTGCATTTTGTAGGCCCTACCAAATAAGTTGGGAGAGGTGTGGATTTTAGAACCCCGCTTGTTGTGTAAAGAGAAAAAAATCCACTTTTTAACTTTTGATGTTACAATTTTGCTTCTCATTTTGCAGTACCCGAGAATGCACGACACATCAGCTACAGGGTCGAGTGCTGAAGACTGCCACAGAGTTATGGCCTCCGGTAAATTTCTCCCCCTTTAGTTCATTTGATCTACTGGCCTAGCTATGAAAATGAGTGGGACTCGAACCTACAACCTCCTGCTTACTAGTGCAGACGTCTTACCACTCTACCACAGAGCTTGCCAGGGTCGGCTGACTGGTTCGAATCTGATATATATGGAATTTGTGTCATGGAGATGTAAATTAGACAATGGTGACCCTTTAGAAAGACTTTGCAATTCTCAATTCAAAACTGTAGCATAACATTTCATTATGAAGGTGTTACTTCGAAAAGTTGCTAAAAATGCTTGTTAAAAAGAAGAAAAAATCATCTTTGGAGAGAGATTTAGGAGTTATTATCAAAATAAATTTTCACTGACTGCAATCTTGTTTTTTACAGACACAATTGATGAGATGAACGAATTAAACAAAAGCATCTGGACGAGGTTCAAGGAGTCACTCGGTGGCAACAAGGAAGGATCAAGATAACAACTACGACAGTCCCATAAATGTATGGGATGGAAAATTCAGTTGATAATATTCATGTATACGACCTGTCATCACAAAAGGAATTTAAATTGGACTTTAAGCTCATTTTGTGGTGAGAGGTCACGACTATTTGATCAATTAAAATGGAAGTAGGATACAATGCAAGACTGCTCTGAATGCTGTGTACTGGCACATAGAATGATTTTCTTTTTACAAGAGGGTTATTTACTTGCATGCTAGATTTGTGAATTTGACAACGACTGATAAGAAGTTGAAGAAAAAAACGATGGGGCAAGCCTAGTAAAACTTGTCCATTAGACTGCAACAAAATGTTATTCAATTGATTCAGAATGGCTATTCACTGGAAGTCTTTCATGCATCTCGTAAACAGAGTGTGCCAGATTTAGCCCATTTATTTGGTTTAAAGGGTAATCCTACGAGATAGCACTGCCCGGCTGTCTTAACATGCCTACAACCAGTCAAACTGACAAGTGACAGTCACTCAGTCAGTCAGTCGGTTAGTCATTTGCGTGGAAAGAGTACACTAGGCTGCACTTCGGGACCGGCTTTTATTTTAAAGCTCAGGATCTCCCTTTTGAGCGGTTTAAGCTGTGCATGTTTTATGGTGTAAATCGAGGACACATATGTAAAGCAGTACCATACTAATGGGAGCTTTTGCAAAAATAAATATAAGCAAAATACATATATTAACAAAAGATCGAAGGTGAGGAACAATAGAAATCCTCGATTTATACCATAAACAATTATGTATGTTTTTGTATGTATATAAAATAAAATGTTATAATAAAGTGAATGTTAATAACTGTAAATTACAATCCACTTATGAGTTCTCAGATTGTTTTGACTTGAAAGTGTAATTTGCGTAAAATGGCGCATAAAAGGGCAAGCGTATATTGGCTTCAGTAGTTGATAAACGTAATTACATGTATTTCAATCCTTGGCCAAAGTGGTCTTTGTTTTCTGTATACATGTAGTATCCTACTAAACAAAAGTATAGAACAAGAAGAAAGTAATATCATTATGTTAATGCGTGCATTAATTAAAATGTCGGCATTGCGTTTATCGTACCGGTACATTATTAAATGAAACGTCTGCACTGCGTGTTTAGGACTTTGTGTAGTCGGACTAAAGTTGCCTGATTTGTAAACTGAAATAATGCTTTACGAAAAATAAAGTGATGTTTAAAATTGGCAGTTCCGTCTACGTTCATGAAGCATTAAATATAAGGAAGTCCTGAAACTTTTTTACTTTATAGGTCCCCGGAATGATACAGAAGTGGGCCTATTTACCTTTCATAAGGGAATAAATGTGTGCTCCGGAGGTTTTTATCACTCTGTTTAATACCACTTAGAGTCTGGGTGCTGATAATTACCCGAGCCGGAGGCGAGGGTAATTATCAGCACCCAGACTCTAAGTGGTATTAAACAGAGTGATAAATACCGACGGAGTACATATTTATTCCCATTCATAAATACCTTTTCGGTAAAAAAAAATCATATAATTCGTTCAAAACATCCCGATTTTGTTCAACAAATTCACTTTATGCTTTTTGAAACATCCCTCCTGCAAAATAATGGAGTGTTCAGCTGGCGAGTAAGATGAAAACAACCCTTTTATGGAGATTGACGCGCGCGTATCATGTTCTACGCGATGTCGCGCAGAACGCACCTGGCGCGTTGCGTTTTGAATTTAGAACTATAAAATTCGAACTCCCTGGTAGTGTTGCGCATGCCTACGTGAGGATTGTGAACGTTCAACCAATGAAACGATAAGAGGCACTGAATTTTTAGGAGTCCACATTTTATTGTGACACTGGAAAAGTGTTTAAGACCAGCTAGCCATGTCTTTATCATCCGTTTAATACCGGCCACGTGACGGGCTCTCGACCAATAGGAATGGCTAAACTGTCTGAGGTATTTATGAATACAATTTCATCTATAGAATGCCATGCAGCTTCTGCGCTACGGATGCCTCTGTATGGCATAGTTGACACCTTTTACCGCTCAAAATATTAGAAGAATTCCCCTCATTTACACTGTACAATTTCCATTGTCGGTTATGCTCTAACTGTCACGGAAACTGATATGTAAGAAGAAAAAAATACATTAATCACGCACAATACATTAGAATAGCGGCAGATTATAGTGACTAAATACACTCGTTGGAGACAGGCCTACATAATGAATCGGCATTGTACATTGTACACGGAATTTACGCCACGTAATTTTCTGGCATAGAGCCAGTTGCCTGCGAACATCATGTAGGCTATAATGTTGCGCAGTCACTCGTGACATGAACAATTCGTATGTGTACTGTCCCCATTATATTGTTCGATGACTGGTATCGCTAGTTTTAAGTATCGAAGTACATGTAATCTAGTTTACCTTTACCTGCAAAACTCCGATTATAAGCGCGATTGCTATACCAACAGTGCCATAATAATACTTTTTTTTAGTGTGATGTATCAGAGCCACCATGCACAAACTTGCTGACTCAAACTTCTGGAATTCCTTTGTTTGATAACATATTCTTTGTTGGGGCCAATCGCATGCGATATAATCGCTGTATTGTAATCAGAGAAAGTCTCGTTGAAAGCTCACCTACCAGTTTGAAATGCTCGCCGTGACGTTTTACCTAACTGTTGTTGGTGACCAGATACCATGTCCGTCATAATATAGGTACATGTTAGGGTCTATGAAAAGACACGTAGGTAAATGCAGCAAAACAGGTATTCGGGATTTCCCAAGGTACATTGTGGCGAAGTGACTAACCACTTATTTTCAGCCACAACTTCGGTATTGCGCAACTTGTTCCGTGTACATACGTCATCTTGTTGGCTGTGTTGTTCCCCTTTCCGTTTTGGGGTTTGTTTTTATTTTGGTTTTGCAACTGAAATAGTGCAGTTGGTACTCCGCCGTCTATGCTTTGGCAGGAACCGCCGGACACGACACGACAATCGGCATCCTGCGCTCACGGTACCATTTTCTGTGCTGTGATAGTGGATTTTACTACGCGTGTTTCAACTCGTTAATCTACCAAAAGATGTGATTATGCTACAAAGGCCGCAGAACATCGTTCGGTCACTGACGGCGGTAAGCTGTAACGCTTTTTTTATCATCTTGTCTGAATCTAACGAACTATTAGATTGATTTAATTTTTCATTTTTTTAAGCTCATGCATGCAGGAAAACATTGGAATGTTTTTAAGTAAGATTTGAAACTTTGCATGGCGGTAAAGTGCAAACTATAATGGAAGTTTGCGGTAACAGCAGATGTGGTAAGAACTCTTTTGAGAAGATGTGTGGTTCTGAAAAGAACCGGTTGGTTGTGAACTTGATGTTCCGATCAGTAAGCAGAGCTTATACCTCTGGTTCTTTTCAGAACCATTCTCTTAGTTGAGAAATTATTCGCACATGGTGTTTCCTCAAACCTTCATTATTTAGTATCTCCACCAGCATGCAAAGCCTCAAATCTTACTTAAGCTCGTTTTGACTAATGGGCAAAAATGCAGTGATGAGCACTCTCTTGTGCTAAATGAAGAGCAATCAAATGATGAGATATATAGGCTTTTGTAGATCGCTATCCACCCACCACTCCTGCCAAATTAAAAAAAAAATCGGACGGTCGATATGGAGATAACGATGGGGGCACCTTGTGCCCTCTCATCAGTAGGGTTAACGTGTGAAACGGTACCTTCTTTTAAAAGACATGTTTAAGCTACTCATTAGAAAAGGCTATCATTTAATATTTTTAGACATGAAAAAAAAACAATTAGAGGTGGGAAAACATTCATTGACACCTCGTTTTGCCACCTTAGATGGTAATTAACAAGTACCAACATCTGGTCCAGCCGATGGACTACAGGTACAAAAAATGTTGTTTTTTGGTGGTGCACAAATCATTTTGCAGTTCATGCATATGCCTACATTGGATTATTATTTGTCCATTACATCTTGAGAAATTTGAACAACACCGGAACATCACCATCTCAGGACACTGCACAGAGATACAATATGTATTTACTACCTTGTTAGTTCTTTGAAGTCTAATTTTGCGGTAAATTGGCCGAAGTAATTGGCTGAATAGCTGAATGAATTCGTTTGGTATCTCTCGCAGATGACCAGTGCCTGTTTCATTGGTGCCGCTAGGATTGTGTACAATCCACATCAACAAGGTAAAGAAAACCCTTTTTGGTTTCATTTTTTTAAATCAGTTATGGAATGTTCACGCCCTCATGTGGGGAATTTGAAAAGGCACATTTGCTTTTCATGCATTTTGTTCGTTTATAATTACACCACTCAAAATCCAAAGAAGAATGTTTAAAACCTAAAGTTTCAGCTCAGCAGATATTACACTTTTCGAGAAAACAATGAAAACCATGCGTGACAGCCTTCACAAAACACGATTTCGCCAATAACACTCTAAAAAAATGAATTATTGGAGATCACCTACATTTCTTGAAAATGACGGCATGCCGGACAGAATAATTTCACGGTGTGTTTAGTTCTAGTCAGGCTAGCTATAAGTCAGCAAGTTGAACATTTTTAATAATAAGTCTTTAGGTTACTTTTGGGATAAATGCGAATGACCCTATATATATATATATGTCTTTAATGGTCTCCTGACGATGACTAGAGCAGGCTAGCCCAAACGTTGAGACCAAAGACAAGTTCTTTCAAAACTTAAAGCAGGACTGTTCTTATCAGAACAAAAATTACTCAGCAAAACTTGATAATAAGCAGGACAAGTTCTTTTCAGAACTAAATATCTTCTAAGCAGTTATTACCATATGGTGTTACCGCAAACCGAAACGATACCGATAGAGTTAATTACATTTGAAGGTGAAAGTTAAAATGTAATGCTCTGCGAATATAAACATGTGGGCGTAAAGGTTGTGGAGGCGTTTTTGTTGTAAATTTACGGGACTTTCCTCGGATTTTCCCTAACTTTGCATTGTCGGTTGTCAGCCGTGGCCCCCATTGAACACATGGCCTTGAAATCACAAAGAGCCGGTAGTGAGCCTCACTGTACAGTTTGCATGATAGTGCATGACGCTTCACGATTTTGTATACAAAGTAATATTGGCTTTCTTTCGTAGGCCTGTAAATTGCAAAATGATTTAAGTGTTTCACGTTCCGAGATTTACAGTATAAAAACATGTACATGTAGTAACCCCAATCATCGATCTCACAGTCCACAATGACAACGAAAGTAGTGTTGTTTTGGACAGCACATCTCATTTTGTAGTGAACAAAGGCAACATTAATTAGATACACAGTGAGATTTGATTGTTTTGTTAGTCAGCTTGACTCGGTCAGCCATGATTGCAGTGGTATGCAACTAATATAAGACCTTAATTACGATGAAGCTATTTTTGATCGTGTTCCCTGACTGTATTTTATAAATTGTAAACTGTTGAATGGGATGGTGCCAGACTATTTATGCGTTCCAAGCCGTACTTTCAATTTTTTTTATATTAAATTGTGGCTTAAAACATTAGGGTATGTTTAATTACACATTTTAAATTATTCATGACAGGGCAGACTGGTATTAAGTTGTAATTAACTTATTTCCTTGTTGTCATTCTATTCGCAAGTCCCAAAAAATGAAGATTTTACCTCGTTTTCAATTTAATATGGCCGACTCGTGAATAAAGCATATACCATATCACGTGATGAAAATTCATATACACTGACAAGTTCAAAAATTTAAAGCTGATCCATCAAGTGTCATATGTGCGTCGTGCTATCTCTTAATTGACTCACTCACTGACTGGCATTGGTGATCCGGGCAGTGCTATCGTATAGAATCACCCATAACGCTTAGATGAATGAAAAGATCAGAACTGACGCTCAATATACATGTATGTTACAGAGTGAAGCACCACTCTTTTAAAGAGCCAAACGGGGACAACTCTTTTTGAGTGTTTTGCTCCCACTCTTTCATAGTGAAGTTTGCATCTTTTGAAGTGGTTTTTCAATGTGACCCATATAGTGACAACCACTCTAAAATCGGAGTGCATTAATTTCAGCTATTTTTAAAGAAGGGGAAAATGTCGAGTATTTTTTTTTTTTTTTACAGTCTTTCACGTTCAGAGAATGCATGAAAAGACTTCTGTGAATAGCATTCCGTGAAAAGCTGTGAATAGCATTCTGTGCTCTCTGAGACAATCTTTACTGTCGGCTTGCCTATAGTATAAACAAAGCGTGATATCATTATGTTACAGACCTATTGCTTGTATGATCAACTCCTAGTGTTGTCTTATTGGCTTTGGTCATAATATTTCAACACCCTCATATCTCATTAACATCGTGCCGTTTAAAAGCTGCAAAAAAATAGAAGTAGAATGCATGAAGTGTTGCCCTTTTTGCTGGATCGAACTTCTTTTGCCCTCCGTTAGGCGACAATAGAGGGCGCCCTCCCGACAGACTGCTTAATGACGTTGCTAAGGAAATCGTAAGTGACTGGAGGAGGCTGGGGATTGATCTTGGCCTCAGTCGGGCAACCATTGCCAACATTGAAAGACTACCCAACAAAGACGAACAAGACAAAGCGTTTGAGGTAAGGATGATTTGTAAAACTTTGAAGAATTGGAAAGGACAGGAACGGCAAGAATGTCACCGAGTAGGGCAAGTTCTGCCATATACAGCGTGTCCCCAAAATGTAACAGTCTTTTTTCTGAGGAAACTATTTTCTAGATGATGGAGTGTTTCCTTACCCTTGGCAGGATTTTTGTGATTTGGACCTTTTGTTTAAAAGTTACGGCAAAGCCTGTATAGACTTCAAAATCGGTTGGGCCACTTTTCAGATTATCTGGTATCTAATGAAAGGCATTCACTCATCGTCTTGGTATGTGAATGTCTTTCATCAGATACCAGATAATCTGAAAAGTGGCCCAACTTGGACTTCAAGTGGCCTTTCATTGAATTAGTTGTATCTCTGGACTGGGGTGCCCAAGTGAGACGGGATGAAGACCATTGTGTAGAGTATTTGCTTTACCTTCAGACTCTTATAGTTCTGCAAAAAGAGAGTGCTAGTATTTTTAATATTAATTATGGATTGACTGCTACATTTTTATTAACACACGCTGTGTAGAACCATATTCTGTTGCAGATTCCCATAACTTCAAATGAGTTCTAGCCGCTCTACCAACGTTTGCCGGTTTTCGTAATCAGAATGTTTGTGTCAAAAGGAACCGCCCCCCCCCCCCTGCTTTAAAATAAGCCTAGTTCTCTTTGTACATGACTGACCGACCGATGGTCTAAATCAATTGAATACAAATGTTGTGCACTCTCGGATCAGCTTTACTGTCTTGATTAAACCACAGATGTTGACAAGCTGGAAGCAGAAATTGAGAAATGGGGAGGACGGCTTCAGACTCCTAGTTGCCTCACTAAGCAAGTGGGAGCGAAACGACCTTGTCGAGATGGTTGAGAATGCATGTCTTGGTAAGAAACTTTTTTTTTGTTACATGAGCTAGTCTAAGCTATCTACCAAGAGTTTTTATAAACAGTTTGTAAAATGGATCTTTTCAATTTTAGAGATGCCAGTGGTTAATCGTGATGACTTGGCAGCTCGCATCAGAGGGATGCTTAGATCTAAATACTGCGGGCATCGTATCGTCACCACCTCCTCAAATGGCGAAGTAAAATTTGAATTGCCTAACATTTTCACTCCCCTGGAACTCACTAAGAAGGCAGTTGTGTCAACAAGACTAGGAGCACACATGGAGCTGCTTGACTTGAGAAACTCCGATGGGGACATGTACAAGCAAATCCTGGTCAGAGGACCGATGGGATGCGGGAAGACTGTTCTCTTGAAAGCCATTTCGCAGGATTGGTCTAAGCAAAATGCCAATCTTAGCAGCTCCGCCAGCATGTATGAGTTGATGTTTTCCATTGATCTCCGGGACGTCAGCGAAGCAGAAGACCTGGCCGATCATGTCTTTAAGCAGCTTCTGCCCGATGATATCACAGACCTGTCCAGTGACTCTCTCCGATCGTATCTCGAGGATCCAGAGAAGCAGTCTAGAGTCGCTGTCCTCCTCGACGGGTTGGACCAACTCACCTGCTGCGGTAACAAACTCAGCTCTAAAGTGGTCCCCGAGTATTTCTACAAGCTGATCACGAAGAAGGTCCTGAGGGAGAGCTTGGTCATTGTGGCTTCCCGCACTCTGACGAAGAAGCTTCCCGACTCTTACCAAATAGTAGACGTGGGGGGCCTCAGTAAAGAGGCTGTCACTACTTACGTCGAGAAGTTCTTCCAAGGGGATAGTGCAAAAGCGCACTATCTCCAGGATGTCCTAGTGAGCTACTCACCAGACCTGAGAGACTTCTCGACGAGCCCAAATATTGCCTGTGCTCTCTGTGAGCTGTTGAACTCTAAGGGTGAAAGGGGGTTTCCTACGAAGTTAACATCGCTTTACGACAAGATATTTGAGGATATGATGAGGCAGTACCAGTCCGATATCTGCTTACACGGCAATGGTCCAATAAGATACTTGGCCAAAAGCGTCCTGAAATCTATGGATCTCGCGGACGTTTTCCCAACATTTCACAACCCAGTCCCAGTCAGAGACGAACAACTTGGAAGGTTCTTCCATGACATCGGGAAGGTGGCTTTACGGGGCCTTCTTGCCCACAGAGAGAATCAGGATTTTGAAGAATCCGACTTCGGGAGAGACACTCTGGCGATAGCCAGATCAGTTGGTCTTCTGGTAAAAGGCGATGAAACCTCTGCAGTTATCAGGTTTTGTCATCAAAGCATGCAGGAATACTGTGCGAGCAAATACTGTCAGAGCCTCGCCGCATCAAAGCCGACTAAATTTAGAAAGAAACTTTTGGAGAAAGACAGTTTGGTAGACCTTGTGAACCTGTACCGGTTTTGCTGCGGGGGAAGCGGGGAAAGCAGTGATCTTGTCATGAAGTTAGTCGTCCCATGTCTGGCTCAGAAAGAAGTAGCCGTCGGAAGCTGTCTGGAGGGAAGGGTGGCTCTGGCTTGCCTGACTGAGTTCCACTCAGATGACTTCCTCCGGCATTTGGTGGGGTTCCTTACCAAAGAAGGTTCGATCAAAGTTGAGTACTCGTTCTCCGGCTCCTGCCTCCTGCGCGACTTATGCAGTGTTCTTGCCACAGCACATGGCAGAAAAGAATTCAGGCATAACCTAGAAAGTGTGCACACCTTGGATGTCAGTTGTAGGATGAACACCGGATGTATCAGGCGTATCGCAGAGATGGTAAGGCAACTGAGACATCTGCAAACAGTCAGTGTGGTCGACAATTCTAACCAAATCCCGTTTCAGCTGGATACAGCTCTGAACGGTGAAAGAGTTGCTCTGCATCCGGTGAGTGAGCTGTCTTCAAGTCTGAGACGCCACCACCTCTCCAAGCTGACCGTTATCAACTGCGGCTTAGACTCCAGATGCCTGGCATCAGTGCTGAGCCAGCTGCCTGATTTGCAGTCCCTGGACCTGTCAAACAATCCAGGGATCATCTGGTCCCGGCTCCGGATGACTGCCCAACCTCCCAGGTTGACGACGTTGACTCTGAGGCAGTGCGGAATCAACAAAGACCAAGTAGGCAGCTTTGTCCAGTTTCTCCAACAGCAGCCGGATCTCGTAGAGCTTGATATTGACAGGAATGACCTGGACACGTCCGGTCTTGGCCTCATCCTGGACGCCCTCTGCGACATGGGGAAGCTCCAGATTGTCTCTGCAGAAAGGAGGCGCTCGGACGGCATGCTGCTTCCTCACGACGAAACCGTGAGGATGCTAAGACGTTGCAGTACCCTGAAGGCGCTCAACGTGAGCAGATGGGAACCGATGGACGAAGACGCTGGAGCAGAGATGCTTGAAGCCGCAAGCAATCTGGATGACTTCCAGGCACTCATGTAAGTTCATAGTACAAACAACCCTTCTCTCATTCTAGAAAGTAAAGGTCCAATCACCACAAAGACATTACATCTTCCGGAGGCTATTATTTGAAGTCGAACGACCCTCAAACTTTCTACAGGAAATAAAAATGAATGACAAGATTCAGTTCAGTTTAATTAAACCCCTACGCATCATCGTATATGATTGTTATTTTCTTTGGCTGTATAATGGGATCCCCCTTTCTAAAATGGGGGCTAACAGCGTGTTTTCTTACCATTTACTGATTGCATGACTGTATAAGGGCTAAATTGAAAAGAGGTCTACTTTTCTTTAAATATTTTTTTTGTTTCCAGATTCGATGAGAGATCAGTCATTGTCGACGAGTTAGGAAATGTAGCTACTTCGCAAGTACAGAACTTTAACAAATTGACACACACATTCTCGACATTTGATTTTAGAAATGGCTCTCGAAAGAATTCGTAATTACAAGATGTTTAGTTTATGTCATTTTGGGCAGGCCCTTATAGTAATCCAGCCATAGTTCTTTCCCGGGGATAGGAAATATACACAAAGAACTATAACTCATTGATAAACACAAAATTGACATCTGATTTTAAATATGCCATTTTTACATTTTCCTAATTTCAAGATGTTTCCTTTTGTGTCATTTTTGGCAGGCCCTTGGAAGCCCAGAATGAGTTCTTACATGGTGAGGATCAGCTAGGGAACGAAGCAACTGTGTACGTATAAAGAACTTTTGAACTTTTGCCAGAGAAAATCGACATCTGATTATCTATAATGGCACTATCTCTAAATGTAAATATGTTTATTTTGTTATTTTTGGCAGGCCCTTGGGAACCCGGACTGAGGAGCTCCTTCTTGATGATCCTGACGATTTTTCCCCACACAGGAAAAAATCAATGCAAGAAAACTAAGTTCTGACATCGCAGCGGGAAATAAGATTGAAATCGCCGCTACATCAAACAAAGGGCTTCCGAATTCACGACGCGGGAATTTACCGCGTCGATCAAGCAAATTTCATTGCAGAGTTTCGCGCACCCTAACGAATTTTCTGAACTGTATACTCGGTATTTCCTGTGGACAATAAGAAAAACACGTAGGTCGGACTCGAACCCACGACCTCCTGATTACAAAAAAAAAAGCAGCTGTAAAAAAAGGGTTTTCACAGTCCGGTTTTCACAGGAGTCTTATTATCGGGTTAATCTCTCGCACGTGACCAGTCACTCTCCTATAATTACTGACGTAGTAGGCGCAATACCAATGAGTCGGATATTCACACTGCACCTGAAACTAGTGCAAAGCGGGTGTTGAACAATTGGGCGCTAGTAATCAGAGGTGCGTGCGCGTGTATGATTATTGAAGTCACAAGACGAACTTGATAAACCAATCCATTTAGCCCCGCCCATGGTTTTGGCCAATCACGGTGGTTGATAATCCAAAATACACACGCGCTTGTGACGCGCGCGGCTCGAACATGCGCAGGGTGGCATGTGGGTGGTGCTAGCTCATGCTGACCACGTGCGAAATGGGCGTGACCTAACGTGAACGGTACATAAATTTGTATTCAAGCGATGTCTGAAAAATCGGTACCAGCAGATTTCACTTTGACTTGCGAAAAAGCATATTATTAAATTTGACCGAGCGAATTATGGATGATTGACATGTGCTTAAAATTGGGCGATGGTTGAAGATCTGCAGTACTACTTTTATGTTAAGTTTTCTTGTTTAAAATTGTTTAAAATTTGTTTGGAAGTCCTGCAATATTTTTGCTATGAAATCAAATCAGCTTCAACATGAAAATGAGCATAACAAAAGAACATACACAATGTATATAACTGCCAGTTGACAATTACCTTTTTATTTTTCAAAAAATAAACAAGGAATAATATGATTGCATCTAAGAAACGAGCAAAAACAAATGATATTTATAAACGATTCCTGAAAGAACTAAATGAAAATGGTGTACTATAACCTTATACGAACAGACACAATTTTTAAATAACCCAGTACAAAAGCGCATAATTGTAGGTTAAAATTTGCTACATATTTAACAAGGTTCAAGGCTTGGATATTGCAGTCTCACCAAGTCATGAATATGCACGTTTTGCGGTCAGGTGATCGTGCATGTTGAATATGCATGAATGATCCTTTCAAATGCAAAGTCAGTTTTTAATGTATGTTTTTGTGTGCAAATCACCCAGTACAAAAGCGCATACTTGTAGGTGAAAATTAGCCAGATATTAACATGGTTCACTGCTTGGATATTACAGTCTCACCAAGTCATGAATATGCATGTTTGCGGTCAGGTGATCGTGCATGTTGAATATGCATGAATGATCCTTTCAAATGCAAAGTCACTGCTTTTATGAATGTACAATGTATGTGTATGTGCAGCAGCAAAGCCCAGTTTTATAAGGATTATAAATCAAATCAATATTGATTTTAATTTAACAAATGTATCATTTCAAATCTGGATAAACTTGGAAGTGATGAATCAAACTCGCAAAATCTTCAGTATTATATATATTATACATTGTATAATGTATAGTTGTTTTCTGCAACGGTTACAGATTTCTGGAAGATGTGTTTCATCACAGATCTTACTATAAACATATCATTTCAAATCTGGATAAACTTCAAACTTGGTAAAGATGTATCGAACTCGCAAAATCTTCAGTGCAATAAATGTTATACATTGTATAACTATTTTCTGCAATCTTACAGCATAACCTCAACAGGGTAGACTGGGCACAATGTATTCGTGCACATATTCAATGGGATCACAAATTAACAGTGAACGAATAAAGAAAATTGACTTGGTATACGAAATAGTTGTGCATTACCTAATTTTTTTTGGTGCCACAGGAATACATACACACAGGTATATACATTGTATATCAATTTGAAACAATACCATAAACGAACCAACATTTTTTATTTTTACATTTTTGCCTTCTGTCTGTACCCTGGAGAAAAAGATGAATATTGCTGCAACATGCAATTCAAAGTTACATATAAAGCTGGTGTAATTTCTGATGTAAATTATGAATGAAATTGTTTCTGCAAAATTACAAATAGTGGATTTTGGTAACAGAGTACACGTATAAAAATTATTACTTTTTCTTGTGTACAAATGCAACAAAGACCTGAACATGTAGTAAAAAGTACAACTACTTTTTTTTCAAATTTGAACTGAGCTTGTTTTTAATAATGAATTAGCTTCAAATTTTTTGGTATTTTTTTTCTTCATAAAACAAAAGAAACTCTAGACGAGTGTTTCAAACTATCAGCAACAACAAACAGGAAAAGTGACAAATATGTACCACTTTCTACTGTAAACAAATTTATTGCTTTAATTGTAAAAAGTAAAGTATTCCTAAACCCCATTATGTCTAAACTTTAAGAATGCTCATCTCTCAACATTTAGTTCACATCAAGTACTGGATGAAACTTATTAACAACAAAGGGATTGAAAACCCATGTAGGATTTTCTCGCATGTGTTATAGCGGTCGTGCAGTTTTATGGCCCAATTGCGAATCTGCGCCCATGCAGGTATCAAAATAAATTGAGGTCCCTGTTCTTTTAGCCAGTTCACGTCCGTTGACGTGTCTACACGCAAAGGTTTTGCGGTATTCAGAACGGATGCCGGATAAATACGCAACGAGAGAGGTTGGAAATATCGTCTGCGACCATCTCGCAGCGAGCCAGGCCGGAAATATCAGGGTGTGCTACCCGCAGATGACGGCCTGAACCCGTCTGGCATCGAAGTTCGAGAAAACAATCCCGCGCCTGGGACCGATCATGTCAAAATAATCCCGGCGCGAACTGGTCAAAGCATTTTGCGAGAGGAAAACCTTTAACTGCGAATGCACAAGATGTTTGCATGATAATTATGTAAAAAAAAATCTACACCACAAAAAAGATAAGATAATGAAAAAAAAAATGCTGTACATAAAAATTACGACCACCACCTTTCGCTGATTTTTTTCCTGTCATTAAAGCTCATCTCTCCCTTCATCTTCATCCATATCAAAGTCGCTTAAATCAATGTCCTCTTCCTCGGGCATCTGAAAATAAAAGAGGTAAAAAATTAAACATTTTTTTCAGAACTGAGACAAAATTATTCATGGGATTTTTCAGAAATTTGACTTCAAAGATTTTAAGCCTTGTACTATGCACTGTCAATGCTATTTTTGAGTTCTTGCCCCGAAAAGTAGGATTTTTTTTAAATTGTTGTTTTTCTTTCTTGCAATACAAAAGTTATTCACTTTTGAATGAGACATCATGAAAAAAACTGCCCACGTTACTTTTAATGGAATATTTACTGTGCAAATTTATAATTATTTGAGGTCAACAATAACTCGGGCATATCTTTCCTGCAAGCCAAATTAAAAGTGTATTATCAGATGCTTGAAAATGGCTAAAATAGAAAAATAGTTTGCATAAAACACACACATTGAAAAGTTGTCAGCTCAAAAAGCGAACTTGTTGAAGGGAATCGGTAGAACACCTTTCAGTAAAGACAGTTATTGTATTCATAAATCTTTTGGGATTCATAATGAAGGATCAGCAAACTCACCACGCCGTCTTTGCCATCCCACGGATCCGTTTTCTTGATTTCGCCTAATTTTTTATTTGGTACAACTTCCGTGGTGAGACCTCTACCCATTGCTGCTGCCCTGCGGAAAGCAATCACATCAAACGTCGTCAAAAGAAGTTCTCATTTCTTTCATGCCAGTTTCATTTGGATGCTCTAGGAAAACAGGATTGTTTAAATCTCTGAAAAATACAAACTTCATTTCTGCCGCCTTTAAGGCCGCTTCAGTTCACGCAAATGCAAGCACGGGCGATTTTGATGTCATTTAACAGCTGCTGCCAAATTCTGCTGACTTTGAAATGTGTTCAACTTTTGCCAATTTGAAAACTTGTCATGACGTTACAATTTCGTGTTCGCGTTTACATCCACTTCCTCATTGAGTTTGAACCGGCCTGAACTCTGAGGAATTCCAATTGACCTATCGCCGTTTGCGAGTTAGCCACGCCCCTTAGACAACCATATGGAATTGTGTACGTTAAGTATTTGTCTGAGATTTTGCGCGTTCCGCGTCCATTTGTATATCATGTGTATTTGGACAATATTCCACAAGCTGCGTTGACGCTATTCTACCGTGATAGTTTAATACCCAAGACCTGTAAAAAATGTGTTTACTGCGCGCGTATCACTGGTGACCAAAGATGGCGTACGGGTGCTTCAATGCGTGTGCGTTGGCAGCCACTTCAGTATAATATAGAGTTTAGCGTTCGGATCCCTAGATGAACATACCTGAGATATTCATGAATGCCCTCTTTACTGAACGATCCCTTCAGTCTTGTGTAGGTCATCTTGCGACCGTTCAGTACCGCCATGGCAGGATAGCCAAATCCTCCGATACCCAACGAGCTTTCCAACTCCGGCTGAGCGCCTGCCTCAGCCCATATCCACCTTGCAAACAGAAGGAAAAAACAAAACAGTGCACACGGTCAATTATGCTTCAATCTAAGGATGGCAATGTTTCTGCAAAATGAATCTGCTTATAGACTTATCCAGTGACAGCCATTTTCCAATAGAGTTACCAAACTGCACACACACTTTGTCTTTAAGAATAAGTGCAGCATGGGCACGACTGTGGCGCCACCACAGTAACAACTTCAAATTCTGGTCGCCAGATTCAACTACGAAGTATTTCTTTCTGCCCACCAATCAGCTTTGCAAATATTTCTTTCTGCTTAGCAAGCGTATTTCTGTAAGTATTTTTTTTCTGCTAAGCACATCTTCTTTTCTGCTTAGCAAGTATACATTTCTACTTAGTAAGTATTTTTCCTGTTAAACTAGTATTTTTTCCCAAAGCAAATATTTTTTTCTACTTAGCAAGTACTTTTTTCTGTTTAAACAAGTATTTTTTTTTATAGCAAGCATTTTTTTTTTTACAAAGCAAGTATTTTTCTGCTTAGCAAGTATTATTTTCTGCTTAGAACGTATTCTTCTCTGCTTTGTAAGATTTTTTTTGCTTAGCAAGTATTTTTTTCTAAAAACAAGTATTTTTTTCTGCTTATTAAGTAAACTTTTCTACTAATAGCAAGTTTTTTTTCAGCTAAGCAAGTATTTTTTTGCTTAGAAAGTACTTTTTTATGCTAAGTAGCAAGTGTTTTTCTCTTCTTAGCGAATTGATTACTGGAATCTTACCCCCATTGCTTGTAGCGTTCTGTGTTGTCCTTGAGGTGTTGGAGGTACTGGTTGCGTCCGACGGCGCCGGAATCCAGAATATGAGGCAGAAAGGAGATTACGCAAAGCTGATGACTCTCACATGCATTTTTAAGGACTTGTTCCTCAGTTATCTGAAGAAAAACGAAAATTGTTTAAACCTTCAGGCTTAGGCTGTGACAGGGGGGGGGGGGCTCTCAAAGTGAAACAAATCTCCTTATTTGAATTTTTTTTAGGTCACTGCCGGGGGGCGGACGCTCCCTCCGCAAACCCTGGATCCGCCACTGATACTGTTTATGCACTGGCTCCAGAAATGTCAAAATCCACTCGAAGATTCGGGTGGACTTTGAAAAAAAATGAGGAATTCACAGCTTAGTCACTACTACTTTTATCTTTTATTACCAGGGTTGTGATCCCCTTTGAGGTTAAGCTTAAAGAATGCAAAGTCCTTAAAAACACAAAATTTCTGGTTATTAGATGAATGGATTTGGTGCATTACCTCAACCACTTCTGGTGGTGGCATGGCTTCGGCGACTTTACTGCTTGCCCAACTGACAATATCTGAGGCCGTGCGCCCACCGTTGAATTCCTCCGCATCACTCATGGTCTTCTTGCCTGCCGGGAAATACTTAATGGTTGGGTAACCTCGAACCTGCGGAACAAGAATACACATCAGAAGTTCTGAGAAACGAGAGTAAAGTAGGGGCAAAGTGGCTTGCCCAAGGTCACAACACATGGCCAGCAGCTCCATTCAACCCCGACCAAAGATTTGAACTTTGAACCTCGAACCTAAGGAACAAGAATACACATCAGAAATTCGAAGAAAAGAGAGTAAAGTCGTAAAGTAGGGGCAGAGTGGCTTGCCCAAGGACACAACACATGGCCAGCAGCTGGATTCAAACCTCCGACAAAAGATGTGAACTTTGACAGTCAGGAATCACAAATCCACTTGGTCACACTAAAGATTTATGTTCGATCCCAATTTTAATTTACAAGTGGAGAGTAGCATATAGGGGTAAAGTTGCTTGCCTAGGGACACAACTGTCCCCAAAGGTTGTCAGAAGTCAATACATACCCCAAAGGCACTGGCTTTGACGGTATGCACCGTTGAGTCCAACGCTCCGAGTTTGAATTTGCCTTTGAGTTGGGTGGCTGCCTTGGCCCACTCTGGGGCGAGGTTTTTACAGTGACCGCACCAAGGGGCGTAGAACTCCACCAGCCAGGGGTCTGTACTGTCCAGGACTTCTTCCTCGAAGTTGCTGTCTGTCAGGGTGATGACATCTTTGTCACTTGCCTGGGAAAAGACCGAAAGAAAACCAGTATAAAAATCAGCACCTGTCAGAAACAACTTGATTTTGTTTAGATCTTTCAAGTCAAGTTCAAGTGTATAATATTGATGTTAAATTAAGCACTTCAGAATTCACCACTCTCCACAATTGCAGACACAGCTGTGACGTAGCCATCTTGTGATAACTTATGACTTGTGACTGACTTGTGACTGATTTGTGATTGACTTGTGACTGACTTGTGACTGACTTGTAATGGACTTGTGACTGACTTGTGATTGACTTGTGACTGTCTTATGATTGACTTGTGACTGTCTTGTGATTGACTTGTGACTGTCTTGTGATTGACTTGTGACTGACTTGTGATTGACTTGCTATGGACTTGTGACTGAGTTGTGGCTGACTTGTGATTGACTTATGACTAAATGTCTTGTGACTGACTTGTGATTGTCTTGTAGTTAACTTGTGGTTGACTTATGATTGTCTTTTGATCAAAATGTTATTGACTTGTGACCCACTTCTGACTGACTTGTGATTGACTTGTTGACTTGTGATTGACTTGTGACTGACTTGTTGTGATCGACTTGTAACTGACATGTAAATAACCTCTGATTAAACTTAGACTGAAGGTTGATGGATTTTGGTGATCTGCGAAGACTAGTGATGACTTCTGTTTGACTTTTGATCGACTTCGGATCAACTGCTGACTGACTCATTATGACTTGCTATTCATTTTTTGACTCAATTACAACTTTACCTTTCCCCCGCTATCGCCAGATCTGCCTGATCCGCCCCTGTCCCCGCCCCCGCCTCCTCCAGACTTTTTGCCGCTGAGTCTTCCATTAACGACATCCTTTGCAACTTTCAATGCTTCTGTTGTGATGGCATCAGCACTTCTGGCACCTGAAAGCAAAACGACAAAAACCTTCTAAGATCTTTCAAAATCCAATGGGAATAATTTGGAATATTAGGAATAACCAGAATTATCTAGGTAAACAATCATGCTCAGGGACAGTGACTTAAGTTGAGTTTCTGAATATTTGTGCTTGTTTACACAAAACCTTGAGACACTGCCTTGGTGAGGTTACACACTACTGTTAATCACCAGAATTCTGCAGGTAAACCATCCTGCTCAGGAACAACAACTTAAACAGATAACCTGACAGGTTTGTACTTGTTTGCACCTAACCACGAGGTAAAGTCTTGGTCACAAATATGAAAAATAGAATTATCCAGGTAAACAATCCTGCTCAGGGACAATGCCTTACCTTGGTAATCTGTTAGCTTCTGCTTGTTTGCACCAAATATTTTGATGGGGGGAACTCACAGCGTGTGCATACTGTACTGGTTCGCGTGCGAAGTGCGCACAACAAGCTATTAGCCACAGCATCTTCGCGTGATCGTCAGGTGTAGTCGGCGCGCGAATGCGTTAAAATTTAACTTGCGATGGTCTCCCAGACTGATTCTTTGGATCATTTGAAATACGCAGTGGATGGACCAGGAACTAGTCTAGGTCACCCCTACTCTCCTTTTCTGGCCGTTGAAGGAGTACTTGATGTGCACGGAGCCCATTGCGAATCACTAGGATTATCCAGGTAAACCATCAAGCTTAGGGACAACACCTCACCTGGTTTATCAGAAAGCTTCTGTTTGTTTACCCCAAACCTTGAGGCAAAGCCTTGGTGCACACTAATGTAAATCACCAGAATTATCCAGGTAAACAATCTGGCTTAGGGACAACAACTTAACCTGATTACCTGATGGTTTGTACTTGTTTGCGCCAAACCTTGAGACAAAGCCTTGACACACTATTACGAAAAATAGAAATATCCAGGTAAACAATCCTGCTCATGGACAACAACTTACCTTGATAATCTGTTGGTTTCTGCTTGTTGGCACCAAATATTTTTATGGTGGGGAACCCGCGGACTCCATACTGGCTGCCTACGGCCTGGTGCTCAGTCGCATCTACTGCTGCTACTCTCACAACACCCTAGAGAAAATTATTAAAATTTGTTTTCACTGAACTTTGAAAGCTAGTATAATCAGGAATTGTTTAACCCCTTGTCGCCGGGTTTTCACGCATCACTGCACAGTAGCCTCTTCGCAGTAGCCGCAGTAGCAGCACTGCACAGTAGCAGCTGCTTAGTAGCTACCCAACAACGGCATAGCTCGGCATACCACGGGAGCACGGCCATAGCTGTCAGCCGGTGAGGAGGGGTTAAGGTTGCTGTACAAGTAATTATGTAGAGATACCTGCATAAGTACTGAATTTGTGCAACAATTGTTCAGATACCAGTAATTAAATTAAAGATGAAAAATGTAATTAAATTAAATCCCACTCAATCTTCTGCTTGATCCACTGCAGAATTACAACATTTTTTGTGGAAAGCGAAATTTTCATTTTGAGTTCTCACCTTCAAGGCAGTGGCTGCCTTGTTCCATTCTGGCACCAGGCTTTTGCAGTGACCGCACCTGAAAAAGAAGCAAGGAAACACTCAATAGAGGAACATTTCTAGAAAGTTACTCTTTTTTTCCGAACATCTCCCAAATTAGTTTGGCAAAAGGGGTAGATTGTATCATCCTGATGCCACTTTTTCATCAATGCACATTTATACTAATTTTGTTCAGTGATTGCAAATATTTGAAAAATACGTATCATTCCCAATTCTGTTTTAAAAATGCTTATTCTTACAACTCCCTACAGTCTTTGGGAGTATGGGGAGTGAGGCCTAGTGGTTAGGGTTTGTGGTTCATGATTAGAGGGTCAGGGGTTCGAATCCAGCTGCTGGCCATATGTTGAGTCCTTGGGCAAGCCACTTCACCCCCACTTGCCTCTCTCCACCCAGGAGTATAAATGGGTACCGGCATTAGCTGGGGAGTAACCTGCGATGGACTAGCATCCCATCCAGGGGGAAAAGAAATATTGTCAGTCGTTTCATGTTAAGGACACAGCAGAAAAAAGCTGGCCTGATATGTCACATTGGCTTGTGACAGACTTTTTTTTACCATGTTTATTACGGTCTTTGAACACCCACCAAGATTGCATCAGGATACCATCTTTTCCAGTTAAAAACAAAACATTTTGAAAGTTTCAGAAAATGGGCACGGACATTCACTTGATTGCAAATGGACCTGTTGGGCCCCAAATTTAGCTTCATCCCAACTACAGTTGGGACGATCCCGCAAAATAGTTTGGATTGTTCCACATACGGGACCACCCTAACTATAGTTGGGACCGTCCCAACTATAGTTGGGCCATTGCTGTAGTTGGGTCATAACAGACCCTGCTCTATGGACTCACCATGGTGCATAAAATTCTACCAGCCAAACCGCGTCGCTCTTGATGACTTTGTCGTTGAAGTTGGCAGCAGTAAGTTGAATGACGTCCGATGTGCTGCTGTAGAGAGCATTCGCAACACCGGCTAGCAACAGCAGCCCGATACCTGCAAACATGGAAATAACAAATTTCAGATTTTAACAGAATATTAACCACTTGAGATCGTGACTTCAATTTTTTCAGCGCAATAATTTTGTGACAGGGAAGGAATTTTGGATTAGTCACAAAACCATTGTTTGAAAGGTAAGAAGGGCTGTACTTTTATTTAAGTTTTGACTATGTAAGGGGAAGTATTTAGGCCTACACGAGGTAATGTACAAAATGTAAAGAGAGTTTTCATATTTTTCTGAGAATTTTCTACTAGAGGAGGTGGAAATGTTTCTCAGTTCATATTTTTCATCATATTACAAAACAAATACCTAGGCCACTTGTTTAAGTCATATTAGGCCGAGTAAAAAAAAAAAAATGAAGGAGGCTGGCATTTTTTCCCCCCAAGATGGCGCAACTCTCAAGAAGGCAGATGGGTTTTTCTATTTTCTCGACTCTTTTGCTGACAACACAAAATTGTGCCCAAAGGAGCCATCACCTTTTTAACATAGCTATAAATTTGTTTGAAACAAGTTATAAAAACAAATATTGACAATAGGCCTATAATTGCTAATTATTTGCAAATGTATGAATAAAAAAAATTAGAATTAACAAAACAAATTTTAATTAAAGGAGGCTGCCGGGCAAAAAAAAGTGGCGGGTAAGGACACTGGTTTATTTTTACTTGGCCTGCCTGGTCACTGGGAGTTTCTCAAAGTACATGTACAATTACCCAACCCAGCATGCCCAGGTTCAGTTTCATGTGTGTCTTTAGACATTTTAAATAAAAATAGATTATTGAAACAAACATATATGTAGATTACAAAATATTACGGAAAGAATGTTGCAACCTGACGCCATTTCAGCGGTTGTGTACAAAGTCTATGGAGAGTAAAAAAAAAATCATTTAAAAATATTTCCAAACAAAATTCATCCAGCATCATTTTTGAAATGACTGACCATCATTAAGATGATGAAAATATGACGAAAACAGCACCGGGTTGCAACGTTCTTTCCAATATTTCAATCAAATAACAAAACAATTAGGCCTAACCCCCCCCCCCCCCCCCCCCCCCCCAGAAAATACCCAGAAAATCATAAAAATTGAGATTAATATAATTGAAATTCAGCAAAAGAACACACCAGCAATTTGAATATATTCACATAAAAAACCTCAAAAATCACTGATATCTTTAATTGTTTAAGCTTTATCTGATAAATCCGATGAAATCGCGTTAATCAAGAAATAAGTTCAGACACACGTACGTACAGTGTCAGTCGAGTCATGACTGTCAGACCATTTTGACAACTTACTAAAGTTTTTGTAAACACACAAAAACAGCTAAACGAGGCCACTAAAACAGCTAAAAAACACTCACCAATACACTTTTCCATACTTCTTTAGGTGCGGATTGAAACTATACTTTCAACAGCCTATCGTCAACTTTTAATGTCGACTTTTCCACGTGCAGAAGACGACTAAAACTGCCCAATAATATTGGCACACACACAATGTGTGTCATGTACGAAGTGCAAGCGAACGTGGCCTGTTTTAAAGGCTGCACTACCGTGGCTCAATCTGATTGGTCCATGTCACTTCCGTACGCGTAACCTTTGACCTCAAAACATTGGCTATTTATCAAGCCCCTTGACTACCTAAATACCCAATTAATGCAAGCGTAAGTGAGCGCCAGACTAAAATAATGATCGCAAAGCGGAACGTTCCGACGCAAATAAGTAACAGAAAATAACTGCAATCTTTGTTGTTGCAGGATGGTCGAGGCTGTAATAAAAGGTGAATGATTGGAAGCTTCGGGAGGAAGTATTTACAGTAATGAACACAAACTTGGGTATTGTTTGCTTCGTTTGTTGAGGAAAGTTAGGTGGCCCAATAAACGGACGTGCATTCACTGTATAGTGATACAGTGGGCGTGGCTAAAAATCTTGGCCTTCCCGTGGGCGCGGCGTGGTATTTTTGGTATGGCAAAGTTTATTTGTTTGTTTGTTTGGGGATATTATTATTCTGGTTTGTTTAACACTTAGGCCTCCCAATCGCTATATCAAGTATATGCAAAGTATACAATGTGTATGTAGCCTTTGTAGAATGTAGGCCCTAGTCAGTGCTAATTTAAAAAAAAATACAAACAAAATTGGATCAAATTTAAAGAAAGTTTTAGATCATTTTGTTTCATTCTGAAGCAAAGTACAGAAACTTAAATTGAGCTTAAATTTGTTGTTACTGTACAGCATGCACAGTCTCAATAAGTGGGTGCGGTCAAGACATCTGGGAATTTTTTACATTGGCTTAGCTAGCTCCCAGGCCTATGTTCTTGAAACTCGATGGTTCTTGAGTCTGGAGTGCTAAACGGTAGTACAATATACATGTATGTACTAGTGTAGCAACTGAGGAAACCTGGTGTGCAATAGATGTCTTCATCCGATGACGTAATCCCGCCCTTGCTTATAATAATCATCATTTGCCGCACAATTTCACAAATTTCAGATCTGGGTGAGATACACGCCAGGCTCCTGGACCATAAACCAGTCGTCCAGGGGGAGATCAGGTTCTTCATCAAGGAATTTGAGGTGATTAATAGATACATTTTTAATCTAATTAAATGACTTCCATTCCAATCGTTACAAGAATACTCAATCAATTTGCTGCGTGATTTTTTTTTTTATCGCAGGGCAAGCGGAATGACCGTGAACAGAAGCGCCTAGAGCGCATCAACAACCAGATGAAAGATTTGAACGAGAAAGTCTTCCCAGGATGCATCAGTCTGATGGACAAACACTTCCAAGAGGCCAAGGAGCAGTGTAAGACTAGCCACATCCAGATTGGAATTGTTGTCTGCGGCTACGACTATTCACCATAGTGTGCCTATGGGGAAAACTTAAGCCTTAGCCACAAAATACCCAATTTGGACATTGCTACGTGTATCTACAGTTAAAGTTTGAAGAACTTCTGGTCCTCTGACTTTTTGGTTCGTTACACTGTTCATAATGAACACAAATTCTGATTTTAGAGTTTTTGGACACTCTTGCCAATCCAGGATTGGTTTGGGTATCACATTTTATGCAAAGGAGGTGATACTCCAGCTTCCAGGGCTTCCCCTCTTCCCCCCCCCCCCCCCACCCCACCCCAATTAACTCCTTGTCACCCGGGCCCCTTTCTAATGTACCCTTACCCCAACCACAACCCAAGGCCCCCTCCCTCCACCGCCTCACACCTAACCACCCCCTCCACCCCAACCCCAGCCCATCCCCTCCCCTACCTCACATCCCATCCCCACTCCACCTCCCTCACACCCTACCTTACTCCACCCCCATCCCAATCCCCCCCCCCCAAAAAAAGAAGACGCACCTAGGTCATTAACTATTTATAAGATATCCTGCTAGTGTGTGCAAAAAGGCCTTGACCATGTTTAGTCTTGAAACAAGTTTGTTTCTTTTAAAACCCTTATGACACAACTTTTACTCATTTGTGACAATTTTGATCCTTGGCAGTGGACGTTTCCAACATGATGTGCAGAAGACTACAGAAGCAAGAAGAAGACAGGCTGGAGGTAATTAAAGGCGCACATGATGGCGAAAGATAGCAAAAAGATGAGAGAAACTTACACTGGTTTTGAATGCTTTTGATCACCAACCATCACTTGTGACATACATTATTGTGCGTAGCCTGATTAAGTCTAGTGAAGGGGACCGGGCAGTGCTATCTTATAGGATTAATCTGTGCACTCTTGGACCAGCTCTACCAGGCTTGCACTTGGTAGGATCATAGAACTGTTCCTTGCTCTGTGGTTGGATATGACCAGAGGTGAAAAGTGAGGAAAAACACGCATGTTCCCCTTTTTCCTGAAATGATTGCTTTCTAGCACTTTGCAGAAATTAATTTTGTGTCTTTTTTTTTTTCTTCAAATTTTATTATTTTGCAGAGCAAGCCCCTGGAAAAGGAAAAGGGCAAGAGGGAAGAGGAATGGAAGGCTTTCCTGGAGCAACTGAATGAACAGAGACACGCTTTGGATTCAGAGCACCAGCGCAAGATTCAGGAAATTGAGGACCACTACGCAAAACTCAAACAGACACTCAACAAGCAAACCTGAAAAAAGATTGAGTAGATTTCCGAAGATGATTCTGACAAACATCAGCTAATACAGCAGTTCTGTTGGGTTTCGTTGGAAGCAGACTCTAAACATGCAGACTGAACAAAATCACAACATTTTTCCAAAGATTGATCTGATGATTGTGATTCCAACAAAAAAAGTAGCCAAGACGAAAGCTGTGATGGGTTATGTTGGATTTTTATGGATTTTGTTGGAAGCAGACTCTGAACGGGCCAGTCTAAAACAAGATCAAGTGGATTTCTGAAGAGAATTCCAACAAAAATCTGCCAATACGGAATTTTTGTTGGAAGCAGACTCTGAACAAGCAGACTTGAAAAAGATTGAGTAGATTTCTGAAGATGATTCAAACAATAATCAGCCAATGTGAAAGTTCTGTTGGGTCACGTTGGATTTTGTTGGAAGCAGACTTTGAACAAGCAGACCTGAAAAAGATTGAGTAGATTTCAACAAATGATTCCAACAAAAATCAGCCAATGTGTAAGTTCTGTAGGGTTCTGTTGGATTTTGTTAGAAGACTCTAAACCTCCAGACTTGAAAAAAAAGATGAAGTAAACTTTTGTAGATTATTCCAACAAACAGCCAATGTGGGAATTATGTTGGGTTTTGATGGATTTTTGTTGGAAGCAGACTCTGAACATGCATTAATCTGATGACAGTGATTCCTGCAACAACAACAAAGACAGCCAAGGCAAAAGCTCTGATCTGCTTGAAGCTGACTCTGAACATGGAGACCTGAACAAATTTAAAAAACCCAAAAAGTTCAAAGATTGATCTGAGGATTATGATTCCTGCAGAAATCAGCCAAGACTGAAGCTCGGATAGGTTTTGTTGGAAGCAGCAGTGGTGCCCTTTTAACCATAACTTGACAGTGGATTTTGGAGGATTCAGGAAGTTATCAAGACAAAAATACCTAGAGAGTTCAGGTCAATGAATTTCCAATGAAATCTGACAGAAATTCCAACAAATGTCAACAAGGCCAAATATTGCAATATGAGCAGTTTTGCTTTCCTAAAGTTGAATCAAAATAGTCTTGATATGCAATCCTTTGTTTCTCAACATTATTGTCTGTAAATTAATTAAATTTCACTATGTAAATATCAAATATTCTATAGAAATGCCTTTTTTTGTTGGCCTTCATACATGTATATAAAGTAAATGATAAAACAAAAAATTGTAATTTCTGATGAACTCTAATGACTTTAATAAGGGAATAAATATGGGCTTAGCCGGTTTTAAACAAATACCGGTACGATTAAAACTGGCCTGGAATTGGATAATGGCCCTCACAGGCCATTGTCCGTGTCTAGGCCCCTGGCCAGTTTTAAACGTACCGATACTTGTTTAATACAGGCCAAGCACACATTATTCCCATTCATAAATACCCTTCGGTCAAAACAAGTAAAAAATTCACAAACTTCCAATGATTTTATTCAACAATATACTTCATGTTTTGTGAAGAATCCCTCTGGCCATGTCTATGCCTTGGTATGTGCCTCGCACACCCAGTGCTAAAAATGTCCTTATATGGAAATTGGCGCACGCATGGCACATACTGCGCGATGTGGCGCAGAACACAGCTGTGTTTTACCGGCCGTTTAAAACCACCCACTTGAGGGGCTCTCGACCAATGGGAATTGGTTACATATCACGGGTATTTATGAATGTTAATTATTTTAAACAATAAAAATGTTATTATGAACACAGAACCTTGTACAGAATCAAAACAGGTGCAATAAATAAATGATTTGTGAAAGATTTCAGTTTATTTTTAAACCCATTTTTATATCAATACATTTTTAACCTTTAAGAACTGCTGAAGCTCAAATTCCAAAGTGCAAATTATATCCATAAATCCTCCCTTCAGGACAAAGTTAAATTTATCTTCAAATCAGGTGATGATGTTTAAATATGGAAACAAAACTTTGTTATGTAAACAAATTAGGCCAGGTTTACAAATTCAATTGTTGCATTGCGCAGCACCATTTCTACATAAAATTTAGAGTGTACAAATATGCAGACATGTATGAAGTGAAAATTAAGCTAACATAGGTTCAGTATGTACCCATTATCTTTGCTCAATGTCAGAACAAAGGAATGTATTCCACAGTACTTAGTAAATCTTGCACAACTCTTTATAAACAAAATAATACTGATTGTTGAACATGTTGAATACAGGCACATATGCACATATGAATACGAAATGCCCTGCCATCAAAATAATCTACCAATTTTGAAATGAGGTTTTTCTGAAGTAAGTCATGCTTGGGATACTTTAATTACAAACATCATGGTTCTCCAAATGTCTATGTCTACAACGATTGCCTTTTTTTTCTTCTTCTATTTATCACAAATTATGCACTTTTCAACTCCTCAATACAAAGACAACACATAATTTCTCCAATTAATTTTCTGTCCATATATGAAATAGCTACTTGGTCAGTCTTGGCATTTCAGTAATACAATGTTATACAATGTATACAGTGTAATACAATGTATTAATACAATGTATTACATGTACATGTACATGTGTAAACTTGTTTCCAATTGTTGGGACTCTCATGATGAAGTTTTGGGACTCTCATGATACAAAGTGTTGAGAGTCCCAAATTATCGGACTAGGATCATTCCAACTATCATAAATTTTCTGAAGTTGCGACTGTTGGAACGATCTACACTATACTTACATGTATCAACTTTTGTTGGGACAATGCTATAGTTGGGTGTAACATTAGGCCAAAAAAAAAAAATATTCGGTCTCTGGTCAGACAAAAGTTCCGGAATTGACACGGGGACGCGTTTTTTTTTTTTTTTGGCTTTTTTTTTTTTTTTTCAAGCTTGGATTGTTACAGACAAGGTGGGGTACTATTTTGCTATTTGGTGTACTCATGTACATTGGTGTTCTCCATAATTTGGCTTGGTGCTCTCGATCATTTGCCTTGGTGCAATTTCCCATTCCTTGGTGCTCTTTGGTAAAAATTTTTTTAAGAGGTGCGGCAATAGAGGGCGCTGTTGGAACTACTACGGAACATTTTGGAAAAAAAAAAGATTGATGCGCATGATTAAAATTGACGCGCGCGCTGACCAGAGACCGACTTAATTTTTTTTTTGGCCTTACTAACATGCCAACTTTGGATATGACCCCCGGCAATATTAAAATGTTAAGGTGGCCTTGAACTATCCCCATTGAATATAAAGGCATGTGAGATTGAGCAACTGCCAATAAATTTGGCGGGATAGCTCAGTTGGTACAGCGACACTGCGGTTTTCCGAACATCACAGGTTCAGTTTCACTTCCTGCTCCCGTCGATTCCTTTGTCCAACCATGCATTGATCTTTAAAACCCTAACCATCCCAAATCCTCCAAAATCCTTTTTGCAAATTGGAGGAATTTGCAGGATTGATGTTACATGGCAAAAGTGCGTTGCTGATTTCGGAGGACGCACTGTGTCAAGGTCTTGGGCCGGACCTTGTATTATGTTCAGCCTAGCATAAATTTAGTCCTTGATTATGCTTGAAATCCTCCGCACTGCTCCAGGATGTCACTGCCTCAGCCTATTGAGTCATAGCCGGAGGATTTTGCAGGATTCAGGCAGTGGTCACCTCTCCACAGACCATATTCAAGAAATAATGGAGGAATTTGCAGGATTGAGGCTATATGCTAATTTCCATGAGGCAAATTGGAGGATTTTGCAGGACTGAGGCTACATCCTAGCAAAAAGGCCTAGGGAGTAAGGGTTTAGAATTTACGGGTGGAGCGTGGTGGCCCAATGGTTGTGGCGTTCAACTTGTGCAGTGGTGGTACATGTATGTGGGTTCCAAACCTGATGGAAAACATGGTGTTCTTGGGCAAGACACTTTACTACAGTTATCTCTCCACCCAGGAGTAAAACTATAAATGGACACCAGTGACGGGAGAGACTAGACTGCTGATCTTGAGCTGCTGCTGCAAAAAAAATGGTCTGGGCTCATAGGGCCTGATGAACCGTGAAGCAGTTTGAGACCTTTGGTATAAAGCACTACATAAATGTAAACACATCATTGATGAAGAATTTCAGGGGAAGAATTTAAATTAACTTGACGACACTTGTAAGTTCCGCAGGTTCTTGGAGACCATTTCTAGCTCCTGATGCGGAGTCGTGACCCCGGCACTGACCATGACCTTGATGGCGTTACCGGTCTTGCTGAGGTCATCCACCGACTTTGATCTCGTCAGAAAATGGAGGGTTGGCGATGTTTCGGGGTTTGTATCTAGACTCAAAGAATTGGCTGCTGAGTCCATTTTGACTGTGTCCGGGTTGTCGTCGTTCGGTTCTGTCGTCCTTCGCATGTGGCCGGTTGACGCATGCTTGGGGATGTGGTATGGTCGGCTGAAGCGCGGCTTTGTCCTCTTGTGGCGCGCAACTCGTTGATCGTCCGTCTCGAGATGCGGAGCGGAGCCCGCCCTCAAACTCCTCGGCGCTTCATCGTCGTCATTGATTTGGGGTTTCGGCTTCAGCGGAAAGCACACAGGTCCAAGTCGCGTCACGAACTCCGGGTTCATTTGCATGACGTTGTAGCATGAGGATGTGCGACGCCTGGCCTGTTCGTTGAGATAGTCCTTGCGGCTGTCCGTTACGGTACTCAACATCCCGAGTTCGTTCAAAGCGGCATCTAAATCCATCTCCATTGTGAGGTTTGAAGTATGCATGTACTGCACTAAGAGACACCGACTTCAACCTCAAGAATGTATGACCACAACTCTTATCTGAAAAAAAAAGACATTCAGAGGAAATTAGAAATAGAAGGTCTATGTCAAAAACATCTTGTAAAAATTGTCTTGAGACATTCTCTTGAAGTTGAACCATCTTTACCATGGAGGAATAAGAACACATTCTTATTCCTCCATGGGCAGACGTGTGAACAGCTGAAGAGAAAAGTTTTGGCAAGACTGTCGTAAATTGCTTCACTTGTAGTTTGCAATATTTCGATATGACATTTCGTTCGATAATAGTCGTGACACAAAAAGTTCTAAAAATCGACGAGAATCGTTGAACATACACACAACAGCAAGTAAACAACACGGAAATGGGTCAACTCATACCCGATACCCGAGTTAACTCGTACCCCAAAATAGACACCCAGTCAACTCGTACCCGAATCAAGTCGTACGGGTACGGGCCGGGTGCCGGCGTCAACAACAAATTTCAGCCGACTTCAATTCACTGCATGCACTGGGATTTAATTCTCAAAAGAAAAAAATAAACTATGCCTTTATGGCCTTGTTCTTCACCTTTCTATTTCTTGTCAATTTTTGGTAGGTTTTTAGCCAATTAGGCCTACATTTTAAATTAATTTTACACCGAAACAAACTCACCTCACACTTACTCGCGTAGAAATTCTCACTTAATCGTTCCCAGGGGGTCGAGCAGTGCGCCCCCACCACTGCCTGCTTTCTCTATTAGTATTGGAAAAAGTTGGGGGAAAAAAGCTCTGGGAACGAAAGGGCGTAATTCCGTCAAAAGAGGGCGCGCTACACAAATAGCGGTCGTCACGCGCGGCCGTAATTTGTTTTCACCACACAAAAAATACAACAAACACACAAACAAACATTTTTTGAAACAAAAACAACACATTTTCCTAACTTTTTTTGAACAGCAAAAACGCAAAAAGATTCAACATACTTATCTTCGTCATCATGATAATGGGCAACAAAAACCATAAAAGAGACACAATTTTTTCTTCGGTATTTACAACACAAAACTCATAATTATTTTCGCTTTTGAAAAACAAAAACAAAACCCATACCCCCATTTCCCAAGAAAATCGGAAAACAAACTCATATCCCACATCCCAACAAAACACCCAGATCGGAAAACAAAACCCAAATTCCATATCCCAAGAAAAACCCGAATCGGAAAACAAAACCCATATTCCAAATCCCCACTCGATAGCCAATCGGAAAACGAATAACGATTCCAATTTCCCTATTCGACAGCTAAACGGATAACGAATAACGATTCTCGTTTTCCCATTTCCCAACGTGAAAGCAAAACGGAAAACGAATATCGATTCTCACTTTCCCATTTCCCAACTCGAAAGCAAAACGGAAATCGAATAACGAATCCCACTTCCCACTTCCCAACACAAATAAAATTGGGATTTGGGATTTCGCAGTGCATGATGGGAGATTTGGAAGTCAGGTTTATTTTCACAATCTTATCCCCAGGGCAAAATTTATTTCCAATTTGTTTTTAATAGTATATCGTGGTGAGAGCGTACTGCTTGACAGTATGAGAACGAGAAGGGACTTTACACCGTTAATTGTGAAGAGCGCCGCCTGTTGTTTGATTATTATTTAGGATGGTTCACGTAGCTGACCTCTATTGCGGTGAACGAAGCGGCGGCGGAAATCTGTCCATCGTAAATCACGTATAGCGCCACCACTTGGCGGAACCAATCTTTTTTATTCGAGTTTCCAATATCAATCCGCTTCATGTTTTCCACTTTTTTTCACGGTAAAAATAATCTGTTTTCGACAATAATGAGATTATCTGATATTTTATTCGAAATTTGGGATAATTTATATGATGTTACAAGATAATTTACAAATTATTGGAACTACTTATTTTTGCATAAACAAAAAGAGTTGTGATGCGGTGTAAACAATCACCGGCCAAAAATCAAGTGAGTAATTTGATCAAAATGTAGTCGATGCAGAAGACTTTGAACGGCCGACCAAACAGCGAAGTAACGCAGTAATAAAGACTACAGATTCTAGCATGATGGGGTGCTGTACGGCAAGATGTACACTGATGACTATTTGTGCTCTACAAATGGTGAGTTTTGATCCAGATCTTAAGGAGAAATATTTCACGGTGGATTCGCTGAGTGTGTCATGGTGTGTGTACAAAATGCCATTGGCTTGGTGGATCCTGTGACTGTTTACTGTGTCATGTGTGTGTGGTTTTTAAAACGTTTAAAACAAGGTAGTGTATATTTTGCCGGAGGTAACGCCGGCAAACTAACGTTTCCTAAAGGTTTGCCGGCGGCAATCCATATCAACAGAGGGCGCTGTACTCTTTAAGATAGGGCTGAATTATAACATGTATTGAATTCCCACCAAAGTTGTGTAGCACAGTCGGTGCAGTGGTTAAGCAATAGAGTGAGTGGGATGTCCCGAGTTCGAATCCTGACCCCTGCCACAATTTTAAGTTTTTTTTTTCCAATCCCCAAATAAATAAGAATATTCTTCTTTTATTATTTTAATATGTCTCAAACATTTTATTGCAGAGTATTACTTTTTCTTTTTCAGATTTGTGGCTCTGGAGGATTTTTTTTAAAGGGAAATAAAGTCCGAAATTATAAAATGGTCTGATTCCCATCTTGTTAATACGAAAATACAACGATAATATTGGCATGGAGCCAGACTAAAATTTGTCACCGGAAAATGTTTAAGTACAAAAAAACAGTAACTGCGCATGTTCAGTGCATATCCGGCAAACTAACGTTTACTAAAGGTTTGCCGTCTGCTAATAATAGATTAGGATATTTAAAAGAATCAAAATTGTAAAAACAGGTGTTTTTTTGCATCAATTTCTTTTCAAATACAACTTGCTTTTATTCGTAGTTTTGTTAAAAAAAATTGTAGACCCTGGGCTCTGTGGTTCATTTATTTTTAATAGTCGTAGCCCTAGGCCATTTGTTTTTTATTTTGTTTACAGAATCACAAACCAAAATAGAGTTAATTTTTACCATCATGATCGTCTCTATTTTTTTCGTAGTGCTATCGTTACAGCAGCCGTAATGCGATGTTTAACTGCTAGCGACAAAATGGTATCAAAATCACCATAGAGAATCTCAATGATCACATCTACCCGTCCAAACAGAATGCTTCGGTAGCTCGATTGGTTTCACATTCAGCTACTGTGCCGGGGATATGGGTTCAAAACTGCTGCTGGGCTGCTCAATTTGGAAATGTTGCAACCTGACGCCACTTCAGTTTCTAAGTTTCTAACAAAATTGGAAATGTTTCTCAGTCCCAAATTCATGTCTTATCATTTTTGCAATGAATGACCTTCATTGAGATGATGCATGAAGAAAAAAGTGGTGTCAGGTTGCAAATTTTTTTCCCCTCAATTTATATATTTGGTTTTTGTTTTAATAGTTTCCTTACTTTCATACATGTTTTCATAAAATTGTTTGTTTTATTTCAGTAGATTTCATTTTCTTTTTCATAATCGTTGGCTTTTGAAGATTTTTTTTTGAATGGACATAAAGTCCGAGAATCATTCAGTTGAGTGATAGTCTGGTTCCAACCGCCAAAGATCAAGATGTTGAATACTATTAGGTCAGGGAACCAGATACTCCTTTAATGATAGCATTTAAAAATCGCATTACAGCTGCCGTAATGATATTGATAGTCACTGCATTTTTTTTTCACGAATTAAATATAAAGCACATGAAAATTAGTATGAAAATAAATTATCATCAATTGTAGGCCAAAAACAAACTGGCGTTAAATTTTCAATTTTATTTAATTTGCTTATGAAATATTGATTGCTTTGTGCTGAATCTGCAGTACCCACGGTATAGAAGGAACAATTTCTCTAACAAAGGATCCGTTGTGAATAGGGGGGGGGGGGGGGGGAGACCAATCAGACCATATGGCCATTTCTCTACATTCTAATGCATACTGTACATGTCTAGCTTGACACAATAGTGCCATTTTCTCCCGTGTACACCCTTTGTGTTGAACATGTGCGTGTACAATGTGTAATTATGCAGGTATCGACAGTCTTCATGTTTCTCATAATGAGACTTAGGCCGTGTCCGAAACGGGCTTCCAGAGCTACGGCTACGTCTATTGTCAGTGCGTCCCCGCGTATTTTCAATGGGCGCAGACGTAGACCTAGCTCTAGACAACTGATTCGGATGCAGCCTTACTATGGATTGCAGCTGGTATTTAGCATATTGCGTCCATTTTTCTTGTACATATGTTTGGCCAAAAAAAAAAGTTTCTGTTTTCTGGTATGGAGCTTGCCCCAAAAGTGCTGTGGCGACGAATTTTTTTTTTTTTTTTTTTTCTTAAAAGAAAATGTCGTCTGATGACTGCAAATGGTGCCCGACTAAATTTAGTGAAAAATATATGGGAGTCCAGAGAGGCCACATAAAGCTTATACTCGATCGTAACCCCATTTAAAAAACACGTTAAAATTGTGCAGCAGCAGATTCCAGTCAAACCAGTGAGTTTGACAGTTTTGAGACATCATTTTACATTGAAAAAATAAATTTTTCATTTTGCTGATGCGCATGGCTACGGTGACGCGCACGCATACATGTACCAGAAACCGGAGACTTTTTTTTTGGCCTTTGTACATTGGTACATTGTACATGCAAGTAAATTTATTTGAAACTGTTGCATTTACATGTTTTCACTAGCATGACCCATGCACGCCTGTACACAGTTCACCATTCACAGGTTGTTTTCGCCTTTGCACAATGCTTGTACATGTAATAATAGTATTTCGCGCACCGTAAAAAAGAACCCATTGTTCCGTAATCCATGGGAAAAAATGTACGGTGCTCAAATTTCCTTAAAATCCAGAGGCTAAAAGGGCATAACCACAAGTGTTCATTTTTGTTGCTTTACGGTACAGTGAGCAGGTATTGTGCTGGGGTGGCAAAAATTTGGCCTGTTTTGCAGATTGCGACCATTTAGCAGGAAAACCAGACAACTGGTTGCTTTGTTCAATTTTTTTTCCAGACAGAAATTCTGAGATTAAGTTCAACGGTCATTTACAGACCAAAAGTTTAATAAACCACTTCCTGCCTTCTACAATGTATCTAAAAATATTTTTTTGAAACCTTGTAAAAAATATAAAATGATGAATTTGAAAACCCTTTTACAGTTAAGTACATGTAAATATTGATGATAGGAATTTAGCAGCAGCATTTTTTTCTTGGAACTTTTATATTAATATTTTCAGGTTGGACTTTGATATCAAATTTTGTTGTTTGAATATGAATTCACTTCCTGTATGACAATTGTGCAATAAATAACAGACAAAGCTTGCAAAATTATAAGTTTTTCCCCCACAAATCTATGTCACAAATTAACCTTTTGCATTCACACTGAATACGAACCATCTGTTTAACATGTTAAAAATGCTTTTTTTTATTGGCATTTAAAGGTACATAATGCCACCAATACAAGTGCGACTTTTTCCCTACTCAAAATGTGATGTACATATGTATGTACGTAACAATAGTATCACAATGACATATGAAAATTCTATCTTCACGTATATGACAATGAAAATTTTGTCTGTAAAGTGTAGTTGAATTACAATACAAACATAAAAATGTTATTTCTCTTGTTTCTACTGTGTTTTGTCATGGTAGCTGGGCAGAAATGATTTCATCTTTATTAACTAGTATTGTTTTCGGTTGCTATATGATAAAAATTATCCTTGACAATTTTGAATTAGCGAGAATTTCTCATCAAAAGACCGATTAATTACTGATGACAAATGATCCAAGCATTCAGGTATCGTAAACAAAACAATTTCAAGGTCAATGACTCAAAGATATAAGCATTGTGTATTTTTGGTAAACCAGGTGTAGGCCTATCGTGAGATAACGAACACTAATTTAACATTGAAACCAATCAGCTAAAGTGTTGTCCTTTATTCAGGCATTGTGTGCTTAGTAATGCCAGAGAGCACAGATAGCATTGAAGTGAGTCATTTCTGTTCTGTATTGTCAGTTTAAGTGTATTTCGTTTTCATCGATATTCCATTGTCCAATATTTTCTTTGTCCCATTCTTTAAACTTAGGGAAGTACATGTACGTGTACAGGACACAATCATGCCAAATGCCGTACAAATTTAGTCTGTGAATCATGACAGACTTGTTTACAAAATTGCCTGTTGAATTGGGCTGGTTGAAAATTGTTACATTTTGTACGGTTCGTAAGAATTATATTTCACTTGTTCCGTCATTACATTCCCAAATTCACATCAGTTTTAACCAATTTAATTACATGAAAATGGGGGAAAAAAACCATCATTTTCTGCTTTACTACACTGTGCATAAAATAGAAAAATAAAAAATTAAAGGCCTTAATTTATAATCAATTTTTCATAAATCGACTTAGCACAATAACTGATGCTACATGTAAGTGCACAAGTGGCAACAAGCAACTACAAACTACATGTGCATGTACATGTACATGTACAATGTACGTGCCGTTGTAATTGTTGGGTGGAGCAATAAATCGGCAATAAAACCCTGCACTTTGGACTTACACTACAATATGGTGAAAGTGCATTGCATAATGTCATTTTGAAGGAAATTTACAAATTTTAGAATCTTAAAACGGGAAAGCCTCTTATCATTTTTATAGAATAATTGCATTTTACAATAACACAGTGTTCATGTACTGTAGAAAGTACGCAAGGGATTGATATAATTTTTTAAAATCCATTTAAAAAAAAAATAAAGGTACATTTTAGAGGACTGTTATTATAATGTGAACACTCTGCATGTACATGTACATGATTTACATGTACATGTACATGTGCATGATGCATGTTTGTTTAGTGTAATTATTCAAAGGAAATAAACATGTTTTTCCATGCGTTAACACAGGCATGCAACTTTTCCTCGGATCCGCTGATTTCCTCGTTTTACATCTCATGAATGTCATTACAAATTGAAAAACACTGTACAAAGTCTTGTGTGGTTTGGAGTTTCCTCTTTATTTTCTTCTAAATTCCCAGTTGCATGCCTGGTTATCATTGTAGACAAAACGCAGATGCACACATACGTACATGTTTGATAACGTGACATTTGAAATTTGTTTTTAAATTGGAGAAGGCCGCTTGTCATATTCTTTTTTTTTCAAATAAACAAGCTGTCAACTGGACATTCCTGGCGCTACATTCCGCTAAGATTTACAAGGTACCGGGAATGCAGCATATAGGTCTACACTTGCATGGAGCCTGGCACATAGACTTGATATCAGGCTGTGTTCGATTTATTTGGATATGACCAGCAGTGACTACGGAAGCTTAGAGTGACCATCCGCGTTTCTATGATTACCGCAAGACGGAAAAATTTAAAATGTCCATAACACGTAGTTTCTGAGATTAACATCATTGTGCAAAGACGTCTCTATGAAATTGTGTCACGGAAAGACTTTTTTTTCCAGAAATGAAATCCTATCTCATTCTTTGGTGTATCGGAGGACGTCTCATTCTTTGTGTATCGGAGGACATCTTTACCTGATGTCATATCTTGGAAAGTCGTCGCCTTAGTGGTGGGAGAATCAGTGATTTCAAAATCTGGTTATCCACATTTTTTTCAAATCTAATATCAGTTATCTGATTCCAGCTTCTACGGAAAGTGGATTCAGCTGCTTTTACCATGTCTACAAAAATGTATGTTCATGAGTTTGTTTCTGCATTCAATAGGTTACATGTACGTTGAACAATAGAGGACTATTGTCCTCAATTCCCGAGAGGTCCCCAATTTGGATTCATGTACAAACATTTGGGAGGTCTTCCTAAAAGTACAAACAAAAGAGGAATAATAGGGGGTCCCCGATTGCAGGCAAATACTGGTACACACTTGCATGAACATGTATGATGTAGCACACAAAAAAAGTCTCCGGTTTCTGGTATGCGTGCGCGTCGCCGTAGCCATGCGCGTCGGCAAAATGAAAAAGTTTTTTTTTCAATGAAAGATGATGTCTCAAAACCGCCAAACTCACTGGTTTGACTGGAATTCTGCTGCTGCACAATTTTAACGTGTTTTTAGATGGGGTTATGATCGAGAATAAGCTTTATGTGGCCTCTCTGGTCTCCCATAATATTTGCACTAAGTTTAGTCGGGCACCATTTGCAGCCATCAGCCGACATTTGAAGCAAAAAAAACAGTTAAAAAAAAAAAAAACCGCGTCGCCGCACCACTTTTTGGGCAAGCTCCATACCAGAAACCGGAGACTTTTTTTTTTGGCCTTAGTGTGATTCACTACACATTTGATTTAGAAGTTACATGTACATGCACAGTTTGCAACAACATGCCATTCACATTTCTACTTCAGGGACCATTATTGACCGTCCATGTTTTGTTACTTTGTGTCTTTTCAGCTTGCCTCGGTAGAGCGCTTCGTCTTTGACATGGTGGGGTTCATGTGGACGCCGGTTCTGGTCGGAGTCATCGACATCATTGTCATTTTATTCGGCATGTTTGGTATTCACCAGTACAGACCCAAATATATTTACTTGGTGAGTAGAGTCAGAAAATATTTTGTTGTTGATTTGTTTTTATGTTGTTGTTGTTGTTGTCGTTGTTGTCGTTGTCCTTGTTGTCGTTGTTGTTGTTGTTGTTGTCGTTGTTGTCGTTGTCGTTGTTGTCCTTGTTGTCGTCGTTGTCGTCGTTGTTGTTGTTGTTGTTGTTATTGATGTTGTCATTGTTGTCATCGTTGGTGTTGTTTTTAATGTTGTCGTTGGCTTTGTCTTTATTTTTGTATTGAAATGAAGATAAAAATATTGTGTAAAATATGTATTGCAAGACATCACCGTTTTTGTAAAATAGTTGAAAGTTTTACCGTGTTTAACACCATCTGCTGTAGATCAATCTTAATTTATTTACGGCTAGTGGGGCTGTACTTCGACCATTAGCTTTATGAATTATTTAATAGTTTGTGAGACTATTGGCCTACCTTCTCAAGATTTTGGCAAGGCAGACAGCTGGTGGCCTGGACAAGACAAATGGGATCAATAAATTTAAACTTTAACTTCATATTCCTACATGCATGCTTTAAATATGCTGATACTAGCAACATGGCACACGGGGAACACATTACATGTATTTGAACCACCATTCGTGAACTTTGCCCAAAAGTCCATGAGAGGGCAATTATACATCGTTGCTGTTAGATACTTTCTCAAATCATTTCAGTACAATGAGGCATTTGTATCCATGTTTTTTTGGCCATATGTTATCATTTTAATAAATCCAAAATGCAGATGTATGTTGTACACGTTCATGTGGTAAATTTGAAAGGAGTTTTAGGAGCACTGATGTAATTTCCACATACATTACATGTAAAAAACATGAAAAAAAGTGCAAACTGCTTACTGACTGGATGGACCTGAAATATATAAATCTAACAATTAATGTGGCCTGACGTTCCGAACTTAGCAAGTTCTTCTTCAGAGGCTAAAACAGAAATGACAGAGGTACATACATTAACATGGGGGTGCGCACAAACATGCAGGGCTGAAAGAAGAAACACAAAAGGAGGATTAGGTGGAAAAGGTGTGGAAAGATGCAGGGGAGAGTGGATGAGAGAACAAAGAAACAAAGGGAGATGGCAAACCACAAGGGGTCTGGTATAAACAGGGGAGGTAAATTTGAAAGGAGTTTTAGGAGCATGTACATTACATGTACATAGTTAAAGTACAGGTAAAGATCTCTAAAAGGACGCCATCTTCGTAGGAAAATTTACAAATGCGTGTTCAATGCCATCTGCTGTGTGCAACAGAGTGTGCAAAAGGATCTGAACACGTGTGCTTGTTGTTCACAATTTCTTCAAAATAGCGCGTCACCAAAATTTGACGCCAAGTCGTGCGTGCGTGATGCGACCCATCCACTGGGCTGTCCTCTTTTGTTCCTGAATGCACAGAACCCGTAACGATTCAAAATTGCTAAAATCTGAGGTCTTTATTGCTGATCATTCAAACAAATTTCCTACAACATGAGACTTAGATGTTGGACATTGATAGATTTTAAAGGGTTACACCAGAGTCTTATATACATGTAGCGCATGTATCTACCAACAATTACATGTAGGTACTCAAAGCGCTGGTGAAATACAGGTCAATTAAATTTATGAGAAATATGGGACCCATTTTGTAGCACCTTTATAAAGGGATTACAAGGTGCTGCAGCGCATATTGCAGCCACTGCCAGAAACACCGGGGCAAACCCCTTCTCATAGCGATAAGTGTTACTGGGTTGTGTAACGTGCATTACACAACACACGGGACCTACGGCTTCACGTCCCATCCGACGGACGAAGCAATAATGGTAAAGTGCCTTGCTCAAGAGCACAAGCACCATGTTCCCACGGTCAGGATTTGAACCCATGTAACACAGCACACGAGTCGAACACCGTAACCATTGGACCACAGCACCCCAGGTTATGGTTAATCAGAGCTTTTTTTCTTGTCGTTTTCTTTCAGTACGGTATTTGGCACATCCTTTGGATTGGTTGGAACATCTTCATCATATGTCTGTATCTAGAAGCAGGGGTCCTCACGTTAGAAGTAAGTAGGATCACAGAGTTCGGTTATTTTCTTTCATCAAATGCCACTTTACGGCACAGGTTCATTTGCATTTATCCCAAAAGTAGCCTGCCAAATTATTATTAAAAACTTATGGGTAAAGATTGTACCAGTACTAAACACCCTGTGAAATTATTCCATCTTAGAGCTTGCTGTCATTTAGAAGAAATCAAGAAATGTAGGTGATTTCCGCGATCAGTCAATCGACTGATTTTTGGGAATAAGGAGTGGTATGGATGAAATCGTGTTTCGTGATCAAAAGGTTGTGCATGGTTGCTCACTGTTTTCTCGAAAAGTGTAATATCCACCGAGCTGAAACTTCAACAGGTTAGGTTTTGAAGATTTTTGTTTTGGAATATGAGTGTTATTATTAAATGGGACACATCCAGAGCGTGTATGGTTCATGCGAGGTACACATGACTTATTTCATTCTGAATGAGCCCAAAGGCCACGGCATCTTCATGTGAGTGCCAAGTGCCGTCGGCAAAGCATTCAAATATCTCCCCCAGTGGTCTCCCCTAACTCTCCCTTTCTTACCATTGAGGGGGTACTTGCGCACAGAGCCTGTTGTAAATAGTAAACAAAACTGGTTCCCGTGTATTTACCCTGTTGCAGAAGAATGGCAATATTCTGAGCATGGGTACCGGCAGTGACAGCTGGTGGCTAACGCATGGCTTTGGCTGTGTCGTCAAAACAAGATCAACGACTACGATTGTTGAAGGCACCACCACAGTGGTCGAAGACGAGCGACTGTCGGTCACGGGCTGTGTGTTGGATGGACGGTATACGGAGGTCATACATGCTGGCGTGCAGATCTTATTAGCGGTAAATAAACCATTGTAAAAGATTTTATGAACAGGTTGTACATTTCCTTCATCACACCACAAATTTTGTTTGTGCTGCACTTTGTCTGCGACTGACTTCTCTGGATCAAGCTGTGCCTGAGCCACGACCGCCGCCTTTTTTTTTTTATTTTGGCAACCTTGGTGCAACTGCGATGACATTAGAATGATTGGCATCAGTCAAAGCTCACAAAAAAATTGAAAGTCGTAAAACGTAGAAACATTTCAACTTCAACAGTCAACCTGTGTGAAGATATGACACTTTGCACGCATCTTGATCATCTAATGTTATTGTGAAACGCTGTGGGTGACATGGCAAAGGTTGCAATGCGGCTTTTTTTGACGATAATCACATGATTTCTCCGTTTTGTGCTTAATGCCGATGGTTCCAAAGCAGTGCTAGCAGATCGGGGCGGCTTAATTAATGTGTATCACTGCATTGAAACAAGTATTTTTGTGTCATTGCCTCCGGATGAAATTGAAATGTTTGGGCATTATTTCATTTCTTTTTGTACAGATTGTCGGAATAATTGGTGCTATATTGGTGAATGTGAAGTTTGCAGAAGAAGAAGACAGCTGTAAGTATATCATCTTTGGTTTTGTTTTGATGTGTGGTTTTGTGGGATTAGGCCTAATGGCTTGGTTCTTGGTTGGTTCTTCTCTGCAGGGGAGTAATAATCAGGAGGCCAGAAACACCGGGGCAAACCCCTTCTCTTTTTATAGCGATGAGTGTTACTAGGTTCTTTTACGTGCATTGTATTTAACACACGGGACCATGGTGAAGTGCCTTGCTTAAGGGCACAAGTGTCCACCCGGCGGGCTCGAACCCACGCCACTGTTGCCTCTGAAACACAAACACCAGAGCATGAGTCTGGTGCTTTTAACCGCTAGGCCATGACACTCCGTTTGTGTTTTTGTTCAAACTGGTTAGCTGCAGTTTATATGTTCTGGAACTGGTCAGCATTTGTACATTTTTGTTAAATTTCCAGTTGATTTTATTGGCGGGTTCGACTCTAACTACTCCAGCTACAATTCTCATGCCCAGCAGAAGGAGTCTTCAGATGTCCCCATGCAACCTGTATACATGTAAGCTCAGTCCGCAAGATTATAAATCTCTATTAATATTGGTTTTTGTCTCTCAAATATGTAAACTATTTTTTCAAAATTCTACCTCAAAACGACACTCTTTTTACTTAGTACTTTTCATATTGCAATATTTGCTTTTGGTTTTGATTTGTAGACAAAGAGGTATCCACTGATCCTATCTCTACTCCAGGTAACCATGGCGATGGAGATGGTATCCATGGCGCCCGTATCTAAGGTGGAAATCTGGGCAAAGGTGCACGGCCGTTCTCGCCATTAAAAGCCAACTTAATTACCTGCGAGCGTTGCTGATGAGTGGTTTGATAAACTGCAGTCGTTCTACTGCCAAGCTTCAGTGGAATGATTGAAAATCCCCCCCCCCCCATCCGGAATTTCCGTGCTGAATCTGTCAACACACTTACAGTTGTTGTAATTGCCTTCGTAGTTGCGACATTACTCGGAGGTCACCGGGTCGTTGCCATAGCGACTGGCTCATTTTTTTATTAGGTACTACAGCCATGGCTGTTACAATGTGTGGTTTAAGAAAAAAACGTCAGGGATGTACGTTTTTCTGCAATTGACCTATCGCCATTTGCGACTTACGCCACTTAGACAACCCTACGGAATTTTTGTACACAAAGTTTTGTTTGTCTCAGATTTTGCGCATTCCGCGTCCATTTGTATATTATGTAATTGGACAATATTTCACAAGCTGCGTTGACGCAATTCTAACGCGATTCTAACGCGATAGGCTAATGGTCTGAATTCTGGCTTTTTTTTTTTCAAATTGTAAATAGATATTGGCACCATACCTCAAATTTCAGGCAAAAATGTCAGATTCCACTTACATCTCTGAAGCACGTTTTGTATTCTGGTTTTCTCTTACGAAGCTTCAGAAAATAAAAATATTAGTCAATAATGTCATTTCAGTACGGGGCTGTTACTGACCACGTGACCTGGCCTACATCTGGGGTGCGTTCGAGCGTGTTACTCTTGCTACTCCCGAGTGCAGGAAAATGTTGCGTGCGCATTACTCTCGGTGCAGGAGTATACTCCCGGTGTGACGGAGAGCATACTCTTGCTAACCCGCGGGTCGTACTCCTGCCGTTCGGGCGCTCAGGAGTATTCTCGTGTTAACACAAGTAGCACGCTCGAACGCACCCTTGGGTACCAGAAAGTCAGCATTGCCACTGTTACATGAAGTAGGCAAAGATTTGCGGTTATTTGACGTTAGAATAAGCCCTACTGTGTAGTTAACAATGCAAGAAGTGGTTGCTAACCAACGCTGCCTACTGCAATATGGTGGCCCATCACATGGATATTGGATGGTCACGTGGTACGATCGAACCCTATAGCAACTGGCTAATGCTGTTGTGATACACATTTTTGCCACAGCTGCTTTGATATGTTGTGTCAGAAAACCGTGTTTTGGGGTTTTTTTTAGCTTCAGCAGCTAAAAAAAATGCTGAAAAGCAGCCTCCTGTATTTTGCCCACATTTTTCAATGTCAAAATTTCTTATCAAATGCCGATTATTTTTTGTGCAACATGCGAAGGCAGAGATCAAATTGCATTGAGACGTTGATATATTAAAAAAGTCGAAAACTATTTTGCTGTGAAGAATCTATTCTGTATATAAATGCTGTATTTTTTTTGCATTTATGATCACATTTTGTGGCAATTGACACAAAATGTATTTATTTTTGTGAATATTATCTCACAAGCCTGAGTGCGCACCAGTGCCTGTAGATTTCAGTGTGAAAAAGAAAGTGTGTGGGGCAATAACAATGTGAAAAGAATTATTCAGTGTGTTTTCTGCGTTGAAGCTTTGAACAAATTTGCCTTAAACAAAGCTGGAAATTTCATTAAACACGTGATCCATTCTTCTTGTGTTTTTAGGGTAAGCAAACAAAAAATGTGCCACAATTTTTGCCAGTAGTGCTAAATAAGCTCTAGTGGAAGGCAAAAACTTCAATGAATTCACCACCATTTTGTACTAAATATTTGTATATGTTGAAATTCAATGGTATAAACTACATGTAAGTGCAACAAAAACAGTTATTTTTTAGTTGAGTGCATCACATGTCAATAACAAGTCCTCCCCCATCCCAAGTCACTGATTTGCATGTGATTGACATGTGATTGACATGTGATTTGCATGTGATTGACATGTGATGGACACGTGATGGACATGTGATTTGCATGTGAATGACATGTAAAGGACATGTAATGGACATGTGATGGACATGTGATGGACATGTGATGGACATGTGATGGACATGTGATGGACATGTGATGCACTCGATTTCAGTTCTGTAATTTAACAGTAAAGTAATTGCTATAATAAACCATTAGTGTCAAATGTGCACAAAATGTGTTTACACAAAAACAAATAAGGGGTAAAGTGGCAAGAAAGAAATTATGTTGTTAAATTGCTGGAATGTACCAAATGTAGAAAAGTACTAAAGATGCTTTCGGCTACTTTGCAGTAAAACGGTTCAAAAATGAAAAAAAAAAAAAATCGTCGGTCATTAAAACTGAGCAAAAGCAATATGTGTTCAAAAATTGCTGGATAAAAAGCATTTAGTCACTAACACTGTAAATATTCATAAAATCACCAAAAATAACAGTTTATATCAACAATTGAAGGTGTAATCTTTGTATTGCGTTTTGTGCTTTCGAATATGTACAAAAATACATACATTAATAGTAATAGGAACAATTACTAAAATATTATAAACATATTTTTGAAAATATTTTCACGAACAAAATGAAACAAGTTTTCAAAGTACACCAGTTGTGTAAACAATACATGTATGTACATTTAAAGTTGAATATACTTTTGTTGCAAGCTTAATAAAAATGGGTAATTCCGTTTTCAAAGGTAAATAAAAAAAATTAAAAAAAACATAATTTCATTACGTGGATGAGAGGAACAATTTCATTATTAATATGGGATGTAGGATGAGATTAAATTGGATTGGGTTGAATATAAATTTGTGGTTTTGTAATTATTCATTTTAAAGTTACGTTTAGAAGATTATGTGCAATGTTTGTATCGGTTTAGGCTGCAGTATGTTTTGTATTTTTTGTATGTGTTCAGAAAGGATTTTAGTTTGTGAAGGAATTATAATTGTTTTTTAACTTGTTTTGGAAATATTAGTTTTAAATTAGGAACGAATGTAGTATCCAGACACCACTTTGTTGGTAGTGTACAAAGTCTATGATGAGTCAAGAACATTTTCAAAGTATTTTCTAACAAAGCTAATGTTTCTCAGTCCCAGATTCATGTCTTTTCAACATTTTTTGCAATGAATGACCTTCATTGAGTTAATATATGGTGAAAAAGTGGCGTCAGGATACATGATTCTTTCCATAAATTACATGACGTATGTATTCCCACTGACTTTGCAAAATAAAAATGTTATTTTTTAACTTGTCATGACATAATGTGCATCTTTTGAATTAAGTACTCAGGCCAAAGAAAAAAATAAGTCGGTCTCTGGTCAGTGCGCGCGTCGATTTTAATCATGCGCGTCGATCTTTTTTTTTTCAAAATGTTCCGCGGTAGCTCCAACAGCGCCCTCTATTTCCGCACCTCCTCAATCTTTTTTTTTCCACAGAGCACCAAGGAATGGGAAATTGCACCAAGGCAAATGATCGAAAGCACCAAGGCAAATTATGGAGGACACCAATGTACATGAGGACACCAAAAAGCAAAATAGTACCCCACCTTGTCTGTACAATCCAAGCTTGGAGAAAAAAAAAAAGCCGCGTGGCCACGTCAATTCCGGAACTTTGGTCTGACCAGAGACCGAATATTTTTTTGTTTTTGGCCTAACAACACTTTTTTTATATGCAGATCAAATGCAGATGTCTGTTTTTAGCGAAATGTACTGTCATCTCTAGTTATGTGTCATTCAACAATAGTCGGTTGTTTTGTCCACATATCCTATGTGACTTTCGATTCATGTACTTGTACATGTACATGTATGTATAACTAATTATAAAAGTTTTAATGGAGAAATGTATTCTTTAGGTGCAGTACTTGTTTCGCTGTTAACCAAAATTTGACGTGGATCGTAACACTTGTCTTGGGCATATTTACATGATATGTAGGGGTAATGGTTTGATGTTTTAACTTAACCATATTGAACAATACACTGTAACTTCATTTCTGTTTTATTATTCGCATCCAATTCTGGTATTCAGAAATTGTGTTTTATTATTATTATTATTATATTTATTTTTATTGATACACTAAACAGATGTGGTTTTCAATGAACTGAATTGTGGACTGCACAATGAGTTGTTTCTTAATTTCAAAACGTGTCTCAATGTCAATATTTCTCTTTCGTTTTGCATCAAAACCAGGACTTTTGCGAAGAAAAATAGAAAAAAGCTCATGTGTGGAAATTTCTTGTATTAAGCTGTTGTCTTTCTACACAGCATGCATCATGATCAACTACGTGTTCCAAATGAAATTGTCGAACGTAACATTTTCTCAAAGTACTGTGCATGTAAAGTAACTATATACATGTATGTACATTTAGGCCTTTATTTTTGAGACAAATTTTGTAAGTGTTGCACAAAAAGCTTTAATACATAGTGCCTTAGGCTGTTGCGCATATCACTGGAGTTTGAAAGGATTTCGTCAACCCTCACCCTCCCAGATCCTTAAAAATCCTATATAGGATTTTGTAGGATTGAGGCAGGTTGTGTCCAGCCACTATTCCATACCTGGGGCTCGATGCCCCTTGAAACTTGTAGGTACAAAAAGAAGTGTGCCATTGGGTTCCTGCACAGTGGAAGATTTTGTAGGATTGAGGAAGGTAGAGCCCAGGCACTATTACTTTGCATGGGGTTTGATGTAATACTTCAAACTTGGTAGGTACAAAGAGTGTGCCATTGGGTTCCTGCACAGTGGAGGATTTTGTAGGATTGAGGAAGGTAGAACCCAGCCACTATTGCTTTACATGGGACTTAAGGCCTCTTGAAACTTGGTAGGTACATTAAGAGTGTGCACTTGGTGGATTTTGTAGGATTCAGGAAGGGTTCTGATAAAAAAAAACCCTGGAATTTAGGGTCGAGTAATTCCACTTTGTCAACTGTACTGTTTAAAGGTCATTCTATTAATTCAGAGTCAACATTTTTCCTGTCCCCGTTACATCCAACATCCGATTGTTGTAATTCTGGATCCCTTAATGCATTCTTCCTCCAAGAGTGATCATGAGAAGCAAACAACCTACCCAGTAAATAACAATTAGTTCGATGTCATTTTAATGATACTTGTATGTTGAATTACGAAGTACAGAGGTAATGGGGCCAGAACAAAAATGAACACTTTAACCCTAAATTTACGGACCCACATAGCTCAACCAAAAATACATAACCTGCAGTTACGATTTTCTAGAAAAGTTTACGTAAATCGGTCTTTTACTTGAAATAAAAGCAAAGATTGCTTAACACAGAAGTAGAATTTTTTCTGTTTTATTGTTTGGATTGGTCGACTTTGGTTTCATTATAAATATTTAAATACTTTGTGAAACAATATTGCACAAATCCACATGTAACATATCTTCATACTAGGCTTCCTCAATAATCAAATACACCAAATACATGTGTGGTTATTATTTTGTGTTATGTAGATACTCTTTAGCTGAAAGTAATTAACAATTTACACAACTTGGTTTACTGTACTTTTAAATGCCTTAAATGTGTCATTCAAAAAATGAACTGCAAATTTGTTAAAATTATTGCACAAAATCCATACAATATACATGTACTACACAGATAAATATATTGCACACGATAAACCAATTAGGTACAAATATAGATACGAAAAGTAAATTGGGCAATGTGTGGTATAAGTGCTTTAAACGTCTTTGGTGGGAAGCTAGCTATTCCAGTCAGGAATTTTACAAACAAATTCTTGTTCATTTAATAAACAATCACAAAACTCACAAAATGTTACAAATATTTTGTGTACATTGTATAGCTAACATGCTGGCACATGTACAAATAAATAAATACTAATTACTGATTGTCTTAAATTAGTTTTGATATTTCTTACATGTTCCATGCACATACAATTTCAAACACTGTGTTATTAATATTTCAGAGGGATTACTAATTAATTTTGGTCCACGTCAATGAAAGATTAATTAATGGGTTTTTTTTTTCTTACTGCGCTAGCTATTATACTCAATGGGATTTAAACACGTCTTAAATTCTTAAACACCTCGGGAAAATAGAAATGTATTTTTATAATGGCATCCACTCATTTTTTTTGTATGGTTAAAAAAATGATCATATCATTTTATTGCCACTGTACGAGTGCTCTCTACAGGGTATTAAATTGTAAGCATTTTAAATACGGTGGGTTTTACAGTTTTCAATACAAACACCGAGAAAACAGTGGGAAAAAAAACATGCACAACTCCAGATCATAAAACAGTTCCGGCTTTAGAACAAACTCTTTATTAAAAATACTCTTAAAAATGAGTCGATTGACTGATCATTGGAAATCACCTACATTTCTTGATTTCTTCTAAATGACAGCAAGCCAGACGGAATAATTTCACGGGGTGTTTAGTACCAGTGTGATCTTTAATCCAAGTTAGCTTTTTGATAATTTTGTAGATTACTTTTTGGATAAATACAAAGAAATGATCCTAGTTATGTGGCTTAAAGCTAAGGCTAATTATAAACCCCAAGTCCCTGAGCCGCACGAAACTGCCCTGCCTGTTACTCCCTTTACTGCCCCAAACCACCCTGCCTGTTACTCCTTGCACTGCCCCAAACCGCCCTGCCTGTTACTTACTGCCCCAAACCACCCTGCCTGTTACTCCCTGTACTGCCCCAAACTGCCCTGCCTGTTACTCCCTGTACTGCCCTAAACCACCCTGCCTGTTACTCCCTGTACTGCCCCAAACCACCCTGCCTGTTACTCCCTGTACTGCCCCAAACCACCCTGCCTGTTACTCCCTGTACTGCCCCAAACCACCCTGCCTGTTACTCCCTGTACTGCCCCAAACCACCCTGCCTGTTACTCCCTGTACTGCCCCAAACCACCCTGCCTGTTTCTCCCTGTACTACCCCAAACCGCCCTGCCTGTTTCTCCCTGTACCGCCTGAAACTGCTCGAGCACTCTTTGGTTTTATGGATTCATCAGAGAATAAATACAATGTACAAATGTAATACAACATAATACAATGTAATACAATGTAATACAATGTAATACAATGTAATACAATGTAATGCAATGTAAATACAATGTTATACAATGTAATACAATGTAATACAATATAAGTACAGCTGCTAATGTGTTAAACCATTATTCCAGTGAGATGAGTGGCCTGTTTTCAGCCTGCTTCTGTTCCGTACTGCTCACTTCTAGTGTAGCAACGTTAGACTTGCTGCTTGAGGAGAGACTAAACCTGCCAACACCAACAAGGGAAAGTATAGGTTAATTACTTGCCATCATTCTCGTTGCAAAATTCTGTTTGTTTGCAGAATTTTTTTAAGACTCTTTTTCGATTTATGGGTTCCTGAATTTATAGCACAATCTTTTGTTTGTTTTTGTAGTTAATTTTTATTCGTGTGTTTTTCTGTTTTCCGGGTAGTTTTTTGAAAGGAAAACAATATTGTGATTTTTCCTTCAATTCCATCGTTAAACATCTCCACTTTATGGCAATACTTTAATGTAAAAGAAAACACCAGTTTTGACAAAATTTGTTGAATTTCACCTTTTTGTTTAGTCCTGCAAAATGTAGCCTTTTCTTCATTTTGGGTTTTTTTTCCCTGCTGCACAACTATAAATACGAAAATGTGCAATGCTGTCTTAAAAAAAATATCTAAAATGTGCATTTTGTTTTTCTCTTTCGTTAAACAAAATATGTACAAATGATCACAACATTTAGTGAACCTGGCCACACTGTCAATTAGCGCAAAAACTTGACAACAAATTTGTATCTGCCTACCTTTTCAAGTCATCATCTAACTGGTCGTTCCCATGGTGCACCGGGGCAGTGTTATGCAAATTAGGCTTGAAGTTGCAGCCAATCAGCTTCTTGGCCCAGGAGAAGTGATTGTATGGCGGGTTGGTCCCGCCCAGTTCGGACGGCAGCATTTCCTTGTGGATCTTGGCGTGTAGGGTGGAGAGGTTGTTACCATGGAGATAGATCTAAACAAAACAAAAATTGGTTGAAAAATTTGTCAGTTTTAGAAAAAAAACATTTTTCAAAGGAATAAAGAAAAACATCAAATTATTTGGTTATGTACTGTATAATCATTTACTGTACAATCAGTGCTTGCTTGTGGGAACAAATTTCAACTCGCTTGGGTGGACTCGAACCCACGACCTCCTGCTTACTAGTGCAGATGTCGTACCACTCGACCACTGCAGTCAGCTGGCTGGTTCGAATCTGATACAGACCAATCTTGGCAAGCTGCCAATTCTATCATGAAGGCCCCCTTTAATGGCGAAAGCATTGTGCTAGCTATTGTTCAGATTATCTGTCACGGGGCAGTTGCTTTGTACAATAGCATGCACAATGGTTTCTCCATTGAAGGGGGCCCCATCAGTGTACATGTACATGATCATGTGCCCGGATTCATCCATAGAATCACTTCTGGAGAAAAAAAAATTGTTGAAGTGGCACCGATTTTTTTTCCTCCGGACCTTTTGTCTCGTGGAGTCCTTTAGGAAGGGTTTGCAGACGGTGAGGGCGCCCTCTATGTACCACGGCTGGTTGATCATGTGTAGCCCTCCCAGCCGAGCGGGAAAACAGTCCTGGAAATAAAAGGGAAAATTAACACAGCTTTATGGAGCTACTAAAGCAGACAACTTTAAATACTTTGCAAATGTTTATGTCTAGCAAAATTCAGCCACGAGCAATGCACATCTAATGGACATTTGGCCGGTAAATCTGTTTTTGCTAGCAAACCACCTTTTTTTTTTGGTGCTAACTAAAAACTGTCCATGTTGAGCATCTCTATGAATTTGTTTGAAGATAATGTAACATTTGCTTTTGCTCTATATTCAGAAATGGATGGATTTGGGGGTTAGTATTTTATAGCCAAAATAGTTACACTGACCTGTTTTGAGTTTTGTGTTCATAGAAGCTTGTAACCGATTGCTGAGTTTAACTAAATTTGGTCAGTATTTGAAAAAGTCAGTTTTTCCAACGATGGTCGGCTGACCATCGTTGGAAAGTGATAAGAAAATTCCACTTTTCTTGTAAATGACAGCACACCAGGTGCCATGATTTCACAGGATGCTTGAGACTATTAACTTACACAGGTAGGGTATTTCATAATAATTTGGGTATTTTTGTTTTTTGATGTTTGCAAATGTTGTATATATTACCCTCAAGGGAATTTTACATCATATAAGACCAGGGGAATCCGGAATGGTCCATTAGGCAGGTGGGGGTTGAGAGGCATGCGGGAGGGGCAGGGGGAGGGAGGAGGGGCATAGGGGAGGGGCATGGGAGAGAGGGAGGGTAGGTGTATAAAAAGACTACTAGTCTATGTATACTACATTCACTGTCGAATGACAATTCACCTGGAATATCTCAATTGTAAGTTTCATCGTGGTCGGGTTGAGATTTGACGCTTGTTTGAAGGTCACCCCTGTCCAGTCAATGATGACGTTGAACCCGTTGACTTGGGTTTCCTCATCTTCCAACATAAACTCCAAACTCAGCACCAACGCTTGCAAAATGTGCAAGTAGCTGAACAACCATTCCTCCCAGTTTGCCACAAAAAAGACCACAATTCGGCGACCGAAGGGGTCCAAGTTTTCCAAGACAGCCGGGAAGCCTCCGAGCAAAGCTTCACGAATGTTGGCATCCTCCGCCGAAATGTTCGCCAGAAGTGGGGCTTTTTTCCTGCGGATTTCAAAGTATCGGGCTAGGACTTTAAAAGCCTCGAAGGTGTCGAATTTCTTGGCGCGCAAGAAGCGGACGATGAACTCGTTGTCCGTGCGGAGGAAGCGGACATCCGGCCGCGTGATGACCAGATCGCGGACGGCTTGGATGGAGGCATCTAAGGTGGATAGGTCTTCGTTGAGCTCGTGTTTGGCCTTGTGCCAAGTCTCCTGGGATAGGTTGGAGGTTTGAGGAGTCCGGTGATAGCTCATGGCCGAACCTTTGCTTTTATAATTATAATCTGATGGATTAGAATTGGGAAAATATGGTCAGGATAATTGGGCAACTTCATCAACAGATGCAGAACGAATTTTTCACTTACTAAATACTTGAAAATTGATTTTTGTCAGTGGGGGTGCTTTGCGCATCCCTCACAACCCCCCATCTTCTGATATCTCCGCCCATAAGGATGGGAAACGAATTTAGTCAAAACTGCAAATTTTTGTTTTGTATTTGATTTATTATCTTTGACTTAATCATGCCTAAGTCTTAGTTTCATGATTTTTTTCCTGTTTCTTATACTTTACTAGTTATACTTGCTCGCTTGTTAAGTTCTGATTCTCATATTTATTCTAACAAATTCCACACTAATATTACCATGATTTAGTGGCCTAATAGTATAGATGATGACGATGATGATGTAAAAAAAAAACGTAAGCATCTCAGTTGAACAATCTGACAAGTCATCATCAAGCTCAAAAACTAAAATATGCCAAAAAAATCAATCAACTAATAATATTACCTCATTAAGCAGGAAATTTCCCAAGAAATGCTGTCATCACATTGCTCCTGTCTTCACTTTCATTTTTTTCTCCAAACATCAACCCATGGCAGTAAACAATGACAACATCCGCAAGATCAGGTGATGCTGTCTCAACCGCATCTTCATTTTCATCTGACCACCACGTGACCTCCGCCCCTTTTCTTACAGCTCCTGAGCTTTCTTTTTGTTCGAATAGTTGGTGTTTTTCCCCTCCAAATTCTTGACGAGGTATTTCTTAATTCCTGACTAATTCTATAATAAAAAATACCATTTTTAAAATATGTAATCAAACTTTGGGTAATTTGATTTTTTTTCTCAGAGATGATTATGGCTTTTATCATTTCACTTGGACTACACGTCAAAAAAGATTTCAAAAGCAAAACACGGCACGGTAGTCTGGTTTACACGTTCCAGAGTGAAAAGCACTGCGGCGGGTCGACGCGTCAGGAACAAGACTGAGGTAATTGTAATTTTGTTCGAGGGCCGGGCGGAACAGAACCGAGAACGTGCAGTTTCGCATGGCGTTTGAGCAGATCGTATGGTAAGTTAGCCATAGGTATATGTTTGTCTTCATTACCGATTTAGTCTTCGAAACAGTTAAACAAAACAAACATTTATTTCTATGAAGTTTGGTAGGGCGTTTTGACCGCAGTACGTATCTATTCTTGCCGTCTCGCGAAGCACGAGAGTGATTCGTAAAGCATGTATTTCCGACATATTGTTTTACAACTTGTTACCCGTTTGTAACGTTCTTAACTTTCTTATTTTTTTCTTATTATTATAACTTTTAATTGCCTATTTAACTTTGTAACATCTTGTTTTCATATTTAACTATCGTTACTGTGTGTTAAATAAAATCTGTCAAACTTTGTGGTATTATTCTACTTTTTTAAAGTCATGCAATTGCAACTTGCAAGTTCAAAAGTATTTGAAAAATCTGAAATGTCTTTAATAAGCATTCGACTTGTTTTGCCCAAACATTTGTGTGTTTGCGTGTCAAGTTATTTTCCATTTTCTTTTTGAAGTTGGTTATTAAGTCAATGAATGCGAATTTGCCTTGTTAATAACTGTCTTGTCGTTTCTTTAGAATTGACTGTGGAACACCTCATGCAAGTCTTTTGGATTGCGAGCATAAAAAAGCACCCATCAACTCTGTGCTTAGGATAGAGTAGAAATGCAAGTAGATGTCTGACATTGACAAGCACATTCCGAGCATGGGACCCGATCGGGGAAAAAATATGCAAGACGTCGAGGAAGACCCAGACAACGACGGCTCGTCGGCAGAGCAGGACCTGCCGATGCCCCAGATGGTGATTGCCATGGGAGACGATAGCAACGAGGAGGAGGACAGTGATGATGATGTCGATGATGGAGGAGCGGGGCCAGGTGGAGATGGATACATGCTGTTACCGGACGCTGATCAGGAAATCGACCATGCTGATATTGAGGTGAATATCTTCAGCTGTGGAAAAGACGAAAAGCACTATGAATTTCGTCAGGGATAAATACTACGTTTTCAAGAGATGTGGTGACTTGAACCTTCAAAATTCTGTCAAAATCCATCAGAAATTTGGGACGTTTTGAAGGATTAACTCCATCTCAAGTCCAGCAAATAAAAAACCCTCTTGGGAATTGGAAAGATTTGGTTGATTAATCTTTACCCTCCAAAATCCTTCAAAATCCTCCTTTGAGATTGAAGGATTTAGGGTGGTTATCCTAATCCTATTCCTTTCAAGCAGCAAAACCTTCCCAAATCTTTTAAAACCCATCAAAATGGAAGATCAAACCCAAGTCCCCAATCCTCTCAAATTCATAGAAATCCAACTGGAAGTTTGAATGATATTTGAAATCTTTCAAAAGTACAAGAGATTCGAAGGATTTTGTAGAATTGAGGGTTTGGGCTAATCAGTGTATTACAAATTTGGTCTTTATTAATTGGGAGACCAATTCTGGAGCATACTGAGAAATACAAGGATGGGTGTACGTGTTTCTTCCTTTCAATTAGCCCAGGTTGGACAATGTCTTCACATTACATTACAACTGACATAGCATCTTCATTACGTCTTCACATTGCGTTCCGTCGTGTGTACACAACAGAGGAGTGGTTCAACTTGGGCTATTTTTCAATCCTTGAAAGTATTTAAATCCATATTAAATCATTGCACAAGTTAGAGTGCTGCTGATTTTCGTTTGAAGTCCTTGCAGAGATCAGTGTTTGATTTCGTTGTTCATATTCGCTTGCAGGCTATGGATGAAGAAGCTCATGGTGCAGCCCCAAGCAGTCAGCAGCAACAACAGCAGCCTGAACTTCCAACCCACTTAGCCAAGCTTCTCCCTACTCAGCCACCAACCCAAGATCCGTCCACCGTCGTCTCATTCGCAGACACCTCCAAAACTCTCGAGACGCGCCGACAGGTCATGGCTGCGGACGACGAAATCCAGAAAGCCATGGCTGGTTTCTCGCTGCCGGGGACTGCCATACCGCCCTGGGCGAGGGCGCAAGGCGACAAGGAGTGGAAGGACCAGCTGGCCGAGATGATCCGGGGGAGGGAAGAGAAGAGACATGAAACGGGCGGGACATCCAAGGATGGGAAGACGTGATTGGAGGAAAACTGGGAAGTTGGAGACTGTTTGCTGTATTAAAGGATTTGTACATGTCAATGTAGGCATGTTTGCTCCACCAGCTGGCATGATCCGAGGGAAGGAAAGAGACATGAAACGGGCGAGACATGAAACTGTGATTGGTCACTTAAACCGAAAAACTGGAGACTGTTTGCTGTATCAAATATATGTGGGTAGGCTTGAGAGACCTATGGCATATTTTCCGTCTAATTTGTTCCATCAGCTGGCAAAGATGGTCTTAGGGAAAGAAGAGAAAAGACATGAAATAATTGAAACAGCCAAGGATGAGTGAAACTGGAAAATTAGATACTTTTCGCTGTATCATAATGGTTATAATGTATATTTGCTCAGTCAGCCAGCAAAGAAAGAGACATGAAACGGGTGAGACATCCACAGATGGGAAAACAGGTTACTTATTAACTGAAAAACTAGAGACTGTTTCCTGTATTAAATATGTGTGGGTAGGCTTCAGAGACCTATGGCAATGGTTCTATCGGATTTGTTCCACCAGCTGGCAAAGATAGGGAGAGAGAATAAGAGACATGAAACGGGTGAGACATCCACAGATGGGAAAATGTGATTGGTTACTTATTACCGGTAACTGAAAAACTAGAGACTGTTTCCTGTATTAATTATGTGTGGGTAGGCTTCAGAGACCTATGACAATGGTTCTGTCAGATTTGTTCCACCAGCTGGCAAAGCTAAGGGAGAGAGTATAAGAGACATTAAACAGGCGAGACATCCAAAGATGGGAAAACCTGATTAGTGCAAACTGAAAAGTTAGAAACTGTTTGCTGTGAAGCATTGCATTAACATATGTATGAGTCAGCTTTTTAAGACCAGTCTTTTACTAGAGGCTATAATTCCATTTGGGGCAAAAAAATGTTGTTGCTATGTCGGGAAAAAAAATTGTGTGCATATAGTTGCATGTTTCACAGGTTAGCTGGGTGTTTGGGCTTCTGTGCATGCTACTCTGTAACTAAGGCAGAGTAAAAAAAAAAACCAGTTTCTCGTATGGGCTTTTTGAAAAAAAAAAGGAGGCAGGATTTTTTTCACAGGATGGAAGAGTTTCCAAAATGGCAGATGGATTCTTTTGCTGATGGACTCTTTTGCTGATACACAATTGTGTTCAAAGGAGCCATTTCTACACAGCCGCAAATTTGCTGGGAAGAAAAGGAAGCGGGCAGGAGGGAGAAACTGGGTTTTTTTTTTAAACTTGGCCTTATTTGTGAAAAATCAGTCTGTCTTTTAAGCATGCAGGAATAAGAATGAACCTTAAAATTATTTTGACCTCCCAGAATTTGCTAATGAGAAGCATATGTTGATTTTGGCTTAGATTGTCTCCTTTAGTTACAAACATAAACAAAATTCATAACATTTGTTATGATTTATTTTTTGTAATTTGGCATTTTAAGTTCCCACAAAAGTAATCCCTTGAGCAGTAACTTTGCTTTATGAAAATAATGACTGTATCAATATACGACATAGAATTAAAAATTTTACTAAACAGCACTTTACCTGAGGAGAAAAATATATATTATCATATTCCATATTAAAGGGAGAAATATCCACACTTCGCTGTAGAATAGGAAGAAAATGACAATAAAAACTGAAGCTTATTACCAGAGTAGATTTCATTGTTCGAGTTTGTGTTAATGTTTTGAAGTGTCGCATGTAAATGCCTTTAAGTTAAATTTAATTTAATTACATTAATTAAATTGTGTTTTTGATGAGGGGGACAATGCAATAATTTGAGACAATGCCCCTCCCTGTCTGACCCTGCCCCGCCCTGCCCCGCCCTGCACCCTGCCTTAATAAGCGTACGCCCACTATTGTACTTTTTGGGGGGGAGGTGGGGAATCCCCCTAAAGGTTTATTTACGGCATGGGCGTAGACACTTTTTATAGCTTCATGCTTTCATCAAACTGCATATTTCATCACGCTGGATGAAGATCTTACGAAAGATTAAAGAACCTGAAAATTTAGGATTTAAAAAAATGAAGAATAACATGTTTTTCTTGCAAAATGTATTGTAATGTAAGCGGGATTATTCGGAGATGACGTCAACCTATCAATTTTCAACGCTGGTTTTCCGAAATCACATATACTGTACGCGTGTACGTGCAAAGTACCAGTTTTCAATAAGTGACGACGCGAGATATCGCGGTCAGTTGTTTACGAGCAGAAATCTAGCTTTTAAAATACAATTTTCATCTAAAAGTTGACTTGTGTAAGCAATCTGATCGGTAAGTATGGGAATCAAAATATCCTAGAGTTACTTTTTGATATCTTTAGATTCGGGCGATCGTAATTTTGGTGATTAATTTGGAATTGGAGGCTTCAAAATTCAATTCGGCGGTGTTTACGTGCTGCCGAGATTTTGTCAAGTCGCCCCGCGCCATGGTTGTGTGTGCGTTTTGTGATGAAAGCCCTATATCATATTGCTGCATCCTAATCAGCTAGAGCTAGCAAGCTAGAGCTAGGTCTAGGTCTACGCCCATCGAAAATATGCGGGGACGTGCTAGACTTGGCCGTAACTCTGGAAGCCCCTTTTGGACACATCCTTAGACATTATTGTTAGAATCAACGCAGTCAATAGTCATGGCAGTCAATGGCAGTGGCTATTGTCATGGCAGCCGTAACGCGATTTTCAATTGTACTCGAACTACACAACGGTAAGTCTGAGTAACTAACTAGAACTCTACGAATTGCTTTTTTTAACATTTGGACATGGTCGGGCGATAGTCTTTGCCCGCGCCCGACCATGTCCAAATGTTAAAAAAAGTGATTCGTAGAGACTAGAGTCCTACTCCTAGTTAGTCCTAGTTAGTTACTCGGACTACGCAAGGGTCTGGTTCCCAGATGGCAGATGTTATATTAATAATACTATTTACGTAGTAGTTTTCACGTTAGGATCTTTGGCTGACATGGCTGAAAGAATATTGCATCCTGACCCCACTTCAGCAGTTGTGTACAAAATCTATGGAGAGTCAAGACAATTTTCTAAGTATTTCCTAACAAAATTGGAAATGTTTCTCAGTCCCAGATTCACGTCTTTTCAACATTTTTGCAATGACTGACCTTAATTGAGATGATAGGCCTATTCATCAAAAAAAAATATTACGGCTGTTGAAAATGGTGTTGCGGCTACCATAATAATATTAATACCCTCTGCGATTAATTTTATCATTTTGAAGAGAGTTAACCTTAGAAAATGTGACATTCTTACCAGTTTTGACAGTTGCAAAATGCAACTTTTTTTAACCTTGTTATCCTCATAAATGCAAATTGATGAAATTATGCCCTCTTTCCACAACATTAATCCTTCGTAGGAGGAGTCAAGTGACCGCCCAGAGCCACAATGACCACCCTGCACGCCGTGGACATGGGCGCCCAGACCCAAGTCGTCACCCACCACCAGCCCCAACAACAGCAGCAGCAAACCATCACCTACCAGACGGTGCATGCCCAGCCCCAGCAAGGCGGTAATGTCATGAGTAACTACAGCGGGGCCACGGCACGCCAGACCGGCTACGCGCAGGTGACGTGTGGAGTTCTGGCGGTTGCCATCGGAATCGCGGCCATCGTGTTGGAGTGCAGACTGTCGTATGTGTCTAGTCCCATCTGGAGTGGAATCGGGGTGAGAAAATTGGAACTCGTTTTTTTTTTTTTATTGAAAAGATGTCCCATCATACTGTCAATCAACAATAATACATCTGTCTTGAAATAGAGTTTAAAAAATTGTATCACTCATTATTGGAAATCCTGAGAATGCTCATTGCTGAAGTTTAGATTTAAATGGAATATACAACATTTGCTTTTGCTGCAATTTTCAGAAACAAATGGATTTGGAGGATTAATGTGCTGTAGAAAAATGGTTGAATTAGCTTGTTTCATGTTTTGGGTTCGGAGATGCTGGGATATCTAAGAAAATCAACCATGTTCTTGTTGTCTGGTTCCCTGACCCCACTTAAGATGAGACCTTGCAAATTAAAGACTTTGGGGATTTGTAAGGTCAGAGAATCAATCTAAGCAGGCTTGTATACCTTCACAGATGTGTAATCAATTGCGAAGAAAATGCGGAATAACTAAATATGAAAAATTAGGAGCAATTTTTGAAAAAAGCCAGTTTTCTCCAACGGAGGTCCGCCGACCATTGTTGGAAAAATACCAGTTTTCTTGAAAATTTCAGCACACCAGGAGCCATGATTTTACAGGATGCTTTTAGATTGTCATTCACTTACAGACCAGTATTTCATTATAATTTGATTATTTTGTTTTTTAATGCTTGAAAATGTTGTTTATTGCATCCTGATAACATCTTTTGTTTCTCTTTTTTTTTTAACAAATTGTTTCAGTTCTTCGTTGTGGCCGGTATTCTCGGCATCGCATCTGCTGCCAACCAAAACAACTGCGTGGTAAGAAAATGTGTTTACCTTTTTTAAACGAGAAACTGGCTTAGCATGAAGCAAACATATTATGCTAGGTCTGTTTCATTCTCTGAACGTCAGTTCCGCGATTGGATTCAATATCGGTTTCACCCTCTACGTTCATCAACACTGTATACTCGGTCTTGTCCGAGGGTTTGCAAGAAAAAATTCACAAGCTTACTCAAATGGGACTTGAACCCACGACCTCCTGCTTACTAGTGCAGATGTCTTACCACTCGACCACTGAGCTTGCCAGGGTCGGTTGCCGGTTCGAATCTGATATAACAAATACCACAATCAAACTAATTATAGGGTTGAATTTTCATCGTGAGATGTACATTTATTGGGTTTTGCCCGTCACCGATGTATTTTTACGTACAAATAATTGTCGCCTGGCCTGTTCTGTTACTAGATCGTCGGTCATCTGGTTATGTCCATCCTGGCGTCTCTTGCCGCGTTCCAGATGATGATCATGCTGATCATAGCCGCACTGACAGAGTACAAGAACTGCCGGTACGAATACAACATCTATGGACCCTACCAAAGAAACTGCGACAACTATGTAAGTCTTTGGGAACCTGCGATGACCCATCTTCGGGATGGGGGGGGGGGGGTAACCTGCTCAAAGCGCTAGTTTGTGCAAACTATTCACAACTAATTTTTGTCTAAAACTGCACAAACACAACCTTTTAGCGTCAGGCGTCTTCAGCAACTGTGCAGGCATGCAGATTTCCTCAGATCCGCAGATTTCTTCGTTTTTTTTAACTTCTCGTGAATGCCATATACAAATTGAAACTAGAAAGCACTCAGAGAGCACACACCTTGCCAAGGCGAAGCAATTTCCTGCCTTTACACACAGCAGAAAGCACAAACGTGGTTTCTAAAACAAATCCTTAAACACAAACATTTTGTAGTTTACATGTTAATGCCTGTGTTTGTCTACCTTTCCACTCCCCCATTGTATGAAATGGTCTAGTCCATTGACCTGTGTGGTTTGATAAGGTGGGTGATAAGGCACACAGGGTCACCGGGTCAGTGCCACGCACACAAAGCTGGTCACACAGGTGAAAGTTTTCCATATGATGGGTGAAAAATCCTTTACAAAAAAATCCTGCATCCAGACACAGTTCCGGATCACTTCTAAAATCTAATCGATTTGTAAATTTCTACAAAGGACCACCCCTAAAAAAAAATAACATGAAAATCCGTTCTCGACTTTTCGAGTTATCCTATTCACAGTCAAACCAACGCCGCTGAAAATATAATCACCTGGGCGGAGGTATAAACACTGTACAAAGTCTTGTGTGGTTTGGAATTTCCTCGGTTTTTATCTAAATTCGCAGCTGCATGCCTGTCTATCCCAATGGTCTCCCCCAACTCTCCTATTGTAACCGTTGAGGGGGTACTTGTGCACAGAGCTCGTACCTCACCATTTATGTTCTCCTGTCTCCTTGTCGTTGCTCAGTACTATGGCCGCATCGCTGTGGACAGCATTGGCGGTGTGGTCGCGCTGGTGGAGTTCGTCGTGGCCATCATTGCGTCTGCCATCTGCTGCCGTGGTAGCTGTGGCTCTGGAACCATTGCTAGCCAGCAGACCGTGGTAAGTAATAACAAGCTGCTGAAAAAAGAAGGAATGTGTCTGAAATAACGTGTCCATTTCATAGCGAGTTAGAGTGGAAGCCATTCGTGTACACACTTGTACGTGTAGATGACATGACCGTAGAAAATCGGAAACCTTGCTTGACTTAACTCTGAATACCTTAAATTTGTTTATCCGTTCCCTTGAGATTTGACTGAAGGGGAGTTTATGTTAATTTATTTTATTTCATTTGTACTTGCAGGTGCACCACTATGTACCCAACCAGGGCAACGTGACCATCATGACCAACCCCCAGCCCTACGGACAGGCCGCGCCTCAACAACAGGGTAAGCTCTCGCATTACACAGTATACTTGACGATGTTGAAAAGCGACTGTAAAGTCTTGGAAAGAAGGCAGGGTTTCGAATATGAAAGGAAAATTACGGGGCACAATGACGACGAAACAATATGCAAAAATGAAGATGGCGATAGTGCTAGCTCACGTGCAGTGCACAGGAACAAACAAAAGTGGGTTGATTTACGCAGCATCAAATGAAAAATGGGCGAGGATTATTTCTCTCAAAATAAACTTGGAATCTTGAAAGCAAGTAAGGAAGGTTGCTTAGGGTTGCAGATGTTGAATTGATACCAAAAAGTTCAGAACTGGAGAGGCAGAGGGTGCTAAACTTCGCAAATTAATCTTATTTTTATGTCTTCCGCTTGTTTTCTAGGCTACGTCCAGCAGCCACACCCAATGGCCCCGCCCCAGGGCTACTCCAACCAGGCTTTCAGCCACGGTCCCCAGACCTCCCAGGGTGCCCCGCCCATCCACGCTCCCCCGCCCTACAACTACGCCGAGGAGAAGGGCAAAGGAATGCCCATCGCGGAGGCTTAAAGACAAACGACGTGAACACGTCGAGAACACAACTCAATCCAGAAAAGGTAGCACGAGTAACCTCTAAACTCGATTAAAAAAAAAACTCATAAAATTATATCAACATTACGAGCCAATGATTTTCCTTTTCCGAATGTCCAGTTTTCCGTTTTAAGAAATTCTTCAGGCGCGTTTCAAAAAATTAACAAGGGTTAAAATAAGTCTTTAAGGTTTCATCATGTGTTCACAATTTGAGAAAATCTTAAATCTTGTTGCAAAACGTGAAAAGGGTTAAAAACAGTATTTAAACTTTCATCATGTGTTTTTCAGTAACTAAACAAAAATATTTTGTCACTAGATTTTGCTTCAAAAGTGAAATGCATATTTCTGCTAAGAATTTGACCAATTCGTACTAAAACTGTTCAATGTTATGTTTTGAACTCTACTGTGCAAATGCACTCTAAACTTTGTGCACAAAAATTCCTTCATCGGTCAAAATGAAGAAAACGCACCAATAGTGAAGGACCATTTCGCTGGTACTCATTCATTATTTACAAGGTGAACAGTGGTTAGGAACCAGTGAAGTGTCCTTCACGCAACTTGTTAGCTGGTGCAATTTTTTTTTTTTTTTTTCAAATGAATTCCGTAAGATTTTTCTTCCAAAAGTGTTTTTAATAAATTCCATCCATTTTATTGTACGAACTGGAAAATCATTCGGCTCAACAAATGGTAAAATTATCAAAATCATTTAAGCTGTTACACAAGACAAAAATGATCAAACTGCCGATAGGTGCCAAAATAAAAATGAGATAAATAAAATTTATATTAAGATATATCAACCAACTCATGACTAATTTCGGAAATTGAAACATATTTTCCAAAAATGATTTCACTTTCAGAATTTGAGCAGCTAATAATATTAAAAATTTAAAAGTGCACAATAATTAATATATTCTATTCCACAAAACGTAAGTACTTTCATCCAGTAATTTTGAGCACTTGTAATTTAAGAAATGCACTCGGGAAGAGTTCCATACCTGGGCATCACTTGACACCCTGTGCACAAACCCTATGGGACTGGTCTGAAAAATTCCAAGTGTTTCTCAGTTAATGCTTCAGTTTTCCCTGCTAAATTTGACTTTTTAGGATGTTATCGCTTTCTGATGGCTGATAGGTCACTGCAGGGAAAAATTGGCGATGTCCGTGTATGGAATTCTTTCCATGCACTCAAATTCACCATCAGAATATTTGGGGGGATTTTGGTTTTAAAGCAGGGTTTTTGTGGTTGAGAAGTAAAAGGTATCTTTTTTTTGTCTTTTTTTATTTATTCTTGAGCACATTACAGAGCAGTACATGTATGTACATGTAGTATATGTATGTACAGAAAAAAAACATTCAAAAGAAATAAACAAACGAACAAAGTGGGACCACAAACCAAACATGCCAAATGTTTTGCCACAAACCAAACCGTTTGCCACAAACCAAAACAATTATTTCTTGGAAAATATATTCATTAAGTTCAATTTGTGCGCTGTTTTGTGTTTTGTTTAGTTTGTGTTGACAAAGATATTAAAATTTAATTACCCAGACTTTGTTTTATTTATAGTGATACATTAGTGTACCAAGTACTCAGATGAATGTGTGTATGATATCGGCAAAAGTGTATCACCGTTTTTATCCTCATGCGAGGTTTGCAGTTGTCATTTTTAACTGAATCTTAAAAGATTGCTTTGTTTTTAGACTTAACATAGAGATTACAGTGTATGTATTGGCAGAGGCTAGACTTCAGTATTCTTTCATATTTTCTTTTGTGAAACCAGTCTATTTTAACAATTTAAAAATTTAAAAAGTACATTTTAGGACCTGTTTTCATTTTGTCAAGGTTTTTGTTTGGCAAGTTGCAAAAGGACAAACAAACTTTATGGTACTACTGAATTTAAACGCTGGGTCAGGCAAATCATTTTATTTTCAGATAGATCTGTCCACATTTGATTTGAGTAAAAAGTTTCACTTACAGAACATCTCAAATTACTTTTGAAACCAAAGAAGTATTTATTGAAATTGAAACATTTTGCCTATTTATGTCTTTTTTTTAACACATTCACTTATGTCAGTTGAACACAAAGAATTTCCATGTGGAAGGTGGGGAATTTTAGGGGCGGGGCATTAAAAGCATTCCAGGGGGGAATTTTCTAAAAAACAAAATTTTCAGAGTATTCGCCAAATCACATCCCAAGTACCATTGAGGTTTGTGAGTTGAAAAGTGCTGTATAACATATTTATCCTACATATATTTGTTATCCTAAAAAAAAATTAGCAAAGTACAATATTATTTATTAAAGAAAACTATAAAAACATGCCAAGGCTCGATATTGTTTTTAAAGTTAGAAAACAGGAGTATTCTCATTCAGTATTTGAAATCAAAGTAGTTGGGACTAGTGCCGCATGAACAAAGACATTGACTAATGTGAATATCCCCAACACAGGGCTGGATAGCTCAGTTGGTAGAGCACCGGAACGGCAATCCAGAGGTCGCAGGTTCAAACCCCGCTCCGGTCAATTTCTTTGTTCATTGTTTTATTTTCAAAAGAAAAATAAGTTTTTATCTTTTATCCTGGTACAATTATTGTGGATTTTATTTTCTGTCTTCTGAAATACCATTTCTATATTTGTGTCCTAACTTATTGAGAAAAAAACAGTACTTGTCCACTTTTTTAACAAGAAAGACTTATCTTTAATTTTTTGAAAGCAAATTTCTTCCAAGTGTCGTTTAATTTCATAGGTTCAGCATCTTAGAAAAAATTAATTTCAAAGCGATTTTAGATAACAAAATGAGATTCCTTCTTCTTGCCGGTTTTAATGCTTAAAATATTGATTATGAACATGCCAACTTTGAGTGAGAGCAGAGAGTGAGAATTTGGCATTGGAGCTTGATCAGAAATAAAGCGAGCGCAAAGCCCTTACGGAGTGGGTTCCAGGGACTGCTTCAGGGTCCCGGAAAATTTTGGATTCTAGACGCGCTGTGGTGTGATCTGAGGCAATTTCTGAGGCAATTATAACCAATTTCTTTTAGCAAAAGATCATTATTTAAACATCATTTTCAAGTTTTTTTCTAAGTAGGTTTGTGTGCCAGCATCTTTAAAAAAGAAAAGAAAAGGATTTTATGGTATCAAGTTGGTGTTGACACTTGAGAGTGCTGTGTATAATATATTTACTCAGTTGCACAACTTGGCTCAATTTCATGAAAGCGAACCACAGAAATCATGCGCTAATGTTCACCATTCTGTGCGTGCTGTGCATGCGTAGGAATTGTGTTTGTCTTTGATGTCCCCTCAGGGCCACTGTACTGTATTTATCTCTGCATTCATGAGCATAGCCTCCTGAAATTTACTAAAACTGCAAAAATGTGTTTATCGGTAAGCAATTAATGAAATTGGGCCATGTTAGCTTTAAAGCAAGAGGTATAATGTATTCAATATCATATTTTACTGCACACAAGATATTTTTGGCAGTTAGTGTGTGCATGTACTGAGAGCCTGTAATTTTGGTACTATCATGGTGAAATGTATTTTCAGTACATATTTACTGTACGTGAAATATTCCTAGAGTTGGTTTCAGTGTGGGTATGTAGTCTGGTTACCAGACCGAAAGTTTCTGACTATTTCTGACAAATTTCTTGTCAGAATATTCGGAATCTTTGGTCTGGGAACCAGACTATGTGAACCAGACTATGTGGGTATGTTATAGTATACACGTCAGAAAATACTTGGAGTAATGACAGAATGTCACAAATTCAAAATGAAATAAATGCAACATTGCCTTTTGGATTCCGAGCACAAATACCCCCTCAACGCTTACGAAGATAGAGTTGGGGGACAACTGGGAGCAACCTTGTCCCCTGGACCTATGTTATTTCAACCTCATTTCCAATAGTGGGAGCATACTGCACGACACGAGGTTGAACTACTACGTGCTCGTGCAACACGCAAATTCAGAATTAAATTTGGTCATGCATATTTTGCGCCATACATGCACTAACCAGTATGCACACGCGTTGTGTCCCCCCAATGCATGAGCGCCCTCAAAAAGGGAGCACCATGCCCCATCTATACTACTGCACGGAGTCGAGAAGTCGCTTGAATATAAAACAAGAACTTAGAACATATCTCAAGAAATATTCTGTTGACTGAGTTTCTATCAAGAAAGGTTTTAAGCTGATAACGCTTGGTTTGTAAAGGTGTATTGTATACATTTATCTTGCCGAAAGGACAGAAAAGGCTGCGCATATTTTGTGCTGGTAACTGCTAAATAAAGCACCAAAAATAATTCAAAACGGTCTCTGTGTTTACGTTTCTCACTTAAGTTAAGAGTATATGCGTGCTGTCGTTAAATATGCTGTTAATTTCGATTTGCAAAACATTTGAGTTATTGGGAAAAATTGGGGGAAAAAATAAGAAAAATAGCTGTATACATGACTTCTTGCTTAATCTTTGCCTCAAAAAAAGGAGATTTTTTTTAATATTAATAGGTAAATATGTATTTTTTGGGGGGGGTGGGGGCAACTTTACCATACCTTTTAAGTAAGGTTAACCTTACCTTTTATGAAATTTGGCCAAAAAAATGAATTTCTTCTTAATGACACATAATCCCAAAATCGAGTGAATTTCTTCATGAAGACATAATCTGTCCCGAAATCGATTTGGAATGTGTTTTGGGGTCCCTTATGAGTCTTTCTAGGGAGTTTGGAGCAATTTCATTTTTTGACAAAAATTTACCAAAAAATGCAAGGGGTGCACCTTACTTTTTTTTTAAATTTGGCCCAAAAAAATGAATTTCTTCATAATGACATACTCTGTCACGAAATCGAGTTGCAATGTGTTTTAGGGTCCCTTAGTAGTCTTTCTAGGAAGTTTGGAGCAATTTCATTTTTTAATTAAAATTGACAAAAAATGCAAGGGGTTAACCTTACTTTTTTATGAAATTTAGCCAAAAAATGAATTTCTTCAAAATGACATAATCTGTCCCGAAATCGAGTTGCAATGTGTTTTGGGGTCCCTTATGAGTCTTTCTAGGAAGTTTGGAGCAATTTCATTTTTTGACAAAAATTGACAAAAAATGTAAGGGGTTAACCTTACTTTTTTATCATAAATTTGGCCAAAAAATGAATTTCTTCAAAATGACATAATCTGTCCCGAAATCGAGTTGGAATGTGTTTTAGGGTCTCTTAGGAGTCTTTCTAGGAAGTTTTGAACAATTTCATTTTTTGACAAAAATTGACAAAAAAATGCAAGGGTTAGCCTTACTTTTTTTATGAAATTTGGCCCCCAAAAATGAATTTCTTCATGATGACATAATTTGCCCCGAAATCGAGTTGCAGTGTGTTTTAGGGTCCCCTAGGAGCCTTTCTAGGAAGTTTGGAGCAATTTCATTTTTTGACAAAAATTGACAAAAAATGCAAGGGGTTAACCTTACTTTTTATGAAATTTGGCACCCCAAAAATTAATTTCTTCATAATGACATAATCTGTCCCGAAATCGAGTTGCAATGTGTTTTAGGGTCCCCTAGGAGTCTTTCTAGGAAGTTTGGAGCAATTTCATTTTTTAATTAAAATTGACAAAAAATGCAAGGGGTTAACCTTACTTTTTTATGAAATTTAGCCAAAAAATGAATTTCTTCAAAATGACATAATCTGTCCCGAAATCGAGTTGCAATGTGTTTTTGGGTCCCTTATGAGTCTTTCTAGGAAGTTTGGAGCAATTTCATTTTTTGACAAAAATTGACAAAAAATGTAAGGGGTTAACCTTACTTTTTTATCATAAATTTGGCCAAAAAATGAATTTCTTCAAAATGACATAATCTGTCCCGAAATCGAGTTGGAATGTGTTTTAGGGTCCCTTAGGAGTCTTTCTAGGAAGTTTTGAACAATTTCATTTTTTGACAAAAATTGACAAAAAAATGCAAAGGGTTAGCCTTACTTTTTTTATGAAATTTGGCCCCCAAAAATGAATTTCTTCATGATGACATAATCTGTCCCGAAATCGATTTGCAATGTGTTTTAGGGTCCCTTAGTAGTCTTTCTAGGAAGTTTGGAGCAATTTCATTTTTTGACAAAAATTGACAAAAAATGCAAGGGGTTCACCTTACTTTTTTATGAATTTTACCCCCCAAAATGAGTTTCTTCATAAAGAAATAATGTGTACCGAAATCGAGTTGCAATGTGTTTTAGGGTCCCTTATGAGTCTTTCTATGAAGTTTGGAGCAATTTCACTTTTTGACCAAAATTGACAAAAAATGCAAGGGGTTAACCTTACTTTTTTATGAAATTTGGCCAAAAAATGAATTTCTTCATAATGATATTATATATCCCCAAATCGAGTTGCAATGTGTTTTAGGGTCCCTTATGAGTCTTTCTAGGAAGTTTGGAGCAATTTCATTTTTTGACCAAAATTGACAAAAAATGCAAGGGGTTAACCTTACTTTTTATGAAATTTGGCACCCCAAAAATTAATTTCTTCATAATGACATAATCTGTCCCGAAATCGATTTGCAATGTGTTTTAGGGTCCCCTAGGAGTCTTTCTAGGAAGTTTGGAGCAATTTCATTTTTTTACAAAAATTGACAAAAAATGCAAGGGGTTAACCTTACTTTTTATGAAATTTGGCACCCCAAAAATTAATTTCTTCATGATGACATAATCTGTCCCGAAATCGATTTGCAGTGTGTTTTAGGGTCCCCTAGGAGCCTTTCTAGGAAGTTTGGAGCAATTTCATTTTTTGACAAAAATTGACAAAAAATGCAAGGGGTTAACCTTACTTTTTATGAAATTTGGCACCCCAAAAATTAATTTCTTCATAATGACATAATCTGTCCCGAAATCGAGTTGCAATGTGTTTTAGGGTCCCCTAGGAGTCTTTCTAGGAAGTTTGGAGCAATTTCATTTTTTAATTAAAATTGACAAAAAATGCAAGGGGTTAACCTTACTTTTTTATGAAATTTAGCCAAAAAATGAATTTCTTCAAAATGACATAATCTGTCCCGAAATCGAGTTGCAATGTGTTTTTGGGTCCCTTATGAGTCTTTCTAGGAAGTTTGGAGCAATTTCATTTTTTGACAAAAATTGACAAAAAATGTAAGGGGTTAACCTTACTTTTTTATCATAAATTTGGCCAAAAAATAAATTTCTTCAAAATGACATAATCTGTCCCGAAATCGAGTTGGAATGTGTTTTAGGGTCCCTTAGGAGTCTTTCTAGGAAGTTTTGAACAATTTCATTTTTTGACAAAAATTGACAAAAAAATGCAAAGGGTTAGCCTTACTTTTTTTATGAAATTTGGCCCCCAAAAATGAATTTCTTCATGATGACATAATCTGTCCCGAAATCGATTTGCAATGTGTTTTAGGGTCCCTTAGTAGTCTTTCTAGGAAGTTTGGAGCAATTTCATTTTTTGACAAAAATTGACAAAAAATGCAAGGGGTTCACCTTACTTTTTTATGAATTTTACCCCCCAAAATGAGTTTCTTCATAAAGAAATAATGTGTACCGAAATCGAGTTGCAATGTGTTTTAGGGTCCCTTATGAGTCTTTCTATGAAGTTTGGAGCAATTTCACTTTTTGACCAAAATTGACAAAAAATGCAAGGGGTTAACCTTACTTTTTTATGAAATTTGGCCAAAAAATGAATTTCTTCATAATGATATTATATATCCCCAAATCGAGTTGCAATGTGTTTTAGGGTCCCTTATGAGTCTTTCTAGGAAGTTTGGAGCAATTTCATTTTTTGACCAAAATTGACAAAAAATGCAAGGGGTTAACCTTACTTTTTATGAAATTTGGCACCCCAAAAATTAATTTCTTCATAATGACATAATCTGTCCCGAAATCGATTTGCAATGTGTTTTAGGGTCCCCTAGGAGTCTTTCTAGGAAGTTTGGAGCAATTTCATTTTTTTACAAAAATTGACAAAAAATGCAAGGGGTTAACCTTACTTTTTATGAAATTTGGCACCCCAAAAATTAATTTCTTCATGATGACATAATCTGTCCCGAAATCGATTTGCAGTGTGTTTTAGGGTCCCCTAGGAGCCTTTCTAGGAAGTTTGGAGCAATTTCATTTTTTGACAAAAATTGACAAAAAATGCAAGGGGTTAACCTTACTTTTTATGAAATTTGGCACCCCAAAAATTAATTTCTTCATAATGACATAATCTGTCCCGAAATCGAGTTGCAATGTGTTTTAGGGTCCCCTAGGAGTCTTTCTAGGAAGTTTGGAGCAATTTCATTTTTTAATTAAAATTGACAAAAAATGCAAGGGGTTAACCTTACTTTTTTATGAAATTTAGCCAAAAAATGAATTTCTTCAAAATGACATAATCTGTCCCGAAATCGAGTTGCAATGTGTTTTTGGGTCCCTTATGAGTCTTTCTAGGAAGTTTGGAGCAATTTCATTTTTTGACAAAAATTGACAAAAAATGTAAGGGGTTAACCTTACTTTTTTATCATAAATTTGGCCAAAAAATGAATTTCTTCAAAATGACATAATCTGTCCCGAAATCGAGTTGGAATGTGTTTTAGGGTCCCTTAGGAGTCTTTCTAGGAAGTTTTGAACAATTTCATTTTTTGACAAAAATTGACAAAAAAATGCAAAGGGTTAGCCTTACTTTTTTTATGAAATTTGGCCCCCAAAAATGAATTTCTTCATGATGACATAATCTGTCCCGAAATCGATTTGCAATGTGTTTTAGGGTCCCTTAGTAGTCTTTCTAGGAAGTTTGGAGCAATTTCATTTTTTGACAAAAATTGACAAAAAATGCAAGGGGTTCACCTTACTTTTTTATGAATTTTACCCCCCAAAATGAGTTTCTTCATAAAGAAATAATGTGTACCGAAATCGAGTTGCAATGTGTTTTAGGGTCCCTTATGAGTCTTTCTATGAAGTTTGGAGCAATTTCACTTTTTGACCAAAATTGACAAAAAATGCAAGGGGTTAACCTTACTTTTTTATGAAATTTGGCCAAAAAATGAATTTCTTCATAATGATATTATATATCCCCAAATCGAGTTGCAATGTGTTTTAGGGTCCCTTATGAGTCTTTCTAGGAAGTTTGGAGCAATTTCATTTTTTGACCAAAATTGACAAAAAATGCAAGGGGTTAACCTTACTTTTTTATGAAACTTGGCCAAAAAAATGAATTTCTTCATAATGACATAATTTATCCTGAAATCGAGTTGCAATGTGTTTTAGGGTCCCTTACGAGTCTTTCTAGGATGTTTGGAGCAATTTAATTTTTTGACCAAAATTGACAAAAATGCAAGGGGTTAACCTTACCTTTTTTATGAAATTTGGGCCCCCCCCCCCCCCAAAAATGTATTTTTTCATAATGACATAATCTGTCCCGAAATCGAGTTGGAATGTGTTTTAGGGGCCCTTAGGAGTCTTTCTAGGAATTTTGGAGCAATTTCATTTTTTTGACAAAAATTGACAAAAAATGCAAGGGGTTAACCTTACATTTTTTTAAATGAAATTTGGCCTAAAAAAACCTTAATTTCTTCGTCATCACATATCCATCCCGAAATCGAGTTGCAATGTGTTGGAGGGTCCCTTTGGAATCTTTCCAGGACGTTAAGAGCAATTTTATTTTTTGAAAAAAATTGCAAGGGGTCAACCAATTTCTTCATAATGACATGTCTATCCCGAAATCATTAATTCATTGCTTTCACATTAAAAGAGACAAATTAATCAATTGTGACACAATGGTAAATACTTCCTCTTGCCTGCAATACATTATAGAAAGTTTGCCTGCAGTACATTATAGAAAGTTTTGTTGGAAGGAGGGCGGGGGGCGGGGAGGGGAGGGGGAGGGGCGGGGCTAGGAGTTAAGTGCAATCCAAACTCCCACAAAAAAGTTAGACACTCTTTTTAGCATTTCATATGAGTTTTTGATGTTCTGTTTTTATTACAAATGCACTCTGTACACATATAAGGGTATAACAAAGAATGCTGTACATAACATGGAATCAATTTACACAATACATATTACACTATGGAAGTACAATGTACATACATGTATGCAACATCGAAGTGGAACTATCGAAAAATTATACGGACAACTACGGTAGATCTATGGCTGTATGGGTGGATTTACTGTGGGATAAGAATGTCCATTTTAGGAAGGAAAACCTTTTTTCTACATCAAGTCTCCATCTCGTGAGTAGTTAATGCTACTCGTTCAACTCATGGTGTTTTATCTACTCGAGTACTCGTCCTGGCGCGAGTAGCAATTTAGGGTTTAGGGTTCACGGCTTAATACGTCCCCTGCAAACAGGGAAACACTCCCTCCACCTCTGTCTCCCTAGGATTCCATTCATCAAAAACACCCCAAAAATTCGAATAAATGACTCAAAACGTCACACAGTGGTACTACGTGTGACTTGCACGCTATTTCCTTGTAAGTTACTTCATGTCGTACTAACTAAATGTAATTTTTCTGCTTTTATGGGAATTTGGTTAACTACTCCCGAGTACTCGACTACTCGTGAGTCATTTCTTTGTGAGTACTCGAGTAGAAAAATCCACTACTCGCCCAGGCCTAGTGTAGACCATTCTGAACCATTGAAAATGATTTTGTGTGCGCTTGAACCAGCTTGGCTAGACTTGTCTTTTTTTTACTTCTAGCAATTAAGATGTGTATTTTTTTTATCCAAGTTCAAAATTTGGTTTACAAATGGTCTCAAAAGCAAGGAATCTACTTTCGAAAATTCAACAGCTAGATTGATTGGAATTTTAACACAAGTGTACACAAATACGATACATTCCACTGTGTAGAATAGGAATTATTACATTAAAAATATATAAGTGTTTTTCATATGTTGGCTTACAGCCGACATTTGGGCACTTGTGCAAATTGATTCAGTGTACTTTTTATCTTAATTTCAAAAAATAAATTACAGTAATATAATCATGTTTACTACAAATCATACAAAATCATACAAGACATACCATATTGACAATGTATACTTTTACTTTTATATTAATCATGCAAATACGTTTAACTCGACTATAGTCTCGAACTTCTCAAAATTCTTCTCAAGTACAAAAACTGTGGCTTGAGGACAAGACTAATTTAAAGGTCAGTATCGGGTCATATCACCAGAAAAAGCTGGGTCACGTTCCTGACAAATTCTTGTCATGTGAAATGACTTTTTTTTAAGGCATGCAAATCTCTAGACCTACCAAAGGTCATGTGAGGTCGTCAAAGGTCAAACCAAGGTCATTTTTTCCTGGCTTGACCACGACCTGTCCCACACAAAACATGCAAAGAATTTCCGGGTCATTCCACAATCATTCCCAGGTCATTTTCCTTACCAGGTCATTTCAGAGGTCATAACACGAGAATTCTGACTTTCTCGTCAGCATTGACCTTTCAAATTCAGACAAATTAGCTTCTGTTTATCTTACTGATTCATTCATGCATTTAACAATTACACATCACTCGAAACCACATCTCAAATTTGTACAATTAAACAATGACATCACTGTTTCCATGGTGACAAGTTTCACTTACGCAATATACACCAAGCTGATTGGTTATAATGAAAAAAGAAAAAAAGTGATTTTGATTTTTTACATTCTTGCATTGTTTTTGCTAAATATTTCTACGATAATTTGTCTTTTAACAATTTTTTTACATTTTGCTTCTTACAGGCACAACTTGAAATTTGACAAATATTGTCAAGTCAAAAATGATCCACAGAAATGCCATAGTTTTAGTTTTTCACAGTTTCTTGAGATTTAAGTTTCGTTATTAAAAGCAAAATAATGTAACCCAATATTGCAAACTGAGGATATAAATACAAGATCCAATACTACAAAATGAGGCATATCACAATTTTTGTCAGTATGCAATGTACAAAGAAAGTTTACTTAGAAAAAACAATCCTACATAAAACTCATTTTGTTGGATTGATCAGATACATGTTAAGTCCCCTGCTTTGAATTCCCACAAGTTGCCAAGTTCAATTTATTAATGCAATGCCCATAAAACTGTTTTACCTGAAAAAACCTCAAAACAACTTAACAAATGCACAAGCATGCCAAAAATCTGCTGAGTACCAGTTGCCTGACAGGTCAAGCACATATAAGCACATCACCTTTAGTTGGTAACTGGTAACTAATTTTTTGCTGAGCCTATTTTAGTTTTATGTCAAGAATAATTGTTGAGAAGTTGTTTTCTAAATGGCAGTGTATATTTGACTGTGAACCGGTCTGCGATTGTTTCTGTTGTTAAACAATAAGAGAAGACATATATCACTTTTGGGACACAAAAAAACCAAGTTTCAGGCTGGCCGGGACTCAAACTCAAGCGGCGTTGCCTGCGAGGCTAGGCGAGTATGCCATCCACTAAGCCACATGTTTGCACAACGTGAAATGGTAAATAAATATCTTATATGGTGTAGGCCTACTAATGAGGGCGCTAAAAAGTCTGCCGGCTTAACTAATCACGGGAAAAAATGCGGGACCGGCTCACAGCTAGCTATTAAAACACTTCGTTTGTAAATTGAATAAATACTTCCTGTTTTTTTTTTAACATACGAGAAACCGTCTTTCAGAGAGGGACCATTTAACACAGACATGCGCACCTCACAAAATTGCAGATTTGCCACCATTTTGCTGAAAAAAACGCACTGCATTGCAAGCGGCCCGCTTGAGCAAAATGAAGTTTTTTTCCGCAATCTGCTTAAAACTAAGAAGGCAAGATTCAAAAATCAAGAAATTGCACACAGAATCCAGCGGACTGGTTCCCGCCCCCTCCAAAGCTCATACACACAATAACGAGTCGGGGAACCGGTCCAAGACTCCAGCTAGTATTCACTCAACAACGGAGGGCGCTGTTCAATCACAACTAACCTCAACATTTTGCGCAGCCACTTTTTAATTTGTACATAATGGGCTTCTCAATAGCAGAAGAAACAAAATCACTAGATTTTCACAAGATTCTACGAAGATCATTCGCCCACTTGCTAATAATGCCTACTTTTTTTTTTAAATGGCTTAATATAAAATTAGCTTTTTTGTTTATTGTACAGTTTTATACAATTTGTACATTAGCATGCAAATCCTAGTATACATGTACACCGCATACACTTCACATACTTTTTACTTGAAACTGGCAACTAACGCCGATGTGCTCCAAAATTCATTCTTCATTTTTAAAAACCCTGTGCTTTTACAATATGCACTTCTACACGGTTCCACGTCTTCCTGTGTTTGCAGTACACATGGGCCAACGGGCATGATTATATCCCATATGTATTGTACTGGTTGGTAACCGAAAATTACTGTGTAGGTGCAACACTGCTAAGATGTATCTGTCAATCAAAACTGGTACCCTGCAGTTTCATACCTGCCGATGGGATGAATATGCTAAAAACCAAAGTACGCATGGATACATATATCTAAACTGGTACTCGGCAATCCCAACTGGTACCCCGCTACGAGTAAGGTAATGGAAAGGTAATGGAAACCGTCATGCTGTGGCCCGGTGAGGCACTGGAAACCATCTTACAGCCATGTGGATATTTAACGATCCTAACTGGTTCCCCGCTATCTGTTAGTGTTGGTGTCGACCTCTCTCAGATGAATATACCATTGGTGAGGTATTGGAAACCGTCGTAGAGTCGCGTGGTCAGAGAATGCATGCTGGATTCCACCATGTTCTGAGTCCAGAGCTGGAGCTGTTCTTCGGTGAGGTTGGTGTGGAAGCGGTCACGAAACGCTCGGACGGTGCTGGCTCCTTGCTTGAAACAGGTCAGTTGGGTACCTGAGATGAAAGAGACGGGAGAAAACAATACATTACAGGTCTAGACTTGTTTGGTGTGTAGAACTCAAAATCTTGTAGGCACTTCTGGAGATTGTGGGTTTGTGTTAAGCCTGTGAAGTTGTGGTGTCCACGGGCAAGACATTTTACTCCAATTGCTACTCTCCACCCAGGAATGAGTGGGTATCTGAAGGCAGAGATGGTTATCAAGCTGTTTATGCCAACAAAGGAAGCATCAGGTTAACTATAAATTGAATTTATTCCAAGGCATAAGGCTCCAATTACAAAGAAGGAAGTTTAAGATGAAACTGTTAACCAGTTAAACAGTTAACTAACCTGATTGCAGGACTTCTACTAGTTGAACCAGTTTATCCTGGTGTTTCCTGGCCGCTATCAACCCTTGAAGCATCAAGATCTTGAAGTACTCAAACATGTCACTGCCGACGCCTCCCATGACCTACAAATTGGAGACCGAAAAAGTAGATGCATCATTTTTCATAAACCGTTGTCAGTGTTGGACGATTTACAGTCTTTGGTGCAAACGGGGTATCAAAATGTAGCTAACAACATCCCCAAAGGTCTATAGAAATGACGGCATCGTAAGACGATCAGATTCAAAATTATGACCCCTCCAATGAGTGTGGACTTTCTTTTATTGCGGTGTTTAGTTAAAGTATAATGGACACTCAATGCGTATGTCTTTGGTAAGGGAACTTGCTGGAATTTTTCACTAGCAGTTGATTGTCTGATTGATTACGAATTAGACTCACCTCAACAAACTCCGGTGTGAGTTTGAAGTGGGACGCCTCAAAGCCCAGGTTGCGGGGCGACGAGGACAGGATGAAGCCGAAGTCAATATGGATGATATGGCCGGTCGGGTCTAGTAAGATGTTCCCGTTGTGTCTGAGAGAAAAAAAAACCGGAGAATGTCAAAGTTAATGTTTATTATTTGCTCAAAATTATCAATTTCGGAACTGGGCCCGCACTTAGTCAACAGGACCAATAGATATAAGGGATAATTGGTAATGGATAACCGTCGATGGATAATATTGATAATTGTCTCACCGATCTTTAACTTGTATCAAGTAGCAGACCAGGCAGTAGGCAGCACAGCTCTGCACGAAGTTCTTCTGCGCGGTCAGGAATCCCTCTGTGCTGGGCCCGCCAAACTCACTGTAGAAGTAGTTCAGCAACGACACCTGCAAAACACATTTAACATTTTAATATTAATTTTGCCCCTCACAAACATTTATGCTTTAGATTCAGTGTTGTCAAATGCGGCTTGTGAGAACAATTCACAAGCTTAATACTTGTTCATCCCTTGTATGCTTATAAAGAGACATGTGATTGGCATCAAATGGCTCTACTGGACTCGAACCAGCAAGCCGACCCCAACAAGCTCGGTGGTCTAGTGGTATTAAGATATCTGCACCAGTAAGCAGGGAGTCGTTGGTTCGAGTCCCACTCGGGTGGAACTCGAACCAACGACTTCCTGCTTAATCTCTTTGCACATTTAGTAACAGAGCATCAGGTGTAAAAGTCTGTAGGACCTTGCTGCATTGAACCATCAACACCAGTGCATGAACGGCCAACTCTGAGACAATGAGAGTAGTCCCATTGAACAATGCCACAGTTGTAACCTTATGAAGTTGGTTACCACGGGGTTAAATTCTGGAAGCATTTGACCAACCTTGCTGTTCTTCTTGATCTGATGCAGCGAGACCGCGTTGATGATAGGTTCAATCAGACCGCTGTTGCTGGAAGTGACCACGATGTGGGAAGGACGGACCCACAGCGGCACATGCTCCTGCTTCCAGATATTCTGAGAGGAAAACATGGACGTAAACTCTCCTTTGAAATGTGACTGAAAACCTCAAACTTGAATGATGAAATAACGAGGACCGCATCTTTGCCTTACTTAAAGTTTGGAGAATTTTGTGCACTAATGAGTGAGTAACGTTGGCCAGATTTTATTTTGCCTGTTATTTCACACTTAGGTTCTAATTGACACTCTTCTTGGTTCTTGTTCTTGGTTGGTTCATCTCCTAAATACTCGGCGTGGGAGTTTATACAGGAGACCAGAAACACCGGGGCAAACCCCTTCTCTTAGCGACAAGTGTCACTGGACTCTTTAACGTGCATTGGATTACACAACACACGGGACCTACGGCTTTACGTCCCATCCGAAGGACGAAGCAACAATGGTTAAGTGCCTTGCCCAAGGGCACAAGTGTCCACTTAGCGGGCTCAAACCCAGGGCCACTGCTGCCTCTGAAACACCAGAGCATGAGTCCGATGTTCTTGACCGCTAGGCCATGATACACATCATACATTTTGAAAATTGATAATTTCATCATACATTTTGAAAATTATAAGATTTTGGACAGGTATTTCTTGTCCTACCTGTAGTTGCTTTAGCAGTTGATATGCCAGTAGCTCCAGTCTCAAGTCGTCACCGCACTTGACGATGACAGACAGAAGATGCCAGTTGGGCAGATGGCCATAGGGGGAGGACTCTCGGATCCGCTTGACCTTCTCCTCCCAGGGTTCCTTAAGGGCCGCGGCCGATGGGTCCTCTGGATCACGCTGGAGATGGTAAGAGAAAGGTTTCCATTAGTTACCCTTGAAGCCATTTAACAGGTCAAAATCAATCGACTGTTTTGAACAGTTGAGTGCTCACTGCCTAGATTAAGCAGGATTGACTGGCTTTGACTATGCCAATTATGTAACACAATTTTTTTGGGTCCATTCCAACGGCATTACCACAGTTAAGGATCTACACTGTATCTGTTTGAGCATGAAATGCATTTAGCGCATTGTGTCATAATCCTTACAAACAACACGGCACAGACATGAGTACCAATGAATTTGATGGAAATGCCATTTATTTTTCACCTGAACAGGTATCTTATCCTTTTTAGTTCTATTTTAAACCTTTTCAGTATAAATATGTCAAAATACTAAAGAAATTGCACAAATGAAAGACAATTGCACAGAGGGCTCACAGTAACATGTTTCACTGTTTGAAGCACCTTTGAAAAGGATATTTAAAAATCACTTCTTTTACATAATTGGCATTTTCTCAGCAACCCAAAGTGCTGTTTTTACGATTTTTTTTCCGTATGTGAAAGAAAATGCTCTCAACTTCAATCTGATATCCATAACATAAAAATTCACCGATCACGTTTTGGAAAAAAGGCAAATGTTTCAAGGGTACATTTGATTGGGGTCACCCTGTACAGACACATTGGTAGAATCCTAGCTTTCACGACCAGATACAATTAACCTTAACAGAACTCAATCCATCCAACCCCAACGGCACTTTTTGTTGGAATCTGTCAGGATGGGTACAGTACCCCTAAACTGACAGTCCTTTACATTGGGTTGGCACACCTCCAGAATCAAAGTCAGAAATATGTGTGTGCTGTTTCCCATATGGTGTTGGAATTTGCCAGGATGGGTATGGTTCCTAGTAAATTATGCTAGGAAGTTAGGGTTAATAATGATACTAAATTCCAGGACTTGATTTTGACCTTGAAGTAGGTGCTGGGCGCGGTCAGATACTCCGTCAGTCTGCGCCTGACGTCCCCCGCTGCGATGTAGACTGGCTCCTTGCTGTCCGTGCTGGTGGTGCTGTCATGTGACATCTGGGAGATGGTGTCGCTAGACCCGTTCTTCTTGGAATACTGGTATTGCTGGGGTCAAGACAAAACAAGACAACTTTGGTAAAGCTAGTCTCAGAGTGCATAATTCTATCCAATTGATTCTGAATGGCGATTCACTGGAAGTCTGTTCATGCATCTGGTGAACACAATGAGCCGGGTTTAGCCTATTGTTACAGGGTAATCCTATACAACAGCACTGCCCGGCTTTCTTCATGAGTCAACAACCAGGCTAAGTCACAAGAGATAGTCAGTCGGTCCGGACACTTTCATTGAAATAGTTCACGCGGTTCTTATTCGCCCGAAATAGCGTCCTTCAACCTATCTCTTTGTCACCATTGAGGGCGCACTTGTGCGCGCAGAGTCCAGACTCACCTGCAAGATCTCATCGTCCTCCTGCGACCAGCAGTCGTGGTCCGAGTCGTTCTGGTGATAGATGGAGAACGTCCCCGGTGGTGTGTAGGAGATGTGGTTGTCGTTCATGAAGTACTTCTGCAGGTTCTCCTCCGACTTGGTGTAGCGCAGCGTGTTCTCCAGGATCTTCTGGGGAAGCGGGGCAGTGTGCTTGTTGTCGCATTCCAGGACCTCCACGTAGATTAGGTATGGTGCCTGTTGGTAAAAACAATACATCAGCAGTGATGTCACAATGAAACCATGCTTAGACACACTCATCCGAAAAATTGAAGCAAGCGTGCATTTTGGCAACCTATTGGTCAAAGAAACACTAACTGCATGCGTACGACTTGAACACGAGCGTTGTTCCACCATAAAAGCCGCCTCTAATCGAAGTTGCCAAATCAGTTTAATGACCATTTGTTTCACAACTTTTTTTTTACCTTGTCTTTGGAGTTGAGCACCACCCCTGACGCGTGGGGGATTCTGACGATGTGATAGTCAAACTCTGAGTGGGAGGGCAACCAGATCCGAGCTGGTAGATTCATGTTGAGCATGGACAACTCTGCTAGTAATCTACTCGCTGTCGGGAAAGACAAAACACAGACAAAATATTGGTCAAATATTGGACTTTTTCCGACTTCAACTATATTTCCTGAACAAGACAGTCCAGCTTTGTCTTGCAAGTGTATTTCCAACTCTGCTTTTGACATTTCAAAAGCCATTGTGCTCGCTCTATTTATAGAAGCAGGTTTTTGGTTGAATGTTAACCCTAACTCCCTAGGCATTTTTGCTGGGATGCAACCTCAATCCTGCAAAATCCTCCAACTGCTTTCATGTAAAAATTGCATACAGCCTCAATCCTCCAAACCTGTCTGATATTTCTATAAACATGTGGTCTTTGGAGGGGTGACCACTGCCTCAATCCTGCAAAATCCTCCAGCAATCACTGTCAATATGTTGAGGCAGAGCCAGTGACATCCTGGAGCAGTGCAGAGGATTTGAAGTATAATCCAGGCCTATATTTATGTATACAAACTGAGCATAAGCAACACAAGGTCCTGCCTAAGACCTTGACACAGTGCATCCTGCAAAATAAGCCACACATTTTTGCCATAGCCTCAATCCTGCAGAATCGTCCACTTATGCAAGGAAGTTTTGGAAGATTTGATAAGGCTAGGGTTATAATACATGTAATTTGGTTTTTAGTGAGAAGTTCTCAATGAACTTCCAATCCATACTGGCTGTTTCATGATTGTATGTAAATTGTCTACTTGCTTACTTCTCATTTCTCTGGTCGGTAGCCCCTGTAACCGGTTCCCAATAGCCATCAGAGCTCTGATGAACTCCAACTCGACGGCCAATCTTGGGGCCTGTACAGATATAAAACGAAATAAAAAAAGAAAAGCTTTAAAGGTAAAGTCAATCATTTGTAATTTGTGCATTTTCTTCGTTTGAAGCAACAAAAGTGCTCAAGATATAAAGAAGGGTGCTGAACAACTAACCTGATAAACTTTCAGCTTAGCTTCAGCTGACTCATGCTTTGAATTGGGCCTGAATTCAGCGTCCGAAACGTGTACTCACTGAGCCGATTGCAGCTACGTGATGTCGCGCACCGATCCAACAAATTACAGCAACGACCAATTGGAAAGGCCAACTTTCGTTAATTTCTTCAAAATGACAGCTTGCCAGAAGGAATCATTTCACAGGGAGTTTAGTTCCCTTACTATCTTTCAACCAAGTATGTTGTTCAAGAATAATTACGTCAGCTACTTTTTGGATAGCTGCAAATGATGGACTGTAGCTTTAATTCACTGTTTTCAAACGTCATTTGTAACATACTCCTGTACAAAATCACAATGTGATTTCTGTTTTTTTTCTTTTTTAGGAAGGGAGGGGCGGACGTCAGGACCCTGCTCTTACCTGACAATGACATTCCAGCTTGGGCCGGTGTCCCCCCTTCATGAGGTTCAGCACGTTGGCCGTGTTGTCGAAGCAGGTACACCCGCTGTCAAAGGCGTGGCCCGAGGAGAGGTCCCCCATGGAGGCAGCCGACGAGGTGCTACTGACCCGGCGAAGGGTGACTGTGGCAGCCTGGGCGGTGACTACTGGAAATTGTCCCCAAAAAACAAAGAGACAAATTTATTCTTAAGATCTAAATTAAGTTTGACATTTGAAACAGTAGCAACTTCATGTGAGAGTTTTCAGAGAATTGACTCAGTTGCAGAACTGTAGCAGAGCGATTCCATGGTGTAACCAATGGAAAATTAAACCACCGTTTTTATTTGGTTTGATTAGGGTCGGGCCTAATATCTTTTGGGGTTCTTTTGGGACTCTGGAATGCCGAACAGAAATGGGTGTTTAATTCTTATCCAAGAAATTCAAGATTGCAAGACAAACAAACATGGATCTTGTTACACTGAGTTAGGCTTCCAGGGATGTGATTGTTAATTTTTTAAAAAAAATAATCTGAAAAATTATGAAATTTCTGAAAGATACATATCTTTCTATACAAATAATGTCTTTTTTACGGATTAAAAAAGTCTGAAAAATATCATGCCTGGGCTTCTAACTTTGAAGTGTTGCATGTTCTTGCATTAGGCAGGGTTTTGTAGACAAAGGGTTAGAGTTACATGTAGGGCAAAGATGCCATTGATACATACAGCATGAGGCGTCCGACCGCGACCGCGTGTGCGTCTTCTTCATCGGCGACAGGACGGTCGTCGGGCTCGTCGGTGGGTTGCCGACATTCCCGGCCGGCTCCTTCTTGGTACCCTTGTTAGCCGGTCTCAGCTCCTCCGAGAGGATCTGGTTGCGTAACCTGGTGCCCCGCGAGTGCTTGCGGGTCTGCACACCCGTATTGTGCATGTAGGCCTCCAGGAGCCAGACCACGTTGAGCGAGAAGTCTATGCTGGATTTACATCTGTGTATAATCGCGAAAAAAAGCTGAAAAGCTGGTCCCAAAGTGCACAAAGTTCTATTAAAATTCCAAAAATGTGTCACTTGGCGTATCTTCGGAAATGGCCTTCTTTTATTGTTTTCTTCAAAATAACAGAATGCTAGACAGAATAATTTCACAGGGAGTTTAGTGCCATTACTATCTTTAAACCGAGTTAAGCTTTTCAACAATAATTTCGTCCGTTACTTTTTGGAAAGCTGCAAATGATCTACTCTGCCTTTAACGGGCAATCCTATATGATAGCACTGCCCGGCTCATGAGTGACAGTTGGCCAGTCAAGACAGTGAGATAGGTACAAAGCGGACACTATGCTGGCTTTCTTGAATTTTGCCCAATTATTGGCATTACAGGGTAATCCTATACAATAGCACTGCCCGGCTCAGGAGTGACAGAACAATGGGGGAGTCAGTCAGTCAATCAATCAGGAGCAAAGAGGACAGGACACTACGCTCACCCTCTAGGACCAAAAAAAAGATGACATATGAAGTATTACTTCAAAAAAAAAGAAAAAAAGACCACATCTTGTTGACTCACCTGTGGATAATGTAGGGTTTGAGAACCTCGGCCAAGTCACTCATGTGCAGATAGATGTTGAGAACTTGGGGCAAGTAGAAGTCAAAATCAAACTCGTCTAAGCTGAATAATTTATTAGCTGTAGGGGAAAAGAAGTTGTAACCTTTATGCAACGTGGACTTTGAAAATGCTCTTAAAGTAAAATGTGAAAAGTACCAGCGTCACTTTTTCATTATAGCAGTTTATTAGAATGAAAGTCTTGAAAAAGGTAAGTATCATGTTTTCCTTAAGCATAATTTTCGCAAATGCTGGAGAGTAAACCACAGCCCTCAGTGCAACCAGCTTTTGACATTTGACGCATGAAGGACTTTGCCAAACAGTGGAATATGAGCTCATGCGTGCGCGAAATTATATTTCATGGGAAGGGCTTATTTCATCGTAACACTTACCAATATAAGTCTGTACACCGGGCTCCTTAGATTTATACAAGTGGGTAATGGCAATGGAGGCGTCCAGTAACTTGGACTCAAATAGTCTCAGGAGAAGCGACTCCCTGGGTGGGGGGAGTTTGTCCCTCACGCACGCCGTAACCGGCGACAGACCCCCAGCAAGATCCTGTGACACACCACCTTGCTTTATGAGATTGTTCCGATGTTCCTCCTCTGATGGGGTGGTGGGCGTTTCCGACGTTTCGATCACTAGGGAATCGGGCAAATCCAGGCTTAACCTGCTTGGGTCTAAAGTCCTGGAGTGGCCCCCGCTCATGTCGTCGCCGTTGGGAAGCATTGGGGAACCGATGGGGCAGGGCGCCGGGTGACCGTTTTCCTCAGGGCGGAGCTGGCCGGCGTCGAAGCGCAACTTGCGGAATCCGTTCCGCCCGTTGCCGTTCGCGTCGCAGTCGCGCATGGTGTCATGGAGCGCGCTCAGATTGGTCTCGGTGATGTTCTTGAGGCCGTTGTGGTAGGCCTGCGAGTCCATCCCGTTGACCTCAGTCGTGACCTTTGACACGCCGCTGACCTCCATGTCTTCTTCCTCTTCCTCAGAAATGACGGTCGAGTGGCCGTTCACCATGGCTGCCTCTGGCTGTGTCCGACAGTGCATCGGTGTTACCTCCGGTATTTTCTCCATCCTTAGATGGGCGATAGTTCCTGCAGTCCGCAGTCTGTTACCTTCTCATCAACCTATCCATACTGGATGTTTACTGCAAGTTATCTATAACAACAAATACAAAAATGAACAATACCTTAAGTTTCAGCTTTGCAACCATACTTCCCCCGGAACCAAAAGACTTTTGTTTCCTGCAGACTACCTGCCGCGTCATTGGAGTAACGTCGGCGGATCGCCAGTCGACATTGTTTATGGTTAGAACTAGGGCAGTATCTGATCGCCTTCGAACCTCTAACTTTCGATCTTGATTAAGATAAAACTGTTTCTTTCCAAGCATGTTACAGAGACAGTGAAAAAAACAAAAGGCAAGAAAACAGAAAGATAGACAACAAACTTTTACTTTCTAAGCGTTTTTGCTAGGACACGTAACGTGTTTAGGAACCTTCCCCAGCTAGATCAGTAGCAGTATCGAAACAAAATTGTCAAGACAAACTACATATACATGTACGGTACGAGTTGACGGTCCGTAAACCCCAATTACCTTTTTGAACCCAGCATTATTTACACACTTTATCAATCTTTGGAGGGCATCACAGATTAATATCATGGTTGAATTCTTTTCCCACAATGTCACAATTTTGACCTCATTTTAGTTGGTTTCGGATTATTTCTTAACAAAGGGAAGCACTGGCGAATGAAAAATTCAATATAAATATAAACTACTACATGGAAAAACCCACAAACTCCTGAAGAATGCCGGTGACTTTAATGTGACGCAGAATTTAAATAAACTTACAAGTACATGTACATTGTATGCATGTACAGTGCATGTACGCATACATTTTGTACATGCTCTTAACCCTCCTGCTGTTTGAACAGTCACAGACAGTCAAACAATCAATCGTCTTCCCCTGCCATGCCTTTTACACAGGCTAGTCACCAACAGTCAGATCATATTTCAAGCAAGCACTGTGACTAGTCAAATTCAGTCAACAGACAAAAAAAGAACAGGCAAGTGGCAGGCACAGCTGGCTGATCAATCACCTACAGTCAAAGCATAGTTGTATAAAGTTACATACACAGATACAACAAGTCAATCCTGCTTTATGTAGGCCGGGAGCTCTTAACTGTTAAAAACAGTCACTTGACTGATTTTGACTTTTAGGGCAACTTGGCACAGGATGCATAAATTTGCATAGGAGGGCTAATGTACTTTGTATGTTGACTCTCATTAACCTTAACTCCATAGCGTCTTTTACTAGAAACTGGACCAAGTCCATCAAAATCCATCAATCACTGTGCGTCCAATACAAAACTGCACATGACATTATGAAATCCACCACTGACGCACTGGTTGACATTCATGGACTTGCTACACATGGCTTTTATCACAATAGCAGTACAGGAAGCTAGGCAAAATCAATCAGATACCCCTACACTGCTTCAGGCCATTAGGCCCAAGTCCATCATACTCCATCAATATTTACATGTAGTCACGCCAGGCCTTCTGGACCAAGTCCCCCAAAATCCACCAAAATAGGAGGATGGATTTTCATGGAGTTGGGGTGGTTAGGGTTAATACAAACTCAGCCAGACCAAGCCAAAAATGTTTGTTATATCAGAATTTTGTAGTGCCAGTCCCACACAAATGAACAGTGTTCGCTGCACACACAAATGAACAGTCAGGACTTACAAGCTATGCCTGTAGGTGTAGGCTTTATGTTTGCTATAACCAGAATTAACGAGAGCTGACTGTGCAGCCACAAAAATGATTATGACTCATAGAACCTGTATGTACATCAATGTGCACTGTACATGTACATGTCATATACGTGTACGTGCATACATGTACCTTTGACCCGTGATAATTCTGTGTTTAACACTAGAGGCATTCAATTCTAATTTTTATGTACATGTATGAACAATGAAACAGTCGATGAAAATAATCTAATGTAATTTGTTACATGTATGTTACATGTACATGTACATGTATGATGCACATGTACACTGCAAGTTGTTCATTGTAAAGGTCACAATCACATTTTTTTTTTTATCACACGTCTTTACATGTACCTTTCCAATGCTCACATGTTGGAAATGTACATGTACATGTACATTCACATGCACATTTTTGTTCTATTAACATGTTTACGTTACAATTTTTAAAGTGCCAAAAATATTTCAAAATGATGCATGCACCACCAAAAAACGTACTGCAAATTGCAAAATTTACCCCACTTGTACCGACCATGTACATCATAAATTGTATTAATTGGGATACAATGATTCACAGATAATTATCACAATGTTATCACGCTGACTAATACGATACAAATCAACGACACATTGTATGCACATTCGTCATTGCCCAGTAACACAATTTACGCATCGATTGATTAAATATGGCCCGTGTCCCTGTACTTTGGTCCCTCTAAATTTTAAATCAATATTTGAGCAGCGAACAAGACCAAACACTTGTCTGAAAAAACAAGGGTGGGTAAAATAGTTCACTCGGGATTTTTTTAAATGTGCTGTATAAATCACAGCTTGATAAAAATTTAGAAAAAAAGACCCATATTTTATAACCCTTGCGTTCAATAAAAGTTGAACTTGGGACCCTATTCATTTTATACAAATACATGTACATGTAGAATATTCTGTCAGAGTACTACATGTATGCATGGAGGAATAAGTCTCCATGATGTATGCAAGCATAATCACTTCCTAAAACGTTCATGTACATGTACATGTACAATGTACAAGACAAATAATTGTTTTTTCTTGTACATGTAGAACTTTGGGTTTCGATGGCGTAATTATACTTACATGTACATTGTAAATTGTTCTTCCTCAAACTTATTACTTGTATGTTTACTGTATTTATAATAGTGTGAACTGTAATAATGTGTCCTGTATGTTAGGCCCCCCAAAAAAGTCTCCGGTTTCTGGTATGCGCGCGCGTCGCCGTAGCCATGCGCGTCGGCAAAATGAAAAAGTTTTGTTTTCAATGAAAGATGATGTCTCAAAACCGCCAAACTCACTGGTTTGACTGGAATCCTCTTGCTGCACAATTTTAACGTGTTTTTAGATTGGGTTATGGTCGAGAATAAGCTTTACATGTATGTGGCCTCTCTGGTCTCCCATAATATTTGCACTAAGTTTAGTCGGGCACCATTTGCAGTCATCAGCCGACATGTGAGGCAAAAAAATCAGGTAAAAAAAAAAAAGCCGCGTCGCCGCACCACTTTTTGGGCAAGCTCCATACCAGAAACCGGAGACTTTTTTTTGGCCTAAGAGTGCTCTATGTTCCGATACCTCTATAGGGGAGCTACTCCTATTTAATACACTAAAAATTACACAAAAATTTACAAGACAACTTGGCCCTGCCACATAATCATAATCCAATCCTTGCATGTCTTTTGAATGGCCCACTCCCTGAACAGCTGAAAGGACAACACTTCACCCAACCCACACACCAGATCAGAATTTGCGAATATCCACTTCAATCAGAAAGGCAATCTGCTCACATCTTGATTCAAGGGTCCCAAGGCCAGAAATTCAATTTAATCTGCATTTCTTACCACACCAATTCTCAACCAATATTCAGGTCAGGCCCACGCACTTCTCCTTTCATCATTCTGTTCATTCAATCATAACAACAGGCCTACTCTAGACTTTCTTTTCATGCTCCCAGACAAGGAAACACCTTTCAGAGAAATTAAAGGCTACTAGGTAGCAGTGACTGGGTACAATGAATGAAAAGCACATTGCATAATCTTTAACCCACACCTTTGGCATTCTGTTCACACAAATGTGATACTAGTACTTACCTGTTCATGGAAATTGTCTTATCGTACTCTACCTACATGTACATGTAAGGATGTGACGTTTAAACGTTTAAATGAAAACTTTTCTAAATCCGTTTGCTCATTTTCCACAAACGTTTCAACGAAGCTACAGCTACACAACGATTCATTCTGTTTTCAGCTCCTCAAGTCAAAAGTTAATCAAATTGTTCTGTTCTTGACAACTGAACCAATAATTAAATACCGACGAACGTCGAAAACAAATAATACGTACATGCAATCAGCGGAATGCAAAGTAAATTGCACACTCACTGCACTGCTGAGTAAAATAATTAACTTTTGAAATATTTTCTCTAACCAGTTACCGGTTAAATATAACAGCCCATCGAAAATGTCAAACACAAACAGCAAGTGCTATACGTCACCAACAAAGTATTGACGCACTCATACAAAAGACTAAGAAAAAAAATCACTTTTTCTTTTCTTTTACACAATACTGTGCACACAGAAACACGACAAAGAAATCTGCAAATATACAAAGATATGCTCTGTACATATGCAAAACTGAGAAAAGATCTTTCGCCCGTAAAATGAGCCACTACTTTGGGGGATAAAATTACAAATCAGACTTAAAATATACATTTACAAATGTACATTTGTGTGCGCTCAATACACGTACAACAAGAAGACCAAAATAAGTTTTACAATTGACCTCCAAAAATGAATTAATTTATATAGATTCCAGGCATACATGATACACTTAACATAGAAATGCTATGGAACATGTACACATCTACATTTAGAGATGTATGTCATAAACTGAAAAGTAACCTAAAACACAAACTGTACTGTATCGGTACCAGTGCCTACATGTACCTACATTTACAAAGCCTTTCCCTAGAAAAACGAACCTGGCAAGACGTGTATGGAAGTCACAACAGCAACCCAAGAAACAGGCAAAATATGAACCCAATCCCACGGACTATCAGTCACCAACTCAAACTACTTGACATCCCGACAAGTCTACTCTATGTAGTCCCTAACAACCCCGCGCTTTGGTTTTAATTATTGGAAGTATTCAATTTCCCACTTAAGAGTGGGCGTCTATGACAACCACAGGGTCGATAGAGGATTTGACTCATCAGAGCAACCCCCCCCCCCATCCCACCCCACCCCCACGGTCAGCGTGCATGCACCTGAATCAGTGTGTGTGAGGGTAATTGGTGCGGGGTCCGTTGCCAAGTGATTTGCTTTCTACTTCCTTGACACGCCCACGCAAAGCAGCACTTGGCATACTTCTGCCTAGGCACTCACACCACGTTCAATAAAATATAAAAGAATTGTCACCTGTTGTGAAACACAGAATCTGAGACTAGAAAAAAAAAAAAACATGCTGAAAATGAGCAGTGTGTATTTTTGAAAAATTTAGTAAATTGGAACTTGTATTTGATCGAATATTGGAATATTTGAACATCGACATCCAAGGTAAAAAAAATTATGAATGTTTATGATAGGCATGCATGTATTTATTTAAGGAAGCTGAACTGATTGATATTTGACAGATTTTAAGGATTTTTTTATGGAAGCATTCAATTCATGTGTGTAATTAAGTGGCTGTTCACAAAAATGTTGCTTTTGGCAAAGAATAAAACCACTCAATACCAATAAAAATACATCACAGACGTGTTTTATTATCTTCTTGGGACTGTTTATGTTTTTGAATGTTCTATTTAATAAAATGCTGTTCAGATATTTGGTGGATTGAATATCCCAATATTGGAATATTCGGTAGGGGCCTACAGCCCTAATGAGCAGCCTCATGTACATGTAGAAGTAAGTATGTATGTATTTTCTGTTTAAACTGATGGTCTCTTGAAGTCAGGAGATTGCACATTTTTATTGAGTTTTGTTTTTTGTTTTTGGGGTTTTTTTTTGGCTAGTCATATTTCAAAAGTCATAGTCACGGAAAATCCACCTAGTGTTTAACTTAACATTCGACAGTGGCATTTTGCCTTCACCAGCAATATACCTCCATTTTGCCGTCAGTGCGCTGTGATTGGCTGTTTTGATGGGAAAGTTTCATGTATGTTTATTTATGAGAAAAGAAAATGACGTCGTGCAATTGTTAATTACTTAGTGTCATCGAGCTACCACAGTACTAGTCTAGATTGTGAGATTAGCTATAGATTGAAAGATACCTGTTTTGAATCCACCAATTGATGACCATTTTTCATGTACTATTTGTCGTCTTCAAATGTATAGTTGGGATAGTTTTAGTTTATTAAAAGGGAAAAGAAGAGTCCGAGAACCGAAGTGTCTTGCAGTGATTCCATCGAAACTACTGACATTGGTTCTCAGAGCACACTGACAGTGACAGCAAATCAGCGTTAGGAAGTATAATGCCGGTGACAGCAAAATATCCACTGCCTTAACATTTACAGAGGAAACATGAGGGTACCAGTGTTGTAGGTCTCGAGACCGGTCTCGGTCTCGAGACCGGTCTCGAGACCACTTTTTGCTGGTCTCGGTCTCGGTCTCGGTCTCGGAAGCTGTGGTCTCGGTCTTGGTCTCGGTCTCGGTCCCCTTTGGTCTCGATATTTTGGCTGGTCTCGGGTCGAGACCAGCAATATGTAGCTTTTACAGCTCGATCGATTACTTTTTGTTCACTTCGTTCAGTACAATAGTTAAAACATTTGCTAGCCCGTAGATCAAGCTTGTTATATATCGCGGTCGGTTTGGACTCGACTGCACGTTGGAAAGTCTCCAAAGTACATGTAAAGCTGCAGCAGTACCAGTCACTGAACGATTTGGAACAAGTTCGGCATCTATCTGTTGAGTCGGGCACATAAAGCAAAGAATAAACTTGTAACAATTTATGCAATAAGGGTCAACCATTTTCGGGGATTGTGTAGTTTAGCCCACCCCTGTGGGCGTAATCACTTGCATTTTGTATTCTGATAATAAATGAGGTGCTTCAAATTAGTTATATTTTCGACCCCATCTAATGATCTCTTTAATTTGGGACAGTATTTTGAAGAAAAAGTAAATTTTTCTACCTGATTTTCCAGCATTGAACTCACACACTCTTACCAGTTACCACTCACTATTGCCACGAGAGTGTATGATGAGACCCCATTTTCTGGCTGCTCAGTTTGAAGTACCCCATTATTCCTCAAAAATTAAAATCCTGTTCAGAAAAAAATTAAAAATCCATATCTGGCACATTCTGGCTACCACCTCGCAACTTGTGGGTCTACATGTACAAGTCCACATTCTATGACAGAAATTTAAAAATTGATTCAACATTTTTTAGCTCCCATTTTTTAAAATCAAGTACACAAGTCTTGTTAGAAGTTAGGTCCTATATTTATTTTAGGAAACAAGAGGCACAATGTAAAATTAAAATTGCATCTTTAAATATCCGTTAGAAGTCATAGCTGAAACCAAGGGGTGACTGTGGAGTTTAGGATCCGAGTTCCTATAACAGATGAAACATCTACCTTTAACTTTTACCTTTGTCAAGACTGGGTGCAGCCCATATTTCTTAAGTATAACTACTTTTTGCTCAAGTAACATGTCATGTATCAATTTGTCAACACTGCCACTGGTCAAAATTTTGGTCTGTAATCTTTGTGAATAGAAAGGTTACAAGTTTCAACTATAATAACGTGTCTTGTTTTTTATTTCGACTATTGTTATTTATTATCAGCGGTCTCGGTCTCGGTCTCGGTCTCGGACCATATTGGTCTCGGTCTCGGTCCGCCTTGAAGGGGCTGGTCTCGGTCTCGGTCTCGGTCTCGAATCTTCAGGTCTCGGTCTTGGTCTCGGTCTCGGACTATCCGGTCTCGACTACAACACTGGAGGGTACCTTGACCAATGGCAGCAAGATTGCAATGCGATTGACCAAAAGGGCAGCACGATTGACTGATCAGCTTACTCCGCTCATTCGCAAACCATACATGAGTGGGTCTATATTTCCTTGCTCCATGATAAAACACAGCGCGATTGACCAACAGCGCAGATGCGTCGATCAGCTTAACACAATCATGACAATCATGCTGGCAATAAACAATGAAAAAAGAAACTAAAAAGAAACATTAATTATGCATTTGAGCATACATAAAAAAATCAAACTAGTAGGCTAGGCTTTAATTCTGATTATAATGTCTCCAACTTCACCACCAACACAAAAGTGTCACTGCTGTGCAGTGAAGGGGGCCAACATTTCCCCCTTTACTTTTGTGTTTATGTTGTGCCCATTCTTGAAAATCACGCATTCTCGAGAATGGGCATGCACATTCTCGAGAATGGGCGCGCATTCTTAAGAATGAGCGCCCATTCTTAAGAACGAGCACGCGTTCTTAAGAATGAGCGCTCATTCTTAAGATTGGGTGGGAATATCACGTGCACAATTTATGAATTTTGCCCAATCTTAACAAATATTGCACGACATAATTATGTTAAATGAATTGTATAGCGGTTAAAAGGGAAACAATTCATATAAAGAGGAAAGAAAATGTGCTATGCTTCTGTACTCGTATAACTACGATAATTTGAATCAAATTAAACCTGTTATTATTGCTTTTTTCTATCCACTATGGGAAGTTTTGTAATAACGGAGGACTGGGAACTAGTCTGGGAAGTGCTTTGTTTAGGCTAGACAAGTTACAAGTCCCTGCATGTATCATATGCGTGCCACGAAAAAAACCCGATGTCCAGAAGCTGCCAAAATTACTGTTTTGACTAGATAGAATCCAGCTCTGCGACGTTATGGTGGGATGTGAACAATAAATTGGTGGCAATTTAAATGGGAAATAGCATTAGCACTATGGGATGTCGCAGTATTCATTCTCATTCTTCACATTCTTCATTCTTACGTCCCCCCCCCCCCCCCCCCCCCCCCGCTTTTATTATCCCAAAAATCAGAATTCTTTGCACTAGTATTATTATGTCTCTTATATTTTCCCGGTCCCCCGCCCCCCCCCATATCAATACGCCTTTACTTATCATATCCACTCTACTTTTCAGCGCCTTGCGTTGCAACAGTATTATTGAGAATCAGTGAACGAGGATTTAGCTAGACTTGCCAAGCGCAGCCGGTGCTCGGCATCGACAAGACCGTTATCTTGTCGCGCATTCTCAAGAATGTGCGCTCAATCTGGAAGAGTTATTTTTTTGCCAAGATTGAGCAAGGATCCAGTTGCACATTCTCAAGAATGTGCATGCCCATTCTCGAGAATGCGTGATTTTCAAGAATGGGCACAACATTGATCACGCATTCAATACGTGATGCCCGATTCAGTACTGTTTTGCTAATCTGCGGAGTGCGGGTCAACGAACTTCCGAAAAGGGGTTCGGCCGTTCACGACGCGACGACCCACGCCACAAAATTGTCCGTTTAGGCTACCTACAAATCTCAAATTAAGAAACAAATAGTATTTTAAGAATTACCCACAAATTACCTACCTATACATCGACACATCTTGCTCCTAAACGGGACTTTATAGTGAAATGTAAGCTCCTTTTTTCTGTCCATTTTTGACGTCCATTTTCCCGTTGCTTCACACGGGAACGGATTGAGGACGATGACGTCATTGCCAATTGAAACAAATTTAAAACACACAATTAAAATTGTATGATTAAAATCAATAAAATTCGTTTAAAATTAGTAAATAATAATACAATCAATATATATTAATATATTATAAGTTATAATTGGAAACGTATATTTTATTTTAATAGTTTAAGTAACTAAGAGTTTAGATTTATTTATTGAGGTCATCTACGGTTATATGCAAATGAGTGACTCAACAGCGAAAAATGTAAACAAACTAAGAAACGTGTTCAGCGAAGTTGTTTGTGCGGTTTTCGTTCAGGGCCAAAATCACGTCAGAAAAGATCGGAAACTTGTGCGATTTTGCAACAATCGTGGATCATGTAAGAATAATCATCATTGATTTGAAATGATCACTTTACAAAATGAAATTTGGTAGAAATATCAAGAAAACCTGCCGTATTTTAAGCTCTGCCTCTGGCCGGGCCTCTGTTTTTGTGCATGGTTATGGAGGAATGTGCTCCTTCGGCCTTCCTCGATCCTCCATGCTTAGGATTCTCATTACAAAATTTTCTTCTCCAAATTGTCATCTTAACTGTAGTAGTAGTAGTACTAACTTAGTAGTGGTGGCAGAAGATAAGAGAAATTTATAATATAGTTTCACACTTTCACTGGGGGGCCAAAACTCCTTTTTTGAAATTTTAGTTTGGAAATGGAATAGTCGTACAACCAACCCAATTCAAAATTTCAAAACAGGAGTTCTGGCTCCCTAGTAATTTGGTGTACTTTGCTGTAGTTTTGAATCGTTGAAATGAATGAGTGAATTAGTTTGAAATGAATGAGTGAATTAGTTTGAAATGAAAACGAATTTTTGAAAATAAATTTTTAATGAAGATGATCAGAACTCTAGATTTATAAAATACTTACAAAGTCATTGACTTTGTGTCAAATAATTGCTATTGTTTCGCATTTCAGCTGAATTTGGAGCAAGAACTGTGATGAAGACCTGAATCTTCATTGAATTAAGAAGATGCCTTAACAGTAACATAGACAATCCTCCAACAATGGATATGGACCATGAGGAACAATTCTGCGTCTTCTTCAGCAACCTAGAGGACCAATTTCCGCAGTCCAGCCTCGTGACCCTGATCATATCCTTCATCTTCCAAATCACGGGGATCCTGGTGTCGGAACGCGATGTGGCCCTGCGCCACTCGGAACCCTGCAAGTGCAACACGGCCTGCGTGGACCTGGGCGACCCTGACCTCCAACAGCGAACCGTGGAGGCGGCGCAGATGAGCAACAGCGCCCCCAAGGGGCTGGTGAAGCGCGGCCGGGTGTTGCGGGTCGGCTATTTTCAGCCACCAATGCTACAGGTCATGCAGATGCCATCACCACGCCTTCCTCTGATGAGGACTGGCAACGCAGCAGCACCAAAACACAAATCGTCCAATGGAATCCCAGTAACTCCACAGCCCTCGCCGCCGATATACAGCAGAGATTTACCCAGGATGCATCTGGTAAAGAACCAGAGGTTGGGGAACGAGACGCGGATCTTGGAGTTCAAGAGGGGCGGCGGGGAGTACATTCAGAAGTACATGCGCAGGCACCTGGCCAAATACATATGCGCATTTTTGAACAGCGAGGGCGGATCCTTGATGATTGGGGTGGACGATGGAGGTACTTAAATGCAGCAACGGTTTGGCAAAGAAAAACAAATTAAAGAAATTGTTCAAGAATATTTTGAGAAATTGCCAAGTATCTTATCGAAGGTTTACTGACGGAGATGCGATCAATTTGATATTGTGCCACAAACTTATAAAACGTGAGATCAAATTCTTGCTATGATTAGGACAAAGGATCAGGTGAAAAAGTGCGTCTCTACAAAGGTTCTTTTTCATCTTTTGTAACTTTGAAAGGAGTTGTCCAGGGTGTATGCTGTGATCACAAGACCGAGGATAACGTCCGCATCATGATAGATCAGGTGATCCACCATTTTGATCCGCCGGTGCTGCCGCAGATGTACCGGCTAGACTTTATTCCAGTCCACGATCTGTGCAACACAGGTGAATATAGGATCTTGTGCCAGTTCCTTAGCAGAAAATATTAATTTCTAACTGTAATTAGGCAAACGTTTTGTGGGAACCACATGATCGTACAAAGTATGATCAATATGAGAAAAGTGCTGGAGGCCTGACGTGTGATTGAATCCTGATTGATTTGTGATTGACTTCTATTCATCAACTTCATTTACAGCTCAAAAATAAAATCTGGACTTCTTGTAAACGTTGGCAAAAGAAGATGTTCCCAATTTGAAGGTTGTAGAATTTTGACTTGTGATTGACTTGTGATTGACTGCTGATATGTCTTGTGATGACTTGTGATTGACTTGTGATTGACTAGTGATTGACTTCTGATGTGACTTGTGATTGACTTGTGATTGACTTGTGACTGACTTGAGTTTGACCTCTGATTGGATTCTGATATGACTTGTGATTGACTTGTGATTGACTTGTGATCGACTTGTGATTGACTTGCGATTGACTTGTGACTGACTTGTGATTGACCTGTGATATGACAACAGAGCCAGAGCCTGATCTGAAGGAAGTAAAGATTTGACTTGTGATTGATTTGTGATCGACTGGTGTTTGACTGGTGATTGACTTGAGATTGACTTGTGATTGACTTGTGATCGACTTGTGATTGACTTGCGATTGACTTCTGATTGTCTTATGTACAACCTTGCAGAGCCAGAGCCGGATCTGAAGGTCCTTGAGATCACCGTGAAGGCAGGACGGTCCAACATCCTGTACGAGACACCAGAAGGTGAGGCGTTCATCAGACGAGATGGGAGCGTACAGGGACCACTACGAGCCAAGGATATCCAGGAATGGTGCCACATGGTACTTAATTAGATCCACAATTATTCTAAGTTCTACTTTTCCTTCAAAAAGATAATGCATAAAATAGAATGAAAAATCCACAAAATAATCATGGGCTCCAGAGCAATGTAGGGTCGATGGTATATGTTTGTATTTGCTTGAAGGTCTCCCAGGTGCCAGGGATTCCAGTTTTTTCAAACGCAATTCAATAAAAAGTCCTGAAATCAGGAAAAGACCCGACAAATCTCACTCCTAAATGAAGTGAAACTTTCTACTGAAAACAGAAATACAACTTACTTTACTGACTAAAAAAAAAAAACACTAGAAAAACAGTTGTTTTTTCCCCTTGATTTTAAATTAACCAAAAACACTAAAAAACTACATGTAAACAAAACAAGATTTGATATCACATGCCATGAAATAAGTTTGAAAAGGCATCTCCTTTGTCAAGTTTCATCTTCTGTTCTTTGTGACTCACTTTTGATTGTATTGTGATTGATTCTTACTTGACTTGTGATTGACTTATGATTGACATATAGGATTATACGCATTATTGACTTAAGTGTGAGTTGACATTTGATTGACTTGTGATTGACTTGTGATCGACTTGTGATCGACTTGTGATTGAATTTGTGATAGACTTGTGATTGACTTGTGATTTACTTGTGATTGACTAGTGATTGACTTGTGATTGACTTGTGATTTACTTGTGATAGACTTGTGATTGACTTGTGATGATTTGTGATGGACTTGCGGTTGAGTAGAAATCAATTTCAACTGATTCTGGTTTCAAGGTTGATTATTTTTTTCCTTTTTTTAAATTAAATTTCCAAGAAATTTAGCCAGGAGTACCAGGACAAAGAGAACACTTTACGGCTGCAGATCGACACTTTGGAAGTGAGACTTGGCAAAATTGAGAGACAGCAGAGCTACCAAGCTTGCAAAGCTCAGGAGTCGGTGGACGGAACATCCATTGATGCGTTGCCGACGGCAACGCTCATCAGGAAAAACAGTCCGAAAACTGAAGATTCAACGACGACATTGGGGCAGTTTGAACACACAAACAGCCTGAAACGAACCAACTCAAGATTTTGTATTATTTTCTAAATTATACCATGTGGTACCATTGTGCAGCCAATCAAAATCTACCTCACTCTCTAACGGATCTTGCCATTGGTTAAATCTATGCAGCTGAAGTCTAACAAGTGCTTTAATTGGTAGATAAATATACCTTTGTTACAAAATTATTTCAATACTGTAAGATAGTCAAATGAAGAACTCTGCTGAAGTACATTACAGCCAATCAAAATGTACCTCATTCTCCAACAGTTCTTGCCATTGGTCTAAATTATGCAGCTGTCTGACAAGTGCTTTAATTGGTTGATAAATATACTTTTGTTAGGGAATTGTGAATACTGTAAGATAAAAAAAAATCAGCTTTGTGTAAATCTGCCATACTGCAACCAATCAAATTCTACCACACTTTGTAAGAGATCTCGCCATTGGCCGATTGATAAAACTCTACCGTAATAAGTGGTTTCATTGGTCACAAATATATAAATTGTTTTTGATTGTTATACCTTTTGTATTCAGATTTGTCACTTGATATTAGTGCAAACGTGTAAAAATACACGTGAACAAGGTCTCAAATTTCTATCCATTTTGTGAATAAATGTCAGAAAAATGTCCCCCTTATAAAGGAATTATCACATTTCCCCATTGAAGTAGAAACCAGCTTTCAAAATTTAATTCTGGAATGTGTAATAATTTTCAACAGGCAATTTTAAATTGGGAAAAAAAACTGACATAATTTTTTCATGGGTATCAAGCATAATTTACCTGTTAGGTTCATTTAAATTCTGTGCCAAAAAAAATTGCTTGATAAAAAAGAAATTTATTAAGCGATTGTAAACTATAATCCACTGTATGAAAAAATAAAATTTACAAACCCTTTCAGATTGTCAAAATGGATTATTGATACATTTGAAATGAAAAATTAACATTTTGCTCCAAAATTGCTAAACTTAGTCCGAGGGCTTCCTAATTTTGTGAAGACAAATTCTACCCAAGCTGCTGATTTAAAATGTCAATAATAAAACAGCTGAATAAACAAAGATTTGAAAGAACGGAAGTTTTTTTGATTTGTTATTCAAACACAATTTAATGTACAATCATTCAGATTCCTATGGGTGCTGTACAAATCAATACCTGGGCATTAATTATACAATTTTTTCTATTCAATTATTACGGTTTGCACTCATCTTGAGCTTGAAGAAGTACATATTGTAAATGATACAATAAAAAGCACATGTAGCAGCTATTGGACTTTTCAAATGCTTGCCTCTTTTCCACAAAATATTGTCATAAAACCAATAAAAAATTTTAATTTTGTTATATGGCCGAATTGAAAAAAAGTACAATATATTTCTATGAATTATATTTTTCTGGGAAATAATGTAGTATCCAGACGCCACCTCAGCGGTTTTGTACAAAATCTATGGGGAGTCAAAAATATTTTCAAAGGATTTTCTAACAAAATTGGAAATGTTTCTCAGTCCCAGATTCGTGTCTTGTCATCATTTTGCAATGACTGATTTTCATTGAGATATGTAATGAAAACATGGCGTCAGGATGCAACATTCTGTGTCAATAATTAATTTTGCTGTGGTACAGTTTGAAAATAAAACAAATCTTGCATAGAATTTATAAAAAGTAACATATACCAAGATTGCTGCGTGATGCGATCAAGCTAAATGAGTCGTTTGTCGGGAACTTTCACTTGGAGATTCAGGCCAAAATAGGGCCAGTTCATCACATCACTTTCATCACATCTCTTGGTGTTCCGACTTCCATAATTTTTGAATTGAAGATGGTACCAGCATGCGGTTTTCACAGCAGTAATGCTGAGATTGTGCTCTTTTCAAATCTGTAAAAAAAAAAAAAAAATAACCAGAGTCGACAAACGACTCATTTAGCTTGATCGCATCATTATACAAACTTGGGTTATGTGGAAAGATATGTTCCAACATTTTAAACAGAACTTCAGAACACGAGCCTTATTCTTGGAAGTAGTTTCTGACTTAAGAACTTAAAGAAACCGTATACTTTGGAAAAAATATTTTTGGAGCTAGGCTGCCGATTATTTTCAGGTATGCCATGAAAAATCAGAAAACTAATAGACACAATCAAATCAAGCAAAATAATAAATTAATCATTCCAAAAATCCACTATCTTCAAAAAAGAAATTGACATCAATCCATGCATTTCAAAAACATTATCCCCGACTATTTACTCTTGTTTTATTAATTTGAGGTTGTCTGCAAAAAAAATTACATTTTTGTCTGGTTTTGTACGGAAAAGAAGGATGGAATAGGTGGGGGGGAGTGGCTTGCAGACCGAGGTGAGGAGTGAGAAAGTCAAAGGGCACCCTCACAGGTTCACGCGCAATGCTATTCAACACCATTAAAATCTCGTCTATGCAAATCTCACGTTTATTAACTACACAACGAGGGATATATGTCATTTATTTTTTATGAAAACAAAATTCTTTCCAATCGTCGCGTCAGTGCAACAAGTTCGTAACTGGATTCTGCAACAAATTGGTTCTTGCGTGAATATGCTTCGTGAAACAAGGCCTGATCTCACGTATCGCGACGTCAATGAACTTTGTGTGTACATCCGGGTTATTTTAAGCGAGATACGACCTTTTGACATTGAAAACTTGAGTTTCAAGTACATGACATCACACGCCATTTTAGGAGATACGACCTTGTTGCACGGACACGACGAAATACAGCCTACAATAAGAATTTTATATACCAAATTTTTATACCAAATGTTTATACCACGGCTCAGAGAAGCATCGTGTGTGGTTTTTCTAGTAGCGTCTTGAATTTCTGCAGCCACTGGGCGCCGACTGCTCCGTCTACTACCCTGTGATCGCAGCTGAGCGTGACGTTCATGGTGGTTGTCGCTCTGTATCTGTTGACAAAATTGAGAACAGCAAAGTGAAGTCCGTCACGAGCCAATATGGCCCATCAGGGCATTTATCTTCAGTTTCCTTGGCATGAAACGACTGAGAATATTTCTATTCCCCCTGGATGGGATGCTAGTCCATCACAGGTTACTCCCCGGATAAACGCAGGTACCCGTTTATACTCTTTGGTGGAGAGAGGCAAGTGGAGGTAAAGTGGCTTGCCAAAGGACACAACATGTGGCCAGCGGCTGGATTTGAACCCCTGACCCTCTGATCGAGAGTCGTGAACCCCGACAACTAGACCCCACTCCCCCTGTAGCGGTCGCGCAACATCCACAGTGAAAGTCACCAGGGTTGAGATTATTTTCAAATTTTGCAAATTCCTGTGCAAGTACACGTACTTGCCCTGTCATTTCAAATTAACGTTGGCATTTTAACCCATTTTTACGAGGCATATAGGAGATTCCTTACCCCTCTTCTGCGTCCGCATCAGGCACCATGACATTCTGCAGGGCGCCGACTGCTACTGCACAAGACTGAGTTGGGTTGATGATGGTTGCGAATTGCTTGATGCCCAAACTACTTAGATCAGATACCGTGATGGTACCAGCCTGAAAAAGAGAGAATTGGCCCTTTAGCCCTTGTACCCCTCTGAACAGCCCTGCCTGTTATTCCTCATACCGCCCCAAACCGCCCAAGTGTTATACAATTTAATACAAGTGCTACGCACTGAAATACTGGAATAGTCATGACGTCAATCAGTATTCAACTTGGTGCAACCATGAATACGGGTTCAGACGCTCACTAATGTTACGATATGGGGCCAAAAAAATTATAAATGGAATCCTATTGGCTCATAAACGTGTTCTCTAATTGCCTCGTAGATTTCAGAATTTTCCGGGGGGGGGGGGGGCATGCCTCCAGTCCCCCCTAGCAGGGCATGCGAACCTCCCTTGTTTATATGAACTCCACGTTTCATGAAAGCTAGATCTGTCCCTGGCCCTGATCATTCAATATATCTTAATATACAGGCGATTGTTACAATCAGACAAATTATGTACACTAAAATGACATCCAAAACGAAATAAGAAAACAGGTACATTCGACTAATTAACGTAGCCTCGCTAGAAAAATCCAGCAACATTTTCTAAAGAAGAGAATTTTTTAAATCAAATACCGAAATAGATTCTTACTTGGTATTCCTGGGGTTGCAGCGTCCCTTCCACGGCTCTTTCTGCAAGCTCTGTCGCTTCTTGGCTAATGGCACCGATACCCTATCAGGTCAAACAGAATTATTTTTTCATCACGCCTCAGATGCTACCTATATTATTGGCCACATGTTTCTCTCCATAGTGGCGGTAAAAATAATTTGATGTTATTTTTTTTAGTCACAAACCTTTCCGTCGGCATTGAAGATGACTGGTGTCATCATTCCATTGTCTGTTTGGACAGCGAGGTTGACGTCAACATGGTGGTATCTGGTCACAAGAGGAAAGAGTAAGTAGAGAACGATGTTTGTCCAAACAAAGGAAGTCCAGCAATCGTTCAAAGTTTGGTTTCAGACCTCAATTCTTCAATTTTTCAGTGAAGTGCGAAGCAAACCTGCGAAGAACTGTCCAGTACTTGATAAGGATTATGCCATTATTATTTTGAAAATTCAAAACTGTAAAGGAAAGCATTATGAACCTTTTATATGAACAAAAGAGGGCGCTGTTTAGTTATGAAAACTGTGAAGGACAGTTCACTGGTTCTCTCGTACTATTCACCATTTAGGTACTGCCTGCATACCAGCACGTATGACGCAAGATGGCGGCCACTAGTGGTCCTTCAATTTTGCCATTCTTTCTCAATTTTGCCATGGAGGGGGTACTTTGTGCACACTTTCTACAGTCAGGGACAGAGCCTTAGCCCTGCAGTAACACGTTTGTCTATGGGAAGTGGCTGCAACCGATTTCCATAGGTACGTGTGTAACAACATAGCCGTAGTCATGTAATCCGAACGCGGCCTTACTGTCTGATTCTGTCCTCCATCCAGGCTGAGTTGGCCTCAGGGACCTTCAGGCTAGCCAGAGCCGTAGCCTTGACCACAAAGTCGTTGACTGTCAGCTCCATTCCTTCAGCTGCTACAGTTTGGCTCAGATCTTCTTTCAACCTAGATTTGCATGGTATTGAAGATAAAGTAATTCGTCTTTTGATTTACTCAGAGGCGGATCCAGGATTTTCCAAAGTGGGAGGTGGCTGGGGTGTTGAATTTCTTCCTCCATATTTCCGTAAGAAAATAATTTTCTTTTCTAAATCTCCCTCATGTTAAAGACAAGCATAATCATAAATAAAATCACAATTCAGGCACAATTTGTTTGAGCACATTCGGAATGGTTAAGCTACTCTACCGAGAATGAACAGAGACAACGCCCCACTTTAAAGTGGAATTCAGAAATGTGTTACGCATGAGACGCGCTCTGAAGAGCGCTGTACACCTGTCGTATGATAACGAAAAGAAAACTAACGTCTTTAAAGAGAATTTTTTTAAGGGGCGACAGTGGGATCAATGCGTAAAAGGTCCAAAGGTCTGATGAAGCAATGCTTCAAGATTTGGAAAATTGATTGACGAGATGTTATAAAGGGAACTCAAGGAAATTTGGGATTTCTTTCCATTATGTACATTATTAATTTTGGTTATTCAAAAGGGCGGGGGGGGGGGGGGGGGGGGGGGGGCCGGTTTCATGCAATTGTAAAGTAATGGCGACAACTTTTCTAAATGAAAGGCTGCAACATCAAAAAGCTTCCGAGCAACAGTGATTAGATTCGCTTTTGCGGTCCCTGACCCACATAATCGTTTTCTTTGTGATTTTTTGTGTCTTACTGGTTATTGTTCAACTCCCAATTGGGAAGCCCACTCCAGCTGTCATTTAAAGTGCATGCCCTCTACTTTATGATTTTTTAATAATTTAAATTTAAATTTAAATTACATGTTTATACGTTTCTTTTGTTGTGCGTTTCAACCACTTTTGTGTAATTTTTGTTTGGTTTTGTATCACTGTTTGTAATTCTTTGTTGAGGTCGAATAAATAATAATAATAATAATAATAATAATAATAAGTTTATAACTGGAACACACAGTTTAACAAGGATACTGACGAAAATAATAAACAAATCAGTTTCTCAGTGTTGTTTTTAGATAAATCATATTTTTTTCTATTGAAAATGAATATGAAATAAATATTTCCTAAGTTCGTTAAGAACTTGCAATTCTGTGAAATGAAACCCTTCCCAAATAAAACTGGTTTATACCAAAGTAGACTTTTACCTCAAGAGTTCCTCAACGTTGATCTCGACAGTCAGGAAATAGTGAGGTATCGTCTGTTTGGACTGGGTGACCCTGTTAGCTATAAACTGAAAGAGATAACACAAAAATTGCTGTTGGACAAATCGACATCAAGCAAAATTTTTTACATCCTCCTGCACTAGTATACACACAAAGTGCTCACATGTCTTTGTAAACACCAGCAATCGTGGACCCCTATTGTCTCTAATACTCACTTCTTTGTTTGTACCCCAACTTTTTAGCAACAGCTCACATTGGATTGGTACATGCATTTCAATAGTGGACTATCGGTCAATCGTGGACCCTTTGTTTGTGCCCTAACCCTTTTGTGCCTAGTCCACGATTGCCGGTGTTAACATACTCGCTAGTACCTGTACAGGAGACTGTTCACAGTAATTGACATAATTTGTCTGAGTACAGAGATATGCAAATAGCCGTACAAAAGCCGTAGAAAATTTTGAGTTTTCCATAGGTTTGTGCACAAACGTGGATGCGCCCAGCAGGCATCACTTTGTACATGAGTCAACGCTCTGGTAATTTAACCCTCCCACGCAGAAAGCCCATTTAGTAACACACTTACAGTAAGGGGTCTCCCGGGGACCCAAATATTTAGCGCCACGGTTTGAGGCTACACAACACTGTATCCACATGAACACAATCTTGCCATGTCTGTAGACTAAGGAGGTGTATTTGTATACATAGTCTGTGGTCAAGCCGTGCACTGTCTACTCGCAAGTGACCTTGTTTGTGCACGTGTATATGGTGGGTCCCCGGGTGGGCAGAAATTGCGTCGGAGTTGTTTTGTGCACGTGTATATGGTGGGTCCCCGGATGGGCAGAAATTGCGTCGGTCCTTCGCCCAGGTTGTCAGGCTCAGATATGCCTGACCCAGGGTCACACACTAAAGGTGACTGCATATATCCGTAGAGGGTGTCTCTTGCTAGGATTAGATGGAAGATCACCAGAATTGGTTTGAATTTTTTTTTTAATTAAGGTAATTAACCAAATTGGGTCCCCAAAAGGGCTAGATTCTGCGCCGGAGGGTTAATATAGCTCTATACCCATATTGGCTCGTGAGTCGTGACAGACTTTGCTTTTACTCCGTACTTCGTACCTGTCTCAGTTCACCTACGGGTACGTCCGTGAAGCCAGCCCCTGGCATGGCGGCAAGGGCTGGCGCGGCGACGGCCGAGGGTGTGTAGGACTCAATGTCTGTCCTCCGGACGCGTCCCCCTGGACCACTACCAGCTACATCCTGAAATACAGTGAAGAGTCCAACTCTGATAACTCAAAACAACCGATAAGTCAAACAAAGAATCCATTGCCTTCAGTAGTACAACAATGTTATACAACCCTGCTTAACTCAAAACTCTGCTGAAGTCAAATTTTGAACCTGTTCCCTTGAGGTTTGAATTATCAACATTTCACTGTAGAAAATACGCGTGTGAATTAGACACAAGGAAATGTGAATCAAATCTCAACCCTCCTGCTGTTTGATCAGTCAAAGACAGTCAAAAATTTCTCTACTTCCTCTGCTATGCATTTGTATACAGGCTAGTAAAAACCAGTCAGATCGCATTCAGGTAAACACTGTGACTAGTCAAACTCCATCAACAGACAAAAGGGGTAACTAGTATGTACAGCTGGCATATCAATCACCTCAAGTCAAAGCATGACTATATCAAATTAACTACATGGCAATTCTTAACTGTTAAAGAACAGTCACTTGATTGATTTTGAATTCTGTGATGGCGTAGCTGAATTGGTTAGCCAGAGATTCAACTCTATAAGACCTGTGAAATGTTGGTTGGCGATTTAAGGCTTCTGTTGTTGAATACATAAATAATTTGCCATCATTTATCGCCTACGTGCAAGAACATTCTTCAGAAACATTTGTGATGCATTCTCTCAAAACAGACTCTTCACTGCAGCTTGTCGAAACGGGGTTTTAAAATGCTTTTAATATCTAAATCTTTTTCTACACAATGACATTTAAATTGTTTATAATAGACTTTCCTCAGCAGAATTTGAAGTTCGTGATCTCACCAAAGTAACAACAGAGACAATTTTGGGTTATTTAAATGCATTTCTTGAACTTTGAAACATCTCTACAACCAATTCCGAAAAAAATTTCATCTCATACGACAAAATTATTTGTGAAGTCTAGAAATGCCATTGTCTGGACACGCTCAGTAGAAATACAACTTTTATTAAGGCAATTTAGTACCGTTTCGTCAATCGAAAAAATGTTTCCTTTTTTGCAGACTATAAAACTGTATCTTTTGAGTAAACAAAACATGATAACTGATGTCAATAACTTGTATTCACATCTTACAGCACCTATATTAGGTTAATTAAAAAAATATGCTTCAGCGTAATTACCATTAGATTTATTCCCCTCTCAGCGGCCAACTTCCGAGCCAGGGGGCTGGCGAACACCCTCTGGCCAGGGGTGGGTCTCGGAGTTGGCGGCAAGGGTGGCAGTACGGGCGCCTCAGGCTTGGCAGCTGATGGAGGGGGCGGGGTTGGCGAAGGAGCAGTGGGAGGGGGCGTGGCTGGTTTTGAGGGAGGTGGGGGTGGGGGAAGCTGGAAAAAGAACGAACAGAAAGACAGGAATCAGTCAGCTGAATAAATGAAGTTTTGATGACAAATATGGATTATGGAAAAAAAATGGTTTATTGGAAATAGGAATTTGGAAAATTATGTAAATGTCATAAATAATAATAACTGGTATTAAGAAAGTGTCTTTGCCAAAGGATATAATTATTACCCCTGTTCATCAGGCTATGAGACCATTTTCGTCAGCAGCTCGAGATCAGCGTAATCTGGTCTCAACCCTCACCGTGCACATTTATACTGCTCAGTGGACAGAGGAAATTGGAGTAAAACATCTTGCCCAAGAACACAAGCACCATGTTCCTTGTCAAGGGTTACAACAATTTAAAAACCCACACCTACCTTGGCTTCTTCAGCAGCTGGGGAGACGATCTCGCCGCTGTCTTCAAAATCTTTGAAGGCCGCTACGTCGGATTCGTTCTCCGCGATGATGCACAACAACTAGACGAACAAAGACATGCAATATTTTCTGTATTGTATTTTGATTATCGCAAATTTTCTTATTTAGATTCCAGTTTTTAGGGCAGTCAGCGGAAATTTAGGATGTAAGGGTTAATCGACAAGGACTTCAACAGCTCATAGGCCAAAATTTATGCGAGGCAAAACCAAGGTCCTCAGTATTTCACCTGCCAAGTCTGAAGTCTCAATTAAATTTTAAAAAATAAGACTTTTCTATTTTGCACCCGAGAGTGAAGCCAAGGGATTTCAATTTGACGGCTAAGACTAGACTGGTACATGTCCAACTGTTTGAAAAGATTGACCCTTCAGTGGTCTGGTGGCAGACTACGGAGAGATGTGTAGAAATAGACCGGTACCAGATGTTTCTTTTGACACAGTTGATTGATGCAGTACTAAAAGGGTGTTGGACTGGTTGTTTCAGGTGCCACTCTATTTTCTTGTATTGCATGTTTTCAATATTGCAAGTTTTGGGACTCTCATACCCAGTTTTGAGAGGCCCATATTTAAGGACTAGTCCAAGCCAAACTTGCTTACCCTTCCGACAGGGATGTCCTTGGCTCCTTCCTCCACGAAGATCTTGGCTAGGTAGCCTTCTTCGGGCGTCTCAAACCCCATGGTAGCTTTGTCTGTCTCAATCTCACAGAGTAGATCTCCTTCACTCAGGGAATCACCAGGCTATTAAAAAAAAAAAAAATCAGCACTGTATCAAAAGCATTCCTTCAGCCAAAAGTAAAGATATTTTTTACACTGGAATCAGCCAGCAAATCTGTTCAACCTAAGCATATAAAAACATTCCCATCTGAATTTTATGTATAGTTTTTATGCATAGCTCACTCATTCCAGTGAGAAAAAAAATAAAGTTTCATTTCATTACATAATCAAAAAAATACTTCAAGGCTTTTTGGAAAAACAACATTCAGCGTATTTACCTGCTTTTCCCATCTGACGACTGTGCCCATTTCCATGGTGGGCGACAACGCTGGAAGAGTTACTTTATAATGAGGCGGCAAATCTGAAAAGAAAGGAAGTACAATTAAGTTTGATGAGCACAGTTGTTTTATCCCAAATAGGATTTACCAAGTGTACTTTGAACACATGTTGTGCGAACAAGCTTGTGATTTTGTACAAGTATATAAACTAGTGCAGGTCTTTTGAAAATGCAGATTTGTGTAAATAAAAAGATACGAACTATGAATATATGTATATTTTCATATTTCGGCAAAATCTAGTTTCCTGAGCATGTTTAATTAACCTTAACTCCCTAGGCATTATTGCTACATGTAGGATGCAACCTCAATCCTGCAAAATCCTCCAACTGCCTCCATGTAAAAATTGCATACAGCCTCAATCCTGCAAAATGCTCCGTTATTTCATGAATGTGGTCCTTGGAAGTGTGACCACTGCCTCACTCCTGCAAAATCCTCCAGCAATCACTGTTGAGGCAGAGCCTGTGACTTCCTGGAGCAGTGTGGAGGATTTCAAGTATAATCTAGGCCTAAATTTATGCACGGCTGAGCATGAACAACACAAAATCCGGCCCAAGACCTTGACACAGTGCATCCTCCAAAATCAGCCACACATATAGCCTCAATCCTGCAAAATCCTCCATTTTGCAAAGAGGATTTTGGAGGATTTGGGAAGGATAGGTTAATATCTAACCTCCCGATGAGTACAGCCTGATTGCTGATCTCATTTGCCACGTCTGCCCTTGGAAAGATGAGGACCGTCCAGTCCATCTAATAAAGTGACGAAGGAAAAAAGAGAATTTCAGTTGGAAATTTCAGTTTGTTTCAGTGTTGATTTCTATACAACCTTAAGGCTTAGAACAAGCCCACAGATTTTTTTTGTATTCATGGTAAGGATGTCTGGGCCAAAAGTGGGGGTATATTTCGACCGGGTTGGGGAGAATTTGACCACTTGTTACTAAAGCACATTCCGTGGGTCTGACTAGGATTGATGCTCTGCTGCAAATAAACATAGTAATGCTGCAAATAAACATAGTAAGTACATGGTTATGTTATTGTTGTATGTACTAAGTAATTATGGTTAAGATCTCACTCTACCGTTTACACTAGGCAGTGTTGCTTTTTCTTTATCTGGTAGCATCAACGAGGGCGCTGTACAATATGCAGGCTAAATATCGTTTACAAGCTGGCTATCATGGCTATCTAGCCTGCTAAATTAAATATACAATTCAGTTTTAAAATGCTATACAGATACAGTATGTACATGTCGGCATGCAAAGCTTTATCATAAAACCCTGTTTAACAACAGACATGGCTTGCATTCCCCTCCCCCCCCCCACACTTATGATCACTCCCCCGTCCCCCCCACCCCCCCCCCCCCAAAAAAAACCCCAGTGGCCTCATTTCCTATACTGTCATGACTGTCTTTATTAGCCTTATTTCTAATACACACTCCCTCAAAACGAAACCCTGTACATCACCCTATACCTATACATCACAAAAACCCAATAAACTGATGTCAAACATTATGTAATAAAACCACAATATGCAGGCACGTAGCGGTAGAGGGGGACGACGGGAACCGGACGACGTGACTACCGACACGGGCGCTCAAGTAAGTCAAGCGAAAATGGCCAGCCGCAATTACAAAACTATTGATGTTAATTTCGATCGAATTTTCACCGACCTTGATACTGTTCTGCAAGTCTGAAGAGTCCTGGCAATCGCAGCTCTCCCTGGGTTGATTTTGGGCGCCCTGTACAGAGCCTGGGCCCTGAAACAGCCCCGTAAAACGAGACCTGATCTCTGCATTTTGACAACTTCTCCAAAATCGGACTGCCGGCTATATGCAAAGGAGGTCAAGGGTCATATAAAAGACTAACTAGATTTATGGCGATTTGTGATAAATATCACGTGACAATAACATTACTGCACATATTTTGCCTCCATTTCCAAACTTTTTCATTAACAACCTTCCAAATTGTTACAAATTTTTTTATCGTGTATTCAATTTATTTTATTTGCTTTTTTGGAAGATCGAAATTTGGTAGTCTAGTTATTATTTTCTGGGAAACTTGGGGGTTTCATAAATCACATTATCGGAAGTTTCGACGAAGGTACGTGAACTGTTTCAACACCTTGCATGATGATGATGATGTAAAAATACATTTGTTTATGGTGGATCGGAGATTTTTTACAATTACGTTAAAACAAAGGTATTTTGGATACCTGTATGTGTACTTGAAAGGGAACCAGTACGCGTTTTCATGAACTAATTTCGTGTTTAAAAATTAAGACTTGTGAAGTTGTGTTTTTGCCAGTTAAATTAGTCGGGGCCCGCACGGTGAAAAGCTTGAAAAATTTAGCGTGGAGTCTGGGTACTCTCAGTTAGTTGCAGATTTTTTTTTTTATTTAATTGTTAAAAAATAATGTTATCTTTTTAAAAGTGTTAATCAAGTGGGATTTTTTGGTTGGGGAAAATCTATATGTCACTAATCCAACAGTCGTTATCCTCCATGTGTTGTGTTTCTTTTATAATTTCAGTTTTCAGTAGGCCTAATGTTTAATTTTTAGATCCTACTCAAGAAGAAATGTTGCTGAATGCTTTGCTTCAAATTAGTCAAAATACCCAGTTAAGTATCAGTACCCCCCCCAAAAAAATGACCTCATCGCTAGCTGGAGTTACCCAGCCCTGAGTTTTATCATTGGGTTGTCATCTAGGGCTGGAGCGCATTTTTCTCAAAACTTGTAGTATTTGCAAAAAAAAATTGGAAAATGTTCAATTTTGTCCCCGTTACACACTAATTGCAACTGCAACTCACCCCAAACTTGCCTGGAATAACCATTACACAGGTCCTTGAAGTAAAAAACGATCCACGATGAAGATTCAGCCTACAATTGCAGTGAAAACAGGAGGAATAACCGCTAACTTGACAACCTTGCTGGATTGGCCAGGACCGCTATTGGTTTGTGCACAAAAAAAATTGTGTACAATGAATGGCGGTCGATTAACAGGCACAGAGAGCGATCGCTGTCAACTACTCGTTTTCGCCGGCTGCGCTGGCTGTTGGCGCGTGACGTCACGCGGAAGCGTAACACCCGATGACTGTTTCATGCACTAGTATAAGGTTTACCACTCGCATCACAGCTTTGGTACTGGAACCGCAACAAATAGTGCATGAAACAGTCATCGGGTGTTACGCTTCCGCGTGACGTCACGCGCCAACAGCCAGCGCAGCCGGCGAAAACGAGTAGTTGACAGCGATCGCTCTCTGTGCCTGTTAATCGACCGCCATTCATTGTACACAATTTTTTTGTGCACAAACCAATAGCGGTCCTGGCCAATCCAGCAAGGTTGTCAAGTTAGCGGTTATTCCTCCTGTTTTCACTGCAATTGTAGGCTGAATCTTCATCGTGGATCGTTTTTTACTTCAAGGACCTGTGTAATGGTTATTCCAGGCAAGTTTGGGGTGAGTTGCAGTTGCAATTAGTGTGTAACGGGGACAAAATTGAACATTTTCCAATTTTTTTTTGCAAATACTACAAGTTTTGAGAAAAATGCGCTCCAGCCCTAGATGACAACCCAATGATAAAACTCAGGGCTGGGTAACTCCAGCTACCTCATCGCAACCATCTCTTGAGTGATTTATGGATAGGCCCATGGAGGAATAAGAACACATCCATGATAGGCCTTAAGAACTATGGGAGGGACAATGAATGAGGGAAAAGGGGGCAAAATCTGCGTGCAGGCTTTTCTCTTCCTTGTTGCCCCACCATGGTTGCCCGTTTCATTGTGCAAATTTACTCACGGCCACGACGGCAAAGGTTTGCAGTAATAAATTATTTTAAAAACGCACCCTTATTCGCTAAAACAAATATGGCTTTATACAATAGGTTGCAAGATCCTCCACTCAAAATTTGATAAGGCCTGACCAGTATTTCCCAGTTTTTCATGACATCAATGAAATAAATGGATGATGTAAGGCTAAAAATACAGTGCTGAAATCTATTGTCATAACTTTGTGTATTTTCCTGTCTTATGATAATTACAGCGTGCTGATTTAAGGCTATGGGAAGCACGGATACCAATTCCATCATCAATCAGATGGAGCAGGAGATGGAGGACTTACAGCAGATGCACTACAGCACCGAGTACAGCACAGATATCAACAGTAAAATGCAGGTAACTGCACAGGCATGACCTTTAACCCTAACATACGGAGCAATCATGTAGTTACGGGCCCCTCTTTAGTTTCAATCAAATTAGAGTCAATGTTGTTTTTATCATTCAAAACTGACTTTTTTTCAATCTAAAGCAGACTTACTTCAATTCAAATGACACCTTTTTGGTAATTTTGAACGGTTTCTTTAGGTAGAAATGACGATTTTTGTACACGGTTAACAGTTGGTGCCGTGCGATTTAGTGCGCCTTGCGCGTTCACAGTACAACGCGACGATCTCCATCTTTATTTTCATGTTGTGTTTTGTCGTAGTCATCGTCATTTTACCCCCAAAGTTCCCACAAAAATTCAAAACCCTGCCCTCTACATGTATCTATGACATACCTTCATGTTCTTAATGTCGCCAACTAGTTTCAAAAAAACTGAATTGGATTTTGTTCTCTTATACGGAACTGGGCTCATAAAACACGATTGCCACCTATAGCAAGACATGCTTGTCACAGTGCTTGCCAAATAGTTGTTTTATGATTGATTATCATATTGACTCATCTCCCGTTTTTGTTCTGTTCACCTCAGATCCCGACAAGGTTAAGCATGGGTCAGCCTCAAGACGCGTCTTTTTCTGACCCAGACAGTCCTAACATGGATTACATGACCGACAGCCCGGCTCACGCTATGAACGTACCAGAGAGAATCATGGTAGCAGGTAAGACGCAAGTGTTTTGGTAGCTTGAGTTAAGGGTAATTTGGCATATTGGTTAGGGGTTCGAATCCAGCAGCTGCTGCAATATGTTGTGTCCTTGGGCTATCCGCTTTATACAACTGGCCTGTCTTCAACTTGGAGAAATGAGTACTGGTATTAGTTGGGAGTGTGGCCTAGTGGCTAGGGTTTGTGACTCGTGAGAAGAGGGCCAGGGGTTCGAATCCTGCCGCTTGAAATATATTGTGTCCATGGGCAAGCCAGTTTATCCGACTTGACTTTCTTTACCCATGATTAATTGTTATAGGGAATTGTTGGGAGTGTGGCCTAGTGGTTAGGGTTAATTACAGGGTCAAGATTTTGTGTCCTTGGGCAAGCCAGTTTATCTTGCTTCCCTGTCTTCGCCTAGAAATAAAGATACATATAGTAGTTGGGATCATGCCTGTTGATAGACATTGTGTCTCCAGACCAGAGGGTCAGGGGTTCAAATCCATCTGGTGGCCATACGTTGTGTCCTTGGGCAAGGTACTTTACCCAACTTGCCTCACCCTACCCAGGATAACCAACACTAGCTGGGAGCAACCTGCGATGGACTTGCATCCTGTCCAGCCAAGCTAGATTCCAGGCGTTAAGTGCTCATGCTATTCAATAACAAGTGGAGAGGGTTTTGTTATTGATCAAGTTTTTCTCTCTCAAAAAAAGTTGTATTCTCTCACAACAGGTTCAGATACACATGTCGGCTCTAGACAAACTCCAAGGCATTTGGACTTGGAGGAAATGACACCTTTTCCTACAGGTCTGTACATTCACCAAATGTCTTATTTTGTGTAATAAACAATAGCATGTGTGCTGATAGATGTATTTTAAAAACTATAAAGCAACTTCACCACTGTTCACTGTTGAGTATTGCATGTTCTGTGCAAATAAAGGGTGATCAAATTCCAATATTTGTGGGAATTTTCTTTGATTGTTCAACTACAGCTGACACAATTGTTGGTTTGACCACACCACCACATACACTGAAAATGGAGGACGTCCGGTTCCCAACGGTCGGCGATCAGAGTGTTATGAAACCTGATAGGAGCAGTATGAACCACCAGAGAATGACAAAGTAAGTGGCAACGTTAAATTCTCATATTTCTGCCTCCATTTCCCAATCTCTCTCCCACCCCCAACCCACCCCCGTCCTCTCTACACCCACTCATACCTCTATCCCCTCCCTCGGCCCACCCAAACTATAGACCCTATCCTTACTCCACCCTCAATTCTTATTCATACCCCACTCCCCCCCCCCCAAGCTAACCTGAATCACACCCTCAACCCACTCCATCCTCACTGCCATCCACACCCCGACACCTAACTTCACCCCTCACACCCAACCTCACCCAAGTTCACCCCCACATCACCCTCACTTCATCCCCATCCCCTCACCCTCAACCCATCCCCAACCTTACCCCACTATCACCCAAAACCTCACCCCCATCTCACCCACACCCTAAACCCACCCCAATCCTCACCGCAATTCTTCTCCTAACACCTAAACCTTGCCCCCACACCCAACCTCACCCCCAATCACCCACACCGAACCCTCACTCCATCCCCATCCCCTCACCCCATCCTCACCCTCACCCCATCCTCAACCTCACCCCAACCTCAACTGAACCTCAACCCATCCCATCCTCACTGCAATCCCCCTCTTGACACCTAAACCTTGCCCCCACACCCAACCTCACTCCCAATCACCCACACCCAACCCTCACTCCCTCCCCATCCCCTTAACCCATCCACACCCTCACCCTCACCCCAACCTCAACCCACCCCATCCCCACTGCAATCCCCCTCTTGACACCTAAACCTTTCCCCATACCCAACCTCACCCCAAATCACCCACAACCAACCCTCATCACTCCATCCCCATCCCCTCAATCCATCCACACCCTCGCCCCATCCACACCCTCACCCCAACCACACCCTCATCCCATCCCAACCTTACCCCACCTTCACTCCAACCTCAACCCTACCCTAACCACATCTTCTCCACCCCCTCCCACCCCAGATTGGCAATCCGCAGCCGTACCCCCACCCCAACCCTCTGTTTGTCTCTTTCCCACCCCCGCTTGCACCCATACCCTTTTTCCATCTTCATACCCACTCCTGAGCCAGCCTCATCTTCCACCCAGTCCCTCCGATTCCCTCTTTCCATTCATTTTGTTTGCATGTTCCTTAAAACCCTTCAAGTATTCTGTATCTGATCCCGAAGTACCTCAAACTTTTCTCCTGTAATTGCACAGTGGCTTAGATGACACGCCCACAGGCCCCCCTAAGCTCCTTGGTAACTCCTCCCTCGTGGAGGGCGGTCCTGTCCTCGATATCCAGGGCCTACAGCGCCACCTACACCTACTCACGCGGAAGGTCAGGACCCTCGAAGAGAACAGCGTGCGTCGCGACCGGCGAGAACTGATCTTCTGCACGGTCGGTGTTGTCTACTTCGTCTACAAGGGTTTGCGATTTTTGTATCGAATTTTATAGAGTAATGCTTATAGTGGATAAATTGTATAATAACTGATAGGTAATAAATGAAGGAAAACAGGCTCAAGACACTGATGATACTCTTTGCTAGACATTTATACAAACTTGCCATTTTGATGTCTTGTCAATTCCTGTGCTGGCCCCTTGTCTATCAAACGTTTACAATTGCCTGGATATGTATCAAATGATTTTACAAGGAAAATCCTTGCTCAAATTGAAGACTGGTTCCAAATACCCTGCGAAATTATTCCGCCCGAAATGGTATCATTCGGAAGAAACAATCATTGAAGGTGGTTTAAGAAAGTGTGCCTGCCGACACATTTTTTTACGTGTGTTAGCACCGGAATCAAGTTACGAGAACCCAAAAATATTGTGCAAATGTTTTTCTGTTTTCTCAAAATGTATAGTATCCACTGAGCTGAAACTTGAACGAGTTAGTTGTTAGGCACCTTTCTTAAGATTTTGAGCAATTTTGTTGCTTCAAATGAACAAACACGCACAAAATTTGATCCCATGTATGTTTAATTTTGTAAATGTTTCGCGAAACTTTCAAGTAACGTTTAAACTTTCGCGCCAAAAGTTTACCTAAAACATCTGGCTGCAGCAGCAGCAGGAGTGCAGTCACATGGAGGGGCATATTGGCAGCATATTAAAAATATCAAACCAAATAAAATTGTGTACAGTTGTATAAGCTTGACTCCGTAGATAGTAACAATCCTGGGAAAGTGTATGAATTAAACTTTAAGTGGTTAAATGATAAGGTACAACTAATGCTTTGTGAATTAAAAACGTTTACAAATATCCCTGATTCTCTGTTAAATAAATAAAAAATTCTGCAACACCCCTCCCCCTCCCTCACCCAACAAAAATTTCAACCTGAACATTCCTTAATCATGAAAAACTTATAAGATTTTCGAAAGCATAGTTTAAACCTCACATGAAAATTCAGTGAGTTTTTTTTCCTTCTACACTTGTATTACACTTGTCATCCTGAGGTCCATTTTCAAACTGAATGTAAAAGTTCTTCTTTTGATACAAAACCTTTCATCTCTCTACTACTTGCTGAAAGTGTAAGGGCCAGTCTCAATTCATATCCGGTACGAGTTCCGGACAAGTTGCAGACTTTGCATCGGGTATAAGTTGCAGGATGCTGAACAACTTCCCTGCAATCTTCCCGCAATGAAGTTATCAGTATTAGTGAGTCAAGCAGTTGCTTATGAAAATTTTTCCGGAACATGTCCGCGACAAAAAGCAAAGTAGTTAATGATTCTACCCGCAATTTGTCCGAAACTCGTCCGGGATATAATATGAGACGGGTCCTATTAACCATTGTCAATAATTTCATAACATGAATTTAGCAGATTATGGGTGTTTAAAGATGTATAAAAGAAGTAGAAATGAATATCCGGGACGGTTTTTTTTTTGTAGAGGTGTTTAATGTTTAGCATGCAGGAAGCGTTTTTTAACAAAGAGTTTAGGCACTCTCCTGAAGATGGTCGGAGCATACTGTCCGGAACGTCGAGTTTATACCTCTGGTTCTTTTTCAGAACTATTCTCTTTAGTTGAGAAATTATTCCCACGTGGTGTTTCTGCAAATCTTTCATTCATTAGTATCTCCACCATGCAAAGCCTCAAATCTTACTTTTTTAACTACCTTATTAGTTTTTTGCCAATCGTGCACAGCCGTGATTGTGAAACCAAAACGCGCGGTTGCAGAATGCATTGTGATGTTAATAGCCGATCCTTTAAGCCCCGCCCCCATGTCGCTTTGACCAATCACAGTCTTGATTGATGCCCGACATGCGTGCACAAAAGCCAGTGGGCGGGGCTTATGGAACACTGACTCCCTTGATATTTTCCAAGCAATATATTTGATGTCACAATGTACACATTTGCATTGGTGAATTCCAATTCAAAGTACTTTTAGATAATGTAACAATTTATTACAATTATTATAAATCAGCCCATTCCTTTATATCTGTACATCTATTAGAAAAATATTGCATTAGTTAAACTATGTACTCATCTTATAAATCAGTGTTATGTAATATGTAATATGTTGTATATAACATGTGACAGTTAACAGCTCTGTGAAATAGATTTAATAAATTCAAAAGGAAAATACTCGCCTTTGGTAATATGTAGATAACGACTGTTTATGAGTGCAATGGTAAGAATAATTTCATCAGGTGACACTTTGGAATGTTCCATTCCACGAGGCAAAATCTAGGCAAAACAAATATACATTTAAGTTTTAATAACAGAAGAAGAAAAACAGACAACGTTCAAACATTCGATTTCAACATTCAAGGAAAATTAGATAAACTTTTTTTAAAGGCCTATGCACGCTAAGCGCGGACACTATTGGGCAAGCTTCCATCAACAATGTGACGTCATAGACGCATGACCAATCAGCTTACAGTATGCTAATGAGTAGACAATTCTTGTACTTCGAACTTCGCGCAATACGTGTTTACAAAAGTGCGTACTTAATTTAGGCCTCAGATAAGAAAAACAAATGTGGTTATCGGTTATCACAAATTTCAGTGGATACCAAACAACGGGGGAATAAATCCTGAAAACTACCCGTGTTTTCATCGCTGTTCTTAGAAATGTTGAGAACCACCTTAGGCCCCATACAGTTTACTCAAAACGAAACTGAATTCAAGCAAACATTTCCAACCTTTTTGAGCCGATTTAAGCATAATGATAAACTACTTACGCCATACGCGAGCTATTTGGTTAGCACGATTGGATACACTGTTATCGCTTAATTTTGGAACTTTGCGCACCGACATGCGGGCATCTGTAAAAACCAAAAAAGCTGGCAAAGCTTTGCTGTTAACTTGGTGTTCGAACTAGCCAGCTCTGGATCGCCTATATTAAAGAGTTCTAGCGGACAAATCATCGCAAATCTTGACACATCTCGAAATCGAAGGTAACCTAAAGTTTAAGGTATGATTTAGGTATATTTTGGTACAGACAGGTCCGGTACTATGTACCCATTATATAGGATTTATCGATGGTTTATCTAGCTTAAACACCATGCATCCTCCACGTTAAGTAGTTGATTGAAGGCGAAAAATTGCACATGTAGAAGCGCAATTGCTTTCGTGAAGTACGTTTGTGAAATAACGAAATACTTTTACGTAATAGGCCAGACGCAAAAACATTTGATGAATAACGAAGTACCTTTACGAAATTACGAAATAACGTGTAAAATACCGCAATGTTTGTGCAAAGCCCCGCCCGCCCATGTAATAACGCAAAACGTTTGAGAAATAACGCAATACCTTTGTAAAATAACACAATATCTGTACGTATATAAGCCCCGCCCACACTTTGTACGTACATATTCTCACTGTGCTTGTTTGTGCCCTAGATTGGCCGTGTTACCGTGGTCACTGCTTTTACCAAGAGTCGTTATGTGATCAATTTGTGTGTGATTGACAGGCAGAAATGGGTCATTATTGGATGCCACATTATAGAGTTGAAGTAGATCCTACACTCTCACGTCTCGGCATAGATTTGACCAAGAGTCCGGGTAACATATTTGACTTAATATATTTCAGTGTCCAAATGACACTGAACGGGTCAATTATGACACTCATGACACGGTTTCCAGGTCAGACTGACCCGTAAAATGATCAAGAGTCAAGACAAGTGTCGTTTGACTAGAGAATGTGCTATTTTGACCTTGAAAGTAGTAGGTCAAAATGATAGAACCCTAATTCCGAGTGAAATCTGGCCCTGTATTTTTTTTTAGAGAGCATCAAAATACCAAGCTATGCTATAGCTTTCTTAACTCACTTCAATTTGTTTCTTATTTTTTTTTTGAACATTCCCCAGAATGAGTTTCCAGTTGCTTTTAGTGGCAGGTGTCCTGGCCGTTGTCTCGGCGGGATTCGCCCGCCGGTCGAGCGAGTGCAATCTTCCGCTGCTTGTCCACGAGAACCTCGGTGACTTACCGCAGGAGTTCGACGCCCGGACCCACTGGCCACACTGCTCCAGCATCGGCGCCATCTTCGACACGGGCAGCTGCCGCTCTTCTTGGGTTTGTAAATAATAATAATCGGCAGTATTAAGAACGCTGTCATTAGTAAACTAAATCACAGCGCAAGTTACAGTATTATTATTACCCCTGACCATTGGGCCAATTGAACATTCCAAATACCATCTCAGCTTCCTGGGGAGTATACGGCTGAGCTCGATGCGCAGATGTTCAGACGCTATAGCGTTTTGGGGAGCCGCGCGCACTTCGCATAGGCAGGCCTGGCATTTCAACCGTGTTGAAAACAATGTTTGTAATGCCCAACTCGCAAATTTACCTGCTTTGTTAATCATGAGATGTATTTTGTTTCAGTGGTTGAAAAAGGGGTATGGGTACAAGTGGACCATGGAGGTAGAATTCTCAAAATGGCCACACGATTGAGACGGCCACAACTTTAGTTTGCACCAAAGTTGGGATGTCCAGTCTGTTTTCCCTCAAGTACATGTACAATGTGCGGGGTATAACGGCAGTGAAGTATTAGCATATCACGCCGAGCGTCCAAAAGCCTTGATAAGGGATGAATTTCTAAAGGGTGCTATAGGTTCGAGGTGGCATTGGGGGTTACATACTCGGGGCATGGGGAACAGATTTCCATATGCCTATACGATGACTAAAATAGAAGCGTTGCAACAACACTTCATTCCTGTTTTTCACAGGCTTTTGCAGTGATGTCGACCATAACGGACAGGTATTGCATTCACAAGAACCAGTACCTGAACATTTCAACGCAAGACCTGATGACTTGTTGTCAAAGTTGCCAAAACACACAGGGACTTCCGTAAGTTATTCCCATTATGTTCTCCAAATCGATAGTTTTTTTTTGGCAAGGCCGTCGTAACTTTGGACATTAAAGCAGGTGAAGATTTGCCGGTCCGTTTTGAATTCGTAAGTCATGATGGCCCAGTTTATTGTTGCCTATGTTTTGAGGAATTCCCGTAGAGTTTGGTATTGATTTCAACTACTAGATGCCAAGATGGCCCGTACACAGCAGCCAAAGAGGCTTGGTGCTACTGGAACACTACCGGCATAGTGACGGGCAGCGTGTACGACAGCAAGTCTGGCTGCCGACCCTACAACGTCACGCCCTGCGACCACTACGAGAGCGGTTCCCTGCCGATCTGTGACGTCAGCTACCATGGGCCTAAGCAGGTTTGCCTACAAGAATGCGAGGCGGGGTACCCGACCAGTTTTGCCAAAGCTAAACACATTGGTAAGGCCTATGCGGCAACTTTTTTAAATTACCGTGCAGTCCACGAAATGGTTCTCTCAATTCACTTCTATTGAGGAAAGTTCATCTCCCTCGGAAAAAAATCCGATAAAGGTTCTCGAATCTTGTGAATCGATAAAGGTATACGGAATCACGTGATGTACTTCAATCACGTGACAATGTCCACGCATGCGTATTATGGTAAGTGACTATAAACCTACTTTTGTGCCGGTACATTATTGAGTCACATTTTAACCCATACCTGCGCACTATGATGACAGCGGATTTTATCTCCATTTATTTTACCTTTAAAAAAAATAAATCTTATCCCTTGTGACCGCTGATTTTAAAGCTGACCGGCGAAAATCATACTTGAAACAGGCTTTTTCATGGTAGCTTTTTCATAAAATGTGTTTAGAAACAAAGTTTTTCATAAAGCTTTCATATGACTCGTCTGTATTACATATGTAAATTACTCAAGTTCACTGTTTTGTTATGAGGTGACTATAACGACTGACCTGTATTCGTTTGTTTTGGCATAGGAGGTAAGGTATATAAGGTTGGGTACACGACTGATCAGATCAAGGCAGAGATCATGAGCAATGGACCCGTTCAGTCTGCAGTGGTCATCGATAAAGCCTTCACTATGTACAAATCAGGTAGGTAACGTATCTCGAAGACCAACCTCGTTCCCCATGGGTACGATCTAGCTGCGCCATGTTTTTTCCCATCATGCCTTGCGCGTTAGTGTAGGAACGCGCACGCGCCCATGGCCATGGAGTCGAGGCTGCTCGAAGACTATCGGCCAAGTTGAAACCGGTTCAACTTTGCCGACGGTTTCCCATATGAAAACCAGGCCTTATGGATTCATTTTCGTTTTATGAGAAAGCAAAGGTTTGTTTACTACGACATGCTTTTGTATACAGGTGTGTACACCCCATCGGAAGCAGTCATCCAAGAGCTGTTTGTTAAGATCATAGGGTGGGGCCAGGACCCAAAGCAGGGCGAGTACTGGCTGTGCACCAACTCATGGAACAGAGAGTGGGGCGATCAAGGTAGGTTCGACTACCCCCTGCGATGAAACATTGGAAACTCAGAAATGAACAATGCACTTGGCCTTGGCCGCCATTCTGGCATTCACAGCGTCAATCTCACTTTTTGCTGTATGCAAACTTATTGCAAAGACTGTTATGACAATCAGTGTGTAATAGGATGGACACCACACGAAACCAGAGCGCCCTCTACGTGTCTATAGGTACCTAGTTTTCAGCGCCCTCTCTTGACGATGCATGCGTGCTCTCGTCCGTCCTGAGAATCTTCTGTTCGTAAAACGAAACGCAACCATCTTGAACGATATTGCTTGAAATTTCCGATGCGATTAACGGCAGTGATTCTTGTAAACATTCAGTGGGGCGACCAAGGCCTTAGGTACGACTACCCCCTCTAGCGATGACACATGCGGACCTCAGAAATGATATGACGGAGGCACATAATCTTGCCTGAACTTCGCTTATAAAACTTTCTGTCGTATTTTATCCCAATTTCCAGGCACATTCAAGATACGTCTGGGCAAGACCGGTACTTACATCAATGACTTCGTGTACGCTGGGATGCCATGACGAGATTCCACCGTGACCAGCTTGTTCCGGGATGAAATTACTTTTATTCAGTACCTTTTTAAGTTCAATTAGTACATCTAGGCCTAATTATAAGAGGCAACGTATTTAATTTTGTTTTTACGGAATCCTTGAAACGCCACTTTTTTGTCTCATATCAATTCAATTTCATAGCGATCAATATGTGTTTATTCAAATTTCTATAATTCATTTACGAAATGCTTATTTTTGCTATTAGTTCTTTCTCCACAGTTACCTCGGTTCATTAATTACATAAATAGGTCAAAAAGGTTTTAATGAAGTTGTTTTATTCAAGACAATGCTGCTGTAAACCATTTATCTAATGATTAAAGAACATTCGGAGCATTCTCTTTCTTATTCTTCTCTATGTGTTTCACTGCTGCTTTAATTCAAATTAAAATTCCCCCCCCCCAAAAAAAAGAAAACATGGAACGGAAATATGCAAATTTTCCATGAAACCCTTTGCTTTTTAGAGCCTGAATATTAAAGGTCACGCGGCCAGCTTCCACCCTATGGGCCATTTTATACCTCACCCTTTCACCTGTTGCACTTTTGGGCAGAATATTTTCTGACTGTATAACCACCTCAAGACACACTCACGTTGGAATTTTATCTTGGTATAATTCTTTAAGTCAGTAGTTGAGGTAGACTGTCTGACACAATTTGACCTTGGGCATAGAAATAGGTAAAGGTCACATAAATATGTAAATATGGAAATATGTAGATATAAATATGAATGAATGGGGTTATGAAATTCCGGGCACAGTTTGACCTAATGAATGGATGGGATGAATAGGGAATAGGTGTGGGTATAAGGAACCGGGTACAGTTTGACCAATTCTATGGGAAAGATTGCATAAGGTATGGAAAAAAATATATATATTTTTATGGTACATTTTGGATCTTAGCCCGAATATGAGTTTCATACGTTAGTCCCTGTGAACGACCAGCTGGTCGGATCTTTAATCCCCCCAACAATAGACGGGAGAGGGCGCGTGCCAAGTCAGCGCACTAGTATTGTTACGAAGTTAATCCGATCGATACAAAAAGTAATTGGATTTCCGAATGCTCGAAAGCAGAAAGCAGCGATAGATGGCAAAAATGAACTTTGCGTTGATCAGACTGAAACGAGTACGATTGTCTATTTGAAGAATTATTTTAAGTCCTTTTTATTGGGTTTATGGGTATTGTGCAACGTTGCGTTTTCCAAGGTATAAACAAACACTCACCGCAGCATACTTGCAGGGTACAGCCTGTGTCGGCCATGGGGGTATATGATAAATCCACGATCCATAATCCATGCATCTGTACTGAGACCGGTGGTCGATCACCCCTCGATGATCGCACCGATCCTGGAGCAAATAAATAACTCCGTCCGTGCGCTATATATTCCTCTTGTTAATCGATACAATACCAATGGTACTCTTCTACACTGCCACCAGAATCATCCAAGTAAAAATATATGTCTGTGCGCGGTGATCGTAGAAAAGGGAAGGTTTTGGCATCAGCCAGAGCAAATGCTAGTATACATGCACACTACTGCATACACGCCGTCCGATCAGATAGCGCTCAAGTTTTCTTAATCCGTGACGGCTAAATTATCGATTAGGCTCTATAATCTGCAGGGGCGCGTACAATAAGGAATGGATTCAGTGGTTTAAAGCCATAACAAAACGTGCGGGTATGTGGTTTTCAAGGGAACTACGGCCTGGAAAGTGCCCGATTAAGTGTATAGGAATAACACAACCATCATTGTGCATTTTGTAATATTTCGTACTAGAACGACCCCAAAAACTAAGCTATAGCCTATCCATAGTTAAAAAATCAGTCGTAACGAAGTAAAAATGGTGCCCCTTTAACGCTGTCTGTATAGGAATGCACCGAACCCTAGTTGTACCTCCGTGCCGGATTTGTTTACAAAATCGAGGATGACTGGGTTTTATCTACGACCATTTTACGGGGGTTATTTAGAGGGCGTGTTCAAGCAATAATTTTATGACTGAGAGTAGGCTTTTCCGATTGATAAGACAACACAAACAAAGAAAAATACAACTGCAGAAAGTATATACGTTATGACATTATTGCTTTATTGACTTTATTATTGCTTTATTAAATCTCTAGTGTTTTTATTTGTCTGTCCCAATGTATTTCTTCGCAATTATATCGTCATTATAATGTTGACTAGTCTTTAATCGTCACTGTCTTCCTCGCTGACGTCTTCTTCATCTTGATGGAACAATCCGTCAAATTTCATCTGGTGTTTAGGCATAATTCTGCCGAGAGCCTTTTGTACGCTAATACCCTTATATATTTTTTCTTCGAGATTGTCCACAATATCTTGATGAGTATCGTTATCTTTCAGATGTAGGTAGCTTGACAGAAAATCCCTGTACTTGTCAAAAAAGATTTGCTTAACTGCCCAGAGGGTCTTCCTATCGGCCTTTTCCTTGGCCTGATCTTCATCCATACCCTCGTTGATGTACTTTTCATGTTTTTCACTTCACATGTCACGAGTCGCTTCTTTGGACTCTTCCAACCAGTCTTGGAAAGTAGCATTGTCTTCTAATTCAGAACTAGACTCATCTTCATCGTCATCTTCTACCTCCGAGTCCGTTTCCGAGCCCGATTCATCCACGTCAGGATGATCAGATTGAATAACCTCAATTTCAGAATCATCGTTAACCCCATTCATTTCAGATTCATCTTCAGCATGAGCGTTTTCGGTATGTCGCAAGAGATTATATCTCCGTCCAAAGCTTTTATCACACTGGTTACAAGCATGGGGTTTGACTGCAGAAAAAGTATTCATGTTGAAGTTATAAAGGCTGATTCACGAATGACAAGAAACGGATGAATTGGTTTAATATATATTGTGCCGAGACCTGTCTGTTTGAGCTCATCCTGCTCTTTACCCTGCTCATCCTGCTCTTTACCCTGCTCATCCTGCTCTTTACCCTGCTCATCCTGCTCTTTTCCCTGCTCATCCTGCTCTTTACCCTGCTCATCTTGCTCTTTACCCTGCTCATCCTGCTCTTTTCCCTGCTCATCCTGCTCTTTACCCTGCTCATCCTGCTCTTTACCCTGCTCATCCTGCTCTTTACCCTGCTCATCCTGCTCTTTACCCTGCTCATCCTGCTCTTTTCCCTGCTCATCCTGCTCTTTACCCTGCTCATCCTGCTCTTTACCCTGCTCATCCTGCTCTTTTCCCTGCTCATCCTGCTCTTTACCCTGCTCATCCTGCTCTTTACCCTGCTCATCCTGCTCTTTACCCTGCTCATCCTGCTCTTTACCCTGCTCATCCTGCTCTTTACCCTGCTCATCCTGCTCTTTACCCTGCTCATCCTGCTCTTTACCCTGCTCATCCTGCTCTTTACCCTGCTCATCCTGCTCTTTACCCTGCTCATCCTGCTCTTTACCCTGCTCATCCTGCTCTTTACCCTGCTCATCCTGCTCTTTACCCTGCTCATCCTGCTCTTTACCCTGCTCATCCTGCTCTTTACCCTGCTCATCCTGCTCTTTACCCTGCTCATCCTGCTCTTTACCCTGCTCATCCTGCTCTTTTCCCTGCTCATCCTACTCTACGGCATAGAGCAGGATGAGCAGGGTAAAGAGCAGGATGAGCAGGGTAAAGAGCAGGATGAGCAGGGTAAAGAGCAGGATGAGCAGGGTAAAGAGCAGGATGAGCAGGGTAAAGAGCAGGATGAGCAGGGTAAAGAGCAGGATGAGCAGGGTAAAGAGCAGGATGAGCAGGGTAAAGAGCAGGATGAGCAGGGTAAAGAGCAGGATGAGCAGGGTAAAGAGCAGGATGAGCAGGGTAAAGAGCAGGATGAGCAGGGTAAAGAGCAGGATGAGCAGGGTAAAGAGCAGGATGAGCAGGGTAAAGAGCAGGATGAGCAGGGTAAAGAGCAGGATGAGCAGGGTAAAGAGCAGGATGAGCAGGGTAAAGAGCAGGATGAGCAGGGTAAAGAGCAGGATGAGCAGGGTAAAGAGCAGGATGAGCAGGGTAAAGAGCAGGATGAGCAGGGTAAAGAGCAGGATGAGCAGGGTAAAGAGCAGGATGAGCAGGGTAAAGAGCAGGATGAGCAGGGTAAAGAGCAGGATGAGCAGGGTAAAGAGCAGGATGAGCAGGGTAAAGAGCAGGATGAGCAGGGTAAAGAGCAGGATGAGCAGGGTAAAGAGCAGGATGAGCAGGGTAAAGAGCAGGATGAGCAGGGTAAAGAGCAGGATGAGCAGGGTAAAGAGCAGGATGAGCAGGGTAAAGAGCAGGATGAGCAGGGTAAAGAGCAGGATGAGCAGGGTAAAGAGCAGGATGAGCAGGGTAAAGAGCAGGATGAGCAGGGTAAAGAGCAGGATGAGCAGGGTAAAGAGCAGGATGAGCAGGGTAAAGAGCAGGATGAGCAGGGTAAAGAGCAGGATGAGCAGGGTAAAGAGCAGGATGAGCAGGGAAAAGAGCAGGATGAGCAGGGTAAAGAGCAGGATGAGCAGGGTAAAGAGCAGGATGAGCAGGGTAAAGAGCAGGATGAGCAGGGTAAAGAGCAGGATGAGCAGGGTAAAGAGCAGGATGAGCAGGGTAAAGAGCAGGATGAGCAGGGTAAAGAGCAGGATGAGCAGGGTAAAGAGCAGGATGAGCAGGGTAAAGAGCAGGATGAGCAGGGTAAAGAGCAGGATGAGCAGGGTAAAGAGCAGGATGAGCAGGGTAAAGAGCAGGATGAGCAGGGTAAAGAGCAGGATGAGCAGGGTAAAGAGCAGGATGAGCAGGGTAAAGAGCAGGATGAGCAGGGTAAAGAGCAGGATGAGCAGGGTAAAGAGCAGGATGAGCAGGGTAAAGAGCAGGATGAGCAGGGTAAAGAGCAGGATGAGCAGGGTAAAGAGCAGGATGAGCAGGGTAAAGAGCAGGATGAGCAGGGTAAAGAGCAGGATGAGCAGGGTAAAGAGCAGGATGAGCAGGGTAAAGAGCAGGATGAGCAGGGTAAAGAGCAGGATGAGCAGGGTAAAGAGCAGGATGAGCAGGGTAAAGAGCAGGATGAGCAGGGTAAAGAGCAGGATGAGCAGGGTAAAGAGCAGGATGAGCAGGGTAAAGAGCAGGATGAGCAGGGTAAAGAGCAGGATGAGCAGGGTAAAGAGCAGGATGAGCAGGGTAAAGAGCAGGATGAGCAGGGTAAAGAGCAGGATGAGCAGGGTAAAGAGCAGGATGAGCAGGGTAAAGAGCAGGATGAGCAGGGTAAAGAGCAGGATGAGCAGGGTAAAGAGCAGGATGAGCAGGGTAAAGAGCAGGATGAGCAGGGTAAAGAGCAGGATGAGCAGGGTAAAGAGCAGGATGAGCAGGGTAAAGAGCAGGATGAGCAGGGTAAAGAGCAGGATGAGCAGGGTAAAGAGCAGGATGAGCAGGGTAAAGAGCAGGATGAGCAGGGTAAAGAGCAGGATGAGCAGGGTAAAGAGCAGGATGAGCAGGGTAAAGAGCAGGATGAGCAGGGTAAAGAGCAGGATGAGCAGGGTAAAGAGCAGGATGAGCAGGGTAAAGAGCAGGATGAGCAGGGTAAAGAGCAGGATGAGCAGGGTAAAGAGCAGGATGAGCAGGGTAAAGAGCAGGATGAGCAGGGTAAAGAGCAGGATGAGCAGGGTAAAGAGCAGGATGAGCAGGGTAAAGAGCAGGATGAGCAGGGTAAAGAGCAGGATGAGCAGGGTAAAGAGCAGGATGAGCAGGGTAAAGAGCAGGATGAGCAGGGTAAAGAGCAGGATGAGCAGGGAAAAGAGCAGGATGAGCAGGGTAAAGAGCAGGATGAGCAGGGTAAAGAGCAGGATGAGCAGGGAAAAGAGCAGGATGAGCAGGGTAAAGAGCAGGATGAGCAGGGTAAAGAGCAGGATGAGCAGGGTAAAGAGCAGGATGAGCAGGGTAAAGAGCAGGATGAGCAGGGTAAAGAGCAGGATGAGCAGGGTAAAGAGCAGGATGAGCAGGGTAAAGAGCAGGATGAGCAGGGTAAAGAGCAGGATGAGCAGGGTAAAGAGCAGGATGAGCAGGGTAAAGAGCAGGATGAGCAGGGTAAAGAGCAGGATGAGCAGGGTAAAGAGCAGGATGAGCAGGGTAAAGAGCAGGATGAGCAGGGTAAAGAGCAGGATGAGCAGGGTAAAGAGCAGGATGAGCAGGGTAAAGAGCAGGATGAGCAGGGTAAAGAGCAGGATGAGCAGGGTAAAGAGCAGGATGAGCAGGGTAAAGAGCAGGATGAGCAGGGTAAAGAGCAGGATGAGCAGGGTAAAGAGCAGGATGAGCAGGGTAAAGAGCAGGATGAGCAGGGTAAAGAGCAGGATGAGCAGGGTAAAGAGCAGGATGAGCAGGGTAAAGAGCAGGATGAGCAGGGTAAAGAGCAGGATGAGCAGGGTAAAGAGCAGGATGAGCAGGGTAAAGAGCAGGATGAGCAGGGTAAAGAGCAGGATGAGCAGGGTAAAGAGCAGGATGAGCAGGGTAAAGAGCAGGATGAGCAGGGTAAAGAGCAGGATGAGCAGGGTAAAGAGCAGGATGAGCAGGGTAAAGAGCAGGATGAGCAGGGTAAAGAGCAGGATGAGCAGGGAAAAGAGCAGGATGAGCAGGGTAAAGAGCAGGATGAGCAGGGTAAAGAGCAGGATGAGCAGGGAAAAGAGCAGGATGAGCAGGGTAAAGAGCAGGATGAGCAGGGTAAAGAGCAGGATGAGCAGGGTAAAGAGCAGGATGAGCAGGGAAAAGAGCAGGATGAGCAGGGTAAAGAGCAAGATGAGCAGGGTAAAGAGCAGGATGAGCAGGGAAAAGAGCAGGATGAGCAGGGTAAAGAGCAGGATGAGCAGGGTAAAGAGCAGGATGAGCAGGGTAAAGAGCAGGATGAGCTCAAACAGACAGGTCTCGGCACAATATATATTAAACCAATTCATCCGTTTCTTGTCATTCGTGAATCAGCCTTTATAACTTCAACATGAATACTTTTTCTGCAGTCAAACCCCATGCTTGTAACCAGTGTGATAAAAGCTTTGGACGGAGATATAATCTCTTGCGACATACCGAAAACGCTCATGCTGAAGATGAATCTGAAATGAATGGGGTTAACGATGATTCTGAAATTGAGGTTATTCAATCTGATCATCCTGACGTGGATGAATCGGGCTCGGAAACGGACTCGGAGGTAGAAGATGACGATGAAGATGACTCTAGTTCTGAATTAGAAGACAATGCTACTTTCCAAGACTGGTTGGAAGAGTCCAAAGAAGCGACTCGTGACATGTGGAGTGAAAAACATGAAAAGTACATCAACGAGGGTATGGATGAAGATCAGGCCAAGGAAAAGGCCGATAGGAAGACCCTCTGGGCAGTTAAGCAAATCTTTTTTGACAAGTACAGGGATTTTCTGTCAAGCTACCTACATCTGAAAGATAACGATACTCATCAAGATATTGTGGACAATCTCGAAGAAAAAATATATAAGGGTATTAGCGTACAAAAGGCTCTCGGCAGAATTATGCCTAAACACCAGATGAAATTTGACGGATTGTTCCATCAAGATGAAGAAGACGTCAGCGAGGAAGACAGTGACGATTAAAGACTAGTCAACATTATAATGACGATATAATTGCGAAGAAATACATTGGGACAGACAAATAAAAACACTAGAGACTTAATAAAGCAATAATAAAGTCAATAAAGCAATAATGTCATAACGTATATACTTTCTGCAGTTGTATTTTTCTTTGTTTGTGTTGTCTTATCAATCGGAAAAGCCTACTCTCAGTCATAAAATTATTGCTTGAACACGCCCTCTAAATAACCCCCGTAAAATGGTCGTAGATAAAACCCAGTCATCCTCGATTTTGTAAACAAATCCGGCACGGAGGTACAACTAGGGTTCGGTGCATTCCTATACAGACAGCGTTAAAGGGGCACCATTTTTACTTCGTTACGACTGATTTTTTAACTATGGATAGGCTATAGCTTAGTTTTTGGGGTCGTTCTAGTACGAAATATTACAAAATGCACAATGATGGTTGTGTTATTCCTATACACTTAATCGGGCACTTTCCAGGCCGTAGTTCCCTTGAAAACCACATACCCGCACGTTTTGTTATGGCTTTAAACCACTGAATCCATTCCTTATTGTACGCGCCCCTGCAGATTATAGAGCCTAATCGATAATTTAGCCGTCACGGATTAAGAAAACTTGAGCGCTATCTGATCGGACGGCGTGTATGCAGTAGTGTGCATGTATACTAGCATTTGCTCTGGCTGATGCCAAAACCTTCCCTTTTCTACGATCACCGCGCACAGACATATATTTTTACTTGGATGATTCTGGTGGCAGTGTAGAAGAGTACCATTGGTATTGTATCGATTAACAAGAGGAATATATAGCGCACGGACGGAGTTATTTATTTGCTCCAGGATCGGTGCGATCATCGAGGGGTGATCGACCACCGGTCTCAGTACAGATGCATGGATTATGGATCGTGGATTTATCATATACCCCCATGGCCGACACAGGCTGTACCCTGCAAGTATGCTGCGGTGAGTGTTTGTTTATACCTTGGAAAACGCAACGTTGCACAATACCCATAAACCCAATAAAAAGGACTTAAAATAATTCTTCAAATAGACAATCGTACTCGTTTCAGTCTGATCAACGCAAAGTTCATTTTTGCCATCTATCGCTGCTTTCTGCTTTCGAGCATTCGGAAATCCAATTACTTTTTGTATCGATCGGATTAACTTCGTAACAATACTAGTGCGCTGACTTGGCACGCGCCCTCTCCCGTCTATTGTTGGGGGGATTAAAGATCCGACCAGCTGGTCGTTCACAGGGACTAACGTATGAAACTCATATTCGGGCTAAGATCCAAAATGTACCATAAAAATATATATATTTTTTTCCATACCTTATGCAATCTTTCCCATAGAATTGGTCAAACTGTACCCGGTTCCTTATACCCACACCTATTCCCTATTCATCCCATCCATTCATTAGGTCAAACTGTGCCCGGAATTTCATAACCCCATTCATTCATATTTATATCTACATATTTCCATATTTACATATTTATGTGACCTTTACCTATTTCTATGCCCAAGGTCAAATTGTGTCAGACAGTCTACCTCAACTACTTAAGTCAAATTGACATACCACGTCACAATGACGTACTCAGATGTACAACATGAATGCCTTATTTTAGTCGTTTCAAATATTAACGATAAAGTTAGACATTCTTCAATTACAAAAACTGATAAACGATTGAGATTCTTCTCATACCAAGAAGCATGTTAACAGAGTTATTCTTTGTATATATAAATAAACAAATACATACAATTAAATATGTTCTCTTTTCAAACGGCGAAACTGTTTATAGAAATTAATTCATATGATCAAAGTCTATCCTGATAGGCGCTGGCTGTACATTTTCTCGTAGTACGGCATGGATGCGTCTACGAGACGAAGGAGGTCAGGAGAAATAGACGCGCGATCCGGAAGAGCTTTCGGCTTCTGAAAGCAGGTACTGTCCAGTGCGTTCTTGTAGAAATTTCCCATCTGGTCACCTTGTAAGTAGAGACGAGGCACGACCCATTCCTTGATGACTGCATCCCCGGCCTCCCAGTGTAGAATCTTCTCATCAAACGGCAGCCCGATGTCTTTGAAGAGTGCTGACAGGATTCCTTTAGGATCTTGCAGGAGGTCATCAGAGTCGACGATCATCGCTTCTGGGTCGACCTCCTTCTTGACGTGCTCAAACAGCTCCAAGGTCTCCTTGAAGCCGAAGCCTTTCGGGAACCAGTTGGGAGGCAGCTCATCCATGCGGAACTCCTCCGGAGACAAATCCTTCGCTGTCTGCAGGAACATCTTCTTCATAGACGGGAAGGCTTTAAGGGGGTGACGGATGAGGAAGAGGTGACGGTAACCCTTCGGGATGAACTCCAGGTGGCCCGTGATGGTATATGCTACATCCTTGGCGAAGATGAACCTCTTGCCAGGATGGGCTTCTTCGAATTGCTCCTTGACCGATTGGTAGGTGGCCTGGGACGCATCAATCCCTGCCGATACGTCACTCACCTTGGAGGTTTCCTCCATTAATGCTAGAAACTTTTGCCCGGTTTCAGAGACATTAGCCGCTCCGTCTTCTGTCTTCTCCGCATCCTGTAGCATGTTGACGTTTCCAAACATTTCGAAGAAAACCTTGGTGTCTTCGACGAAGCTCAGGCACTTGGCCAGAACGGTGGAAGTAGAGCGGGGTATGTACCATGTTATGAGTCGGACCTGCTGTTCAGACGAGGGGGCCTTCTCAGAAGTTGCCATATTCCTAAAAGCAAACATTTGCAACATTTTGCAAACGGAAAATAAAAGACAAATATGTGAGGCGCGGGACACCAAGGCCGAGTAAAAAGGCCTTTAAGATGGTGGATTTTCCAAAATGGTGAATTGATTCTGTGACAGTTTTGTCGATACAAAATAGTGTCCAAAGAAGCCATAACCCTTTCTATCTACTCAACAATTTTGTTGGAAACATAACTAATAAATTAAAAGACAATATATTTTATTATGTACAAAATATATTGCAAAATGCATAAAATATTTTTTTTAAAGGCGGCCGGGAAAGAGGAAGTGGCCATGGGAGGGGACGCGAAACTGGTTTATTAATTTTTTGCATGGCACTGAACAAAATATCTGAGGGCGATTGACCTAATAATAATCGTGACGCATATTCTGCTCTGGTTTAACACTGGAACGTGATCTGGCGATAGGCCTAGGCCTACTACTACTAGTACTAGTAGTAGTAGTACTAGTATCAGGTCGAGAAGGCCACCATTGTCTTAGATTTTACTATGACGACCCCACAGATTTCACCCTGAAAACGGCCACACAACTAGATACGCCACCCTATACACAAGTAGAGGTCGAGGATTATGATCGAGGTATACTTACGACCTGGATGAAGAGTGAAATTTCCTTTTTAAAATCCGATGGCCTACTTATAGCACACGTATTGTTGTCGTTGTGCTCACGTCCCGCGGCAAAATAACACTCGTCAATGGCGCGTGCGAAAGCGAACGTTGTACTTTGTATGCAAAAATTTGTCCAAAATGGTGCATGACCCGAGTTATATACCAGACGACTGTTTCATGAAGGGTACTGTGGATGATCGCGGTAGGGTGCACTGAACCAATTCAAGGCCCATTGAAAACAGTGTAAAATCAACAAAGTTCAGGGCCAAATAACAAGCAAGCCGACATCACTGGGGTTTCTCAAACAGAAATTAAGTGTCCTTCATCTGCCTATTTCTTTTCAATTTTAAGTGGGTTAGCCAATTACATTTTTTCTAGAGGGGGGCAAAACATATTTTTCTCCCCAAAAAATCGTGTATTTCTCAACATATTCTCGATTTATCAGTTTTAAAGGGGGGGGGGCAGGGACATTCCCCCCCCCCATTAAATTAGCGCCCCCTTGCCCCCTCCCCATTAAATTAGCGCCCCCTTGCCCCCCCCCCCCCCCCGCGACGCCGATGAATGAGCGTGAAAACACGTAATTGCTCAAAACATTGGAAATAACAACACCAATTGCATGACAAAATTCCCTTTCTTGCCCGACAGTATCGAATCAGGATACAAGCAAGTGCCCATCCCAGGGTTTACTATTGGAAACGAATCAAGTAAGCCCCTGGGACGAGGTTGCACAATACCGGTTCTTATGCGTACATGTATGATACTTTGGTTGCTTATTCCGGTGTACTTTTGGCCGTGCTCAGCACGATAGAAAAAAAATGATGAATACCATGTGACTCGCTCTCGGCCAATCAAGATACAGAATCTGTGGGTGTAAATAGGTCATATTCACCTGAATAAAATCGCCTTTCATTTATATTATATCAAAGTCAGACTCGATCCATATGGCAATTGAAATGATGTAAAACTCTCTGTCCAAGATTAATTTTGATATACAGTTTTGCTCATCATGTTATTGATAATTTATTTAATTTTGCCGCACGTCTCAGAAGAATATTTGACACAAATACATATTTTCAAAAATTGGCTGGCTGACGTGAATTAACGACTGTTTCACGAACGATTAAAATGATTCACAAACAGCCGTCGTAAATTCTGTTATCATCCTCGTCCAAGATGTTTGGATTTTGAAACGTTGCCCATCTACACCAAGTTTTGTAAAATCGTAGTGCACAGCGCTGCGCAACACTTGAAATTAAGTCGGTCGCATGACACAACTAGAATGATAAAGCAGTATTTCAAACCGTACAATCAGCAGGTAAATAATTGTTATCAGTGTGTCGAGTTCAAAGTCGAAAGAGGTGAAGAGTGAAGAATGGCTTACTCATGTAAAAGTCCAATGTTCACGACAATGAATTGAAATTGATGGTTGAAACCATGGAGATGATAAAATAGTTCCATCATGTTGAAACTGCAGAGGTGTACAAAAAAGACCGTGTACCACAATCAACGTGAATACAACACCCGAACAAGCAGATTTCATTCGCTGTGCTTTTTTTTTTGTCCAAATCAACTTTTTGGTTTGCAAAGAATTTTCATTCAACAACGGGAGGACAAGGTATGTGTTCTTGATTAGCTTTGTAATTTTTTTCTCTTTCAAAGGACCGTAACGTTAGGCTATTTGTCCGAGCATGGAGCTAAACAAATGAGCACAGAGCTATGGTCCGAGAATAAACTTGGACCTTATTCTTACGCCCTTCCTATTATTGGGACACACGATCAGGGCGATAGTAGGGTCCATATTATTAGACTATTATGACCGTCATCGTTTTACTTAACTACTGTTTATCGACCCTACAAAAACATCAAATTTCACTCTCAAAATGGCCACAAAATGCAGATACGCCACCTGAGATATGGGCCTATACATGAAACAGAGATAAGGATTAAGATCGAGGCACTAAGGTGTACAGTGTGTACAAAAAATGATACATTTAGAGACAAAACTATTAAAAATAATAGCTCCTATTTTGTTTAATAATAACTCATATACGCTTAAAGAATGATTATTTCTCAACACAATGCTGTTTTTCCTATCTCATTTGGACACCTACATCCAGAGATATAGACGGTTAATCGAAAGGGATGTTAGGTCAATGTGGTCCAAGTTGCAGCAAAGCGAATAAAAGGAGATTAACTTGTGAGAAATCCTTCTGTTGGACAACCTACCTGTTGCCCTTTTCAATCAATAATGAGTTGGAACAACCTCAACTATGCTCCAATGATTATGTAAACGAGTTACATAATCATGTAGATTCCAACTAAATATTCAAAGGTCTTTTATTTTCCGTTTGCAAACTTATGGTTGACATATTTTCCTCTAGGAAGATGGCAACTTCTGAGAAGGCCCCCTCGTCTGAACAGCAGGTCCGACTCATAACATGGTACATACCCCGCTCTACTTCCACCGTTCTGTCCAGATGCCTTAGCTCCGTCGTAGACACGAAGGTTTTCCTGGAAATGTTTGGAAACGTCTCGCTACTGCATGCGGAGAAAACAGAAGACGGAGCACCTAACGTCTCTAAAACCGAGCAGGGCTTGAACGCATTCATGGAGGAAGCCTCGAAGGTGACAGGCATATCGGCAGGGATTGATGCGTCCCAGGGCACCTACCAATGGGTCAAGGAGCAATTTGAAGAAGCCCATCCTGGCAAGAGGTTCATCTTCGCCAAGGATGTAGCATATGCCATCACGGGCCACCTGGAGTGCATCCCAAAGGGTTACCGTCACCTCTTCCTCATCCGTCACCCCCTTAAAGTCTTCGTGTCTATGAAGAAGTTGCTCCTGCAGTCATTGAAGGATGTGTCTCCGGAGGAGGTACGCCTAGATGAGATGCCTCTGAACTACCTCCCGAAAGGTTTCGGCTACAAGGAGACCTTGGAGCTGTTTGAGCACATCAAGAAGGAGATCGACCCAGAAGCGATGATCGTCGACTCTGATGACCTTCTTCAAGATCCTAAAGGAATCCTGTCAGCAGTCCTCAAAGACATCGGGCTGCCCTTTGATGAGAAGATGCTACACTGGGAGTCTGGGGATACAGTCAACAAGGATTGGGTCATACCTCGTGAGATGTTACAAGCAAACACTATGGCAAATTTCTACAAGAATGCACTGGATAGTACCAGCTTTCTGAAGCCAAAGGCTCTTCCGGATCGCGCATCCATTGCCCCTGACATCCTTCGTGTAGTAGATGCCTCCATGCCGTACTACGAGAAAATGTACAGCCAGCGCTTATCGGCATAGTCTTTGATAATGACGAAGGGGCCTTTTAAGAGATAACAACACAATAAGCCCAGAGCTGATCCCACAGCTCATACTAAATTGTATTCACTTGATGCAGAATGATTAAGAAGTTTGTATAGTACAAGCTGAAGCACTAAAGTAACGATGATTGTACTTCTTATGGGAAGCGTCTTTTAGGAGGCACCGTATTTGGAACATTGCCCAACTTCTTTTATGAATGTATAACGTGCGGTGTATGTACACGCGAAATCGTCCTTTTCCAGTCTGTACACGGCAAAGTGTGAGTATCGTGTAGATCGATTTGTGCACGAAAACTAACCTTTTTACTTAGGAAGACCAGATTTTGTAATTGATGTACACTCATTTCATTGTGTATATCCCTGTCACTATAATGGTGAAAGTTTCAGTTTTTAGTATGTCACTAAAAGGAGTGATGTAGAGGTGAATTTGTACCATCTTAATCCGAAAAGTTTCACGTGCTGATCATGTAGCTCTAAACTGTTTCGCGTTTACTTGGCGGCTGCTTTATGTTTTACATTTGCGTTTCGATCTTTGCCTCGAATACCGTACTTCGTAGGTATATGTGTCTAGTGTATTCTGGAAGGCAGAGACTACACAATCGTAGACTGACCTGATGTTCGGGGAACTTTATAGCAGTTAGAACTTACACTTGGAACTAAGAGCTTTAAAGTAGCTAAAAATGTACACTTGGAATTAAGAATTTTATAGCAGCTACAACTTTACACTTAGAATTAAGAACGTTTTAGCAGTTAGAACTTACACTTGGAATTAAGAACTGTAATAGCAGCTATAATTACGTTACACGTGGAATTAAGAACTTTATAGCAGCTAGAACTTTACACTTGGAATTAAGAACTTTATAGCAGCTAGAACTTTACACTTGGAATTAAGAAATCTACAGCAGCTTGAACTTTACACTTGGAATTAAGAAATCTACAGCAGCTTGAACTTTACACTTGGAATTAAGAACGTTATAGCAGCAAGAACTTTACACTTGGAATTAAGAAATGTTTAGCAGCTAGAACTTTACGCTTGGAATTAAGAACGTTATAGCAGCTAGAACTTTACACTTGAAATTAAGAACGTTATAGCAGCTAGAACTTTACACTTGGAATTAAGAACTTTATAGCAGCCAGAGCTTTACACTTGGAATTAAGAACTGTATAGCAGCTAGAACCGTATAGAAACTTTAACTATTAGAAAACAAAACTATTTGAAACTTTACTTTATAACTTCACAAAAAAATTGCTTTATAAACTTAGATATTCGACTTAGATCTTGCAGAGATTGAATCTTGTTTATCATATTTTTACACTAGTTTTGTGAGCCTAAATTTAGATTTAATGTCAATAGCCAGAAATATTGTAAAGTCTTTGTGAATTAACAAGTACCAGAATATAATAGCTGGTGACGTTCGTAAAAAAACCCAGAAACTTTAATCACGATTAACATTGTTTTCGCTCGGTTGAAGAAACGTATCAAAAGTTTTGCTTTTGGTTGCGTTGGTGATGTACACCGACCAATCGTGGCTAATTAGTTTGTTTACTACGTATGCAGGCGGTGAAATCAGGTCTAGGTCACCGCGTGATCGTTATATGATTATTCATTACTTCGAAACCACTGCGCGCTGTAATGGACCGATCCAGTAAATAAGCCACCGCCCCATGGTGTTCTGACCAATCACAGCCGTGATTTATGTCCGACGTGCGTGCACAAAAGTCCGACATGCGTGCACGCGCGTATGATGCGCGCGGCAGGAAAATGCAGCGTGGCATTGGAGAGGAGCACGTGTTAATTAGCCCACGTGCGCACTGGGCGGAGCTTACTGGATCGGTCCATTGGCTGCATGTAAATGAAGTGATGATATCATAGCTCATTAACTTTTGTCACCTAGCCCGTGCGTAGTTATTGTAATGCTCGATCCATAGGTCAAGGCAGTGAAATTATGAACACTCTGCTCAAGAATAATTTTGATATGCAGTTTTGCTCATGAATATGTTATTGCTAATTTAGCGAATTTTACCGCACGACTCCGGAGAAGATTGGACAAACATCAACCTCGTCCCCAGTGCTTACTTTATTTCCAACCGCGTTTCCAATAGTAAACCCTGGATAGGAAACTTTCTTACTGTATCCTGATTGGATACCGCAATTGGCTAGTAATGAATTTTTATCGTGTACTTGGTGCTATATTATTCACAACGTGCAGTACGTGTTTTCGCGATCATTCATCCACGCCTTCTCGAAAATACTAATTTCCTTTCCAGTTTGTTCATATTAAAATGAAATGTGATACTGCATGTTGTCTCGATAAGATCGTAACAGTTTAATTTAAAAAATCGTATTTTCGTAACTCACGCCGTGCTCGTGCTGCGACGAATTGACTCTGTTTTTACCCCAGACACCGCATACAAAAACAAACGCTAATGTAAAGCATATCCAAGGCACCACACTATTCCTCATTTGCATACGTGTGCAAAAATCTTGCACATGCAAATGATCCAATACCAGGGTGAGAGAGCAGGTAGTGATGGGCGCGTACTGTTCGACACCCTGGGGACGAGGTTGGACAAACATATTTTCAAAAAGTGGCTGGATGAGGTGGTTCAAAGACTGTTTCACGAACTAACAAAATCATACACAAACAGCCGTCGTAAATGCTGTTATCATCCTCGTCCAAGATGTTTGGATTATGTGTGAAACGTTGCTCAGCTAAACGCCATGTTTCTTGCAATCGATCGTAAGTTTAGTGCGCAGTGCGCGCTGCGCCACTATAGTCTAATCGGTTGCATGACACAGCTCGAATGATAAAGCAGTGTTTTAAACGGTTAACTCAACAGGTAAATTGTTATCAGTGTGTCGAGTTCAAAGTCGAAAGAGGTTTTTTATCGAGTGAAGACTTACTTTGACCAATGTCAAAGTCCAATGTCCACGACAGTGAATACAGATTGATGGTGATAATAAAATGGAGATTATGAAATAGTTATTGAAACTGAGTCGTGCAAAAACCATAAAGGCTGTGTGCCACAATCAAGTGTGAATTAACAGCCAGATTTCATTTGCTGTGCTTTTTCGGTTCAAATCAACTTTTGGTTTGCAAAGAAGTTTCATTCAACAACGGGAGGACAAGGTAATACATGTTCGTGAGTAACTTTGTAAAATGTTTCTCTTTCAAAGGACCGTAACGTTATACTTTTGTCCGAGTAACTCGGACCTTACTTGTTGCCCTTCTTAATATTAAGACATACGATCTGGCGTATGCTTAACGATAACGACCCTACAACAACTTCAGATCTCACCCTCAAAACGACCGCAAAATTAGGATACGCTAATTTAACTGTACAACGTTTGTTTTCGCGCGCCGTGACCACAACAACAGCGACATGCGCTAGAGGGAGCCCTCAGAATTGAACGGTAAAATTTCACTTTTTACCCAGTCGTATATTAAGTAAACCTTAGTACCTCGATCTGAATTCCCGATCTCTGCTTGTTTCAAGGATACAGGAGCCAAGTTTACCAAATCAATTTCCTACTTTGGAACTTAGGAAGAACATGTTGGGGTCCCGTGCCTCGTCCTACTTGTTCGCTTGTGTTTTATTTTCCGTTTGCGATTTTATGGTTGACATGTTTGCATCTAGGAAGATGGCAACTTTTGAGAAGGCCCCCTCGCCTGAACAGCAGGTCCGACTTATAACATGGTACATACCCCGCTCTACCTCCACCGTTCTGTCCAAGTGCCTTGGCTCCGTCGAAGACACGAAGGTTTTCCTGGGAATGTTTGGAAACGCCATGCAACATGATGCGGAGAAGACAGAAGACGGAGCGGTTAACGTCTCTGAAATCGGGCAGAGGTTAAACGCATTCTTTGAGGTGACTGACGTATCGGGGATTGATGCGTCTCAGTTTACATACCAGCGGATCAAGGAGCAATTGGAGGAAGCCCATCCTGAGAAGAGGTTCATCTTCGCCAAAGACATAGCATTTGCAATCACGGGCCACCCGGAGTTCATCCCGAGAGGTTACCGTCACCTCTTCCTCATCCGTCACCCCCTTAAAGTCTTCGTGTCTATAAAGAAGGTGCTCATGCAGATAGTGAAGGATGTGTCTCCGGAGGAGTTACGCATAGATGAGCTGCCTCCGAACTTCCTCCCGAAAGGTTTCGGCTACAAGGAGACCTTCGAGCTGTTTGAGCACATCAAGAAGGAGATCGACCCAGAAGCGATGATCGTCGACTCTGATGACCTTCTCCAAGATCCTAAAGGAATCCTGTCAGCAGTCCTCAAAGACATCGGGCTGCCCTTTGATGAGAAGATGCTACACTGGGAGTCTGGTGATGCAGTCAACAAGGATTGGGTCATACCTCGTGAGGTCTTACAAGCGGACACTAAGGTAAATTTCTACAAGAAGGCACTGGACAGTACCTGCTTTCAGAAGCCCAATGCTCTTCCAGATCGCGCGTCCATTTCCCCTGACATCCTTCGTGTAGTAGATGCCTCCATGCCGTACTACGAGAAGATGTACAGCCAGCGCTTATCGCCATAGTCTTTGATAATTATGAAGGGGCCTTAAAGAGATTACAACACAATAAGCCCAAAGCTGATCCCACAGCTCATACTAAGTTGTATTCACTTGATTCAGAATAATTTTAAGAAGTTCGTATAGTACAAGCTGTAGCACTAACGTAATAATTTGTGCTTATGTAGGGAAGCGTCTTTTAGGAGGCACCGTATTTGGAACTTCTTAGTAGGTATATTCTGGTACTACAGAGTCCACACAGTCGTACACTGACCTGAGGTTCGGGGAACTTTATAGCATTTAGAACTTACACTTGGAATTAAGAACTTTATAGCAGTTAAAACTTTACACTTGGAATTAAGAACTTTAAAGCAGCTACTTCTTTACACTTAAGCTTGAGAACTTTATAGCGGTTAGAACTAATTACACTTGGAATTAAGAACCTAATAGCAGATAGAATTTACACTTGGAATTAAGAACTATAGCATCTAGAACCTTACACTTGGAATTAAGAACTTTATAGCAGTTAGAACTTTACGTTTGGAATTAGGAACTAAATGGCAGCTAGAACTTTATAGAAGCTTTAACTTTTGGACTACTAAAAACTATTTGACACTTTACTTTTTAACTTTATAAGAAATTTACTTCACAAACTCAGAAATTCGACTTCGAGCTTGTTGAGATTGAATCTTGTTTATGTAGCACTGTGAGCCTAAATTGAGATTTATGTCAAAAACCAGAAAAATTGTAATTTCTCGGTGAATTAACAAGTACAAGAGAACAGGAGATCACATGTCAACAGAACTGGTGTCGTTCGGAAAAAATGAAACTTTATACACGATCAACACTGTTTTGTTTTCGCTCGGTTGAGAAAACGTGTCAAGAGTTTTGTTAAAAGACAAACGGATTTATCAGAATTGTCCTCGACAGGATGTCAGAGGTGCAAAAGTTCTGTCAACTTTTTCTGATTCATCTATATGTCACAAATGGCCTCCCTTATGAAATGGTCAGAACTTATTATTTGATAGGATCATTTGCATTTACCCCTAAATTTGATAGGATCATTTGCATTTACCCCTAAAGTGACCAACCAATTACCAAAAAGCTTAGAGCATACTTGGAATAAAGATTGTCTCAGGTACTAAACACTCTGTAAAATCAAGAAATGTAGGTGATTTCCAACGATCAGTCAATTGACTGATTTTTTTTGGAAATAAAGAGTGATATCGACGAAAGCGTGTTTCGTGATCGAAATGTTGTGCGTGGTTTTTCACTTTTTTTCTCGAAAAGTGTAATGTCCACTGAGCTAGCTGAAACTTTAAAAGCTAAGTCATAGGTTTTGAACATTTTTCTTTGGATTTTGAGTGGTGTTATTGGAAATGAACACAATCCATAAAAAACAAATGATATGCAACCCCATTGTGAACCCCCAAAATTTAACATTTATGGGTATGGTGTGCTGTGATATGCCCGTTGAACGTATTTGAGTCCATCGTACCAATAAAGTTTCAGACTCGTACGATTCAAAATAAACACAAAACATGTTTACAGAAGCACTATCATCATTATTTTTGTAGAAATTTATTATGGAATTTGAACTTCTAGAAAGGTCAAGGGCTTATTATATAAAAGAAATAGCGTGATTTTTGGGGAGTACTTTTATTTGTGTAGTGAACGGAGTCCAGAGCAACGTTAATAGTCGGTGCAAATAAACCTGGCTGTTTGTGAAAAACTCGTCTGTGAAAACTGACGTTCAAGGCACTGAAAGGTAAGTTTGTACGTGTTCTACATAACCTTCGAGGAGCGACACACAAAGGGAGAACAACAGTTAATTCCTTTCAGTCCTCTTAGTTGTGTCTTTTGTTGGAAACGGTCCTCTGTAGTAAGTTTGTGTGCTTAGTCTATGGGAGAGTGTTATAATACAGGGACAGAGAGCAACACAAAGAATAGTCCTCGAGAGTATAGTAATTAAAACACGACTGCGTGCGGAATGATGTGCCACGTGAACCAAAGACAACCGAGCACGTTTATCACTGTATACTCACGGAGGCCCCCTTCTATGGCGAAAGCATTGTGCTAGCTATTGTTCAGATAATCCGCCATGGGGCAGTTGCTTTGTACAGTAGCTAACACAATGCTTTCGCCATTAAAGAGGGCCTCTGTGAATTTATTCACGGAATTGTCTAGAAGATTTGACAGACGTGTGACAGCACCATCCAAAACTACAACGGGTTTTTTTTCCTCGTAAAGCTTTCAATGTTGAACGAAGGTATTGACGAGTGGGGTTTGAGCTTGCGACCTCCGGATTGCCGTTCCGGTGCTCTACCAACTGAGCTATCCATGTTTGATTTTGTCAAGGTTTTTGTTCATGGGGCGCCAGTCAGAAGCCATGAACCTGTTTATGCCATGTAGCCAGGGATCACGCCCAAAGACAGCAATATGCTGCAAACCTAGAAAATAGCAAACAGAAATCACTCAGTGTTTTAAGAACATTAAGGTCTGATTGTTGTATCTTGTATTTGTATCACTGCCTAATAGCAACCTGAACCGGAGTACCACGTGACTTTATGGACCCAATAAGCAACTTCAGAATTGTGTAATCTTGCTTTTAGAATGAAGTACCTACTTATATGCGCATTCGGTCTCGTGACCGTGGCGTCAGCTTTGCCCCTGACGTCACTTCAGCAAGATTTCGTCGAGTATTCTGCAGATCTTATCAACCGGATTAACGCCATGAACACGAGTTGGAAGGTAAAGACTTTTTAATGTGGCACGCACACATACACGCTTAATGTTTTCAATTGTTTACGTCATGTTTAAGCTAAAGCACGCATGCTCAGTATGACGCAAACAATGGCGAAAGGACCGGTGTGTTTGCTGCCACCAACGTCTCAAAAGTCCCCAACAGAAGATTTTTTACTGGTCCCCGCGGGCCAGCCTATCCTCTTTGTACCTATCTCACTGACCAACTCCCTCATAGGTTCTTTATAATTGTCTATGAACTCACTGATGCACGAACTGACTGTCACGTGTGAGCTGGGCAGTATAGGAGTACCCTGTGACGATCATGAATGGGCTAAATCCGGCTCATTGTGTAGACCAGATGCTTGAAAAGCCATTCAGAATCAATATAAAATTATGTGCGCTCTGTGACCAGCTTTAATAGGCTTGCCTTGTTTTGTTTTGTTGCCACCAACTTTATGTAGGCAGGACCGAATTTTGCCGGTGAGACCGTCGGGTCAGTGCTGAGTCGTTTTGGCCCGGTCGGGGCAGAGTTTTCACCGGCGGAGGAGAAGCCAGTGCTCCCGGTAACTGACGATGATACCGACATACCGACGGAGTTTGACGCCCGTACCAAGTGGCCCCAGTGCCCCTCCATCGGCCGTATCACCGACCAAGGGCGCTGCAATGCATACTGGGTAGGTTTATTATCCAACACGTGGTCTGTTACCCTCCCTCACAGTCATGTACACATCCTTGTGCGGAGAGAGGCAATTGTATAGAACGTGTAAACTGTCTTGCCCAAGAACACAAGCACCATGTTCCCTGTCGGGGATCGACCCACATACCTTCGCAAATGAGTCAGACATCATAACCACTTGATCACAGAAACCCAATTGCTATTAAAGTCATTTTTTCTTAAGCGTGCAAATTAACAAAATTGGTAGCTAGAGGTTCAACCCCGATGTACCCGGTAAAACCTCATAAAACCTCATGAAACTCCGAGCTTTAAACCTCGAGTTACCACCTGTTTAACTTCGCATTCTCTCCTCATCTCCCTGTGATTTCCCGCCAGGCTTTTGCTGCTGTCGAGGTGATCAACGACAGATACTGCATCTCTCAGGGCGTGCACGTCAACATATCGGTGGAGGACGCCTTGACCTGCAATCCGTACATCGTTCCAAATCGTGGGTAAAGTAAAAACGTCCTTGGATCAAGCTTTACGTTTCTGGAACCCTCGCGCCCGCCTAACATGTTTGGTTCGACGCAATTCTGGAAAGTCAGTTTGAAATGGATGTACTATTGTTACGTCAGTCCGGTGTGGTGGGACATTTGGAGTCTGGTTATAATGCGTTTGCTTTTATGGTGAACATAATCTGGAAAGTGTTATAGGTCACGTGTGAGGTTTCGAGTCCAAGTATACCAAATTTCATAGGAGTCCAAATTTATGGCACCCGTCTACCACAACCTTAGAGACTCTTTGGTTATTTTGCGCATACCCTGTAGTGATGAAGGTACATTGGCAAACACGTGTGAGGGTTTACCCGGAATCTGGATCATATTTTGACCCGATACCATAAAAAAAATCACTTTTGCCAAGGTTATCACGTCGAAATGACCTGGACAATGATCCACAGAAGTGTCACCTTGACCCAGATAAGCGTTATTCTGATCTTGATCGACAGTACATGGATCAGGTAAAATATGACTCGGATTCCAGGTCCAACATAACCTGAGACGTTTCAGGCTCAAAATGATACTTTCATGAAGGTTACCTGGTCAAGATGACTCGGAAAACGATCCAGAGAAGTGAGAAGTGACATTCTGACCCGAAAAGGTGGCGTTTTAACTTTGCATCAATTTAAATATGACTCGGATTCCGGGTCCAATAATAACCTGACACGTTTCAGGGTCAAAATGAAACGTTTATTGAGGTTACCTGCTCAAAATGACTCGAGAAATGATCTAACGGGCGTGAAAAGTGGGCTTTTGACCCAAAATGGTGTCAGTGACTCTCATGGTATCAGATCAAACATGACTCGGATTCGGGGTCCAATATAAGCTGACACGTTTCATGGCCAAAATGACACTTTTATCGAGGTTACCATGTCCAAAATGACTCGGAAAATGATCCAGAGAAGTGAGGAGTGACATTCTGACCCGAAAAAGTGTCATATTGACTTGAAAGTATCAGGTCAAATATGACTCAGGTTCGGGTCCAATATGACCCGAGGCGTTTAAAAGAGTGTACAGCATAACCAATTAACCCCAAGTTGAATTTCCCATTGTCTTTTGTTGGTCTTGTGAAGTTGTCAAGCAGCGAGCAGCCCGTATTTGGTCCTGAAAACGTGGGCGGAGAATGGACTAGTCACCGGCGGGGCTTACGACAGCAACGCGGGCTGCCGTCCCTACCCGTACAAACCCTGCACTCACTACGAGAATGGGACGTACAGCCCTTGTCAGCGGCCGCCGGAGTTCACCTTTTGCAACAAGAGCTGCCGGGCTGGTTATCCGAATGACTACGAGCAGGACAAACACTATGGTGAGATCACCTTTAATCGTTCGATCCATTAAGCTCCGCCCCATGGTGATTTGACCAATCACAGCTGTTATTGATGTTGTGGTTGCCCAACGTGCGCAGTGGGCGGAGATTAATTAATCGAATGAAGGGTTTTATCAACCTTGTCCCCAGGGCTTACTTTATTTTCAACCTCGTTTCCAAGAGTAAGCTCTGGAATGGAAACTTGCTTCCTGTATCCTGATTCGATATCGCAATTAGCATGAAACTTGAATTGTATCGTGTACTTGGTGTGTTACGTGTATTTAATACGTGTTTCACTTTCATTGTAATTATTACTCCCGCACCTTCTCAAACATAATTCTTTTCTTTTCAATTTGCTCGTAAATTATGAAAAGTGATACTGCATATTTGCTGGATAAGATTGTAACATTTTACCTTTGAAAAAAAATCGTGTTTTCGTAATTAACGCCGCGACGAATTGATTCTGTTTTTACAACAGACACCACATACAAAAGGCAAATTAACGCTGATGTAAAGCACAGGCAGGCACCAGACTATTCCTCATTTGCATACGTTTAAAAAAATAGATATGCAAATGATCCAATACCAGGGTGAAAGAGTGGGTAGTGGTGGGAGCGTACTGCTCGACACCATGGGAACGAGGTTGAACGTTTTGTGTGCTCTGGCCATAGAGCTATATTAAATTAGCTCTATGGCTCTGGCACAAACTTGACCAGACTTAATTGCCTAATTTTTTTTTCGCATGCAGGTTCATATTATTCGGTGGCCCAATCCGAGGCGAGCATTCAGAGAGAGATCATGACAAATGGATCAGTGACGTCATACATCGTTTATTACCAGGATTTTCCCCTTTATCGTTCAGGTAATTATAATTAGTATTTTTTTTTGACAATTTATGAGGCTAGACACCTTCCGACTCTAGGGCGTTGTCTAAACAATGCATATACACCACTGATGTTTTTTTTTAAGACTGGATTGCGTACAGAAAGCCGCAAAAGAAAGTCATTTGGAGCTATCGGAGAGACCGGCTGGTGATCTACAAAGGACAAGTTGCCGTACGTCTTTATAGGCAGTTGTGATTCACTTTTGTATTAACATCGTGGTTCACCGGGGCCCAATTCAATAACACTGCTTAACAGTAAGCAAACAAGTTGTGCTTACTATAGCAGAAAATCATGCTGCTGCTTAAGCACTATTTCATGCTAACAGTTGCGCGCGCATGGATATTTTCACTGATTTAAGCAAAGTTTTCTTCTATGGGGTTAAGCGTGCTTTTGCTGTGCTTACTGCTTAACGGTCCCTATGAAATAGATGGAGGCTCGGTAAGCACGAAGTCGGCTGTTAAGCAGCGCTATGGTTTACCTTTTCTCCACCACCGCGGTCAGTGACGGTTCAACATTTTTCAAACGTCGTGGTTTACTTTTTGAGACTTTGGAAATAGAATACGAGTTGGCTTTTCTTTCCCCTTATTGACTTACTCGCATGCGCAGGTGTTTATCGGCACACATCGGATTTACTCGTCGGTAGTTATTCGCTGAAGATCCTCGGCTGGGGCGTGGAAGGCGATCAGAAATATTGGCTGTGTGCCAGCTCTTGGAACACCGAGTGCGGTGACAAAGGTAAAACAATAGACCGACCCCATTAAGCCCCGCCCCACTGCTTTGACCAATCACAGCCGTGATTTATGTCCTGAATGCGTGCACAAAAGTCTGATACGCGTGCACGCGCGTATGCCGCGCGCGGCTAGAATATGCAGCCTGGCATTGGAGAAGTGCCTTTATATAGAATTCTATATCTATGGAGATGCGCACAAGGTGTTGACCACGCGCAGTGGGCGGGGCCTATATGGGTCAATCTATTTTGAGGGCTGAGTAATCTTAAGGTGGAACCAAAAATTAGGAAATATGAGTTAGAAATATCCAACTTCGAAATATGTACATGATAAAAACAGTACTGATCAAATTGTTTTGTTTTTCTCCAAAAAGGATTTATCAAAGTTCTCCGTGGAGTGAATGAATGCCGGATCGAGGAGAGCGTAAAAGCGGGAACTCCGGTAAAGCCATGAATTTAGCGGAAATTTGCTAGCGGAACTTTTAACTGCAATTTCAAAAGACAAACATCGGAAACCTGCCATGTTTCTACCAATAACGACAGTTTAAAATTGTGAGAACTGATCAGTTAGATAATGATTATTATTATTGTTATTAAAGTGACTTTTTTTAGCGTCTCACAAAATGCTGTAGTCGACTGTAATTTGAATTTCAAAAAAAAGAAAAATCTGAAATTGGACTGCAAATAATTATTTCTCAATGGTTTTCAAAAAAGTTTTCTTAAATTTGAAGAGAAATTAAATTGAATGATTGGCTTGAAAAATTAAGCAATAATAATAATTATATTGATATAATTTACATTCATAAACACCTGAAACTGTTGACCCATTCCTATTGGTCGAGAGCCCGTCACGTGGGTGGTTTTAAACCGCTGTTTAAAACACCGCTGAGAAGTGTTTACAACCGGCCAGAATAATACAGGTGGCCCCTGAATCAGGACAATAAATTTTAGCAGTTTAACAAAATGTACGGTCCCGACTCTTAGCTCTTCAAGGGAAAAAAAACATGTATGTCTTTGGCCCCCCCCCCCAAAAAAAAAACATTTTATGGAAGTTTTAACAATACTGTGATATGCCCTTTGTACGTATTTGAGTCCATCGTACCGTACCAATAGAGTTCCAGACTCGAACGATTCAAAATAAACACGAATCCTGTTTACAGAAGCACTATCATTTTTTGTTGAAATTTATCATGGAATTTGAACTTCTAGAGGGTTAAGGGCCTAATATATAAAAGAAATAGTGTGATTATGGTGGAGATTTAGCTGTGTAGTGGACGGAGTCCAGAGCAACGTTTGCCGTTAATAGTCGGTGCAAATGAACCTGGCCCTTTTGGAAAAATTTTCTGTGAAAACTGACGTTCAAGGCACTGAAAGGTAAGTGTGCGAAATATTGTGCAACGTGAACCAAAGACCACCGAGCGCGTTATCACTGTATACTCACGGAGGCCCCCTTCCATGGCGAAAGCATTGTGTTAGCTATTGTTCAGATAATCCGCCATTGGGCAGTTGCTTTGTGCAATAGCTGGCACAATGCTTGCGCCATTAAAGGGGGCCTCTGTAAATTTATGCTCGGAATGATCTATAAAAGCTTTGAGAGTTTGACACTGATTATAAGCACCATCAAAAACCACACAGTTTTTCCCGTAAAGTTTACAAAGATGAACGATGGCACTGACGAGTGGGGTTTTAGCCTGCGACCTCCAGATTGCCGTACCTGTGCTCTACCAACTGAGCTATCCAGCCCGATGTTGGCGGTTCACAATTTTGTTTAAGTTTTTGTTCATATGGGGCGCTAGTTAGAAGCCATAAACCTGTATTTGCCTTATAGCCAGGGATCACGCCCAAAGTCACGATACTAGCAACATTAGCAATGCTAGCTGCAAACCTGCGAAAAAGCAAACATGGATCATTCAATGCTTTTGACACTTGACCTGACTTTGTGATCACACTATGTATAGTGGCCCTGCCTACAGCAACCCGAACCGGAGTACCACTTAATGGACCCCATAATCAGCACCTTCAGAATTTTGTAATCTTGCTTTTAGAATGAAGTACCTACTTATATGCGCATTCGGTCTCGTGACCGTGGCGTCAGCTTTGCCCATGACGTCACTTCAGCAAGATTTCGTCGAGTATTCTGCAGATCTTATCAACCGGATTAACGCCATGAACACAAGTTGGAAGGTAAAGACTTGACGCTTTTAATAGACCTTTATCATGCTGCCACCATTTCAGTCATGTTCCCTGTATCCAATAACAGTACTGAATGATAATGGGGTTTTTTTGCAAAAAGGAACCAGACTTTTTTTTCCTTCCAGCCTAGCCTTGGTTACGTTGATTTGAATGGGGAAAAAAAACAAGATGGCCGCAACATGCTAATTGTCCATGTGGTGCGCTCGCATACAAGCTCAATTGGAGACTTTTGAGACGTTAGTGGCAGCAAACACACCGGTCCTTTTTAATCGTTTACGCTATGTTTAAGCTAAAGCACGCATGCTCAACGGTAACGCAAACAATTAATGGCGAAAGGACCGGTGTGTTTGCTGCCACCAACGTCTCAAACGTCCCCTAACAGAAGATTTTTTTTACTGGTCCAAGCGGGCAAACCTAGAGTCCTCTTTGTACCTGACCAAACTGACCAAATCATAATGCACGGACTGACTGTCACGTGTAAGTTGGGCAGTGCTGTCGTATAGGAGTACCCTGTGACGGTCATGAATAGGCTAAATCTGGCTCATTGTGTAGACCAGATGCTATGCATGAACATACTTCTAATAGCTATTCTAAATCAGTCTATAATTCTGCGCGCTAGACGTGTGACCAGCTTTCATAGACTTGCCTTGCTTTTTTTCTTCAACTGTATGTAGGCAGGCCCGAACTTTGCCGGTGAGACCGTAGGGTCGGTGCTGAGTCGTTTTGGCCCGGTCGGGGCAGAGTTTTTACCGGCGGAGGAGAAGCCAATGCTCCCGGTTACCGACGATGATACCGACATACCGACGGAGTTTGACGCCCGTACCAAGTGGCCCCAGTGCCCCTCCATCGGCCGTATCTCCGACCAAGGGCGCTGCAATGCATACTGGGTAGGTTTATTATCCAACACGTGGTCTTTTACTCTCACATTTGCTCATTTAAACTCCTTGGCGGAAAGAGGCTGCTGAAGTTCATGTACGTATAAAATGTCTTGCCCAAGAACACAAGCACCGTGTTCCCTAGGGATCGAACCAACCTACCTTCGCACATGAGTCAAATATCATAACCATGCCACAGCAACCCACTTGCTTGAAGTCACCCGTTTCTTCAACGTGCAATTTTCAAAAGTGGTAACTCGAGGTTTATCACCGGAGGTCCCCTAGGCCTTAAAGCCCCATAAAACCTCATAAAACCTCGAGGTAACCCGCCGAGGTGAACTTCGAGATACATACGGCACCTCAAGGTAAACCTCGAGTTACCACCTGTTTAATCTCGCATTTTCTCCTCATCTCCCTGTGATTTCCCGCCAGGCTTTTACTGCTGTCGAGGTGATCAACGACAGATACTGCATCTCCCACGGCGTACACGTCAACATATCGGCGGAGGACGCCTTGACCTGCAATCCGTATATCGTTGAAAATCGTGGGTAAAGTAAATTCTTCCTTGGCGTTTCTCGAACCCTCGCCCTGAATGTATCATGTCATAATACTCGGAAAATGAACCACAGAAGTGTAATTCCTCCCGGAAAGTGTGATCTTGACGCTGAAAGTATCAAGTTGAAATAGATGACTCGGATTCTGGTTCCAATCTGAATATCTGACTCGGGACTTTTCAAAGTGTCGAGAGCAAAACCCAAATGTTAAATTTTCCGTTATCTGTTGTCCGTCTTGCCCAGTTGCCTCTACGGTAGCCCGTACATGGGCCTGAAGGCGTGGGAGGAAACTGGATTAGTCACCGGCGGGGCTTACGACAGCAACGCTGGCTGCCGTCCCTACCCGTACAAACCCTGCACTCACTACGAGAATGGGACGTACGGCCCTTGTCCGGAGCCACCGGAGAAGGTCTCCTGCGACAAGAGCTGCCGGGCTGGCTACCCGAAGGAATACGAGCAGGACAAACACTATGGTGAGGTCACCTTAATAGGCCGATACATTAAGCTCCGCCCCATGGTGTTTTGACCAATCACAGGCTTTATTCACAGCTGTGAGTGATGTTCGACGCACGCGCGCGCCTGGGACACGCAGTTTGGCATTGGAGAGGCATTGTTGCTACGTCACTGCGCATGTAGCCCACGTGCGCATGGGCGGGACTTAATTGATTGGATTAAGAATTCTGTGTGCTCGTCACTCGATGGCTCGTACTACGCGTCAGAGCACAAACTTTACTAAACTTGCATTGTCTGGGTTTTTTCGCATGCAGGTTCGTTTTATCCGGTGGCCCAATCCGAGACGAGCATTCAGAAAGAGATTATGGCAAATGGATCCGTTACGTCATACATCGTGACTTTCCAGGATTTCCCCCTTTATCGTACAGGTGAGAACTTGCTAATTAGTTTTAACAAGACTGGGTGCTTTCTGACTGTAGGGGGCGTGGTCTGAACATACATAAATTTATAGACACATTTCAGAATCAGAACGTAGCCTGACGCACCTTAGTCTATCCCCTTGCACAGCAAGGGTCTATATGTGATATGCGAGCAGACTTCGCGATTAATTATGAAAAACAAGACTGCGTCTTGACCTCCAGATTCTGACCATTCAGCGAGCGCCTTCAATATCGTGCCTTCCGATCCGAAACCCGTTGTTGTATTACAAAAGCACAGCGTCATTACTGACTATTCGACAGCTTATCTGAACGAAACGACGTCACAGTTTCTTAAGTCGACTCCGATTGGCTGTCGCGCGGGGTTGCATAAAATGTGCATGATGTTGGGATATATTAGACCACGTTCGACCGTGGCTCTGCACACGTGAATTTTTCATCAGACTAGACGCGCCTAAGCTTTTACGTTTTGTTCACTTCTGGCAATAAAACGCTGCGTCCTAAACCCGACATGTTAAGCCAACGTCACACAATTTAGGCCATCATGGAGGTGCGGTCTTTTTGTTCCATGATCTCTTATGTCTTTAATCTGGGGGGGGGGGGGACCAAGGGGTTCGATACCTAATGGCTTGTGTGCTGGGTCAATGTTGTATACCCCGAGAATATTCTTGCGTTTATCATGATAAGAAGTCTGCTCCTAATCTGGCTTCTCTTCTCCATATTAAATTATATTATCTTATGCGCAGGTGTTTATCGGCACACATCGGATAAGGTCACCGGTAGTTTTGCCCTGAAGATCCTCGGCTGGGGCGTGGAAGGCGATCAGAAATATTGGCTGTGTGCCAACTCTTGGAATACCGAATGGGGTGACAAAGGTAAAAACAATAGACCGACCCCATTAAGCCCCGCCCCACCGCTTTGACCAATCACAGCCGTGATTTATGTCCTGAATGCGTGCACAAAAGTCTATTACGCGTGCACGCGCGTATGCCGCGCGCGGCTAGAATATGCAGCCTGGCATTGGCTGTGTGCCAACTCTTGGAACACCGAATGGGGTGACAAAGGTAAAAACAATAGACTGACCCCATTAAGCCCCGCCCCACCGCTTTGACCAATCACAGCCGTGATTTATGTGCAGCACATGCGATCGGACATGCGTTTGCTCGCACACACCGCCCATTATTCGCTCGTACCTCCACCCTGCAAACAGGACGCTGTGAATTGGGCTGATGAATTTACGCTCTGATTGGATAGATTTTGCGTGACCTGTGACCTGCAAGTCATCACGGCCACGACCCTGAAAAGGTGTTAAGCATTCGTTAAGGCTGAGTCGTCACTCTTTAATATTCCCATTTCATAAATGTTTTTTTTTTCGTTGAAATGTAGAAAAATCTGTAAAACTTAAAAGCTATTATAGGGCGTGGCCTAATGGATTGATTTATTTCGAGGGTTGTAATATTTAGTCGAAACCATGCATAAAAGGAACAAAATATGCATGATAAAAAACAGTTTTGATAAACAAATTCTTTTTTTTCCCATAAAGGATTTATCAAAGTTCTCCGTGGAGTGGATGAATGCCTGATCGAGGCGAACGTACAGGCGGGAACTCCAGTAAAGCCTTCAATTTAGCTGAAACCTGATGCTAGCAGAACTGTTACCTGCAATTTTACGAGACAAACATCGGAAACGTTGTGATATTTCTATCACTATTAATTATGATAGAATTACAAAAACAAATTGTAAAGGCTTATCAGTCAGATACTATGATTATTATGATTATTATTATATTTAATTGACGTTATTTATCTTCTCACAAATATTGTAGTCGACTTTAATTTGAATTTCGAAACGAACAATCTAAAATGGGACTGCACTTATCTTTATATGGTTTTCGATTTTTTTTGTCATTTTTGTCATTTTTTGGGTCATTTTTTGAAGAGAAAATAATTTATGATTGGCTTGAAAATTCAATAATAATAATAATATTGATAGAATTTTACAGTAACCGATGACCCTTTATTTCTACTTAGCATTGATCATTTGCTGAAAGATAAAGCACTGAACATTTTATGGAAAATTCTTACGAGACGTATACAAAGCTGGATGCTGGTAAAATCTTTTATTTAGTGCCCTTGCATGACAATTAAGAGCCTCCGTATCTTTTACCTTGCAAACTATAGAGGGCGTGTGTCGTTACTCGTGGTGGAAAAAAAATCAGCTGATTTTTATTTAGATGAGGTGTGTGTGCGGTACGGACCGGACGTTTTGATCGTCAGCTAAATTGCTGCACTGCCAGCAAAACCTCTCACTACTCTCAATCATAACATTAACAGTTTTACTGGAGACCATCTATGTTATCTCATTTTGTCGCCGAGGCAGATGCGGTGATGTGTTGTCCATAAGAATTGGTATGTTAATATTGGCACTTTGGTTGAACTAGGCTATTGTGAACCATGAATGATGTATTAATTATGATTATAAAACTTTTCATGACATGCATGACGATGATGACTGATTAAAAAAAAGTTGATATTCTTCACTTATGAGGTTCAATGATTATGAATGATGGTTTTACGTATTTACTAAAATTTGTAACCTTATAACTCCAGCTCTAATGTGATACATGTATATGCGATAAGCATGATAAGCATTACTTAGAGCTGGAGTTACTCAAGCTACCTTAGACTAGAGTTAGACTCATATTAGCTGATCAGATTCAGAGCAGATATTGTCACAATGATTGTAAGACATGTGTGGACAAATGATATTTAATGTTTGTCTGTTTGTGAATGGTTGCTTATCAGCTTATATTTAATAAATGATAAAATCTTTGTCTTTGACCGTGTTGACATTTGATAAATCAGAAGACTTACATGTACTTGGACTTGGTTTGAGTAATTGCTATGCACCTATCAAATGTTTCCCCCTTTGTAACTTTGTAAGGGCTAAAGAGATAAAAAGAGGCACGTAAAATTAAAGACACAATTGACAAGTAGGCCCTAATGCATGTTTGTAAAAGCATATCAGTGGAATTACCATTACTTGGTATTTACTAGCGTCAGTACTAGTAGTAGTACCCTTATTTTTTTTCAGTCTTTTGAGACTGTGACTTACAGTGCATTTAACAGCAGCTATCGACAATGGATCTTTTGAAATCCATAACGCACCCGGATGAAGTCTACGCCCTGCTGAAGTTCAAATTCGGCGCCGGCCCAACAAAACCAAAACAGGATCATGTAAGTTTGCCTAATGTACAGGTCAAACCTATCGACCAGGAAAGGAAACGTCCATAATGTCTCGTAGTCGTAATAGGGCTGTGCATTTCGAATATTTGAGTATTTGTTTATTCCAGCTTGGACTAGATCCAATTTTCGAAATGCTCTGATAAAATTGGGAGCGCGGCATCCTAAACTGGCTACCAATCTGGATTAGCGTGTGCCTGCACTTGTCAAAAATTGACAAAGAACTTATTAAAACATTATAATAGAAGTAGAAATAGTAAGATGGCTAGTATAATTGGACTGATTTTAATTTTTCTCACGGAATCTCAGAAATTATGCGTGAAAGATACTTTCGACAAAAGTGTCGCCTTGACAAATGATTATAAAAAGCACCTTGTGGACGTTTTTCATCAACTGCATGCTCGAGAACACCGACTATTTTCAAATATTTGAATACAAAAAGCCATTCCGATATTTAGTTCATGATCGAATATGCAAATATTTAGTATATTCAGCACAGCCCTATTCTCTTAATGTGTCAGGGCAGTTTCCGATAAAAGCTGGTCAAATTCCATCTTTCCAACAATGGAGATTTTCCATAGTTACACCAAGTACCAGCATGTTTTGAGAGATTTATGTTTTCCACCACTCGGAGTGTTTTTTTTAAGCCATTAAATGAAAAGTGCTAGTACCAGCACAAGTTTCATTTCCTCGCTATGAATAATACGGGTGCGTGATACCATTTCAAATCTGTGGGGTTTTTATAACACATGTAAACTTTAAAGTGATGAAAATCTGATGATGCAATTCAGGCAAAGAGCTTTCATAAAGGCAAACCGCTTTTTTCAAAATGGACTAGCATGAATGCTTTATTTTGTTTTGCCATCGTGTTGCGTCAAACTCTATGACTAAGGCCAAACAAAAATAATAATCGGTCTCTGGTCAGACTGAAGTTCCGGAATTGATGCGGCGATGCGTTTTTTTTTTGTTTTTTGTTTTTCCCAAGCCTGAATTGTACAGACAAGGTAGGTACTATTTTGCTTTTTTGTGCCCTCATTATACATTGGTGTTCTCCATAATTTGCCTTGGTGCCCTTTATCATTTGCCTTGGTGCAATTTCCCCATTCCTTGGTGCTCCTTGGTACAAAAATTTGAGGAGGTGCGGCAATAGAGGGCGCTGTTGAAGCTTCCGTGTTAATTTGAAGAAAAAAAAAGGTTGACGCGCATGGTTAAAATCGACGCACGCGCTGACCAGAGACCGGAGTATTTTTTTGTTTGGCCTAACATGACTAGACTACTAATTTGAATAAGCACATCCGCACTGTTCAGAACAAGTGTTTATGGTAAACAGTCAGAATAGTAGTATATATATATCGGATATCTGACAATAATTAGTGACCCGAAAAATTAACAAAATAATCACATTAATAATAGTAATTATAATAAAAACACTTATATCTTGAAAGGGTTCCATGAAAAAAAAAACATTTTCAATGTTCCAAAATGGCCGCCAGCTTTAATTTTTGAATGGCTGCCATTTTGACTCAAGAATGACATACCAGCTTTATATGGGCTAGATGCAACATTCAAAGAGGCCACAATGATGTCCCTGTTTAAAATTCATCCTTTTTTTGCTTAAAAAAAAAAGAGGCGGCTTCCAAAAAGGAAGCGGGCGGGGACACTAAACCTTTTTTTTTTTTTTTTTGGCCTCATGGAACATGACAACTGAAGGTTTATGTCATATGTAAATACAAGTGACATAAATTCATCTAATGAACATTGGCGTTAACACGGCTTTGATATTCCACTGTAAATTTCATTTTTCTTTCAGTGATTTTGATGATTTGTATTTTTCACTAATAGGCCTCCATGACCAAAACCGCTAGAAAATGTTACAATTACCTCAACCAGACCAGCAGAAGCTTCGCAGCCGTCATACAAGCGTTGGATGGCGACCTCCGGTAAGAAGCTAAATTTAGAAACGCACTCTGTTATTTATAGATCTAAGAACCTATTTTTAGTGTTTCAATGGGCCATATTAGCGGCCAAGTTTAGCACACAGATTATACCGAACAATGTTATCTTATCAGTGGTCTATTATTCATATTTGCATTGAGTGCGATCAAGGCCTCAGCCAGCACTCCAGAGATAGGGACACAGTTTTTTCAAAAGGAGGCTTTTGTCAAAAGTTGTGGCCCAAATCGGAGAGGCTAAATTTAGGGACTTATTTTGCTCTCTGTACTATAAGGAATTCAATAAATTGTTACAAGTGGTGTGATATTTTAAAGGAATTGTTTATAGTTGGCTTTTGAAAACTGCGTTAGGGCTGAGTTATTACAAATATTTAAAAAAACGAATATTTGGGTTTTATGTGATAAAATATATGGATATTAAATGTTACCAGAAGGAGACTTCTGAGTTGATTGAAATAACAAAAACACCCCCAACATGGCTGCTGTATGCAAAGTGTCCATCATGAATCCCGTCTACTGTTTGTGCACAGACACGCTGTGTGCATCTTTTACCTGGTACTCCGCGCGCTGGACACCGTGGAAGATGACATGACAATCCCCCTCAAGGAGAAGATCCCAATGCTGCAGACGTTCCACGAGAAGTTGGAGGACCCAACTTGGAACTACACCAAGAGCAAGGAGAAAGACCGAATCGTTCTGGAAGACTTCCAGGCGGTATGAGACAAATCACTCTTGATTTCACAAATAAAGTATTTGGTAACAAACTTAAAAGTGAAGTCTGTTACGAGCCTATATGGCCCATCAGGCCGGCGTTTATCTCCGGTTTCCTTGGCATGAAACAACTGAGAATATTTCTACTCCCCCTGGATGGGATGCCAGGCCATCGCAGGTTACTCCCCAGCTAATGCCGGTACCCATTTATACTCCTGGGTGGAGAGAGGAAAGTGGGGGTGAAAATTTCCCAAGGACGCAACACATGGCCAGCAGCTGGATTCAAACCCCTTAGCGTCTGAACATGAGTCACGAACCATCATCAAGCCACACTCCCCATAAATTATTTGAGGGATTCAATTTTCAGCTGTTTCTGTCAAGCAAGCTCACTTTGTCTGGAGAAATTCCATATCTGATAATACATTTGCACTCTTTCACCTAACTTCCCTTGTATATTTGCTTGTAACCTCCCCGAATCCTCTAAAATCCTGTGCAGAAGGCCCATGGTACTTTGTACCTACCAAGTTTCAAGGAGCATCAAACCCCATGTCAAGTAATGGTGGCTAGTTTGTACCTCCCATAATCCTTCAAAATCTTCCAAGGAGGATTATTTTAATGGCAGATGTATACCTCTTTCTTTGTCCAGATAGCGCAAGAGTTCAGAAGTCTCGCAGAGTGCTATCGCGTCGTCATCGCAGACATCTGCAAGAAAATGGGACACGGGATGTGCGAGTTTGCTCAACGAGATGTCTTGACCAACAAAGACTGGGACCTGGTGAGAAATATGCGATGCAGCGTCTTCATTCTTTAACCCTTACCCTACTTGACCCTCCAACGCATGCCAATATGTGCCTCAAGAAAATCTCCTATGTTTTTTGCATGGCCCTCCAATATCTGCCATGTCATTTCAAGGGTAACTGGACAGGCACTCCAATACATGCCACAGAGAACAATGAGAGTCCTCTGATAACAAAGTGAGTGCCCCCAGCTGGTCAGTATCAGGCACCCTCCAGGGCCTCCAACTCCTGCCAATTGGAGCCTTCACTGCTACATCAAAGTATCCTCCAATAAACTGCAGCTGGAGGGCATTGGCATAACCAACTGACATGCAGTAAACTACCCTCAGAGAGTAAGGGTTAACCCTAACTCTCAAGGTCCTTTTAAACGGAAACCTTCTGTGGTATATCAGCTCACAACCAACCTGATGATGTCAAATTCGTTCTCCGTTGACTGATTTTTGAGATGCCTTGAGCATGATGCAGATTCGATGAAATAGTCGGCTTGTTGACTTTTTGGGATTAACTATCAGTATTTTTTTCATTGCATATTCCTCCTCCAGTACTGTCACTACGTGGCGGGTCTCGTAGGCATCGGCCTCTCTCGACTCTTCTCAGCCTCCGAGCTGGAGGACGCCATCGTCGGAGAGGACACCGAGCTGGCTAACTCCATGGGCCTCTTCCTACAGAAGACCAACATCATCCGAGATTATCTTGAGGACAGCCTCGAAGGAAGGGAATTCTGGCCGAAGGAGGTAACTCCTGCCCAGCCTCATTTTTCCTTGTCGGAGGATCAGACATTCACATGTGCAGAGCCACTGTGACACTACAAGCGTTTGATAATACTAATAATAATAATAGCGTGTATTTATAAAGCGCACGTATCCACCAAGACTGGTGCTCAAGGCGCTACATCATTATTACCCTGCTCATTGGGCACATGAAACATTCCAAATACCATCTCAGCTCCCTGGGGAGTATACAGCTTGATGCTGCCTGTTAGGAAGCTATTTCAATCACAATAACCATCTCTGCCCTCACAGGTACCCATTTACTCCTTGGTGGAGAGAAGCAATGAGTGACAAAGTACCTTGCCCAAGGGCACACACACCATGACCCGAGGCTGGACTCGAACCCACAACCTGCAGAATTACCCGCAGACCACGAATCCAATGCCCTTAACCACGAGGCCACAGCACTCCACAAGCGTTTGATATACTTGCATGTAAATTTTATGTGACCCCGTGCCAGCCGAATGGAGCTGGCTTCAGGAATTGTGGTACCATTTAGACTACTAGCTGATATCTGAAACACTTTACAGGACGCAAACTGAAAGGATAAAAATAACATCACAGACTTTGTCTTCATCTTCTCGAGACAGCTCCAATTTGTCTAATATTCAAATTTTATTTAGTAAATTGCTTTTTAGATATTCGGTGGATGTCCATATCGAATATTTGTTATATTTGGCACAACCCTGTAATCGTCTTGATTTCAGACATGGAGTAAATACGCATCCAAACTGAGCGACTTCCAGAGATCCCAGAATCTCACCTCCGGCCTCCACTGCTTGAACGAGCTGATCACCAACGCCTTGCATCATGTCCCCGACGTCCTCAAGTACATGTCCAGACTCCACAACCAGAGTGTCTTCAATTTCTGCGCTATCCCTCAGGTGAGCTGCTTATACCAATATTCAAGAGATCCTAGCCCCTCTCAGTAGTTTTGTAGTTGATTCCAAACCAAGTCTATTCGCAAGTCAGGTCACAAGTGACAGGGGATGTTCAGTAAAGGAATACCTTTGCCGCAGTTCACTTAAATAGCATGTGACTTGCCGAGAAAGTGTTCACCCTGTGAGGACTTCTTGAGGACCTATAACACTCACTCCCTCAGCTGCAAAGACAGTGTCACAAGTTACAGGGGATGTTTAGTATTAACTAAGGAATACCTTTGCTGTAGTTCACTTGAATAGCATGTGACTTGCCGAGAAAGTGTTGAACCTTTGAGGACTTTTTGAGGACCTATAACGGACTTGACTGCAAATTCTGCCTTCAAGTCACTCACTCATTCGCTCGCTCAGCCGCAAACACAGCGTTGGTCCGTCGCGCTGATCTCCTGTGCCCACGTCGAACAGCTTGGTTCCAGACGCTCTCTACTTCTCTTGGTTGACCCAGGTGATCAACCAAGGTCTTCTTGGGCGGCCTGAAAAGTCCCTGAATTTCAAGATTTTAAGATTCCTGTAGGAAACCCAGTAAATAACATGTCTCTTGATCTCAGACTCGATGAATGCGATTGACTCGTGATGGTTTATTTGCAGCTCTATATTGATGCAATTGTCCAAAATGAATTTGATGCAACTTGACATTTTTCCCCGTAGGTTATGGCTATCGCTACGTTAGCCGAGTGCTACAATAACCCGAAGGTGTTCAGAAGCGTCGTCAAGATCCGGAAGGGCCAAGCAGTTATCATGATGCTGGAAGCAACGAGCATGGACAGCATCAGGACGATCATCAGCAATCACAGCCGACAGGTATGACATAGTCAGATCTTTAGATTTGAGCTCCAGGGTGGTGTGGAGTTTGCATGGATAGAATGGTTGGAGGGGACGGGGTGGGTAGGAGGGGACGAGTAGGTTGGAAGGGACGGGGTAGGTTGGAGGGGACTGGGTGGGTTGGGACAGGGTAGGATGTTGGAAATTAGCATCCTTATGATGTGAAAGCAATAAGAACATATTGCCAGCAACGACAAACGCCGGGATGATCGCCAGCAACTTCCCTGAGATGGCAAACAGTGCGTCACTCCCAATCCAAGCCATACCGACCCTATATCTGTCACGCGCCAATGTGGCCCATCAGGCTGGCGTTTATCTGCGGTTTGCTTGGCATGAAACGACTGAGAATATTTTATATCCATTCCTGGATGTGATGCTAGTCCATCGCAGATTACTCCCAAACTAACGACGATACCAAATTTACTTCAAGTAGGAGAGAGGCAAGTTGGGGTGGAGTGGCTTGCCCAAGGACACAATAAACTGACCTTACAGTAAACAAATGTTCTCCCTGTTACGTCCCCAGATTGGCAAAAGCACGCCCAGCAACGACCCATCGGCCGAGCTGACGCGGAAGATAGTCTCCACCAACTTGGAGCTGAGCCACACTGCCTCCGCCCAGCTGACCACACCCAGTTACTACCCTCCTCTCTACATGTCTCTTGGGATCATGCTGGTTCTGATCCTGTACAGTTACGGCAGCCAGATACTCCACTACATCCATTCCTAAACAGAACCTAAGCACCTGTTTCAGTGAAAAAGTCACATCGTGCTGGCATTTGTCAAATGAGTGTCTGTGAAAACAGTCCTATTGTTGGTGGTATATATGTCAATAAACCCTCCGAGCAGCGAAGTGGTGATTTCATTCTCCACATTTTCCAAATATGGGCATAATTTTTTTTTCAATGGGCCAAAAAGGCCAAGCTTCCATGTAATCCTCACCCCTACTATACCCCACAAGCCCGTAGACTCCCATTGGCCAGTCCCTACCCACTCCGGAGTAAGGAGTGTTGAAAGACAGAAGCCAAGATGGCGCCCAATGCCTTTGTGCAGTAATGGGAGATCTTAGTGGCCAATCCCTCAGTGTCGCCGATCCCTTTGTGTCAACCCCTTGTGCCGCCAGGAGCCCAGACAGGTTGTAAACAATCCTGGCCATGTGAATGACCTATATCTTGTGCATGTACAGGCATACCAGGGTTATTGACCTATAAACACAGGCGGTGATCAAAATCACCACGTGTTTCCACGGTGTGATTTTTTTTGGTAAGCTGCTCGGAGGGTTAAATTAATTAAGTTGATTGAAGAAATTTATTGGAGCTGGATTTAAACTAGTCTTGGGAATATCCTGTTGCACAGCCATGGTCTGTGATGTGCGAGCAGATTCGGCGATTAACCTTGCAAAAGTTATCGCAGGCCTATCGCAAGCCTATCGCAAGCCGATCGCAAGCCGATCGCAAGCCGATCGCAAGCCGATTGCAAGCCGATCGCAAGCCGATCACAAGCCAATCGCAAACCGATTGCAAGCCGATTTCAAGCCGATTGCAAGCCGATTTCAAGCCGATTGCAAGATGATCGCAAGCCGATCGCAAGCTGATCGTAAGCCAATCGCAAGCCGATCGCAAGCCGATCGCAATCCGATCGCAAGTCATCCAGTCTCGAGTGAAGTAGGGTAGAGTTCCTAATCTGATAGTACATGTTATTCTTTTTGTTCGCTGCATGTATAGCTATTGAATTATGTGTCATGACGATATTGTGTTATTACCACAAATCTGAAGCATTTTAGAAAAGCATGCGGGAAGGTCGTATCTCCTAAAACAGGCCGTACGTGAAACACGAGTTTCAGAATATCAAAAGTCGTATCTCACTTAAAATAACCCGGATGTACACACAAAGTCAGTGGACGTCGAGATACGACCTTGTTGCACAGAGCGTATTCGTGCGAGATACAACTTTGTTCCAGAATCATGGAGTTAGGACGGTGATAGTAATGATTATTCATTTTTGACAAGGGTTGATATGAAACAAATGTATTCAGTTGACGGGTGTTTTTTTCGAAAAGAACTACAAAATTACCAAAAGCTAATGTCTTTATTAAGAAAATAGTTAATATATGTGGGGTTTTTTTTCAAAGCATGTATATTTGAACTTTTTGAGTAACAGTTGAAAATCAGCATAAGTTATTGATGATGAGAAAATTAAATGTCAAATATTTTGATTTGAAAGTCAAGATTATCTTATCTTCATAAAATAAAACAAACGTTTGTCAGTAAATGTGTCGGGTGGCATTAAATGTTCTTTAATTTAGATTTCCTAGCTGAAAATGTAAATAAAAATTAAAAAAAGTTGTAACAAGGGAAATTTGATTGATGGTATTATATTTAGATGGTATTTTGAAATAATAAAATGACATCCACAGAGGAAATGTATAACTGATTTATTCAGACTTAGTTTCTGTCTTTCTTATAAGTAAAGTTTGTCATGTCAGTTTCTGTACAAAGGGCTTTTCCAAATTATCTTCCGAAACGGTGCAAAATGAAAACTACACATCTGAAATAGCGCCCTCTCGTGTGCTGAGTCAGTTAACTCGATTGGTCATTTACTGATATTGGGGGCGCCCTATACTAATACCATGAATTCCTTGCCTCGCCGGTGCTGCGTGTTGCCGCTGTCAATTCGCAGCGTCTGACTTTTCAAACTTTGTTCGACTGAAAATGTACATCGATCGTGTTAGCCTTAGTTTTGAAGGTGCTCCAAGTGTGAATTTTAAACCTCTTGGCTCCGTAATAGGGCTGGAAGAAACTTTCGACTGACGTCATGCAGCTCAAGTTTCCACCACGGGGGCTGGGTTATCCATGGCATGGCACCGTGCACCAGACGAAATTCCCGCGCGCGGGAACCCCAAACATTGTCGCAGAATCCTGCTGTACACGGGTAAGTTTAAAAAGCTTGTAAAAAAAAAAGATCTCAAAATTGTTCCGTGTTCTAATGGTAAACCACACCCATGGCATGGTACTTCAGGTATAAGGTACTTCTTAATGATCTTTTTTGTAAGGCCTACCGCGCCCGTAAAGGAATACATTTTGTTGTAATGTTGTATCATGGGCCTTATTTTTGGACGTGCGTGAGATGGCGCTGGCTAGATTTTCACATGTGTTTCATGTGGAAAGCCTAAATATTTCCAAATAGCCATAGGACCCCTTGACACGAATACTATTTGTATAATCTCTAATGGCCTATACATGTATTTAGAACGAGAGTCACATGCGAAATCGTCAAAACGCCTCACTGAAGATAATCAACAGGCATCATTAAAATCGCCGGAAGTTTGGCTAGTTATAAATCAACGGTCAGGTATCGGCTTGCACTGTCAACCGCTAAACGGTCGACGACTCCTTTGTCCAAATTCTAGATCGAGACACATTCCTCTATAATAAAGTCATAGGTCTTTAATTGGAAATCGTTTGAGTCAAATTGTGTGGGAAGCAAAATTTTTGACTTGTGACGGTGCGTGGGGTTGATGCATTTTTAAAATAGGGTTTATTAGCCTTTCATGCAACTAGGCCTAGGCCTATATATGTGTGGGGAAATGGTTTAGGTTCTATGCCCGCTTATTAAGATTTAATAGAGCTTTAGTTAAGGACGGAACACGGGTATGGCTTTTTGAAAGTCGCATTGACTTTTCAAATTTTCAAGAATTGTTCACGCTACAGCAGGCCTAAGGTGTTTGTAGTTGGTATATGTTGGTTTTTATTCAGTATCGGCAGTTAATTTTGGCCACTTTCGAAGTACAATGTATGATTTCTTTGTTGCTCTAAAAGGTCAACAGAGGGCAGTGTTCTCTCGCCTAAATGCGGTATGGGCCATCTGGTGTTTAAGTTCTCTGTCAATTTTATTTTGTTACTGTACTAGGCCTACCTGGTGCATTTCAATGTCAACTAGCTTTCAAATCGCGTCAATCGTTTAGCCAGGTGTAGGCCTAAGCAAGAATTATACAATAATGATACTTAATTAAACATCATTGCACACTTTGTTTTATAATTAGACGCCCGTGCCGCGCAGACCACATACAGCAAATCAGTTCAGCACACATACGAGCAAAACAAAAGCACGGTATAAAAACGGTACCAAAAAACAAAAACAACTTCAGAGGTGTTCAACGATCAAAGTGCACCGCCGTATTTGTTTGCGTACCGAATTTTAACAGTGCAATGTTTACCACTGGGGATTATAAGGTATCGTATTGGCGTTTGTTTTAAGACCATAGAGTGGTCGAGAACTTATTGGAAATAAATCGTTTGTTTGAATTAAAGTTATAGGGCTATAGAGGAGCAAAACGCCGCTAATCTTCTTGGGTGTAGTAATTGGTAAACTGGTCGGTGCCGGTGTTACAAATGAGTTGATTGGGCGGATTTTTAAGTCGTTAATGTCGGTTTATCCCTAATTAAATACATGTTCTTGTTTAGATATTTCTTGTAATAAAACCAAGGATTCCTCAAAAGCGCCCTATAGGCACTGTAGCTCGCAAGCCTGCAGAAACCTGTAGAAAGCAGACAATGAGAAGAAATTACAGTTTTAGAGGTGGGAGGAAAACCCCAGAAGAATATTCTCCGGTTTCTGGTATGCGCGCGCGTCGCCGTAGCCATGCGCGTCGGCAAAATTAAAAAGTTTTTTTTTTCAATGTAAGATGATGTCTCAAAACCGCCAAACTCACTGGTTTGACTGGAATCCTGCTGCTGCACAATTTTAACGTGTTTTTGATGGGGTTACGATCGAACATAAGCTTTATGTGGCCACTCTGGGCTCCCATACATTTTGCAGTCATCAGCCGACATTGGAAGGGGAAAAAAGTCAACAACAAAAAAAGCCGCGTCGCCGCACCACTTTTGGGGCAAGCACCATACCAGAAACAGGAGACTTTTTTTGGCCTTATCCATTTTTCATGCAAATTCTATCTTATTGACCAGACAAAAAAAGGAATATTTGCCGTGACGTGTTGATGCGGCCGGTTTTTAACATCAACAAATTGCAAGTACCTAAAATATTACAAAAACTGGCTCTGGTTCGTCAGTAACAGTTTTATTAATACACAATTCTGTCAATTTTTTGGGTGGGTTGACCAGTGACATCTCGAGAAATTCTCACGCAAAGAAGACGACCCCTATTTTTCCCAAAGCGGAAAAGTAGCCATCTTGAAAAACGATCCCTCCACAACATGGCACAATAGTGCCACTTTCGAGCCCAATTGCATCCAAAATGCTCAGAATTGAAAGCCCCAAGTCCAGGCCAGAGATTCATTGCCATAGCTTCAATTCCCCAATGTTATGGCTCTCAGAACGCTCTAATATAGAATATTTTGAGGGTATAACTTTCATTCATGAGCTGGGCGGACGGATAATTGGCCTATTTACTTGTGTGCACCCTCAAGATTGGTTTGTTTTAACTTGTGGATAGCGCCCTCTGTGGACACGGCAGTTTGAATGTGCTTGTCAGGGACCAGCTGCATTTGGGAACAAAAATATAACTTCAGTCTAGAACCGAGACTAGTATTGCGTCTCCCTTTTCTTGGACCTTTTTTTGATTCCAAGACCAATGTCCGGTGAGACGTTTACCAGCCCCTCACCCGTCATCCCCCGGGGTGTTCTCCCGGCGCGGTCCGCAGAGAGACCCACGCGCCGCTCCAAACATGGCGATTATTTACATGAAGACATTCCTTCTTTATCCCACTCCAACTAACACTAGAAAGATAAGATAACTGATTAAAAAGTGAAAATGTAGGATGGTAACGAAGAGGAGAGGTTTCAGTCGCGTGCCACGAAAGCGTCAATTAACCATGTCTTGTATTGAGGCTAGAGAACCCTTGCCTATAACTACAATGTTTATTTCAACAATTGTTCTAATACAGGGTGCATGTCCCCAA